ACTAACCTAACCCAACTAACCTAACCCAACTAACCTAACCCAACTAACCTAACCCAACTAACCTAACCCAACTAACCTAACCCAACTAACCTAACCCAACTAACCTAACCCAACTAACCTAACCCAACTAACCTAACCCAACTAACCTAACCCAACTAACCTAACCCAACTAACCTAACCCAACTAACCTAACCCAACTAACCTAACCCAACTAACCTAACCCAACTAACCTAACCCAACTAACCTAACCCAACTAACCTAACCCAACTAACCTAACCCAACTAACCTAACCCAACTAACCTAACCCAACTAACCTAACCCAACTAACCTAACCCAACTAACCTAACCCAACTAACCTAACCCAACTAACCTAACCCAACTAACCTAACCCAACTAACCTAACCCAACTAACCTAACCCAACTAACCTAACCCAACTAACCTAACCCAACTAACCTAACCCAACTAACCTAACCCAACTAACCTAACCCAACTAACCTAACCCAACTAACCTAACCCAACTAACCTAACCCAACTAACCTAACCCAACTAACCTAACCCAACTAACCTAACCCAACTAACCTAACCCAACTAACCTAACCCAACTAACCTAACCCAACTAACCTAACCCAACTAACCTAACCCAACTAACCTAACCCAACTAACCTAACCCAACTAACCTAACCCAACTAACCTAACCCAACTAACCTAACCCAACTAACCTAACCCAACTAACCTAACCCAACTAACCTAACCCAACTAACCTAACCCAACTAACCTAACCCAACTAACCTAACCCAACTAACCTAACCCAACTAACCTAACCCAACTAACCTAACCCAACTAACCTAACCCAACTAACCTAACCCAACTAACCTAACCCAACTAACCTAACCCAACTAACCTAACCCAACTAACCTAACCCAACTAACCTAACCCAACTAACCTAACCCAACTAACCTAACCCAACTAACCTAACCCAACTAACCTAACCCAACTAACCTAACCCAACTAACCTAACCCAACTAACCTAACCCAACTAACCTAACCCAACTAACCTAACCCAACTAACCTAACCCAACTAACCTAACCCAACTAACCTAACCCAACTAACCTAACCCAACTAACCTAACCCAACTAACCTAACCCAACTAACCTAACCCAACTAACCTAACCCAACTAACCTAACCCAACTAACCTAACCCAACTAACCTAACCCAACTAACCTAACCCAACTAACCTAACCCAACTAGCCTAACCCAACTAACCTAACCCAACTAACCCAACCGAACTAACCTAACCCAACTAACCTAACCGAACTAACCCGACCGGACTAGCCTAACCAAACTAACCGAACTAAACTGACCGGACTAAACTAACCGGACTAAACTAACCGGGCTAGTCTATTCTAACCGAACTAAACTGACCGGACTAGTCTATACTAACCGAACTAAACTGACCGAACTAAACTCACAGAACAAAACTGACCCAACTAGACTAACCTAACTACTATAACCTAACTAAACTAACCTAACTAACCTAGCGAAACTAGCCTAAGGGACTTAACTAACCGAACTAAGCTGACCCAACTAAACCAACCTAACGAGACTAACCTAACTAAGCTGACCAAACTAAACTAATCAAGGGGCCCCGCGGCGCGCCTTCTACTTATTATTTGGGGGTTGTTAGATGTGGCCGCGTTTAATTGTTTATTGCACTGCAGGGAACCTGAGGCACTTGAGGGACCCTGAGGCAGCTAAGGGACACCGAGGCACTTAAGGGGCGCCGAGGAAGCTAAGGGAGACTGAAGCACTGAAGGGGCCCTGAGGCACTTAAGGGGCCCTGAGGCACTTAAGGGGCCCTGAGGCACTTAAGGGGCCCTGAGGCACTTAAGGGGCCCTGAGGCAGCGGCGGGACACCGAGGCACTTAAGGGGCGCCGAGGGAGCTAAGGGATACTGAAGCACTTAAGGGGCCCTGAGGCACTTAAGGGGCTCTGAGGCACTTTGGGGGCCCTGAGGCACTTAAGGAGCCCTGAGGCAGCTACGGGACACTGAGACGCTGAGGCGGCTAAGGGGCCCTGAGGCAGCTAAGGGACCCTGAGGCACTTCAGGGATCCTGAGGCACTTAAGGGACCCTGAGGCACTGGCGGGCCCTTTTTGATAATCTGGAAAGATAGCAACGGGGGGCGCTAATGTAATGAGGCTGAGTTCCTTATCAACGGTAGCATTTTTCTTTCCAACGACATCGCCTTTCCTTCCGGTTTTACACGAGGTGGGCCTCGCGGTAATAGATGCCGACCACTCTTTCACCTTCTTGCAGAATATTATGTTTATCAAAGACAACTCGGGGACTACTTCTTAACAGACAGTCTATAGGTAAAACGTTACATCCATATTCGTCTAATTATCTCCTGCGTCGTGTACGGTGTGTTGCATACGCTAGTTCTGGCTCGTGATTTGTGTCGCGGGGCCCGCGGGTTGCCGCGCCGCAGGTTGCCGTCAGGAACGCTTAGCTGCAGTTCTGCGGGTCCAGGGGTTATGAGCCCTGACAAGGTTAGAGGTAGAGATGATAGAGACGACAGTGGCAGTTGGCGGCAGCCAAAGCATGAGATGCGGAATTACAGTAGTTGCAGCAGTTTGAAACCTGCCACGACACCTCCCGTCACAATTTTTTTCACAAGTCCTGACATGCAACTGCAGTCCTGTGTTGTCGACTCCCCGTCACGTCCTGTTGCTCTCGAGTTAAGGCTTCACGTCCTGTAATTCACAGCATCTTGCATTCCCAGTGACTGAGTCACCACGACATATAGGAAGAATAAATTCATTCTGAAGAGCGTCTTTTAAAGTCCCTTACAAGTTTCATGGCACGAAACATCAAGCTACCACGCCAAAGGTCTTAAGCTTCACTCAAGTTGTACTTAGATAAATCTACATTATTCTTGATTACAGTCTTGCTGGCAGTGGAGTAGTACTGTCTAAGACACAAATGAATGAATGCAGACTAAACTTTTTCTATCTCCCCTAGTTAGGTCGGCTCTACCAATATTATTAATTACAGGCAAACCCTGGGTTCTGTGAGTATCTAGCGCTAACCAAAAGCGCCACTACGGACGTCAGCACTTGTTTTCCAGTCACCGTTTGATTTGGCTATGCTTAGACGCGTGTGGGATTGTCTCAGTGCTTTTGGCCCCGTTTGTATGGTGTTTTTGGTCCACAGGGCTGGGCGAAGTAGAGGAACGGATCTGGACTGAATGTGCGTTATGGAAGAAATTTAATTTTTTCCATCTACTAGTGGCAGAGTGTGCAGCAGTATCCTAGTGGCAGACTATACATTTGCTTTTGCCGTAGAATTGAGTCGGAATTTGAAATGATGAAGAAGCATACAAGAGTAATATGGCTATCTTCTCGATATTATTCTGTGCGGTAATCTTCTGTTCCCGACATAAGTAGAACAACACTTACACGGGACTCCAGGCTAGATTGAAATGAAAGGGACACCGTAATTGATGGATTCAAGTACGTCTTTTGTTCGGCCACGCTGATGGAGGACAAGGAGAGCGACACTACCTTCATGGTAGGTAAATGAATGAATGAATGAATGAATGAATGGTCATAAGTTCTAGCACTGCGACAGAGGACGAGGATAACGACAAAGTCTTCACGGTCATAAGTTCTGAGTACGGTAGGTTGTACAGGACAAGTTAAGCGACATTCCCTTCATGGACATAAGTTCTCGCACTACGATGGTTCATCGTCGATGGAAAGCAAAGTTTTTATGAAGTGATAAGGTGTTATGGTCATTGACCGCAGATGCATCCTCCACACCATCCTTCCTTTTTCAAGTAAGCAGGAAAAAGGGCCAAGGATGCGTACAGGGATGCGACTGCGATAGCTGCTCTAATTATGATCTAGCACAACTACGATTTGCAATTAGCAGACCAACATCATGAAGATCAGATGTCATAAAGTCACTACCTAGTACCGTGTTGATTGCAAATTAACAAAATGCATCTATAATATCATCATGGATAAACAATAGCCAAGAATTACAGGCAAGCATGGCAGGTATACATTGCATAGTTTCCGATTCGATTACCCACACTACTTGCTTTCTAACATTACATCAATAAAAAAGTTCGATTACCAGATCTTCAATCACAGACACGCGGAGACAAAAGAACCATGAGCTATCCCTAGGGCACAGCAAAGTAGAGCTCTTACTAGAATTCTTGTACACACCAAATCCGATAGAAGCCCATCAAAATCTGCAGAATAACACTAGCAGGCACTCTTGCCTGTCGGCTGTAATTGAATCTGCATCGAAGAGGAGCATTCCCGTGACCTGCACAACACTCAAGACAAGCTAGAACAGTTGAACTCCTAGCACTAAGGTGATGATCGTGGTTCTTCTTGGTGTTCTTGTTGACGTGCTACCACAACAGCTTCGTCAACTACATGTAGTTCCTTCGGTTTCTGGTAGTACTCGGTCCTAACCGCGCGTAGACACATAAGCGACAGGATCGAAAACGATCGCGCGAAAAATATCGGTCTGTCAAAGTTGAAAAGTTCTCCTTAATCGCAATCATCATACTACACATCGCTGAACATTCCCATTCTAGCCTGTACTAGTCTGTGAAAATCAATCGGTTTCTTCCCTCTAGTAAACTATCGGTCTACCATCCTAAAATCTGAGCTCAAAAGATGAATATGCATACATCCCCACACAAAACTTTGGGGCGAAGCCCGCTGCATCCTTCTTCCTCTCTCAACACTCCTCTGCTGGTATTTAGATATCCTTTTCTAAGTGTATGTAGCTTGTGTAACAAAAGCAGTCTTCATGATAACTGAGTGGTTTTATATTCTCACACAAAATTTTATTCTTTCAACTTGTAATCTTTCTAATTCTAGGATTTACTCACCCCGCGTAAAAATGGATGTTAATAGGATCTTGAGGTGCTGCAAAGGTATGTCGGAAGATGTTTGGCGCGCACGAGCAAAAAAAGATGTAATCGTCGTCAGAATGCTGCTTCCGACTTCTAAGCGGACGTGGGATTTGTGTCTGTAAACCCCAAGGCTGCTAATCCAAGGTCGATTACTCCATGTCGATACCCCAAGAGCACGTATAAACGAGCACGTACTTAATCAACATATACACAAGAGGCGCCCTCCGTCCTTGCTACTGTGCGGCGGCTACTACTCTACAGCCATCTCCTCGTACCCGCAGATACTGGAGATGCTACAACTACTTTGAGGAATACTTATACTTCTTCTGCCACTGGTAATACTCGGTGTCCAGCACAATCGGAATAGAAGTGTTACTATCGGGACCATTATACTACGACACGCAGTAGTCCTCGTAGACCATTAGTAGTTCTCGTAACCCCCGCCCTCGAATGCAACAATTCGTCTTCCCCCCCCTCTTTGTTGGACTCATTTCCAGGAATGGGTAGACTACTACTACTAAGAAGCGACTCGCGGCCCCTCGTACAATCTGGGCTGACAATTGTGACGTCACTTCAACGACTACTATTGGATTTGCGAGTACAACTAGTGCGACCACGTCTACTGATGCTAGTAATAATGCATTACAAGAACTCCTACTGGTCGTGCTGCCACTAACACGACGACTCACTACCAACACTTACTTACACTACCCCCTCTGGAAGAACCTTCCCAACGTCGTCAACTGTACCTGGAAGAGCCTGCAGACAAAGTACATCCACATCTTCGCAAGAACAAGCCTCATCAACAACCTTCACCGAAAAGATGCCGCCTCCAACGCGAACGTCGGTCTCTCCGGAGATGCGGAGCAAGATGATGAAAAGGTTTTGGTTGCACACTTTAACCCCACGCCTAGCCACGCGACACCTTGACATCTACAATAATTAAGGCACCTGCTTCTTAACTGCAGGTAGATGAACTAGAAGATGCGATAATATGTCTATCAAGGTTAGTTTTTACCTCTGGAGTCTCAGCCCTTTCAACAAGCTATATGTCTATCAAGGGTGCACGGAATAGAAAAATAACTCGAGTATCATGATCACTTGCGACGCACTGATGAGAAAATAACTCTGTTTTCATCGTTGGTTTAGATACTGTAAAGGTTTCAAGAATTATGATCTTTTTAGATCGCCCGTCTCAATTCTGGAAGGCGTACTAATTTACCCGACGATGATGAACATGAACATTCATTGTACCGCATGAATGGCTTAACTACAACTACTGGCTTGTCCCTCCATTAGGCTAGGAGTACTACATGGGACACCAAGTTGCTGATACAACAACTTCTACTACTGCTCCTACTACTACTCCGAGGCCTGTAGCTACTTCTGAGGCCTGTAGCTACTCCCCAGTGTACTACTACTCCTACTACTTCTACTAGACCCTACTAAATGACCCGTTCGCCATAGGTCTAATATACGGAAGAAAAAGCAGTAGATCATATTGAGCCTGGTGAAGTGGTGGAGATTCAACCGGAGGAAGCAACGGACGACTTCTTTCCCGTGAGCGTGCAATCGGTACAGGGATTCTTGATTAAGGCAAGTGCTCAATATAATTCCATTCATGCGTTGTCGTTGTCTACAACAACTCACTTGAAGTAATAGATATAATTCCATTCATGTTGCGTTGTCATCGTCTACAACTCACTTGAAGTAATAGAAGCAGCACAGACTCATAAACTTGTTACAACACTTGAATAACGATCTTCAGTTCTTTGTAGAAGTCATTTTGTTCCTTTTTTGTTTTAAGATTGATCTTCCTGCGAAAATGTTGAAAGGAACTGTTAGTTGTTCAGGAAGTGTTGAGAAATATTCTTGCATTCTTGCGCTGCAGGCTGCTCTAATTTAAGACGGGATGCGGACTGTCACCCCTTTGGCGGCAAGGACTTGCTGGAACTCCCGCTTGCGCTCACTGTCACTTTGCTGGACGATTTGCACAAGAATAGGGACGACGCTGCCGATTCTCTCGCGAGGATCTTTCTCATGCTCTTTTCAGATGTACTACTCCATTGTAAATTCTATGGACCAAGGAACAAGCCCTCTTCTTCTAGCTCTATTTTTACCAAAGAACTACACTGTATTTATGTCGACAGGAAGATGAATATGGTTCTTGGCCTCCTTTAATTCCTCGAATCTTTCTCATGCTCCTTTCAGCTGTACTATGATTCTTTACTGAAGACTTGTTTCTGTTGAAGAGTCAGTGAACTAGTATTTTCACGACGCATATTATTATACGCAGAATACACCCTCAGAAGTTGGTAAGTGCTAAAGCCTTCAGTTGGTAAGAACGAAAGCCTTCGATTGATGCTAAGTCACATGATGTTCTAAAACCTTATCTTGTTTCATTTTTATTGGTTTTAGTTTCTAGGTAGGTACCAAATTACCAAAACCTTCAGTTGCCGGTGCTTGAAAAAGAGTTGGCGCTGTTGGCCTCCCGAGTGTGGCAAATGATGTGCTGGGGTCCTGTGGGAAACGGTGGCGCTTTTGTTAAGGCAAGTGTAGACCATTAAATGTGAGATATAATCACCCTCAGCGAAGGCGTTCCCAACTATCTGAAGCAAGTGAACAAGTAGAGCACTATCTACTGCGCCTCAGTGAAGTAGACCCCAATCAGCGAAAGCAACCCAATCAGCCATTTAGATACCTCTAATTTTGGGCATTTCCGTGACGCTGCGAAGATCGCTCAGCCGTTTTTCGAGAAGGTGTATTCCTTGGTCTACGCCGATCTGGAGATATCCTATCCAGGCCTAGCACAAAGTCACGAGTTCATTAAGGCAGCAGCTCGTTGACTACACTGATTGTCTACAGCACAACACTCACGCTGAGACACCAGAAAAAAGCGTTCATCTATACCGATCGACTTTTTAATCAGCATCTCAATCTAATGTGATTTCATAAGATGATAGTTGTACAAGCTAAAAATCGCGATAATTCCAGCTTACATACTCAAATGCTGCTTCTAATTCCTTCAACGGCCGGGAGGCAGTAAAGGCGAGTCTTGCAGTTTTGCTGCGTTCTGAGGCCGACGAACGTGCTGAACTGCCACTGCATTTTTTACCGCCAGATGTGGTGCAAAAACTCGCAACTTTGGACGTTCTTTCGCTGGAAAACTCTCTTCAGCACATCGAGGAGGCGCATAAAAGTACTAGAAGAGTCTACCTTTCTTATACTGTACAAATTTAGGATAGAAGTTCTTGTTTACAGGCTGCTCGTGTCGACGGAACTCTTGTTCATTTATCTCTAGTGGGTTAACGAACTCTTGTCCAAAGTTAGGGTATCGAACTCTTGTTCATCACTAGTCAGTGGGGGAACGAACTCGTGTTCATCACTAGTGGGTTGTAGGGAACTCTTGTTCATCACTAGTGGGTTACAGCAAACTCTTGATGTTCAGAGTAGGATATAGAATATTTTTTAAAGAAGATGAAGAGTCGTTCCTTAAATTCTAAGGCTTACGAGACTGTTGAAAACTATATGCCCTGGACGGATTGTTTGTATGAATGGTCACTCACTTCACACACTTTCAGCAATGCAGGGAACGTTTCAGCGCACGTACTTGGACGAAGATGGCGACGAGAAAGCGAACGCTGGAGAAGCAGGCGGCCTTTTCGACAAAGGGAAAGTTAAGAGTCTCAGACGAGTCAATTACTATCTAGTTCTGCTGTAATCAAGACTGGTTAACTATACTACCATTGTTTCTTGTAAGACTAGTTTACAAGCTTTCACCCAATAATCACTACCATTGTTTGTAAGGCTAGTTTACAAGCTTTCACCCGATAATCAGCTGTTCGTTGGTGTGGACTGCGCCTGAGTGAGTGAGTGAGTGAGTTATTCCTCTTAGAAGGCTGTCCAGAGGTACCACAATGAAGAAGTCATGGGGACGATTGTCAGAGGGATGAAAGGGGTCCAGCACTCAATCTATCTTCAGCGATAGTGATCCTCGACTCCCTTTAAGAAAGACGGAGAAGCGCAGGAGCCGGAGCGAGCAGACATCGGGCAGATCAAAGCTACTTTGAAGAGAAGCGAGGACGGAAAATATTGGGTCTTCACCGATTCAAAAGAACATTATGGCAGTCGATAGTCTAGTAGATCATCTAGCTCCCTTCATGATTCAGAGATGTTGTGGGCCGCCTGTTCGCTGCAATGGATTATTTGAGAGAAAAAAGCAGTAGATCTTCTAATGCGTGGAGAAGAAGGAGAAGCTGAGCCATCCGAATGAGCTTACGCTGACTTACTTACCATCGGGGCAAGGAAAGGACATGAGTGCCATGTTCGATTTCAACAATATCAAAGACGCAGACTCAGTGGTGGATACGAGTTCAGCAGGTGACAGCAGTGAGGCGCTAGCGAAAGAAGAAAAGGTTTTCGACCTCATAAATCCTAGGCTAGTCCCTCCATCCAGTTCATATGTAGGTGCAAATATTTAAGAACGAAGATAGATCGAGATCAGGGGCGTGTAACACAGCATCATGGATGTTGAATTTATTCTATTTGTTGAATCGTCGGGCGGTGTCTCTCTTCCCTTATCAGGAGTGTGCATACTTAATAACCTGAAACAAACAAAAGTAGTATTTTATCCTGAACCAAACAAAAGTATAGTACCTTATCCTGAAACAACAAACAAAAGTATAGTACCTCTTCACCATCTACCTCAGGCACTTCTACAACGGTCTCCGAAGTTGCGAATAGATGGCTCACCAATTTTCAACGAGACGAATAACATGGGCGTCGACATTTTTGGTACGAAGAGCGGAGTTGAGCCAACCTTCCTCAAGGAAATAGATCACTTACGGATGAACTTCTGTTGTAAAGCAAATTATACAACTACACTTATAATTTGAAATAGATCACCTAATTGGAGGAGTTTTATGATGGTATAAAGTATTCCTTCTATTGAAAAAACCCGGGTCATGAAAGAAAGAGGATAATCCCTTCCCAAATCCGCTATGACTACTCCTCGGGTTCTCGATTGATAGAAACAATGGACATTAACTAAATAGGACTATTAAGTATCTCAACTACGCTTCTGGCAATTCAAGTAAAGTGAAAGCGCTTAAAGTTGTGAAAGCACTAAGAAAAAGTTTATCGGCTAATTTTCCTCGTGTTATTATTGCCCTCCGCTGATTCTTGTACGACAAAAAACTAGAACTACTCCTGATAGAGTTGTGTACCATCCTTTTAGACTCCTGATACACATTAAGACTCCTTATGCACTACGAACACGAAAGTTAAACTACCAAAACCCCTGGACCTGTATCCGAAGGATGCAAGCTTATCCCTTTCTAAATCCTGGATCTCTTGGATGGTTGTATGACCAAGTAGACTGGAAATCTGCTGTGGGAGACGGCGGCGACTTTCTTATCAAGAACCCAAAGGACCGCTTTAGCCGGATAAAATACTTCAAGGACGCCGATATTAGTGTGCCAATTGACCCTATGAAAAAACCGAAGAAAAAACTAGACCCCGCACGACTCGCCAAGAGCAAAAAGAATGCTCTTGATAAAGGAGCTAGAGACGTATACTCCGATTATTTAAATATCGACCCTTTTCTTTTTGTTGGAGAGGGTCAACTAAAAGAAATTTCATTTTGTGAGTGAGGAAAAGTAAGTTATGATCCAAGTGGTAGAAGTCTAGTCCTAGTTTGTTGTGCTAGACGTAAAACTAATTTTTTTTAGACGACTGCCGCTGTACGATCTCTCTGTCAGGCGGCGTACCTAAAGCAACCAGGGTTGCAGATTAAAGATTTTTTTGCGAAGGAACAAGCCGCCTTCGAAGCGCAGAGCGAACGGACTATAAATGTAGCTGGCTTCCTAAGAAGGACGAACTTAGCAAACGTCTTCTTGGAGTCCTTGCACAGGTAGAAATACTGTCTTTGCAATTGGAGTTGTTTGGAATTGCACAACAGTGGCCGTGTACAGATAAAATGCAAATGGGTAGTTTTCTTTGACGTATAATCGAAGATACGTTGTAAAAATCATATGGTTCTTGTTTGTGACTTTTTACGGCTTTGCTCTATGTGTTGTCCACCCTATCAGACTCCAATATAAAGCAAAATCATCCTCATCAACTCTTAGAGTTCCAATTCCAATAACTCCATCTCATCTCGTGGACAATAACCAAAAAGGTATTTCCTCGACCCCACGCGCCGTGCGCTTTGTTTGGAACAAATAGCAATGCTGGTGCAGCATCCGCCCCATGTCGATGGATCCTTGCCCATGACGCATCCGGAACTATTAAGGCTCATACTAATTCACTTTCACAGCTAATCTTCTGCGTTTTTGCCTTTAAATTTTTTTTTTCCACACTCGAAGAAGGTAGCAGGTTCCTCGCCAAGACCTCTACAATCAGGGTTCTGAAAAGAGGAGCTTAGAAAGTGATAAAAATTACTGTGAGCTCTAACGTGAGTGAAGCAAGAGATAGCAGACGATGTTCTACACATCCTGAAGAGCGATGGAACGATGAAGAAAATGATTGATAGCATCCAGGAAGGCGAATACGACTACACGGATTTATACAAGAGTGCGGAAAACCTCTACGCTCTCGTCCGTAAGCACCCGAAGTGTCTAGCCGATGACATCGCGGACGCTTTGTCGTACACCACAGCCGCTTGCGAGGCAGAAATCACACGGGTAGAAAAGGAACACGCAGAGGCGCGGGAACGCTCTTTAAGAGCATCATGAGTAATTAGTAGTTCATTTACGTATTCTTAACGGTCTTTAAGAGCAGAGGCTTGTTCATCTGTATAGCAGTTCATTTACATAATTTACTAAAAATGACCTCCCGGCAGCCGAACGAGCGGAGTACTCCTCTGCACAGATACAGCCAGTTTCTTTCTTTGAAGTGAAATAGCTTCTTGAATTCTAAGGCCAATGTGATTGTTTTCTTTTCCTGTAGATAGTTGTTTCTCCTTCTTGGATTCTTGTGAGTGAAGAGAAATGACTTCGTCCCTACCGCAAGGTCTAATGTAACTGGAATTAGGCGCCGACGCACCGAAAGCGATCTCTAGCGACACCGAGTCGGAAAATCCGACGGAAGTTGGGGTTGGTGTCGAGGAAATCCTAGATCGCATCTCTCTTTTTCATTATGAGAAGATGATACTAGACGGAAGTAACTACTGACTTACGTAAAATTGATTAAACTTCTTCTACATAGGGGGCTGGCTATTTACGTCAATCAGAGCAGTACAGCTATTTCTGGACGAAGTGTGGAAGTCTTCAGCTTTCTACAAGTCGAGGGAGTCTTCATGCTGTCAAATCCCTCCTCTAATCTAGTCAGGATTTGACGGAGATAGTGGTTGACCTAGGAATCAAAGGTGGACGAGAAGACGTGAAATCCAAAGCCGATGTTGGCTTCGCCTACATTGCGGAATCAGCGTTAAGGGCAATAATTTCAATTTCTATTTAAATCTTCACAGCTTTTTTACTATGAATTTCTTGAAGCCGCATTTGTCCCTGGATGCAATCTAGGTGGGGGTGTCCTCACGAGCATGGCTTCCTTCTCAATGTTAAATAGTTTCTCAAGGAGGTGAGCGCGGGGAGGACTAGCCATCACTACTTGATTGTTGCTACTAGTGGAAACAACTCTGCAACTCAGAGGTTCTTATGAATGTATTATGCTTACGCTTGTGGTCGATGTTACAACTTCTCGAAAAAGCCTTCTAATAGCAGTCAAAGTAGTACAGCTGATGATCGACGAGCGGCAAATGGGGAGACATACACGCACGTATTATTTATTTACAGTACCTTTCATCTGCTTGGCCGTGAAGCGGTGGACCCTTAACCTTAACCTTAACCTTTCATCTGCTTATTCTGTTTCTGACTAGTGTTTCTTCACCTGGAAAATTCAGCCGGTCACTATTCATTTCCACAAGAACATTGTGAATCCCCAAGGACGACACTCTGACTTTCAGGTCGGAGCGTGAATTTCTGGAAGCTGCGCTGGGGCATTTTACCTTGAAGCTTGTTGTCCTCTGTGCTTATGAGCATTTTGACACCATCGTGCATGACGAGTACGACGACCCGAGGGCAAGCTACCACGACCAACTTTTGGCGGCGACAAAAAAGCGTGGTCTCGAATTGCTTGACATTTTCCGCAAGACCTTCAGCGATCGGGACCTAGACGAGAGTCTCTTCGATGCCATTAGGGAAAAGCTCTTCCTGGAAATCAATGATGTCACGTACGTGGTTGCCAACGAACAACAAAGTACTTCTTTCTAACCAATGAACATCGATCTCTGGATTTTTCCTTTCTTCTTGCTCGTCAATTCTGTCATTTTTTGGTGTCCTCACTTTATCGATCTTTTGTCCTTTGACAACTTCGTATCGAAGCAGAAGCTATTTTTCGAGTCGTGAAAAAATTAAGCCTCGATTCTATCCCCCACTTATGAATTCGCCACAGATACAGCACTCCCGCAGACGGTGGATAAACTGTCGGAACGCAGTATGCTCGCATGGCGATTTCAAGCGGATGTGGATATCCTAGTGGATGCGATGTTGAAATAAGGCTTCAAATTTTAGTTGTACTGTGGATGTACCTGAGATGAAGTTAATTCATCGTTTCCTCCTCTAACAAGCACAAGTTAGCAAACGCATTTGGGATGGTAGTGCCAAACGTTCCAACGTACTTGCAGAATTCGAGAAAGTGCTCTCGACATTAGCGCACAGAAGCATCGTTGAGCGTCCCGCGTTCTACGTCGATGCCGGTGTCGGTTTCAAACCTGAGCTGGAAAGCCTCGCGAGGAAGTTGGAAATCGAGCTTCTCCCACAATCCTGTCAAATGGTTTCTAGCGTTGTTTTAGCAACCTTGTGCGTCCATCATGCGCAGTACTTGCAGAGGATGCAGGATAGTGTTAAGACTTCTCGACGAAATCTCCCATGTTTTGAAAGCCATCCCATTTTTGGACTACAGGGTTCGTCTAATAGTAGTTTGGATGTCGCTGACCGTGTGACGTGGACCAACCGCTATGAGCACAGTCGCATGGCTACTTTGGACACGCTGGTAACCACGGTAGCGAAGTTGATCCGACAACGGGTGGAGAAGATGCAAACGAGTGAAAAAAACAAGAACGTCATTGAAGAAGATTATGGTCGTCGTGTCCTAGTATTTAAGTTATATCTTTTTGTAGACACCTAGTAAGGTGTTATAGTTATCACCTAGTTGTAAGGTACTTACTACCTTATAAGTTATCACCTCTAGAGACTTAGCCCTTCCAACAATACCTTATAAGTTATCACCTAGTAATATAAGTTATCACCTCATATTTGTAGACACCACCTAGTAGTAAGGTACTACATCAAAAAAGCTGTTTTGTTGTATCTATGATCGTGTCTCAAAGAAGACGCAATAACGAACAAGCATTTCTCGTACTCTCTCACCATCTCTAAAACCTGATACTAGCCGACTGCGAAGGCAAGCCCGACTTGGCGTACGAGCGTGCGGAGCACCTCTTGTTATGGGGTGCATCTCCCATAAATCCATCTTCACGTCGGCAGGCATCCTGAGACCGTTTTGAAGGGGAAACAGGTCGGTCCCAGGATGACTTTCTTCCAGATGGGTCTCCCTAATCTATCTATGGAAAGAGACCGTTTCGTCTATTTCTTTCACTGTTGCCAGTATCTTCGTGAGTCTATTTTAAAATATAGTAGAAGAAGGTCTTCTAATGTGGAAGTTTTTAGTGTGGAAACTGCACACGGATCTCATCACAGCAACCGAGGTTGGGGTGTTGGAGCAGCCAAGTATGCAGTTAGTGCCCAACCCAGAAATAGTGGCGAGTGAGATCGTGATGCAGTTCGCAGCGATGTTAGAGGATCGCGTTCGACGACTGCACATCAAAGACGCACTGCTCATGAACGCAAGCTGGCAGAATCCCTTCGTCACAGAGATCGCTACGGCAAGGTGGTTGTTACAGAACTTGTCTAAATGATAAGCAAGAGGTGGAGGTTGTTGTTTCAAGGTGTTGTCTAAATGATGTTGATAAATGTTTGTTTTATAATGCTACGTACTATATTGATTATGATTTTTACCTTGCGAGGACGAGTAGAATTTGGCTGATGATTCACAAGGAGTACCTACATCTAGAACCTGAACTGCCGAATGCGAGAAGTATTTACCTCATAGAACAATTACCTCCTAGTTGTACAACTTACTACAAGTAGAGCTAAGAAGTGAAAAATTAACAAAAAGTATTTGCCTCTAGTGACTACTACTAGAGCTATTTTTCACAACCGAGAAAGTGTACTAAGTGCGAGTTACAAATCGTCTCCTTCGCATCTCCTTCTAACTCGTGCGTGCAATTGCGAATCAAGTGTGCTGCGCTTTATGGGTCGATTGAGCAAATTGAGGATGACAAAAAGGACGGCCTGGGTGAAAGCAAAGATGGCCAAGAGGGTCCACTTTCCGACAAGCCTACGGATTCGCAACTTTTGCTAAGGCAGGAAGTTTTAGCTTGAGTTTGTTTCTAAAGGTGGGATGAAGTTTCAGTTTTCTCTTACTCTCCTAAAGGTGGGAAGTTAAAGTTTTCTTTTATAAAAAGGCACTAGAGTGATATCTACATCCTCCATGTGCATACTTTTAAAGAAATCCAGCTTCCTCGCTTGTTGATTGTCGCAGACGCGGTTTCAAGTAAGTCATTTGCAACCGGCTAACCGAGCTACCACTTTGTTTCAATTTGTAAGAAAGTTCTTTGGCTTTGCACGCCCGCTTAGGATTGAAGTCATACCTCTGGACAAGATGCAGTCTGCATCTAGTAGTCTCGTCGTTTTTCGAATGGATAACCTCAAAGAAGATTCAGGGAAGTCTAGACTAAAAACAGGATCATCTAACTTCCACCGATATGATGGGAAAAGCGGCTAAGCAAGCTCAGACGGATATCTCGTGTACTAGAGGCGACGACTTGCCACCCGAGGCGAGGTATCTGACTCCGGGAGAAAGTGGGAATATGAACTTAAGGCTCTCACTACTTCATCTTTGACTGCAGCTGATCCCTGAAGAAGAGCTGCGTGGGGCAGAATCGCAGGGAAATAGTGCGCTAGCTCCCCATAATATTTTTCAAGGCTGCAGCTGAAAGATGAAGCTCATAGACCTCCAATGAACGACAAAGCAGTAGGCGAGAGTGGGGAAGTGCCGGCTGCGCGTGTCTCCATTCTGCAGTTAAGATTGTGTGCTCCTTGTTCACTGGGTCAATTATAGCCGTAGGCGCTTAGAATCAACAATTTTAACTGTACTTACTGATCTCAAATGGAACATGTGTTTTGACTATCTAAGGTTCACAAGCTTATACTTACTGATCTGCCAAGAATTGTACCTACAAATTGCTGAAGATCTCCTGTAACTACATTACTGAGCATATCCTGCCCTAATGTAATCCCGTGATGGTCATACGGTTGTTACAGTTACTGGGGACAGAACCCAGCTGCTAGAAGTAGTAGGGATGTCGAATGAGCGCCAGGTTGACCGCGTCCCCGGAACAGAACCACATCGAACGAAACGCGACCTCATCATGATCATACCAGATCAGAGTAAGGTACTCACACATTTACTTTTCTCAGTATCAAGGGTAGAAGAAATCCATCTTCACGGTCATCGATGCCGCCAAAGATGGATTTCTTGTACCTCAGTCAGTACAAGGGTATAGTTGTATAGCCATACAACATGTTTGTCATTACTTCCTCCATTTGATACAAGAACTTTTGAAGAATAGATGGACGAGATTTTCAACATAGCAGGATCTGATACATTCTTTTCCCCTTTGAATAAGGACGAGGTGTGCTGCAAATCTTGATCGGCTCTCACCTTTTATAGGTGAAGGCTCAGGCCCCGCGACGCTTAGCGCACTAAGTACAACAGCCGGTTAGTTTTCACATCTCAACTTCTTAGGTTATCCCATGCAACAATATAAGATCTGGGTAAGGCTGGCTCCACCACTATGCCCATCCCGATAAATAGACTGTTTGTTTGAGTGTGAACTTGGATCTTTTACCCAAGTGCGTACATCAGTCAATCCCAAGTACGTTCACGTGCATAAGTATTTCACCCTACGTACTAGAATCCTGCCATACTTTCTTACTTAACGAGGTTTCCAAAACGCGGGAGCTGTTAGAGCTGTTTTCGTCTTTTGTCGATGTCGAGGATGCGTTGGACTTGATGGGTCCGGAGAAGGATAACGATGGCACAGTCCATGAGCAGATGAAGATCGTGCTAGTGCATATGGACGAAGCCGTAGAGGACGGGGGCATCATCGACATCCTAGCTTGTTAAGGGTTGGAACCTAAGATGCATGTAGACATTCGAATTTCAAGGAATATTGTTGGGACCTAGAAATACTTATGAGCATAAATATAGAAATAGATTATCTATGACCGCGTTTTCTTCACAACTAGGAAAGAAAGAAAATCATAAGTTGATATACCTGCTTAGAAGAAGTACATGATACAAGCTAGAGAACAAGAGTCATGAACTTGCAACCTCTAAGCATGCACAGGTATGCTGCAGGATTCTGAGCAATTGATTGTTCTAGAGCACGAGATGGACCGCGATGATCGGCTTCTAGAGTGCTTGTGTCATACCATTGTGGACCCGGAGCTTGGGGAAGTAATGATTGTGGAGCACGAGTGGGCTGGAGACGGTCTAGCTCATGAAAAGCGGGACAACGTTAAGGCCCGTTTCCACATTTTTCTATCTTGCACTAACAAAATCTTGCACTAACAAAATCTTGCACTAACAATATCTTGCACTAACAAAATCTTGCACTTCTAACAACTTGCACTAACAACTTGCACTTCTAACAACTTGCACTAACTACATCCTGTACTTGCATCTTCCCTGACTCTACTTTTCCCAGCGAGAATTCCTGACTCTTTTTCCAATATAAGAATAGAAAGAAGTCAGGCTACTCAGGAATATTCTGAAGAATTGATTCAAAAATGTCGGAACAACTTCTAAGAAGAAAGATATTTTCGATGTGGGAGCGTGGTACAAACCAACACGCATGAGCGACTATGGGGAAAACAATCGAATGCGAGGCTTGGCGCGGAATGAGGAGAAACGCATAGCAAGCGGAGGCCAGAACGCGGAGAGCAGCGAGGACTTCAATTAAGAGCGAGGACTACTAATCCATCTTCGGAAGCATAATTGTCCCCCAAAAATCCATCTGCGGAAGCATCTCAATGCTGTCCCGTAAGGAACAATCTGTCCCGAAATTATACTGTAGTCCTGTCGGGGAATGGGAAAAACAGCATCGACGATGATGCTGTTCTTCAATATAAGAAACAGGAGGTCCTCTCGGGATTCTCAATGCTGTCTCGTAAGGGAATAACAGAGCCGAGACAACGAGACGGATTTCTGAGGGTCGTGGATGCATCCCAAGATTCATCCAAGATGGATTAATAGAGTGAAGACCTCTTCTGCTAATACAAGTTGAAACCGCTAGAGAGCAGTCGCCACTACAAAGCACCGCTTGATTCGAACGATGTTCAGAATCACTGCAAAGTGATGAAACCAACGACAAGCAACAATGTGACGAACTTCAAGATGTCAAAGTTAAGGCTAGAAGTTTTTCACCATAATCCCTTGTTGTGGACCGACTATGCTGCCTCTGAGTGGAGTCCCTCTCGATTTGATGATGTGCATCTCTTCGGCTTACGCAGACTGCCCCCTGGATTTGAAGGGGAAAATAAGGAAGAGGAATAGGGCAACTCAGCCGAGTAAGCATAGTGAGAAACTAGCGCTAACAAAGGCGATGCGGGAGAAAGAGATGGTAGCAAAGCCGGACTTCAGGGTTGCAATGGAGGGCATCGCGGAGCACTGCATCGCTGGCGTTTTGGGAGAGAGGTTCAAGCACAACGAGAGGCTATCCGACTTACTCACGCGAGCGGGTGCGCACGCGGTGATCGCTGCCGCTGAGGTCGCGGCACAGGTGCAGGTGAATAACAAGGGAAATGCTGTCCAGGATGCTCTTACAACTGCGTCAACCGGCAAGCTACCAGGGGATCTGCAGTCGGCAGACCCTAGTAGTTTCGATCCGAATTCGATCTTGCCGCTCTCGACGCTCGGATCCACTAGCCCTTCTTCGCAGCCCGTTTCACAGTCCGCGGCGTTAACGTCACTCAATTTGCAGTCGCGATCAGGGGCAAAGGCAGCCGCAAAGGAGCAGGCGGCGGCAAAGAAGCAGAACACCCAGGAGGACGCATCTTTGACCGTTTTTTAAGGCTATTTTGATGGGAGGAACTTAGAGGGGGTCGCCATCAAGGAATTTTTGTAGCGACCCGCCTTCCATGACCCCCTGAAGGAAGCTCTAAGTTTTGGAGGAAGTCGGTCGGTTTGCGGCGCGCCAGGCGCTGGCTAGCGGAGAGCTGAACCGGGAGAAAGAGGGGCTTACCCTCTACTCTGTGGCGGAAGCTTTACTGGTGCACGCGCGCGTGGGTGCGGCCAAATTTCTCAAAGTTAAGGCTAGAATTTTTTCACTATTCCATGGAGCCAACGCAGATATTTAAGGAGTAAAGCGAGAAATGTAGACACAGGTACCAAAAAAAAAAGAAATTTGTGCGAGTACTGAATGAATGAATCATGGTGTGGAGTTGTATAAGGGGGAAAGAAACAAGGGAGAACGAGAGGAACGCCCTCAACAGGATGCGCTAACAAAAGCACAACGGAACATTTGCAACAACTGGGAGTGGCAGAACTACTGGAGCACGAGACCAGTGTAGCTGCCAAAGGCCTGCTGGTCGCCCTCTTTGGTCGCGCCGCGCTGCAGGAACTGGGCGGAGCCGCGTCAATCTCGGCTGCCGCTAGCTCGGGGGATGACCCGGATTTGCTCGTGGAAACATTGGAGCGCGCAGCAATGAAAGCAGTGGTACGTCGTATTTACTGGCGTGGAGAGGAACGCATCCGACAGAGAATGGAATACCTCACTCAATTATGGATGCGCTGGGAGTACAGATCACTTTATTAGTTCTATGTATATATAACAAGAACTACCTTCGACTCCTCGGACTCCCCTTTCCTCGTGGTGTATGTAATTCCCGGTTCTGATATGCCATTGATGCAGCAGATGCTAAAGCTTATATTCAGACTACAGCTATAAAGAGCACCTACTTCTTTTCCTTTCATAGAAGAAGCGACATGGCATGCAGGAAACGTACCGCAAAAATATGGCCTCCGCGTGGGCGGATAAAGTAGCGACGGCAGATTCAAAAATCCAGAAAAGCGTATTTTTGAATGTTGCTTGATGTTCTTTTGTTTTTCTGAGACGGAAATGAAAAAGGTAGCCGTTTAAGGTGTTGCATGTAACAGATACAGACGAAAACAACGTGTAAGAGCTGTAGCTCAAAATGTTCCAGTTGAAGCAACAGGAATGATGTTAAATCTGAACGAGACCTTACAACGAACTTAACAAGCACTTCAGTGTAACCTTCTCATTGGTGTAACCCTTTGATAACCCAAAAATATTCAGCTTGATGCCCGTAGAGGTCTGCATGGTGTGTCTGTGGCTAGGCACGCGAAGTCGGGACAACGAAAACTCTGTCGGGTTGGCGAGTATGCGGATGTCACATCGGACGTGCTGATTCGAAATTTTCGTTTGTTATGGAGGGTTACAAGTTCTTCACCTGTGGTAAGTAGTATCAATGATCTCGGAGAATGATATTTTCGTCGCAGGGTTGTACAGGTTTTCCTTGTGGACGGCGAATAACTTCTTGAATCTTCCTATCCTGACCACGACCAGAAACACAGTAAAACTGCTACTAAAGTTAGTTGCTGCTAGAGAAGCAGCGATGATGATGATGATCAAGTGGAAGATCTGAGGCATGTTGATGTCGAATAGATTCAGATACTTCATCAGGTTCCTCGATACAGGTTGCCTACGTAGAAACAGGTTGCCTACTTATAGATGAAACTCCTAAGTTTGGGCGATCACATGGACGTCCTGCGACCAGGATTCGGCACTACGACTCACGGCCGGTTGAAATGCAACTCCAAAGACACCCAGCACTTGGTGCTGGAGGTCATCAATATTTATGAGAAATGAAGAGGATAGATGCGTTTTTCTATGTCACTTTTCTTTGTTCGGTCCCACGTTACATATTAGCAAGATGATAGAAGACTGAGTGATGATAGACTGTTATAGTACATAGAATGTTTATTTTCGGTCTTTAAGGCGCTGTTATAATACATAGAATGTTTGTTTTCGGTCTTTAATTCGCTGGAGTGTATTAATTTCTGTATCTGTAGAAAATGAATAATCTTCTGTATAAGAGTTGGATGAAGTGTTTTTCTAAGGTACCGCAAAGACGATGGACCACGACAAGCTACATACGGTCTGTCCAGATTTTCCGTCCCTGGCGAAGCAGCTTACGAGTCGTGTATCGCAAGCGGTAATGCAATTTTGCCCTCCGGATATTGTGGAGCGCAATATCAGTTTAGTCGCAGCCTCAAAAACGCTTTATTTAAGGCTCGTACCGCTAAAAGGCCTGTGGTCTCCTTCTCCTTAGTATCATCTCTTATCTTGATGGTCATATCATAGTCCTTTTCACATCATGTACCGCTAAAAGGACCGTCCTTCACATCATAGTCCTTGGCTGTTCTTTTTCTATAGTTGAAAAAGAAGCCCCCTCTCTATTGAGGGTAACAATTTACGATTAGACTCGTCTCAACAAAGAGGAACAACCTGGGAACAACGCGGCAGAAGCTCCTCTAATGTATGGCCTTGCAGTCGTGGTCACGCAGCCGGGACCTGGTGCTACCAAGGAATCAGTTCCAAAAGTCACAGTAAGCGTCCGACAAGTGGCCGATCCGCCCCTGCGCTTGCTACCCATTGTGGAGACGGAAATAGATGCCTTGGGAGCTATCCACGACATTTATGCTCACTAGTGGCAAAGTCTATTTAGCAGTGACTGCACTACAGACATTTTTGTGTGAGATCTTTCTCTTGTATTTTTACATTGTTTGTATTGCGCTGCTTGCGTCTTCCGGAGGGGTCATTGTGCAGCACCCATAAGCTAACCATCATCTTCCTTGAGTTTAAAAAGACTGCATCTTCTATCGTGAAGTACTAACTTCTAGCATAAGTAGTTCCTACAGTGCGTCCTCAATAAACTTGTAGCATTAGTTCTTTCTAAGCATGACGAGTTCTTTCTCAGCATAGTTCTTGGTACTTCTAGCATTAGTTCTTTCAATAATAACGTACAGAGTGCAACAAGTGCTTCTGTCTAAGAAGCGGCGTCCGGTTGTGCAGCCAGCGTGATCGGCCGAGGGCTTGGTTTTGTCGTGTTCCCCGTGGGAGAGGAGGCGGTAAAAACGGCGGAGTCCCTGTCAGTTAAGGCTTCCCCTGATCTGATCCATCTTGAGACGCACAGACATCCTGAAAGGGTTTTCAAACATCCTGAAGAAAGGGGTTTGTTTTCAAGGGGAAAAGGCACCCCCCAGGAAGATGCATTTCGTGGTGGATTAGATCGTGACCTCCTCTAAGTCAGGAACAGTTATGCGCATCGTGGAAGCTGGCAAGCAAGTAGATGGAGAAGTGCTAGAAGACTTTCAAGACTGCCTGAATGCCAGTATCGTAGACGAAATGAACCTGTTGCAGGCGTGTCGCTGTGTGCAGTTTTTTGTGGAAGCACAGTGCGACCTGATCATGTCACACCAGAAGCGGCACGTTGACTTAGAGTCCTTGCGCAAGGTGGAAGTGGGGTGTAAGGTGAGCAAGGATCGGCAGTTCGATCAAATTCTGGGTGGCGAGAACAGTAGATACGTGAAAGCGAAGATGGCGAGTACGAACGTCTTGGTCGCAGAAGCCTGTAACGCATTGGCCTTGGAGATGCACCGATCGAGCGAGATAGAGCTGATGACTCGCTCTCTATTATGCCTCGATCTTTTAGCATCATATAATCTGAATCTTCTCCTACTGTGATGAAAAAGAGGACCCTTGATTGTTCCTGACTTTTCTTCTACTTTAAAAATACGACACGAATAAATAAAGTTCTCACGACCGCTACTAGTTCTAACTTGAGCAGCTAGATGGCGTTACGCACCGGTTAAACTAGTCTGCAATATCTCAGACGCGATCGAACAGATGGCAGCAGGACCGGAAAGCCTGACCGTAGCAGACCTGTCGGGAATGACATCATACCCTGAGAATGATGCTCGCAGAGTGCTGAACTCAGTCATCGAGGATGTCATCGACCGACGATGCGAAGCCTTCCAACAAAATTTGACTGCGACACTATTGAAAGCACCGCGGGACGCAGCTCTAGTAGGCAACTTTCTAGAGCAATTGAGGACAAGATTACCAGAACTACGAGAGAAACTCCTGAAAGAAATGGTATTTTTTTCTGTGCACTTGTTATCGTTATTCAGGCTTTTGATCTCCTAAATAAGCAAAGAACTAATGGTTGTTCCTGTTATTCAGGCTTTTTTGTTGACACACGGAGAAAAGTGGATTCTGAAGTTGAAGGCTTTTTTTTCTCAAATAACTAAAATCTTCCAATATCAGATCAAGCCCGAATTGCAGCACAAAGTCCCAGATGCGTTGCCCAACGACGTGACAGTGTTAGCCAATTTCGTACTTCGGACGTTAGAGCTGTCCTGTGGAGAGGTGCTAAAGCAGGAAAACAAGACCACACAGGAGAAGGAGAAGGCTCTAATTTTATGGTCCTCACTTGTGATTCTGATTCTGATTAATGTTCATGTAGATCTTCTAAACGGGCACTCTACCATGATCATCTTGGTAATGTTCTTCTATCTATACCAAATAAGATTCTCGACTCTGCAGGTTCTTTTATTGTTTCCACATGAAGAAACACCACTAGTCACTAGTATTTTGCAAATGCTCGATGTATTCTGGGATCCTTGACGTCAACAGTGTTTTGGGTGGTCCCTCTTGCTTTTCTAATACAAGATACTGCTGAGTGGCTTGGACTTCGTGTGGGTCAGCAGATAGAGGCAGAATTTGGACAGGATACTGGAATGCGAAGGGTTGTGTACGAGCTTTGCGGCATTCTCACCGACGCCATGGTGATAAATGCACGGGAAAGGAACTTGGTTAAGGCTCCATCAGGCAATTTTGATTTCTACTCCTACTACAAGCGAGCCCTTTCTCCTTATAACCCTATGATTTCCATCCTAGAATGGGGAGAAGAAAGAATGTGGAGAAAACGTGTTCCTAGAATTTTGGGACAATTGGGAGAGTAAATGAAGGGAACAAGAAGAAATTAGTTGCTTACAGTAGTAAGTAAATGAAGGGAACAAGAAGAAATTAGTTGCTTACAGTATTTGAGCTCTAACTTGGCGCCCGTTGTTGCCGCTTTCGTCGCAAAAGTGGGGTCAAGATGCGCGCAAACGAAATACTTGACGCCACTGGAGAGCCTGAGCAAAGACTCGGACGAGGAGCTTGCGGCAAGAAACACAGCGGAAGCAAGAAGGAGCTTCCTCAATCTAGTGGTGCGGGAGCTGAAACACGTAAGCAGCTTTGACGGAGATCTGATGACTGATTTCTGCGAACGCTTAGTAGAGATGATGGAGAAGGAAGCGGACGCAGAGGGTCCAGCATACCATAGCGGCGAAAGTATATCGGACGCCTTGCTCGTTCGAAGTCATCACCTCAAAAAGCAAGCAACACATGCCTCCATCGGAGCAGCGCAAAACTTCCTTTACGTCCTCAAGTTTTTGAATTATTTAACTTCTAGTGGAGGTACTAGCATCTTCGGGTACTTACTAACATCGCTTGATGATGGCTGATGCATATTAAATATCTTCTGGTCCTCGTTAAAAAGTGACAACAAACAGAAACAATGTTGACAGCTCTAATCTGAAGTGGACGGGGTCGAAGTTTTGGAAAATTACACCGCTTTAGTCGACGACGTGATCGAGGAAGCAGGAGTCGAAGCCCGAGTAAAACAGCACTTCGTTGACACCGTAGGCCGAAGAATAGTAGAAAACCTCGCTGTGCGGGAAATCAAGTACATTTCGCTCATAGTTGCTTTTTTTGTTTTCCATAAGTTGCATCATGATAAGTGAACAGGCCGACGCCTAAGCCACTAAGCAAACTGCGCAGTTGGCCTCATTGTTCTTCGTCCAAATCATACCCACTACTCGGCATTGATTTTCGAATTCATTGTTCTTCATCCAACTAAGTGTCTACCTGACACTTAAAAGCTTCCTCCTACTCAAAAACGTCACACTTAAAAGATACCTCCTACTCGAAAACTTACTTTTTCCAGACGTGTGGATCTGCGAGACGAAGTGATCAACCGATTGTCTATGCGTGGTGGAAGCAAGAGTTTGAAGCCGCAACATCGTACTCTAGCTGCAGCAGCCAAGCACTTCGAACAACTGAAGCACTTCGTAATCGGGCATTTAGAACGTATCTCGCAGATGGACGCCTACGAGCTCATCTTTGTGGAGACCCAAGTTCTCTTATGGCTACAATGTACGTAACATTTTTCTCAGCAGCATTTTGTTTTTGTTCTTGCCTAAGCACCACTTATGGGACGACTCTTGCCTACTCGTACTCTCCTACTCCTAGTTGTAGGGGAAAAGAACAACGCGAGAGATCATGCTATTGAGGCTGCTAATGCGGTAGCTCTAATCTTGGCGAAAAAAATCGCGGACAAGATGGATTCCCTCATGGACATGGGAGTAGCCAACGAGCGCATCTTAGCCTTCGTCGACGCCATGGAAAAAGACCTTTTCTTATGGATGCTGCTTACATTTTTTAGCAGATGGGTTGATAATGAATGTCTGTGGGTCAATCATTAGCAACTACACCAACTACAAGTGTTCATACTTCTTAAAGCCCACAACTACAAACACTAAACTCGTACTTCTTCACTGAGCAGTTGCCCTTATGCAAGCTGTTTTTTTCACGTTTTTTCCCAACGAGCAGTTCAACTTCCACACTCTAATTTTTGTGCTCCTAGAGAATGCGTTGGTAGAAAATAAGAAGGCCGTAAAGAACCGGCGACCTGCGAATGTGATAAACTTCCAGATCACCGAATCGGGCGCGGGCCAATCTCCAACAAGGTTATGGCGAGAAAGCTACCGCGGTAGGTTTTAGAAATCAATAGAAGGGGTGAATATAATTTTTAGTATAGGAATATTAAGCGAGGTGACTGCCAGACCGGCTAATTATGAGAATTTACTTGTGACTTGAAGCTTGACGGTGCAAAAAACTTCTACTGGCTCTTCTCTTCTCTTCTAACATCGGGAAGCAAAGAAGAAAAAGGTGCGTCTGGTTCTGTCTTAGTAGGCCAGAAGGATAATAAAATGACACGAAAGCAGGCGTTGGAAAACTACGATACACTTTAAGGCGAATGATCTCATATACAGTAACAGAGGTATCTTCATTGTCTACTCATGTAAGATAGAAACATGTGCAAGAACATCAAATTCGATTGACTTTATCTTCTCTAAGACGCCCTTGTGGCAGTCTGCGCAGATTTTTGTGCGAGATTCATTGCGTTGCATTATCTTCTGTAATATTGCTCCTGATGTTCATCTGGAGTAACGCAACGTTCTCGTTGGGTCGCATTACGACCTCTCTCTAAGAACACCCGTCCAATCGGACAAGGACTCCCGCGAAAGACGCGACCGTCTCTGGTGAACAGCAAATGCTACGCACAAAAAGAGGCAACGAGGCATACGACAAATATCTTTAAGGCTTGGCTTGGAAAATTTTCTGGTTCTTTTTCAGTTAGGCTAGATCCACCACTTCATTCTAAGTAATAGACACAGAGATGGATGGTTTATGTTTTCATGCAACTACATGTACATCGAGATGGATGTACTTTCAGGCAGCTTAGGTTGTCATGTGCTTCGTCTATGAATGAGTGAGTGAGTACTTACTTTTACTAAAGTCTAGACAGGCGCTCAGACAGTAGTCGAGGTGCCTAAGATTTCCACGAGATTTCCGTTGGGGTTGACAATCAACTACGAATAGAAAAGCAGGTGAACAGAATGAGTAGTGTAACAAGGATGGAATCAGTCGAAGGTGGTGTGATCTTTGTGCCTAAGCTAGAGGTGATCGGGTTATTGGAACGACCTCTAAGGCATTGACGGAGGAAAGAACAGGCAGTTATTCTACCCAGAACCAGATGGCCATGAACAAGTGAGCAGCAGGCCTCTTTTTTACCCCGAAGAGGATGCTAGGGTGAGCAGGTGGATGTGAGGAGAAGGGGCTTTTTTTTATTTTCTACAGCCTAGTGCCTAGTAGAATCACTCTTCGCTACTTTTTTTGAGCTTAAATGCTTCTTTTCTACGCATGACAGGTAAGGTGTGCCGTGTCGTGATGATCTTCATTATATGAGATCATGAATAAGTTGTACGAGGCTACTTACTTCGAAGAAGACTCTTTCGTTTAGCGTTGAAGATTGTCATATGTTCGACTCAAAGTCGTACACGACTTCATTTTTTAGCGCGAAGATCATGTTGTCGTACAAACAAGAAGGGATGATTATACATCACTCACTGCTTAAGTAAGGAAATTATGATACATCGTTAGTTACAGTTCTGTTAGCATTAGTCCATCACAAAGCATACGAATACGAAACTACTAGTTGATAAAGAACTACACGAAGAACGTGCCAACGACAGCCTTGGTCGTGATGCAAAACAAAATTAAAGCATATATAAGTATGTCAGACAAAGTTCATTGAGAAACAAAGTAACTTCGATGAGATTTGCGCAGGTATGATACGAATTTATTCCCACCATTATCTACTTATTATATTTGTATAGAAAAATCAAACACTGTCAAGAAAGAGGCTGTAGAATCACGTTGATACTCAATCAAGAACAATAATCAGCGTAAGACTTACTATCTTCACATGGCGTTTGTACAGAAACAAAGGATACTAATTCATCGTAAGATGCTTGTACAGAGACAAAGAAGCTGGAGTAGAATACGAAAGTCCTTATCCTTAGAGGCTCAATGGTAGCCCAGTTATCCTACGTTTGGGCCTACCAATATGAGCGACGTGAATAGCAAAAAGTAAGTGACAATGTAAAGCAAATACAGTGCGAATACGAAAATAGCGTACGAGTTTTATTTAGGTTGAGTTTTGCAAAGACTACTAGCGGTGCCTGTGCAGTCCGTGTGAGGGTGATGGACCACAGGAAGATCGGAAAAGCAGTATACAAAGCCTCTAAGACGCAGTCTGCGCAGATCTTTGTGCGAGATTCATTGGATTGTATCTGCTAGCTAGCTGGGGAGTGGGGAGATCGACCAGTACTAGGGGGTTAGGCCAAGTGGGTGCATTGCCAGTGTGATGATGAAGCATCCCTTACATAGTACCATGTAGATCAGTGAGAGCGACCAAGACCATGACCATAGGACCATGTAGATTCTAAGAAGCTGAGGCAGTAGTAGTTTTGCTGCTTGCGGTATTTCTCGAGTTGCCAGATCAGACGAAAATGACGAACCGAAATGTAGCATCAGAGAGTTTAACATAATCATTGTGTAACTAACATAATTGTAATCCATCATAGAATGAAATCAGTTGCAGGCATTAGGCAGTATTCAGAGCAAAAACGTAATAGCTGTAGTATGTCATCAAAGACTCATCGCAAAATACATCTCTCAAGAACCAGTTGAGGACACGGCTTCTGCCAGCTTGTAGCAAAGACCGCAAGAGAATTTATCATGCACAGCACGCATAGTGATGTTACGAACGAGAGATGAATTGAGAGTCAACGTGTCGCAGTGAGCTGGGGTTTTCTTTGGTTGACGCGACCTCGTGTGCGGGTGTTAGTGTTCCTTGCGATCATGATGACACGAAATATACTGTAACCACGGGCAGTACCAAGCTAATAATCGAAAGTTTAAAATGAGCGAGTAGCTAACTAAAATTAAAGGGTCGCAACGTTGTTCCCCTTTCAGTATTTCGGTTATTCAAAGTAGCAACTTGCTTACTCCAGTTCTCCGAATTCCTTGTTAGAAATAGCGAACACCTAGGGACTTTTGATATCATATATCTGAGTGCCACAACGTATGCGACATGCTAAAGCGGTAGAAGCTGTTGCTCTAGGGAAAATGCCGGGTCTAAGAACAAGAGCAGTGGCCGGCGCACGACCGAAGATCGCTACAACAGAGGAACGCCAGTCCTCAGCATCATGGCTCAGATTTCTATTGCATCCCGCAGGCCTCTGGGTTCCATATGTGAGGCGCAGACGCGAGCAGCGCGTAGCTGAACAGGCTTTGAAGAAAGCACGCACTGCGGGAGAGGGGCAACTTGACGAGGCAGAAAAGCCAGGACGAAACTCTTCAGCAAGGGAGCCGGGCTACAGTACTGGCCTCACAAGTAACGATTTTCCGGCCTCTTCCGCGCGGGACAGTCGTGCAGTGGGTCTCAACACAAGTAGTAACGAGAATGCCTCTTCTGCTTCAACACAAGTAGTAACGGAACTACACGACCCTCCTGGCAGTGCGTATTACTACGGCCGCGTGGTGATTGTTCTCGCTCTCTTCGGCGTCACACTGACCTCGCCAGGGCAGGCCTCCACGATCGGCACGACAACGGTGCCGCTTGTCCGCGAGCTGAGCATTCCCGGAACAGTGGTGAGCAACGTTTGGCTCTACTCGACTTTGCTTTCTGCGGTCTCGCTGCCCTACGTCGGACGGCTCCTGGACAAGAATTAAGGCTCAGCTTTCGATGGTCACCATTGAGATTGGGGTCACTGAGATCCCTCTTGAGGAAAGATGGGGGGAAAATGAAGGAAAAGCAAAGGGAGAGGCATGGGGCCCATTTCTTTCAGAGTCAGTGACCATTGAATGCTGAGCTTTAAAAGAATGGCCCAGCCATCATGTTCCCTGCGGCTGCCGCACTCACGGGGCTGAGCGCCTTGTTCTACACCTCAGTAGGATCGTGGGCTGATGAAGGAGTGAGCAGTACTACTTACCCTCCTGGCCCGCCGCCGACGACCTCAGTTTCGGTGAAAAACGTGGGGGGCAATCCCGCTGGGGAGAGTGCTGCTGGGTCAGTATCGTCAGCCGCGAACCGAGGCACAGACGTGGTGGCTGCGAACAGCGGACAGGGATTTAACGCAGTAGGCGTTGGAAGTCACCAGCAGGGGGACACTAGCTATTCGCACCCGATGGCACCAGGGAGCGCTTCCTCGGCCTCGCTCTTAACAGAAGCGCATCTTTTTTTATGGCTTTTGTTCTGTACAGTTTTGGTCCGAAAAAAAATTTTTATGGGAGCAAGCAAGCACCACTTAATGTGCTCAAATAATGAGTGGATACAGCATTCAAATCTTTTTGTAGAAGGGCCGCTTTTTTTTACACTTTTGGCAGTCCCGCTTTAATCTTTCTAGCGATATATTTTTTGCGTCTCTTTGGCAATGGTGCAATGTGGATCGCGGCGGTGCAAGCGATCAACCTGTGGTACGTAGAACGCCGTCCGGCAATGCAGTCGTACTTGACCCTGACAGCAGCTGTTGGAATCCTGTGCTTCGCATCAGCCAGCGAAATGCGAGTGCAGGCGGTTGGATGGCGCCAAGCCTACACAGAATACGCCTACCTCGAACTCTTCTTTATGGCGCCACTCGGATACTTCTTCATGCCAAACCACCCAGAACAGTACGGAGAAGCACCTGACGGCAAGCTCTGGCGAAAGCTTGCAACTCCGAAGATCATGTTCCCAGAGCCTGTAGGAAGAGAGCCTTCAGACGGTCCAACGGCAACGACAGCGATGCTTGCGTCTACACAGAAGATGAGTGCGGAGATGAAGGAGAGCGGAATCGGAAAACCAGTTTCTTCTACGATGTTCTGCGAAGTGGAGAAACGCGCGAAGAAGTCGAAGTCTGCTGACCAGAGCATGGAAGACGGGGTTATCTTATCTTCGTCTGCGACTGTCATTGGCGCTAGTTCAGGGCATGGCTTTCGCCATCAGTCGTCCGCGTTGCATCAACATGATGCTTTTGCATCTCACGTTCTTAGTACAACTACCACGTGCGCGGATACAACTGCCGATGCGATAAATCTCTCCACGGTGATGTCGCCAATTTCTCGGCAGAGCTCTCGCCTGTCCCCAGTGCGTCATCGTGTTCCGACGGTCGAAGGAGAGGGATCTGCGACATGTCCAGCATCTGCGCTAAGGGAGACACCAGGAGGAAGGGATCTAAAGCAGAGTCCGGAAGGCAGAGGTACTACGGGAAGATTGATGGCTGTTGAGGTCGACGTCGACCAGGTGAAGACACGACTTGTCAAAGACCATGTCCTCGAACCACCTGATGTAGTTCCGAGTGCTGTTGGATTTGCGTCAGGCACACGTACCGCACCAGAAGAGGTCGTTGTGGCCTTCGACGACAAGTTTCCGAAGAGCTTCTCTCCTAGCACAGCAGAGAGAACTAGTACATCAGGAAACAAAGTTGCTCTTGAGGATCAAATTAATATCGAAGATGAGGAGGCAGATGAGGAGGAAGTTTCGTATACTCTGAGTGCAGCGAGGCGGACAGTGGTTTTTTGGATCTTTACGCTGACTATGGCGATGGTAGGGTCATTAAACGCAGCTCTGATGATCCACATGGGTGCAGTTTTCAAGAACTTCAAACCCTATTTGTCTTATGGCTCACAATAACTCATCTGAAGAAGCATCTTCTTTGGTTCCCTTTTCCTTAACGGAACGAAGACACGTCAAAGATGCACTTCAAGATGGATTTCTGCAACCTCTAATTGTCCTATTTTTACTTAGGAATGGCCGCGGGCGGCGGCGTCGGGAGTGTGGTGGCTTCGAGTGCAGTTCAGAGGCGCATCTCTTGGGAGGTAGAGAGACGACGGCGCGTGAAGAAAAACGAGCGTCAGACCACACGCAGAACATCAAGTGAAGAGCAGCTTAATAAAGTTGATGGTGAAGCAGGAACCACGAATAGGAGAACTGATGAGGAAGGTGTTATTAAGGGTAGGTTAAAGGTGCTTTTCTTACCGCTTTTTATGCCTCTCCTAAGGGAGAAAGGCATAAAAAGCGGGGTAAGCAAGCACCAAAAACCTACCTCTAATGTTAAATTTAATGCTGAAGAAGCGGGAACAATGTCCGCCACGAAGCCAGCTGGCATGAGTTGTGTGCAAGTTGCTGCGTTGGTAAACTTCGCGATGATAGCTTGTTTTCTGTCCACCGCTTTGGGACTCTGGCTCTTCTTTGACCGAGAAACGGAAGAGCATAGTGAATCCCTCCACGTAGTCGTTGGGGAGGAGCGCGCTGACGATTCTACCTTCCATGTGGCCTCTCAAGAATCGACAGGAGTCCCCTCTGACACAAGATCAGGCAGCGACGACACACGAAGTCTCCTTTCACAAAGTCTCCTTTCACAAAAAGGCGCTGCATTGATGGAACTACTTGCGGACGGACCCTTGGTGGGGAGCGGCGGGAGCATGAGCAGCGACAATAGCACAAGAGACACCATCTTCAAGAATGGGATTCATACCATTTCTCATACTGCTGGAGCTTTGAATTTGATTAGTAGAGGGCGAGGGCTTTTTGGTGGTCGGGACGGCGACGAAGAGAGGGAGACAACTTCTAGTAGAGGCGCTGCTAGTGCTGCTACTGCTAGTCGTGCACACGCACCATCGTCACCCACCAGTCACGACTTTCACGGTACCTCCACCGCCACCACAGAAGAACATCGTCAAGCGTCGGCTACTACGCCAGCAACAAAAAGGGTCACAACGCCCACAGAGGAACAGCCGGGGACGACTAAGTTTCTTCACGGAGCTTGGGTTTTCTCTACAGGAGTTATGCAAGGCGCGTCGACAGGACTTAACAACATTCTGCAGACTACAGGACACGCGGTGGCATTTGGACGGCGTCATAATGGAGCCATCCAAGGATTTGCGAAGTCCATCATGGTCGTCGGGAGCGCAACGGGACCAATCCTGCTTACCTCGTTGCACAGGTTTTTCCTTATGATACCGTCAAAATGATTTTTATGTAGCTGCAGTGTCTCTACTCGGGTCACAACGGAACCAGGCAGCTACAACTCGTAGTTGCTACGTGGTTCGAATGAATGAATGAAAGAAATTGTAGGTACCTCTCAGAAAGGTAGCAGGGTAAGCCACCGGAAGAATTATCTGACTTGGCAATACATTTAATGAAGGTCGCCAAGAACCGCCTATTTCACGTCGTATGAACAGGAGCCGAAGTAGAAGAACAATTACAAACCACTGTGCGTGTCGTAGAATCTTACGTTTTGTAGAATCTGACGTGTGCATCGGCCCCAACAAGCCGTGCCGTTTTCTCTGCCTGTCTGATGCTTGAGACACGTACTGCGCCCCATGTGGTGGCCAGAGACTATCTCTTTAGTCTCCCAATCCCAATCCAATCCCCCGCGGTATGCCTTCTTTCATGTTGTGTACACATTTCGTGCTTTCGTTGGTGGTGCTGAGCGTCTGGCCCCTGGTGCTTGGGGTACTCAGCGTTTGGTGGGAAGCCAAATCAATAGACGGAGACTCACGAAGAGAAGCACGTCGTGTGGCCCCTGTTAAGAGTGCAACTGCGAAGGAGTGAGGACCACAGGGAAAAGTTGGATCGGACGTGTTGAAGATCCAGAAAACTCGAATAACTTGCAATTGTGATGATGAATAGCCTGCGATTGCAATTCGTACGGACTATAATTATGCATTGTGAAGAAAAATCAGAAAACTTCTTGGACAAACTGCCTTATGATTGAATTCATATCGCGCATAAAAGATGGCCCATATCACACTTGAGCATGATTCATATTAATTCTTACTTGCAGATGGACATGCTATATGCCACGCTTTGCTCGTGGAACTCATGTATATTTTTTCAGTTCTTGTAGGTTCATGATCCACCCATCTACGTAATGATCTGTCGTAACTTGACACTGAATTGCTCAACTAATTCCCTTATCTCAGGCCATATTGCACTGTTTCCTGGAATTCAGTACTCCTCTTCTTTCATCCTTGCACAGCTGTTTGAATTAGTCCCATTTCGGGTGTTCATTTCCTCACTTACCCCAGAAGAGTTTTCCCTTTTCCTTTGTGCAGAGAACGTTCTTTCACATGATATCGTGAAGCTAACCCTAAAAACAGCTTGTGTAGTAAACGGCAGACATCTTTTTTGGGAGCAAAAAATTTTAGGTTGTCGACGGTAACCAAAGCAACTGTTGCGTATTTTTGCTAGGGGTCCGACGAGTACGGATTAGCTTCTGTATTGACGAAATGGTTCGTGCATTTATATCGATCAATGTCATTGTGAGATTGGTACTATCAATGTCCGCCTTAGGACTCTTGCAGCATCATGTGGTATCTTCAATCCATAAAAAAATGTACTTTTCAAGCAATCACCTCCAATTATAGCGGAGTCCAACGTCACTGTTGCAGTTTCTTAGCTCGTCCCCTTTTGAAGTGGACATCTCCGAAATTCAGCAGCATGCGCTGACAATCATGAAAAGACCTAACTAAAAACTTTCTTTCATCGCCGAGATAGAGTGGACTTTCACGATGAGTTTTTGGAACGCAAACCTGAGTTGTAGCTTGAGGCGAGAGAAAAAGCTGCCAAAGTAATGCTTTGGAAACTAAACCACGCTGATTATCACTAATAAAAATGACGGTCGAGAGCATAATCAAAGACAACGCCAAAGGAAAAATGTCATAGACTCCAAGGAACGCACTGAAGAACTATTGTAACAGGTTACTTACATTGCGCATCATCTTAATCCCTATTGGAAAACTGTAGGTCAGGGCCCCCCCCTGTTTAGCACGAAAATATGCTATGTGCTTTGCTATCACAGGATTCTTTCTCTGCTACAGTCGGTGTCTTGGACTTCTCTTCTGCAAGGCCATGAAACAAATGTTGTCAGGAGGTGCTCGCTGGATGACAATGTGATGCTCAGAAAAAGAGAGGGCAAAGATTTGAAATGAGTCGGTGTGTCTCATCAATGCGCATAAGCGTACTTACATGCAGCACAGTGCGCGCCGTCTCCGACGCAGAAAGTGGCATGACGCTGCTTTTGCCTGGACCGGCGATGGTTCTTTCGCCGTCGGACTGGAGGCACTCTCGTACTCCTACCCACGCGAATATGCTAACTTGCCACTGTGGTCTTCCCGCTTTGATCCGTGCTCCGAGCTCGAAAAAACGACGTCGGCGGCCACTACAACACCAGAGCAGGTAGAATTTGGTTTTTCTTTTTCACCGTTGTTTCTGTGACGACGGTTTTCCAAAGCGCAAATGGGATTTCACTTTTCACCGAGTCCGTGGAAAGCTATCGGGAGATGGTCAATTTCTACCTCCATTCCGATTCCAAGGGAAATCAACGGTTGCCTGTGATCTATGATCTCGATGGCTGCGGTTGAAGTGTCTGCGTTAGTAAAGGCTGATGAAAAAGCGAATGAAGGACAAGAAGGACAACAAGCGGAAGACCATGGTAATGTAAATAGTGGAAGGGGCGTCAATGCAGAGGGCAATGGACGTGATGGCGCAAATAGCAGCCAAGGCACCGCCATCATCTTCCTTCGAAAATGAGGCAGAACATCCAGAATACGGGAACGCCACAGCTGAGGACGAAGCACTTGAAAGCGGTTGTGTAGACATCAGGGAATGCGAGTGGAAATGCTACGTGAATCAGCAGAGTGACGCATGGCAATATCGCAATGCCTCAAAGGCTCATGGTGTCTGCTACCACAGCAATTCCGATCCAATGGCTAAGAAAGCGATTGCATGAAGCAAAGACCCTATGATAATGTTGGGTCAGTTTTAACTTTATTTCAGCATAGATTTCTGATTTCTAATGCCCACGAGACTATTTCAACATACATTGTTTACGTGTGGCTGGTCTTCATACAAAGTAGGTATCATCATCATGTTGAACAGAACTAGTATGGTTCAAGTTGTTTCTCATCAGAGGTAGTACGTACCTCCAGCGAACAGGATAGTTCAAGTCTGAGGGTCTACGATTGCTTGGAGCGCGTAGTATTTGAGGGAGACCTGTCGGCCCTGGTGCGAAGCCTGGAAAGCGAAGTTCACGATATGACTTCTAGCATGAGAAAAAATTAATGACGAAAAGGAAACGGAGGAATGATGTATCTATGATCGAGGCAGTTGCAGCGTGAACAAACTCTGTATCCGTGTGGGTAAAGAACTCTGTATGACAGAGGGAGAGAACGGGAGAGAGAAAGATGGTCTTGCGGGTTACTGCGTCTCCAGTCAGAGAGAGAGAGAGAGAGAAAGTTGACCCAGTCAAAGAGTGTTCGTCTCTGGTCCATTCATTGCTGTTCTCATTTCTAACGAGATACACAGGCTTGATTTCTGTTCTGAGAGATTCTTTATTCCATACAGGCGATCTGGCTTAGAGAAGATTCATCTGACAAATAAACGATACTCTTGAGAAAAGAGCGAAGAGCCTCTGTCGTGTTACTGAGTGTAAAGCGATGCAATAGGCGACCTTGAACGTGTGATAATCCTAATGAGGAAATTCCATAAAAGTGACGAAATGCAGCTCCTTCACGATTATAGGCATCCCACCCTCCAAACCCGCACACACTCACACACACTGTCTTTTATTGTGTTCCGTCTCGTTCTCTCTTAGTCTCAGGCATCATTGTCAATGATCATTGATAATTGTACTTGTACCTACCTAGTAGTGCAACAGCCTTAATATTTATTGCCAACCCCGTCTCGCAAAGATGGGAGATGAGTCTCGATGCCTGATTGTAGGAGTAACGTTTATCCCTGTGTAAGTCTTTAACCAGAGTAAGTAGGTTGACTCGTAATCGTATTGATATCTTCCATGTCTGTATCTATTTTGTGGCCGTACCTCTACACTGAATGGCCTGGTAAATAGACGCGAAACGCTATACAAGAGGCACCATGACATGACGTGACCTTTTCTTTATAGTTATAAATCCTGGACTTTAATATAATTAAATGACCCTAGCCATTCTTCCCACTCATATTTTTCATCTTGTTAACAAAAAAGTATTGGAAGTTTTTGCTCTTGCACCTCCCGCAGACGAACCCGACCTCCTGAAGTGTGCCTGAAGACATCCCTTGAAGACGTCCCTTCTGCTGTGTGCCGGAAGGCCGTCTGAGGTGTACAGCCTGAAGTGGTGCCTAAACCTAAGCTGGTAGCCACGAACCCTAAACCCATGGGTGGCGCGTGTGGAAAATCTTCGAGGTCGGCGCAGGCTGTAGCGCCTGAAGCAAACAAGACAGTAGAAGCCCAACCTGCAGCAAAGACTCGGCTACCGCCAGCAGTAGATGTGTCACAAAATGACTCGTCTACTTCACCAGTGGGGCCATCCTCTCCAGGAAGTGGCAGCGGAATCTGGGGATTTCCAGTGCCGACAATAGTAGTCACGCCGGCTCAAAATCAAATGGGAGCGCCTCCGGTAGCACTGAGCCATCCTCGAGCAATATGCCGGGACTACAGAGTCGAGCCACCATCAGACTACGGTAGTAAGTTGACTTAGAGCAGTAGTTGACTTAGAGCTGTTGCATTTTTTTATTGTTGCTGCCTCACTCTTTTTGTTACTGTTGCACTTTTTCTGATTCTATCAATCTCCCCGTTTACTTACGTACGAAAATAGTTTCATAGTTCCACCTCACCTCCACCACATCTACAGCCACGGAAGAGGGTATCGCGTTTCAAGGGATTGAAGCGGCAGCAGCGGACGCACCAAGAGATATCAATGACACGCTGTTGAAGAAGTTTCATTCGGCCATTCGGTGGGGAAAGCCACTCTCAGATATTGCCGAACTCTTAGACGCCACACCAGCACTGCTAGAGGCAAGAGGTGAATACTTCATGACACAGAATAGTTGATGTACTTGCTAGAAGTTGGCTCACTTTTATTGACGGTAGGGCCAGACTTCGGCTAAGACCAAAGCACATAACTTGAGTCCACTTTTATACCTAGCCAGAGGCTTCTTTTATTGACTTGTCCCGCAAGACGTTACTCTCAGAACCTACTAATAACTCTCGCTCACGGCCTACGAATCTTCATCAAAACAGATCCCGGCAACGGCAATCGGGCGATTCATATAGCAGCTCAGAATGGCCTTTCCGAGCATACGAAGTTCTTCCTTCAGCGTGGTTGCAAGGTGAATGCTCAGAATAACAAAGGAAACACGGCATTGCATATGTACTATTTTACTTATACAAGAACTTTGTGCTGGAATTTTTTTTGTGACACGGCATTGCATATGTACTATTTTTCTTATACAAGAACTTTGTGCTGGAATTTTTTTTGTGACACGGCATTGCGTATGTGCTATTTTCATTATCACCATAGGTCCATCGAGTACGAGTTTTTTGGTGAGAGCGAAGCACTTTTGCGACATGGCGCTAGCGGCACTCTGGAGAACGCCTCAGGCCATCGAGCTATCACAGGCCTCGACGGCACGAAAATTAAGAGTGACGGATGGGACTCGCCATTGCGCCTATTGAAAGCTGCCGAAACGAAAGAGGCTATGGAAGAGGCGTACTACTGACTCGACTTCTGGATCTTTATTGAAATAGCGAATAGATTAGCCTACCATTGGTACTATGTCTTGCCGTATGAATCATAGAGACGCTAGTCATAGCGGCAGCATTGATGGGGGTATGCCTCTACGGATCAGTAGTAGTGAAAGAGGTGCCTCCAGTCAGTAGTAAGCTTCTTTCATTAGCGAAAGAGGCTACTACGATTGAGAAGCTGCTTCCGTTAACGACTAAGAAGCGTACTACTGACTAGACGTCTGGAAGATTTTTTTACAGAGACTACATAATAACCCGACTCATCGATCCTAGTAGATCCTAGTAGACCTCTAGTAGTAGATCCTAGAGACTACAGAATAGCCAGACATCTAGACTAGACAGATACTTCCTGGACAAATAAAGCAACCGGGTAGTTTTCACCTCTTTTTGCTCTAGGTCTAGCCCTTCATGCAGAAACTATACTAGCTTCGTTCTGACTCCTGCCGCAATCGTGGAATATTGATTATTGACCCATCCGCAACAACCTCCATCCAACTAGGCTCAACGCCTTAGAGACAGTCGGCGATGGGTATGTGGAGAAGGTGGCGCTGGTACAGACGGGTTTGAAGAAAAAGAGGGAGTTTCCGGATATCTGGGATAACGATCGCTTCACGAAAATCCTGAAAAAGCCTGATAGCTGGTTCCTGAAAAAGGACACCAAGGCAGACGAGGGAGAGGAAAAGGCAGCAGTACGTATGCTGATGGAGGACGGCGATGGGGAGCAGCCTGCTGCGAAAGAGGAGTAAAAATCTTCACTCGTCGTGTAGATTGTTGACTTAAGCAACAGCCTAGTAGTTTGTTATTGTCGTCTCTAAAAAAATAACAATAATTCGTTTGTCTTTGTTATTGTCTTCTGAATATTCTGAGGTATGTTTACAGGCTCTTCATCCTCCTGGTTTTTACACAGATAGAGTTAGAGATGTACTTAGCGTTGTTGAAAAACAATAGACAATGTCCTCCACCACTGTGAATATTTCACGAATTTAAATGCATGAATAATTGTAACAAAACTATAAGAATGCGGAACAATAAGATATGAAGAGTTATTAAGAAGAGTCATATATGATATACTTTACGGAGTCACGAAGAAGTTCTATAACTATATTCTGTGCCATCCACCTAAAGATCCACACAGTACGCAGAACAGTACGCCGAGGCGTGCCTAACATCAAGTACGTCTAGCTGCAGTGGCAGGTGTGTGCTCAAATGCCTGCCAGTCGTCTACCTTCCCCTTCGTCAAGTACGACACTGTATTTCCAGTTGGAGCTTTTAGTTATAGTGTTTAGAAAACTTCTGCTAATCCCAAAACCAAAGCCATCAATCATACACATTCAGACTCTTTAGGTGGATGGATGAGAATTCATAGATACATTACAACTATCAATATCGACGAAGACAGGACTTGTTGATCTATCAATGTACCTAACAAATTGTTGCTTTGTTAATGATTTCACCAAAGCCATCTACTTAGCCAATGCATGTTCTCAGAAGTCTTACCAATTGATACATCTTACCAATAGATAGCGCCATCTAGTTAATATTTTCACTTAGACAGCAGTCACAGTGACACAACTTTCCTCGACCGAATGAAGAAGAAAAGCCAAACACTAACAACCAACAAGCAGACTAGCTTGGCAAACAAAGTGTCGCCAAAGTTACACATTTGGCGTCTTAGGTCTTTCAGGTTTTTTTTCGAATTTCCCAGGTCGAAGAAAATACCTACTCCACGAAATACGAGTTCTTCCCGTGTTCGTCTAGTGCCTCCGATTCTTGCGCTTTGAGGCTACGAGCAAGGTCAAGGTGTGGAGAGGTCAGAACTTGAGTGAAGTTCAGAATCGCCACAAGTGGAGTCAGGAATTAATAGAGAGACGGCCAAGAGTATGATCAGGATGAGGAGGAAAGGCATCGCGGTAGAGGTCGCAGGGCTCACAGGGCAAGAAAGATCAGAGTGATCCAGTTCCCCTGTTCCGCAAATATTAAAAGAATAAGAAGAGGACGAAGATGATGATCCTAGTCGTATGAATATGAAGATCATCAGCATGAACGTGATGGAAATCATTGCAATCCGATGGTGGCAAAGATCACAGCACTGAAATGCCACGCCAATGATGTGGATCCTTATCGTGTTACTTATGAGCAAGAAGGCCCACACATGTGACAACTTTGCAACCGCATGAGAATCATGCAAAACCTTTGCGATTTGCGCAACTGAAACAGGCCGGGAATTATATAAAAAACGCATCACCTTGAGGGTGGAAATAAGCAGTCCCAGCGTTCACAAACGCAGAGGAATGAGCCATAGGCGGCGCAGGAAAATAGGGCAAGAAAAAGAGTCCGAAGGCTCAGGGAGTCGATCAGTTAGACTCAACAGCAAACAACGCCATCAGACTCAGGAGAAAACAGCGACAGGCGCAATCCCTCTCCAGGCCGGTCATGTGCGTAGAGTAGCGGCGCAGTTCGCTTGTCAAGGTGGATCTCTTTTCGTAACCTACTTCCGCTTGGACTTGTGACGTGTTATAGTGTTCGCACTAGCAGTTATATGATTGCTCTAGCACGTTGCTCCATGCGAGGTTGGCCCAGCTTTAACTCAGTATTGAATCGATGAAAAAAATTAAAGCAAAGAGAATATGGACGAATCGCATAGCTATATGAATGCTCGGTCTGACTTTGACGCATACAAAGCCGCTGGCCGAAAGGGCCGGCGGGACCGACATAAGAACAAGCGAGATCTCCGCCAGAAGGAAAGGCAGGAGAGACGAAAGGGAGATACGACTCTGCGATCCAGCACTGAAGACGACAACAATTTGTGTGCGAGCTACACTGAGGGCGACGTGGAAACGGAAGAAGAGCCTTCCCTGAAAATAAGAGATGACCAGAACAAATGGAATGTTCCAATCCCAGCAGGCCGAGCAGCTGCAAAAGCGACCGTGGAAAAGCGGGCGAACCGGAGACAGCGCGTTCTCGCGCAGCACGCCGCCCGCTGGCTCGACTTGTTAGCGGGGCAGAGTTCCGCGACGCGTGGCCCCATTTCGTTAAGCAACGGAAATAGTCTGTGCGCCTCATTCCCAACCTACAAGACCTTTAAGCCTCCTCGTGCCGGAATGATAGCTGGGGCGGGCATCGTGTTGCAGAACAAATGGGGTCCAACTGCTGAGGGCCCAGCCTCATCCAGTTGTACCGGGAGAACGGCTCCCGCAGTCAACTCCAGGGCGGTGCGTAGATCGTTGAAGGAGCAACAGAAGGCAAAAGCGCTCCAGCCGAACGCTTTACGTCCCATTCCGGAAGAGGCGGCTGTAGAAGACGCGGATCTTCGACAGGCACCAGGGCAAGCGAAAGCTTCTCCAGTTCCAGGTAGTTACCAAGCTTTTTATGACGCCCTGGCGCTGCAAGCAGAAGACGACGCGGTTACTAGTGCCTCGGAATCAGGCGATGAGGATGATCATGAGGAGGACTTTGCGTATGCCTTCTTGCTGCGACGATTTCAAGACGATTCTGGACAGCATAGGCGCACTTTCTCGGTTAATGTCACGCAGCATGACCTATGTCCGCCAAATCCAAGTCAAAATGAACACGACACTTCATCGAGGAGTGAATTGGCACCGAGTGAACCACCGAGTGAGACCTCCTCCGCTCTGTCCAACCAATTGACGTCAGGGCTTTTTCACAACGCCTACGAAGAGGACAAGTTTCAAGAGCAGAAACGCCATATCCTGGCACTCGGCGGGTCGGAGTTATGGGGTTCCGGAACGGGCGTCGGTGGAGAGAGGCGGGACGCGTTTTGGAAAATCACGGAATCTCTCGACCGGAGGTCAAATCAGAATAGCGACATCAAAGTAGGGAGTTGTAATATTAAATATGGCAAGTGGAAGGCGCAACTCTTTGAGACCACAGGCCGACACCGCGCTGCTTTGCAGGGTGTTGAAATGTGCAGCAGTGACACGGATGATGATGCTGCAGATGGAGGCTACGTGATGCACCGTGGAGCAGGACATGATGCGGAAGAAGAAGAACAAGAGCAAGGAGAAGAGGATGAAGAAAGACGAGAGGGCGAACGCTTCTGGCGTAAGTCGAGCTTTGGATGCGAAGTTTCCTCGTTCGAGGACAAAAACAGCGATCTCATTGGGATGCTGCGGTTTGTGCGCAATTTGTCCACGCACGTGGAAGACAGCGAAAACGAGCCGGTGCGCCAGTTTCTCCTCGATTGGTATCTTGGAGATTTTTACCTTGCTTCATCCTCTACTACGCGCCACAGAAAAAGAAGCCTGTCGCATCCACCAGCTCGATTTATCCGTTTGGGGGATCTGGCGGTCTTCTTTATCTTGAAAGTGTACCCAACCCTGTGGAAGGATGTGAAAGCGATTTACCGAAAAGCCAAGCGAAAGTGCTCAAAAGCTGAAGTCGGCCATGTCCATGGCAGGCTCTAGCAGTGTGAAGAGAAGGCACCATGGAGATTTCTTTGTGTAGAAGTAGCTCCCTGCACTTTCGCTTACCTCAAGGTTTGTCCAGAGCTGCCAGTATCACAGAAATACTGTCAGACCACGTCTCTACGGTCACCATGAACGGTGATAACAGGGACAACAGCATGCATCAGCACTGCTTTCTCCGCCTCAAAGCTTAAGTGGACACATATGATGAATTATAGAAAGAAGCCAAGATCAGGAGTCAGAGGATGTGTATCATTGGCCTTTCACTTCGATGGTATCAAGTCGAGTGGCGAACGCGCCCTCGATCATTCCTTTTAAAGTCTCCAGAGATCATCCACTAGGTGGAGCTTGGTGCTTCGTAGACAAAACGAGAGAGAATGAGCGTTCTCAAGTCGTGGAGGCTCTGTTCATCGAAACGAAATCTGGCTAGTGCCTGTAGACCACTGCATGATTTGAGAGAGCGAGAGTTTTAGTAGCCTTGTTGGTTTGAAGACGATGGGGGATCGGTGCTGGATGAGAGCTCTGAGACTCCTCTGGCTTCAAAATCATGACGAGAGGCTGAGACTTTTGTAAGTTGTACCTATTCATTCCCAAATACGCGTGGTCGACGACGACCAAAGTCGAAGCCTCCACTTTCTTCCACTTTGTCAAATTTATTGTTCGACCCAAACGAACTTCGCACAGCCAGTTTGAACTCTTCAACTTTTTTTGCCGCCCGCACGAAATTTTGGAGATTTTTATCTTCCTGCATAGCATCTCAATTCTTTTCTATCCGATCGCGGTTGTATTCTTTTTACCACTACAAGTTTGTTACTGCACACAGTTTGTCCTTCTACTTGTTCCATAGGGCAGATAGGACAAAGAACTCAAAACTTCTAAAAACACTAAATAGACCGAAAGCACTTGTTTAACATCCGTAGGTGGACTGGGCAAAGAACTAAAAGTAAAAACTACACTAACAGTAGAAAACCTTTCGTCCTTGTTTAACAACAACACCCTGAAAACAAGATGTCTGACGAAGCTGTTACCAAGTTCCACTCCGCTGTCCGTTGGGGGAAGGAGATTAAGGAACTCGAGCCCATGTGCACACCGGATTTGGTCAACGCCGCTGACCCCAAGAACGGGAACCGTTAAGGCTTCCTTTAATTCATCTTGAGAAGCATCTTCTTTGGTCCCCGTTGCTCTAAGGGAAGGAAAGCACGCCAGAGATGCTCTCCAAGATGAATTGAGGTAAGCGCTAAAGCCAAGCCATCCACATCTCCGCTCAGAACGGTCATCAGGCCATCACTGAATGGCTCGTGAGCAAGGGTGCCGACGTCAACGCCCAAAACAACAAGGGCCAGACGCCGCTACACATGTACTTCTACTTACACACAAGTTTCTTGTTTAACACTAACAATAATTTTTTTAGTTCTGGTTATCATTTTATAGATCCTGTCTCTAGTGGTAGTGTGAAAAAATAGAATCTACTGTTGAGAGCGATTCTCATCTTAACGAACCCACCTCCTCCTCCTTTTCATGCAGGTCCGTCGAGTACGACTTCTATTACCAGAACGTCTTTCTCATGGAGAAGGGCGCCAGCAAGGATCTCAAGAACGGTGAGGGGCATCCAGCTATCCTTGGTAATTATGTCGTTTTCTTTGTATAGTAGAAATTCAAGGAAGTCGGAGGTCCACTCCGAACCGACTAGCATCGTCGTCAGTAAGTGCAAGCATGAAAAACTTTCTGAGGGTCCTCCACCTAATAGAACTGAAACTCCTCTAGGAAAATGAGCACCAGATGAGCCCTCGAAGTAAGTGCCATCTTCGAGTAAGCATGGTTCTTTCTCATAAATTGTGGCACCATGGTGCATAGAATCAATATCACTGTAACTAGGTATATTTATGATCATCAAGGTATCAAATGAAGTTTCAAAAAAAAATACTACTAGCAGCCACTAGATATATATTTTTGTTTAAAAAGATGTAACGACTTGGTCTTCTTCGGTTAAAAAAAAGCTACTAGCACTAGAAAAAGTACTAGCACATCGAGATATATACGACCATAAAAGACAAAAACTACTAGGTATCGACGGGGGCAAGACTGGTCACGAGGCCTGGGACAACCCGATGACACTGTTGAAGAGCGTCTCAGACAAGGAGTCTATGGATGCAGCCTTTAAGGCGTTGGAAGGCGCAAAGGCGGAGGACGTCGACAAGTTAAGGCTTGAGGAAATCCATCTTCGCAGGCATCTTGGCGTTCCTGTTTGCGACATAAAACACGGCAAGGTGACATAACCACCTCTTGCTAGGCACATTCATGCATTCACTCACTCACTCACTCGCGAAAGAGGCACGGCCAAGGTGCTCACCAAGATGGGTTTCTGCAAGGTCTAAACAAGGCAGTTCTTGCGCAGACCGGGATGAAAAAGAAAAAGATGCACGCCGATTTCTGGGACGCAAAGCAGTTCATGTCAATCATCTCCAAATTTTAAGTATGTAAGCACGTAATTTAGTTGTACGACCTTGCTGGCAGTGGAGTAGTACTGTCTAAGACACAAATGAATGAAAAGAAGGACAAGGATCTTATCAACAAGAAGATTCAGACTGATGTCAGCAGTGTCGCGATTTTGGGATTTCATAATTTTTTGAACATTCACTTGTAAGATCATTGAGATTAATTGAGCCAATCTAGGAGCATTACTAGTTATCTGTTTATGATTCGTTATGAAAAATTTTCTCTTATTTAGCATTAGCTAAAAATTATGAGTAAGTATGGTATTAACATGCATTCCTTATAAGATTAACATGCATTCAAGCATTGCGTGTGTTGTAAAAAGGATGCGTGTAGTTGTTGGCTTAACCTGTAGTTGTAAAAGAGTTGCTCGAATTTTTAGACCACAGTGTTGATATTTTGTTGATAGTTTGAATTGGCGCACGCAAAGGCTAGGACTTACTAGCTAGAAACGCAAAGAGCTGATGAATGTGGTGAATCTCTACTCCTAGATCACGTAGAAGACCTTCTCAATGTGCTAGATTATTTTGAATTGGTCAACTAACCATGGCCACCAAGGATGCGTAAGAATCTCGAGTAGGTAACAAGTGAAGCGGATAGCTGATACGGAACGATGCCGTCGCAGTTACCGCTACTAACACTACTCGTACATCTGGGGGACATATCTGAATCACTAATTGGTCAATTCATTGGGTAGGTTTACTTTTTAACCATCAGATTTTTTGGAAAAAATGATCTGTCGATAGTTGCTTTAGTCTTCTGACGACCCGGTAGGGGATTCAACTGCGAGCTGCGCAATAAGGATCTGGAGAAGGAGAAGCAGGCACCCACGATTTTTAAGCAGTTTGTGAAAGCAAAAACTCCGTCCAGGGGGAGCATGACATCAGTGCAATGCTTCGACAGTAGCAGGCCAATAGCTATAGTACTTATCTAGGCTCAAAACCTATTAGAAGGCTTTGGTTCTCGCTACTTCTATTCAACTCAGTCACGAGAGCACCTAGCAAATGGATTTCGAGACGCGCTCGCATGTTGCTTCGATTGGTATCTATTCTGTCATGTTGCGAAGATTCGTATCTATTCTCGCGCCAAAGAAACAGCAATAGGGAAAAACAGCCAGCTGCCCTAGGCTCTGGGATTAAGAGTATACCAATCATTCACAGATCCTCTATCCGGAGCACCGGTCTAAACAAGAAAAATGACCTTACGAACCAACATGAAAGAGCACTGATATATAGAGAAACAATCTACTGGAGACAAACATCAGCTATTTCCGACGGGCCATTCTCATACAACTGGGTTTGAGTCTGTCAAAGGAACCGAGGCGCGCCTTGATCATCCATAAATTATTCCCGTGTTCAGCGCTGAATTAGACTTCTTGGGCAACTTATATTACCTTGAAGGTAGTGCCTCGCAATGAGTTTTCAGTGGCGAGGACTGTCTTTCTGTAGGGGAAGGCGACAAAAAAAAATTTGAAAAATATTCACTTTCTGCGAGGACGCTTCGTCGTTGTTCATGCGCCATGGACATGACCCACACCGATGATGCAGTGGTGGGATCTAGCAAGAGGACTTAAAGTTTGAGCAACCTTTTCCTTCATTATCAATAAATTGACTAAAGAATCCCTAAATTTTTACACTAGGTAGGTCGCTAACGCACTTGCTATTCTGAGCGTGATTGAGAGTATTTTCAGATGTGAGACGAGCATTTTTAGGACCCGTTGTAGTAGGTTGAGAAAGAGAGACAGCTGATAATCGTTCCAGAAGGTTCCAGAAGAGGTATCTGCGTTCTAAGTTGTACTTGTCAACGTGAATGTTATAGTTGATATGATTAGAAGTAGAAGAAAAAGAAAGCAGAGTACCCTCGAACGCTCACCCCCTCATAGGTGAGCCAACACCTAACCTATAACCTGAGTACTATTCATCAAGGAAATAATCATTTATCCTCCGCTTCTCATCATCAATATGTTGTTGCTATATTATTTCGCGTTTTCAGCGCTACTTGCGGGTCCCTTAGTGGCCCATGGAGCTGCGATTCTGCGAACCAATTCCAGTACGCTTTCCGGCCATTCTGCTCGCGGGCCTGTCTTACGCTTCACAGGGGCCCCATCAACGAGGGAGTTTTTTTCTCCCAATGCGGCCTACCTTGATAGCAGGATCTGCAACCTTGCATTTTTTGGTACCACCGACACCGTGAAAGACAAGAGAGAAGGCACGCACCCTACGCAACCCGCCACTAGATTTCTGTATTACGGCGCAAAAACGAGTACGGCGCAAGAAGGGCAGGCCACAACGAGTACGAGTCAGGAACGCGTGGAGGAACAAGCCGCAGTCTCTTCTAGTGAGGAAACCCTGAAAACGAGTACGAGTCAGGAACGCGTGGAGGAACAAGCCGCAGTCTCTTCTAGTGAGGAAACCCTGAAAACAAAGGTCGTCCCTCAGCTGATCGCGAACGGGAAGCTGTCGCGAGTGGTGCGTTGTACCATGGAAATCATAGAACACGGGCAAAGGCCACTACAAGAAAGTAAAAGCAGAGAAGAACAAAGGAAAGGTTAGGGCTTAGTGTTGCTATTATCCAACAACCGGCTAGTTTTCCCTCTAATCTTAGGCTTAACCCTTCAAACAATATATAGCTTTGTCGGTGCTGGAATGATCATCCTTCAAGCAGCGCTTTTTACTAATCAAGCTTTTTACTAATCAATGAATGAGCGGATTGTCGCTTCAATGAACGTACACAGAAGATGCATAGACTGGACTGATTTTTAGTCTTTTAGGATACGGTGGTGTGTGGATGGGATGCCAGAGTATCCAGATGGACTGATTTTTAGTCTTTAGGATACGCTGGTGTGTGGATGGGATGCCAGAGTATCCAGATGGACTGATTTTTAGTCTTTTAGGATATCAAGATGGACTATGGCCGCATCCTCTCTATGATGAGGAGAGTCCCAGTGTCAAGATGCGTCCCAGTGTCAAGGTGGACAACGATGTCCGTGTCCTCTAACACAAAGAAATCAGAACGAGAAGCATGATAGCTAAGAAGAGGGAGACTACTCCGTTGAGCAGAAGATCCTTGCCCACGCCACCTGACATTCGCGCGTCGATGCTGGATTCCACTGAACCAAGTACCGCGATTATCCCAGGTGTTGTAAATACGTCATCCTCGTCATCTCCCGCAACAACATCAACATCCAGTAGTAGTAGCTCGAGTTGTGATCCGTCAAGTAAGATGAAAGCTACTGGCGGCGCTTCTATTAAGGCTATTTAATGATCCTGATGTGGGGAACTTGGAGAGGATCCGTTTCTTCTACTAAGGCTATTTAACGATCCTGATGTGGGGAATTTGGAGAGGATCCGTCGCTATCGAGGAATTTTAAATCGATCACCCCTTCCATGACCCTCCAGAAGGACGCGCTAACTCTATGACGGAAGGGGAGACCACTTGGCGCACGAGCATTATTGTCAAGATGGTCCGATGCGGGTTTTCTTCGTGTCGTCGGGAGTCGTGGGAGCCCGGCCTTCAATGGGAAGCGCATAAGCGTGGCAGCAAGCTGATGGTTCCGGAAGTCATTCCATGGAATGACTATGACATGGTTAAGGCTTTTTTGCTATCATTTAGTACATCTTCAGAATCAGAACCATCTCGTGCTGTATTTTTTGATACAGGGGGACAGGAATGCTGCAGAGGTGAAAAAATGTCATCTGTTGTTCTACTATTTTTTTGTCTATAAGGTCTACCTGGTCAATACATCGTCAGAACCATCTCGACTCGTGCTGGTGTCGTGGGAAAAGAGTACACCATCTTATGCGGTTAGTCGAGGGCCAAAATACAGCTTTTAAAGCTGTGTGATTTCTTAAGCGCTGTTGTATGTCTAACTATAATCGGATGAAGACGTCGGCAACGAATCATTCGGACACGACAGATAGTACAACGTTGAAGAATGTGAAATTGCATGCTGTTTGGCGCGAGCATGCTGTTTGGCGCGAGCAAGAATGGGACGAATGGAGCAAGGAAGCCAGTCCATCGAGTAAAGGCTCTGCTGTCAGCTATTTGCTTTTCAAGATGCGCGATGGAGGAGGAGAAGATCTCGTTACACGGTTGCCGACGAAGCAGAATGTCTATGAGGTAATTCGTGGCGCCGCTGACGCTGTGCGCGCAATGCACTCCCTGGGGATAGTGCACCGGGATCTGAAGCTGGACAATCTTCTACGAGTACCACTCAAAAACCTGCCAACTACGTTGCCAGTTGCCAGCCAAGATAGAGGTTGTTTACAACCTCCACTAGTGCCAGATACAACCAATAGTCGTGGCAAAAATTTTATGAACAACATGAATTTCAACAATTGCAGGGTCCACCACGAGCACGACAACGCGATCATGGAAGCAGATGAGAGCGAGGCGACCTCACCAGTCATCGACGATTAAGGCTGTAACTAATTCATCTCTTCGCACATCCTTGTTGAAAAGCATGATGCCTGAGTATTTTCATGCTCTTCACTCTTCAAGCATACAATTCTCGTTGAACAAAGACGAAATGCGGAAAGCTCTAAGGTGAGGCTTTTGACAACTTAAAGGTCGAAGGAGAGGAACGGCACATGCTCCTTAAGGCTAGACACTCACTATCTGGCACGTATCTTCTGGTCGTGTGAGGTATTGTCATCAGTGAAGACGTTCCCCTTGTCGTCGGCTTACAGGGGAAGCCACTGAATGAATTATTGCCTCGTTCTTTCATAGGTGGGTTTCCAAGGGAAAGAAGGTAGCAGGCTTCCACGGGTCATGTCATATCTTAAAAAGAGGAAAGAAACCAAGGGGAAAGAAAGCAACTCACTCATATGGAGTGAAGAGTGTCTAGCGTTAATGCGCCGTTGTTGGAAAAGCCACTGCTTAGGCCGCGCAGCTCCACGGAAGCGGAGGACGCGAGTGGGAGCACAATCACAGGAACATCAAGTAAGGAACCGGAACACCAAGAACAAAGAGCAAGATCTTTCAAGGATGATGTCCAAGATGGAGAACAGCGAAAGTCTAGCCATGGCGTTGATGCGAAAGATGCGTCTAGAACATCAAGCAAGGGAAGTAAGGAAAGCAGTACTAGTACGGATCTTCTCGCTGGTAGAACATCAAGTAAGGAAAACAATACTAGTATGGACCATGACGAGCAGGTTACCACGACCAGACCACGCAGTAATGCCAATAGTAGTGCTAGTGATAGTACGTCGCCACGGCTCACCACAACCAGTAAGAGTGAACTACAAGTAGAAGTCTGCAATCTCGCTCATTGTGCTGAGAGAAACAAGACAGGCGATGCATCGAAAATTAAGGCTCTCACTATTTCGTCTTTGACTGCATCCCTAAAAACTAGGAAGAAGCATCACAGGGTAACGCTCCCCCACACTTTTCAAGGATGCAGCTGAGGGATGAACTAAAGCGAAAGAGAGGTCTAAGGGAAGCGGACAGGAAACCACAGCGTGCGCACTTGCCTCGCGCAGTCCTCTGGCCCAGTACCATCCAGAATTATGGCCAGCTTTTATAATAATACTACCTCAACAGCGCGGCGCCTAGAATAGACGGATCCTACTGTTGGACGACACGCGGCGCCTAGAATAGACGGATCCTACTTAGCTTGGCCATTACTATAATTCTGTACTTATATACCTTTTACCTATCCTTACTTTTTCTTCCTAGTTAGCTTGGCTCCACCCGTAATAATACTACCTCAACAGGATTTTAGTTGTTACTCCCGTTTCCTCAGGAGGGTAAAGGTACCAAGATACAAGGCTACAGAGATTAGCCAAAATGCTCTTTCCCCAGCAGGGTAGGAGAAGACAAGGTCAAGGGTAAGAAAAGAGGTATGCTAGAAAACACCGGTGGAGAGCTTTAGTACCGAGATAAAAGGACCTCTATGTGATACGGCTCCTTAGATAGTTCGGTTTTATCTATAACATGGAGCGAACACATGGCATTGATGTGAATAGAAGAAGAAGCACTCAATTACTATCTTGTCTCGCCAGTGGTAGAGAATGAGCACAAGAGATGCATGGTGATGATGATCGGACCAAGCTTGTTGACGTTGATTTTTCTTTTTAGCTCGCCTATTATTCTTGTGTTTTCTAACAGAATGGCCGAAGATAATCGGGGAGTGCTTTCATGGCGCCTGTCGTCTTTTAGGGCAGTGTCTCCTGCAATTCTGCGAAGGTTTGGGGGCTGCAGGGACTGCAGCAGCGCACGTGAAGTATGGCGGGATGATGCGGGACCCTAGGCGGCGCCGACGAGCTACGAGCAAAAGCTCCATTCCGACAGACATGCAACCTCTATCATCTCTGTCAGCTTTTATCCATCTCGGTTCCCTCATCTCGATTATACCCTTTTCCCTTGTAACAAGGGAAAAGGGTATAATCGAGATGAGGGGACCGAGATGGATAAAAGCTGGCTCTAACTCTAGCCGAGGATGACGCAAGTCTTCACTCGTTTGACCTACACCCTGGGTTACCCGATAGTCGGGTTGAACGAATCTGTAGCAGACCTCAGGATGACACTCCACATGTCGTCCAAATTATTGACTTCGGTTCTGCCAAGCGAGCGAGTGCAGCTTCCACGACGCAGTCGGCGCAACACCTCAGTAACAAGTTAAGAACATCAACATAATTGGTCACTTGCTTATTTCAGCTTATGAGCGAATAATTCTTTGGAAAGATTGACCGCTTCGCTGGTTACGTTTGAGATGCTTGCACTGACAATGTTGCTCCGCTCTTCTAAAGTAAGGTAAAACTTCTACGTCTTGGAGGGAAGAACGCCGGGAAGGGGGCAGCGAGGACGCGGGGCGCGCGGGCACACCGGCATACATACCATTATGGTATATCTATACTTCTTGTCTATGGAGATGTAGCTCGCACATCATCAGTTCAAGCACTTTCCTTTCTGCTTCAGTGCCACTTGTCTCTGGAAAGTATCAATCATAAAAGACATACTAAGAACAACGTAGATGATGGCTAATTTTCCTTCGTTTCACTCCCTTAATGATCAAAGACATGAATTTCCATTAGGGTTGTCGTTGTTGTCTATGGACACATCGGTTTATCAGACGATGTACTTACATCTCAAGGTCGTGTTTGATAGCTCTAAATTGACCTGCGTGTTGGTACTCAAGTTTTTCGGAGTTTCAGATGGACATTTTTTCGCTTGGCCTGACCTCCCTTTACTCCTGGAGTGGGGCGCATGGGTTCACCCACTCATTTGCAGACGCCTATGTCACTATTTTCAGTTTATGTGCAGGACTACAGTTTATGTCACTCTCACCACTACAAAAAATGCTAACCAATTTGGTCTTTATGTCACTATTTTCAGTTTATGTGCCGGAAGATACAGTTTGTTTGTGTGACCACGGTGACAACAGCACTCCTTCTGGTTTATGTGACGACTATATTCCGTTTATGTGACGACTATATTCCGTTTATGTGACGACTATATTCCGTTTATGTGACGACTATATTCCGTTTATGTGACGACTATATTCCTTTAAGGTGAACTCTACACTGAATGGCCTCATACATAGATGCGTGAAGCTATACAAGAGGCACCATGACATGACAACAATTTCGATCTATCAGAGAAGGTTCCTTCATAACTGGAGTATTTCTACAGAGGTGGCGTGGAGAGGTGGGACCGGATGCTTAACGCCTTCTGGGTCCAAGTGGCCGAGGAGTTTACTATATGGCATGATGAGTCCCGCAGGGAGCTCGCGCGTGTCAGTCCTCTCGACATCGGTTGTATGGACGATGTTTATTCCATCCTTACGACCATCGAGGCCCCCCTTAATGCTATACGTTTTTAGGGGGAAATAAAAGGGTAGCCATGACGGACTGGCTAGATGGAATAGATGCCTTTCATAACCGGGATGGATGGAAACCGTACTTTTACCGAGGACTACCGTATGGAAAGCAACCGTACTGCTACCGACGCTACTAGCACTTCCCACTACGCTGCTTCTAGCATGGATGGTCGGGAGCCGTACTACGCTTCTTCTAGCAGTCTAGTGGCGCAGGGAGCACAGTTCGCTGCTGGGATCCAGTTGTTGGAAAGAAACAAGCCAGAAAAGTGGCTGTTGATGACAGATGTAGAAGTCGAGCTGGACGTCGATGCCACATTAGACCGACTCTTATGGGTAAATCAGTCAAGAACTCCTCTTTAAATTTACACTCTTTGGCCAATGCCTTCTTGACTGCATGAATAGGTTAACTGCGACTACTACTACACTCAAATTTTTTATTCGGAAGTACAACTACTACTTGGTTGAAAAGCAATAAGACACCAAGATCAAGATGGGTTTTTGGTACTTCTAAGACTCCAGCGAGCGGCGCGAAAGAGCTCCAAGAAGCCTACACGCGCTAGCACACAAATTAAGGCAAGAAACAGCCGCAGCGCCGAAGAAGGTCCCGTCGCTGGGCACAAGAGTGAGAGCGGCGCTGGTTTCCTCCGCAATGAGAGACCGGTAGTAGTCTCTCCTGCTGCTGCCGAGAATGGGGCCATAAACGTCGACCAAGCTGCGTTTTCAACTGGTAAAAATGGCGTCAATGAACGAGTCAACAATGTTGAGCAAGTCGTCAGCAAGCAACAACTCGTCGTTAACAGTGCGCAAGAATCGAAGATGTCCGCAAGCTCTACTACAACAACTAATAGTGCAGTACAGGAATCAAGTGCTAGTGCCAATACTGCAGTACACGAATCGTCGACTCTGGAGGCCTCACGTGGGCGATTTTTAAATCCCTTGCTGTTGGCACTTCCAGTATCGGAAGAAGGGCTGCTCAATGACGAGGAAATCGCGGTGATCGAAACACTCTCGAGGAGACTCGTCTACTTTCTCAATTTATGCGACTATTGATTGGGATCAAATCCACTTCTTGTAGTTTGAATACAGACTGACGTGGTCTTGATGAATATCGTATCATATTAAGTAATTTTCTTCACGACTGGGATCATTATCGGCATATGCTAGCCACTTACCGAACTCTAACGTGCCACGTGGTGGAGCGGCATGATCCAGATATGGCGGCACTCCTACGTGCGATGCTGCAGTTGACACCTACCGTTACGGCTCTCGATACTTCATTTTCTCAGACTACTCGTTTTTTTTTGTTTCTTTCTTAGCACTTAGACTACGTTTGCAAAAAAAGAAATGTGAGTTTTGTCCTTCCATTTGTAAGTAGGATAAAAGCGTTGGTGTAGTAGGTGAGCAGATGCTTGGACGAACAAAGATTCAGACTACTTGCACTTTTCTGTTTTTTAGTATGTAGGTGATGATATGTCAGGTTTCGTCCTCTCTCGTAAAATAGTACTCCTGCTAGATCTACTACAAATGTTGGGCATGGTGGTCTAATCCGGTGGTCTATAGCGTGGCTGATCTCCAACCGCTCTTGGCACGACTTGGGTCCCTACGAAGCGCTCTCGGCACGGCTTGGGTCCCTATGAGGGACAGGCCTTAGGGTATTTAGTTGAGGTACAAGCCTTAGGGTATTTAGTTGAGGTACAAGCCTTAGGGTATTTAGTTGAGGTACAAGCCTTAGGGTATTTAGTTGAGGGACAAGGCATAGGGGAGTTAGTTGAAGTACAAGGCATAGGGGAGTTAGTTGAAGTACAAGGCTTATAGAATATAATTGAGGTACAAGGCTCAGGGTGTGCCAGAGTGTGGCGCTTCTAGAAGTTGGACATTCCTTAATTCTGGTAGCAAGTTATACTAGTTGTACTCCATGATTATCATACAATGGAGTTGTTATACTAGGTGGCTTTTATGGTGAATAATCACATACATCTTCTCGGGAGCAACTTCATTTTATGATATTACTAGTAATATTCACGTCGACAAATCATGATAGTTTATCGGTCATCACCTCCACTGTTGTAATATTGTCCCGTGAAGAATAATTCTTTTTCTTATTCTTCAAGTTTTCATAACCTGATCTAACCTTATTCAGGACCTCTAACCTTGTCCTTTTTTCGCATAGATACACTTTGTCGGAAAATTTTCTCGGCGTCGGTCCACACTTCTTGGTTTACTCATCTCGTATAGAAATCTCTTTCACAACTTTGACTATTTTCAAACAGTAGATCGTCGTGATTCATAACAGGACGAGTTTTATCATGGTTGGAATTTGATTTCATATCTTGACTTTTTGCTAACACACTACTGCCGAAAAATTTTCTTGGCAATGTATCACATGTCTTCAGGGATCACACGTTGTGTATCGATTTCTCGTAAAGCTGTCGCGCATACGCGTCCTGGCTAGATCGAGACCCGCTGAAAGTGAAACTTCACACATTGTTTTTTCATCATGTATGACACATGCTCTTAGATTGTCTTCTCTCTAGCACTTATACGATTTAGTACTGTTTGCGAATCGCTACATTTTTGAGATGAGCACCTCCGTCTGGTGTCTGCGAATCTAAGACTTCTCTGAAAAAAGAAATCTAAGACTTTTTTTTTGAAAATGATGTACGACGACGAGTATTATTTAGCCAGCAGCAAGCGGATGAGGAGCTTAAAACAAGGAGGCAGCAGGAGCAATAAACGAGGATGCACAGCTTTAGGCACAGCATTCGTGTGGAGCTCTACTTTCCAGAGAGTGACGAGCCTTTCCAGAGAGTGAGTGTCGTGACTCCATGATAATCTCTGCCGATCCGGCGCTCGAGGCGCAGGACTGAGGCGGGAGCCTCAGCTGAAGCACACTGAAGTTGTACACAGTGAATGCACTTATGAAAGCAGCTCTGACGCCTGCAATCGAAATCGAAATCAGGCGCTACTGGAATAGATTGCTAGGGCTCTACTACTGGAATAGATTGCCTAGGTTTAGGTCCAGCGACGCTCAAAGCACTAAATAAAACAACCGGTTAGTTTTTACCTCTCAACCTTAGGCTTATCCCATGAAGCAATAGATTGCTAGGGCTCTACTACTGAATTTCCCACTTATAGAAAGCAGCTGAAATGTATGGTCTATGAGGGTCGACCTTGTAAGCTACAGCTCGACCACCCATAAGCAGAACGCTAACGCCTCGCAACAATGCATCTTCCTCGATTCCATATATGTCCGAAGTTTTTGAGCGTTGAAACCAAATCTAAAGTGAGATTGGTGAAACCTGTAAAACAGATCCGAGTTCTGTACAGCAAGCAGACCGCTTGCACTAAAGACCCGCTGGCGTTAGTACTGGTAGGATGCTGAGTGAAAATGCCCGACTTCTGTACAGCCCTCGGTGGTTCTGCATATCCCGATGGACTAATAACAATGACGTCGTAGTAACATCATTGTAACTGTCTGTGCATGTCAACATTATCTGTTGCTGGTATCTTCGGTAACAGTTTGAAATGGTCGCAGAACAATCTGTCCTGCAGTGATCAATCTGAACATCTGTACTCTCGGTTGTTCACTGTCTGTGTCTACTTTCGGCTCTAATCAGTCGTCCAGTGTATGCCGTTCAGGAAGACGCCTAAGATCTTAATCCCCCACTTTTAACAGACGAGGACCTTAAGAACAAATATACCACAACACAATGATTTTCATCTTTATTCAGGCTTCCGTCGTGCTTCAGGCTTGCGTCTCGCGGGGTGGATGTAAATAAGCGTAAGCGAGAATTGTAGACCCAGGTAACAACGCGCTTCGTGAGATCGCATGATCTGAATCCTCTTTGCACGTAACCAGTTAAAGCACTGCGGCCGCTTCTAGTTCTATTCTTAAGTCAAGATATTTTTAGTGTGCAGAACTTAACAACAGTCCTTTCGGTTACTTTCACAATTAAGATTAATTTGATCTATCACAAAAGATGGCGGAGGTGCAGGACTCGACTGAGACAGAGGTCGACGGAGAGCCCGGATCCAATGGAGGAAAGGCCAGCCCAGAATCAAGGGAGGAGGCGCGAGCTAGAAGGTAAGAATATGCTCGGACTGACGAGATGCTAGTGTCGGATTCTAGTTTTCGAGTACTTATCTAAGTTACTTTTTTAAAAGAGCCCGTTAATCTTAATGAAGGATAACGGGAACATACGGCTTGCTGAAGTAAAAAGATAACTAGTAATATTGCAAGGATGTGATGTGATGGCTTTTTCGTCATTAGTAGTCAATACTCATACATCAAGGGGAACAACGCGCAAAATTCAAAGTATTTCGGCAGGTCAAGAAAATGTTGTGGTGATTGTCGCTGCTCGTTTGCATGGTTCGTTGGCTTTCCTGAACCAAGTTCTCATGGCGCAGATCAGTGGCTCATGTTCGCAGTGGGACTCATCTACTTGACGCTGTTTCTCTACGCCTTTACGTACTACTTGGCTGAGACAACACCTGCGGTGGTACTAACCGAGGAGCTTGGTGGAGGGTCCGCCACATTCGGTGGACTCCAGTCCCTGTTCGGCTTCTTACAGATCGCCGGTGCCTTTGGCTTCGGATACGCCATCGATTTTTTCGGAGCAAAGGCATGCATGGTTGTCTCCTGGGTTGGCGGATGCGCCTTCCTGTTCCTCCTACAAGCCATTGCCAATCACATTGCGTGGCTCTACGTGGGACGTGTTGCTGGGCTGTTCATGGCAGCTTACATGGTCGCAACGACGTGGGTATCCAATATTCACTCGCAAGCGGCTTTGAACTTAAGACTCTAGCTACTGAGTCGTGTTTCTCATAATTCTACTTTGTCAACATCATACGTCCACTCAACATGGGTACTTCATCTCAGTCTGCCAGTTGTGACCTATCTGTTGTGGCTGGTGCAGCTCCTGATAGATACGTAGATTCTTCTGCTGTGGAATATGAATAGATGGAGTTTCCCTAGTAGAGTTTAAAAATGATGTGTCAGGATAATCATCACAGACAAGAATATCAAAGCCCTGTTCGTCTAATGTGAGCAGCCACGCGAAGGAAGCTTCAACGGGCAGTCGCAGGCTTCCCAACTTCATCCCTGTCAGACAGTGATGATTACGATCAGTGAACAGTAATTGAAGTTGTTTTTAGTAGAAATACGCACATTAAGTAGAATTAGAAGCCCGAAGTTTTGATTATCTTTCTAGATGAACCAGAAGGTCGTTTGCGTTTGCATTCTGTCCTGCTCATCGGGGGAGGCACACCTACTCTTCATCTTTAACAGCTGTAAAAGTTGTGAACAAGAAAGGTTTGAGGGGCTAAACTATGGTGCATAGTTCCCCCGACTGCTCCGAGCCCCTCTAATCAGAAGAAAGAGCTGATTCCGCGGACCGGAGTCAGTTAGTGGCTTTGTCACGGTTGTTTCTGTGCTATGGTGTTGGAAGGGTTATCGGCGCTTACGCAGGAGGTGTAATGGTGCTCCAGTTCGGCGTCCGGTCGCCTTTTTGGGCTGCTTTCTTAAGGCGAGTAAATCACTATCCCATGTCCTCATTCAAATTCACTCGACCACGGATACGGATAGATAATGAAAACTGCCTGCTCTAACTTTCGCTATTTCGCTCGCGACAGCAGCAATGATCGGCTTGTGTATTCCAACGATTGCTAGTCTGCAGGCTGCTAGCGTAGAGGAAATGAGAGCTATCGCGCAAGAAATGTCACAGGAAAACTCACAAACGGATAGCGGAGCTGGTACTATGTATAAGTATAACTATAGCCACATCCACAGCTCTTTGACTCTGGAACTGGTAGTGCTTCATCTATGGTATAACCACATCCAAAACAACTAGGTTTGAAGATCTTTGATGTCATCGTACCCATAGCCATGTTGATTTTTGATAATTTTTTTTTGCATGTGTGTTGTCTGCTGAGTGATTTTCTGAGTCGCCTCTCTCATGTATAGGAACGAGTTTGTTGTGTTGAGTTTGACATTTCTAATTGTCATTGGCTCTTGATCTGTCGTTTAGTTGTTGGAATGAGTGGCTGATCGTTCGGGGAGTTAAGGTAGTGTTGTCGAGTTTCTCCTTGTTTTGGAGTGCTGCCTCTGTCGCGTCCCTCGTCTCTGTGCTCGATGCGTTCGAATAGGTGCTTTACCGAGTCTCAGCGAACGAGGGTGCGGGATGGCTCTAGTTAAGTACGCGAATTCTTTCTGGCTTTGCCCTCTACGCGCTTTCTTTTCCTTCTTACGGAAATCCTGCTTTGCACCCAGTAACCCTTTCGGCTACTTGGGTGTTGGGGATGGATGCGATCTTCAGTAGGGCTAGACATGGTGAACCGGTACCCTTGGCCGTGTCTAGCGCGGTGGCCTACTGGAGGCGCGAGCACCCACCCCGCCCAGTACTCTTCCACCTTGGGAGCCGGGGGGGTGGGACGCCAAGCGCTGTAGCATCCTTTGCGGGGTTACTAAATGAACTATTTACAGTTTATTATTTATAGCAGGATAGCCCTGGCCGTAGAAGCAAGCGGAGAAGCCGGAAGCCTCGGCAACAACAGGAGAAGAGGGGCGCCGCGCGTAACCTTTAGGAGGCAGCTGACTGCGGGCCTCAGAGCACGAGGGGCACAGCTAGAACACGCTAGAGACAGAAACCGCTGGCCACAAGTAGCAAGCCAAAGGCCTACCAGTCTTCCCGAATCAGGTCCAACAGGAACAGGCGAAAGACCACTGACAATCCAACAACAAGCTAGCTCAGCGGGTAGCTGTCGCCAGGGAAGTCCTAGGCAGATTGCCGAAGCGATTCCCATCGTCATGCAATTTTATTTACTATTCCTACTAGCTACGAACTTCTATGTAATGTATTCGTGCTCGGCCTTGCTTCTCTCTGGACTAGTACCCAAACGAGAGCTGAGTGTGAGTGCCGCGTCCGTGGTTCTCTCCCCTTTTTCTCAACATGCCGCTCAAGTACGAAGATCAATTATAATCAAGGACTACTCGTCTGGTTCAAAACGTACATTTGTATATGCATCGCCATCGAAGTAGATTGCAGTTGCAATTCATAGAAATCTTCGAGAGATGACGGCTGTTAGCCTCTATTCTTTGACGTCTTGTTCGCCATTTTGGCTCAAGGTTCACGTCTACTGGCTGGGATAGCCAATCTTTTTTCCTCCTATTCATTGAGCAGTCTTACCTTACCCTGACCTTGTTGTCCAAAATCTGGTTTCTAACGTAGCTCTTCAAGTGCTGCACTATTATTCTTCTTCTTTGGAGTTCATTGACGTGATCAACACTAAAACTAATGGGTGTTCCTTCTTTGACACCAACACCATCTTCGTCAATAACTGCTCCTCAGCTGCGGGAAACCGAAATGCGACTCTGAGTCCTGAAGTGGAAGATATTCTACGTGAACATGCGAAGGACTCGAACCAGATCGATGGTAGTTCTGCCAGTGAGGTCGCGGAAGATGACGCCGAAGAAGCTCCTGCACATCGGACAAAGGGAGCCGCGGGAAAGATGACCCCGCTTTTCCAGATGTTGTCAAAAAATAAAATGCTTCTTGCGATCGTTCTCGTTGAGTTTTTCTTATGAAGTGCAAGTGGATTTTAAGTTTAAAGTCATGTCATTGTACGTGTTAGAGTTAGTAGTCTGTGTCCTCTGGGTACTACTATATATTTAACTACTAGTAGTGCTTGTTTCATCGAAGTAAACAAAGTTGTACACTGCGAGCAATAGCCCCCTTTGGAATCTTCTAATCCCTTACTGTGACGCGCGGGCAATAGTGTAATACATAGTCCTGTACTACTCGTTTCGACTTCTAATCCCTTACGCGCAAGGCAAGCTTCTCTTCTTTCTGACGCAGCAGAACGTCGCTGAGTTTGTTTTCCACTTCCGTCCTGATCGAATCGGTCTCTTTGCCGCATGCAACGGGGCTGCTGCGATCTTTGCGAATCTAGTACTGGTGTACTTGTTCACCTTGTGCACGAGATACGACAAGACCGTCTTCATGCTGGGAGGCGGAGCGTCAGCTATCATGATGATTCTCTACGGTTTTACCAAGCAGTTTGCGGAAGCAGGAGGCTATAAAACTGAAGAGGATTTGCTCAAGGTGTATTTGCCCGTATCGATGGTGCTAGCAGCTGTACTCACGGTTGCAGAAACCATCCTGATGGCCCTCATGGCACAGGCAGCGTCGGTCTCTGATAAAGTTATGGCCATGGATCATGTGCTGTAGTAGATTGATATATTTTCAATGAAACAGAGTCTGAGCAGAGTCCTCTGAGTCGTGGTCGCATTGTTGTAGTATGAAAATGATGTCTTGCTGCACGTACGAGTAGCAGCTTGTTGTATTTTGACACTAGCTAGACAGCACACGTGAAGGAGCACGAGACAGCACACGTGAAGAAGGCTCAATAATAGGAGTAGGCTCATCGTCGTCTTGAATTGATGACATTGTACCATATTAATATTTAGTCCTACAAACATGCCACGACTAGCATCATCATCGTCCCCTTCTTCATGAATTGACGTGCCATTGCGATGACGCACATGCTCAGCGGATTCGCAGAGACAGTCTCGCCGTTGTACGGGGCTTTCATGATCAAAAAGATCGAGAAGCCAATGCCTCCAATCGGCATGGTTGGTGCTATCTTGATCTGCACTTACGGCTGCTCAAGGACCAGCATGATCCAACTTTTTCACAGTCCAATAGACCTATGTAATTCTTTAAGTTTATGTAGTTTTGTCTACTTATTCCTTCCGTTTTTTTCCTGGAAGAAGAAGAAGTGTGTGAGAAAGTGAACTTCAACTGAACTTCAACTTAATATGACGTGAATGGTTTTCGAGCACGTTGAGATCCTCTAACCTTTCGCCCTTTTGATTTGCATGTTTCTGATGCCTTTAGTCGAAAGAACCGACGACTTCAAGAGATTGCAGAAGAAAATCATGCGAGCTGAAGGCGAAGCGGAGTCGGAGGGCGAGGATGCACCATTAGTCCTGTCTGGCGAAGAAGTAGACGATGAGAGAGTTTCAGAAACGCTGCTTCCTTTAGGAAGTGAGAAGTCGAAGTAGAATTTATAAATTGAAGTAGAACACTTCAACTTGATGTAGTAGACTTTCACTTGTTTCTCTTTCAACATGCAATCTGTTGTGCTTGACTAATGTAGACTTTCAGTTAGTCTCTTGGCCTTTTTGCGTCTAGTGAAGGTAATCGTGGTTATTCATCTTTGTCACTGCAGCATTCTGATTCAGTACTATGTCATTGTTTCTCAGGACTATCTTGAATCAATTTGTTTGACGTGTGACTTCTCAACAATTATGTTGCCTAGTACAATGATGTTAATGTGAATGTATGTTATCCAAGATGTTGTACTTCTAGAATCGTTGCTTTGCACCTCGTCAATGAAGGTGCATGCTGCTTCTAGCATTCGATGTGAAGATCCCAAGCTGAATGTTATTACTTACAGCAACACACAAATTACAAGTTCTTTTAAAACAATTAACATTCGACTCAGTCGTGTTTGTGCTTGGCCCGAGTAGCGTAACGGTAGTTATTATCAACTCTGAATTTCGCTACAAGCTTAAGTCGCCTACAATAATTCGTATTCGTTCTGTTGCGCATGTAATTATCTCTATCTACTTGCGTAGCTTCAAGAACGGTTCCTCATCGAATGTGATTTTCTTTTCACAGTAGTAAAATTAGAGCTAGAAGAACTACATTGATAACATCGAGTAGATTGATTCTACTGATAATGCAATTTGTCACCTACAAGTAGAAAAGATGACGAGAGCAACAGCTAGAACTACGTACTAGAAGTAACTACAATCGAGCTGCGTGCACTGTTAACAACGTATCGACTTTTCAACAGCAATATCAAGCTGAATCATCAGAAACAGAATTAGAATATCTTCGTGCACAGTTTATATTTGTACAGTCATAGAATATGAAGTTCTACTTCGTAAATCGTACTTCTCCCGGGAAGGATCCAGTCGCAATTTCTGCCGATGCGGTGCTTGATGCGCAGGAATCCACCCGTCGCCGGCAGGCACGCCGGATATCACTGGGATCACCCTTGCGGCGATCTTGGCATAGAAAAAAAAAAGCAGGGCTGAGGCGGGAACCCCTCCAAATCTCAATCTACTTCGAGGACTAGCTTCGATGAGGACGAGGATGCGTATGAAGTTATAACAGCAGGAATCTTTGTAATATACTAGCTACGGATTGGCAAAATTCTGTATCTTCTTTATCGGACGACCTCTTCGCATGTTGTACCATCATACTAGTTTGTCTTTGTACTTACCAGAAATCTACTTCATTTGACAACGCTGACAAACAAAACGACGCTAAGCAATGGAAGAAAAAAGAAGATAACACTGGGATCACCCTTCTGGCGATCTGGATCACCCTTCTGGCGATGTAGTCCTATGGAATGATCTTCGCGGTTGATAGCCTTGTTAATTTTTTAATCTCCTGGTTGGTTAGGCCCTTCTCCAGTATGTTCATTTTTCGATGAGCAGGCATGTCATACCCTTGCAGGCTGTTGCACTTGCTCCCAGGGCCCTACATTGTTAGGTTGTGCCTTAGTTGTTCTACAGAGGCTATTGCAATATAGTTCTCTCCGATAGTCGTAGTTTTTGGCCGTTGTGATACGGTTTTCTTGCTCCCCCGGTATGTAAGTTTATAAATGAGGTTATTTACGTAGTTGAATGGGAGGCAGCATGTAGTCCTATGGAAAAAAAAAAAGGAAAAAAAAAAAAACTTGGCATACAAAAAAAAAGATCGAGGCCCTTGAGTTTGAACTTGGGCAGTTCTTTGCATGAGAAGGCTTCATGCTGATCAGTCCTCAGTTAATATAAGAAGAAACTGCGCCAGAGATCCTAGGCTTAGGCAATAAGAAAACAAGAGGAAGGTGAGCCGTAGATGTGTCGGTCATCGGAGTGCGGTTAAATGCAGGACCGAACAAGGTAGCTAACCAGTAGACGCTCTCGATGCAACAGGTACAGGCTTCACCGTTCGATGAAAGCGCCTCCCTCAAACTCAACGTGAAAAAAATCTTTACAACAGGCTTCCTAGTCCTCATTGAACAAAATGATAGCCATTTCGAAAAAACGTCACGATGACGGAAAAGCAAGACGAGTCATAGGCCACTCAGCAGGTGAGCGCCGACGAGGTCGATGATCGCTGCTTGGAAAGCGTGCTCGCTGATAGAATTTAAGAGCTCGAACTCTTACCAGACTCCTGCGATGGGACGATGGAGAAAGATGGCAGGTAATCGAAGAAAACGTGGTCGTAGCCTCTTTCGTAACGACGAAAAAAGGGGAAGATCATACAGTTGTAATGACCATCATTGTTAAGGTCTCACTTAAGCCATCTTTTCGTTCATCTGTGACCTGCTTTCAAGTAGAAGAAGGGACACAGATGAGGGAGAAGATGCATTGGAGTGAGTTCGAATATTGGAGGTGAGCTCTCGCAGGCTCCTCACTAGTATTATCATCAGCGCTGCCACTGTCACTATCAGGATTCTTCACTTGTTTGCTCATCATGCATTGCCCGTTTCATCACGGTCAATTAGCACAGCTTGTAACAATTGTGAGAGTCTTGGACTGTGTGATATTACGGGTGTAGAGAGGTGAGATTGAACCCTATCAAATGTGGTTCGTCAGGATTTAAACTGATTTAGGGTTAGGTCATAAAAAACCATTTTTTCGAGGACGATTGGACTTCTCAACTTTCAGATTTGGGTTCCTGAAGTTTCAAACTTGAGCTATGGCCTCCATCACTACCATAGTTTCACTCTCATCACACCATATCTGTTTCATCGCTATGATAGTTGATATCGTCACCATTGTGCTAGCCCTCGAATGTGCTACTCTTAAAGTAGTATGCCACTGTAGACGTTGCACAAAGTTGAATCTGGAAGATATTGAATGGGGCTCCTCAGGATTTGAATTGATTTGCTTGGCGATAAAAAACCATTTTTTCGAGGATTGGGCTTTTCAAATTTCAGAATTACGAAGTCGTGAAGTTCTAAGCTTAGAACTATGGTCATTACTATCAGCATATCAATCAGCGTATCAATCTCTTCACACCTCATCTGTTTCGTCACTATGTATCATAGTTCACAGTGTCACCATTGTCTTCGCCTTAGAATGCATTGCGCCTATGCAGAAAGTTGAATCTGAAAGTGAATGTGGCTCCTCAGGATTTCAATTGATTTGCTTGGCGATAAAAAACCATTTTTTCGAGGATTCGAGCACTTCCAGGTTCGAGCACTTTCAGTTCTCAGCTATGACCTTCAAGTAGTAGCAGTGGTATTTCTCAGTGGAAGTAGTAGCAGGAGGAGGAAGTAGGCGCGATGATTATCTAATGCGCTTGGTTTCTTCCAGCTCACCAGGAAGGTTGGCAACAGTGACGTATGTATGCATCCATGCATAAACAGATGGCAAGTTCGGAGTTGTAGTCAAAATTTTGACTGCAACTCCGAACTTGCCATCTGTTTATGCAGATGAAGGTAGGTTTTTAATGTAGACAAAAGTCGTTTTTTTTTGACGCTCAACAACTCGGTCGTTAAAACAAAAGTCTGTCGTTAAAACAAAAGTCTGTCGTTGACACAAAAGTCTGTCGTTAAAACAAAAGTCTGTCGTTAAAACAAAAGTCTGTCGTTGACACGAGAATCGGTCGTTGACACGAGAATCGGTCGTTGACACAAGAATCGGTCGTTGACACGAGAATCGGTCGTTGTGATGTTTGTGACAGTACGAACTCCAGTGACTCCCTCCACCTCTGCCTCTCCCTTTCTCCATCGCGTAGACCATGATGATGTGATATTTACTTTCCGTTCATATTGTATCTAGATGCGCACTTTATCTCGTTGGGGAATTTAGTTTTTATTTGGCTTTCTTGTATATCAATATTCCTATTTCTGTTGTTGATCTTTGTTGCGAAGAACAAGTGAAATCAGTAGGGGATAAAGCGCAGAATGGTTAGAGGAAATACACACCATCGTTTTCATAGAAGAGAGAAGCAAGGGCTGTAGTTTCCAAGAAAACTTCTGAGACAGTAGCATTAAATTTTTTTGAGATCGTCATACATGGGTTGAATTTTCATTCGCGAACAGAGGTTATCAGAATCATGACGGACACAGAAGCCGCCACACTTTCTGGCGGCACAGGCACGGCCGAGACCCGAGCAACGCAAAACGAATCGATTGCGAGCGGTGAGGAGGAGGTTCTTACATCATACTAAACTGCTAGGTTTTTTTTTACTGAATGGCCTTGAGCAAAAGACTGACCACAACTCATTAGATTAGGTCTTAAAGGTTTACAGCTTGTGAAGAGCTCACTGCTATTCATGATGACGTATTAAATAGACAGTCTATGATAAACCCCGCTGAGTCGTTTCCTAAAAAACCTGCTCTGTCTTGGGTGCAGCGCATCATTATGTGCAAAATTTTCATAAAAGTCTTTCCTAAGATAAATATACTTTCTTTTTCTTACGGCTCTCATTCTCACTCTACTTCAGTTGTTCTACCCGACCACGAACCCGCTGCTGGCTGAACTCTATCTCATATGCGATGAACTATATAATTGGGAGCTTGAGACTGTGCGGCAGACCGCGTTGTGTGCGCTGGGTGAGGAAAAAACGGAGGTAATGACGTGGGATTCTAGAGCCAATATCAAGGAAGGACGAGAAGAGATCACAACCACATTGTTTACTTACAGAAATAAATACACCTATGGTACTGTAACTAAAGGGTTTCTTCTGAAACTACATCATTTCACTTTCAAGCCGCAATTTTATGTGAAAAAACATCGTAGAAATGAAATGTCTCATCTAGCGTGGGACCCTAGCCCTCACCCTTATGATATCAGTTTCTTTTGTCCGGAATCCACAACGACGACGAAGAGGCTTTGCGAAAGACTGCGGTTTTGCTTACGAAGTCCGACGTTGACACTATCGCGCGCTTATTCGCCTATTTCGGCATTCCGCCTGACGATTGTGCTTTCGTTGTATTTATTGCTTTAAACAGCATGATGACTTGACTGACTGTGAATCTATCAGGAGGTGTCTATGTGGTCTAGCAAATATGTATTTCTATCGTTATCCTTTTTCCTAGGGAAGTAGGTACTAGAAGAAGGACTTCTGCTGGAGACGTCCAAGTGTGGATGAGACGCCCTAGACAGTTTTAGGTAGTAGCATCTAATTGATTCTATTTTTAACCCAATAGAAGTAGTTCGAGTGACTGAGTGAGTAACTTCTTTCCGTCTACAACTAACAAGATCAGCTACGCTATTTTTAAGGGCTCCGGGGTTGCATCCTTCACTACCATTCTTCTGGACTTTTTTTCATTCAATAGGAAATGGAACGAAGGTCAAGGATGATCGGAAGAATGCCATAATAAATTGCACAAGAATGATTGGAACTCTCTCTGTCTCCCTCCCTGTCTCCCTCTCTCTCTCTCTCTCTCTTTCTCACTCTCTCGCACTCTCTTTCTTTCTCTCTCTCTCCCTCCATCTCTCTCTCTCTCTCCGTCCATCTCTCTCCCTCTCTCTGTCTCTCTTTCTCACTCTCTCTCTCTCACTCTCTTTCTTTCTCTCTCTCTCTGTCAGGGTGGGGGCGACGTGAATGACAAGAGCCTGGCGAGATGGCTTGATAGTACATTGAAGTGGATTTTTCGGACGCGAGATAGCGCATTGATGAAGTGCCGCGATATGGATGCCAAAGCGGGGATATTGGTACTTTAATCGGCTGTAAATGACACAGCTTTCATCTTCTGGTCGAATCGAAAAACTGAAATAACCGAGTATGCTACGGAATAACCTAAGATACTCGGTTATCATGTTTGTTACAACTTGCTTATCTCAGTTTTTGTTCTTTGTGACGCAGTCTTCTTCAATCTTCTTGAAAACGGCACTTCAATCTTCGTGAACAAAGCAACATCTAAGTGACGCAACAACATTTCAGTCTTCTTGAAAACACGACGGAAGTAGTGACACCAATCTTCTCTCCTAAGAGCGAGTGTATCTAAAAGTTGTTGGGCTACCCAGGAGGGGAGTACATGCGTAATTAGAAGGTGAAAGAATGTAAAAGTTGTTGGTCTACCCAGGAGGGGAGTACATGCGTAATTAGGAGCTGAATTTGCTGAATTCACTCCAAATATTAGAAGGAGGGGAATACTGCGTAATTAGGATTCTCCTTGTAGTAGAGAAGTCGACTACTTACACTACTGCAAGAGACGCAATCAGAGTCCTTCGTTTCCCACTCCAGAATTGCTGCGCGTGGTTCAGAAATATGACTAGGAGCAAGACGAGCGTTTGGGTTTGTAGGTATGAGCGCGACGGCCTGTGCGAAGCTACCAGAGAGGGAGCTGATTACTGTGCAGCTGAGAGGACGCTGAGACATGAACTCCTGCGGTACAACTCCTAATCGCTCTTGAGTGTGAATAAATTATAGAGAATCGCGTCACCGAATCGTAAGATAGTGTGCCATTCCCACCAACTTCAATACCATCATGATCATCGTCACATCCTCATCATTACGACCACGACCCCACAGATCCTATCTCTCCGAAGCTGAGTACAACGCGACAACTCGTTGGCTGTATCGTGGAAGAGCTTTCCGCAAATTTTTTGGGGGAGCTTTTTTGGCATTCTCAGCGTTCCTGTCGCAAGATCTTTGGCATGTTTAAGATCTTTTAATCTTGCAACGAATTAGTTTAAGGGTAGGTTAAAGGTGCTTTTCTTACCGCTTTTTATGCCTCTCCTAAGGGAGAAAGGCATAACAAGCAGGGTAAGCGAGCACCAAAAACCTACCTCTAATTAGTACAACTAGCCGTATTGAGTGTTTCCTTGTTGAAGATGCCTATGAAAATTCTTCCTTGCTCTTTCATCATTGAGCCTATTTTGTATGTGGTTAGAGTGTTCTGAATGGCACAGCAGATTTCTCTGGTACAATTCAAAAGAGAAACTTGTCACATCATAATTGGAGAGAACTCACACAAGTTTGGGTAGTCAGCAATACCGAACACGTTCGTGGACAGGAAGATAGTCGCAACAGCTACATTCACGATTCACCTACATACGCCTAGTCTCCTCTATAATGTGTACTATCTTGTTAGCACTAAGTAACTCTATGAGCCTCTGATATGCACTAAGAGGGTCACTTGTTAGCTCTTTATGTTAAAAGAATATCAATATCCAGTTAACACTAAGTGCAACATTTGCTTCCTCTAACATGTCCAAGCGCGTCGGCGCGGCTATCTGCGAGGCTCGGGGCGATTCTTGGGCGACGAAGTAGAGGAAAACGCTTTCGATGCGGTTGACCACAACACACAGGATGGCGAAGAAAATTTTCTCGAGAAGGCCAATTCCGATGGGCGCTCTAAGTTCGTCAGCAGTTCTCCCAGTACAGGAAGAGGGCTTGCTCGGAAAGATTCCTCGAAGACGAGCAAACCTAAAACGGCTGAAACCGGAGGTGCTGTCGCTCAGACAATGGCTGCAAACGAAGGTGCTGTCGCTCAGACACCAGCCGAAACCGATAGTAGAGGTACTGGCGCTCAGACAATGAGCGGAAGCGGAAGTTGTTGCGATGAGACAATGGCGAAAACCGAAGGCAGTGGCGCCCAGACACCGGCTAGCGCCGAACGTACTGGCGCTGAGGCAACGGCTCAAACCGAAGGTAGTGGCGCTCAGATACCGACTAAAACTGATGGCAATGGCGCTCGAAGACCGGCTAGAACCGAAGGTAGTGGCGCTCTAACATCGGCTAACACCGAACCTACTGGCGCTTCAACATCGGCTAACACCGAACCTACTGGCGCTTCAACATCGGCTAACACCGAACCTACTGGCGCTTCAACATCGGCTAACACCGAACCTACTGGCGCTTCAACATCGGCTAACACCGAACCTACTGGCGCTTCAACATCGGCTAACACCGAACCTACTGGCGCTTCAACATCGGCTAACACCGAACCTACTGGCGCTTCAACATCGGCTAACACCGAACCTACTGGCGCTTCAACATCGGCTAACACCGAACCTACTGGCGCTTCAACATCGGCTAACACCGAACCTACTGGCGCTTCAACATCGGCTAACACCGAACCTACTGGCGCTTCAACATCGGCTAACACCGAACCTACTGGCGCTTCAACATCGGCTAACACCGAACCTACTGGCGCTTCAACATCGGCTAACACCGAACCTACTGGCGCTTCAACATCGGCTAACACCGAACCTACTGGCGCTTCAACATCGGCTAACACCGAACCTACTGGCGCTTCAACATCGGCTAACACCGAACCTACTGGCGCTTCAACATCGGCTAACACCGAACCTACTGGCGCTTCAACATCGGCTAACACCGAACCTACTGGCGCTTCAACATCGGCTAACACCGAACCTACTGGCGCTTCAACATCGGCTAACACCGAACCTACTGGCGCTTCAACATCGGCTAACACCGAACCTACTGGCGCTTCAACATCGGCTAACACCGAACCTACTGGCGCTTCAACATCGGCTAACACCGAACCTACTGGCGCTTCAACATCGGCTAACACCGAACCTACTGGCGCTTCAACATCGGCTAACACCGAACCTACTGGCGCTTCAACATCGGCTAACACCGAACCTACTGGCGCTTCAACATCGGCTAACACCGAACCTACTGGCGCTTCAACATCGGCTAACACCGAACCTACTGGCGCTTCAACATCGGCTAACACCGAACCTACTGGCGCTTCAACATCGGCTAACACCGAACCTACTGGCGCTTCAACATCGGCTAACACCGAACCTACTGGCGCTTCAACATCGGCTAACACCGAACCTACTGGCGCTTCAACATCGGCTAACACCGAACCTACTGGCGCTTCAACATCGGCTAACACCGAACCTACTGGCGCTTCAACATCGGCTAACACCGAACCTACTGGCGCTTCAACATCGGCTAACACCGAACCTACTGGCGCTTCAACATCGGCTAACACCGAACCTACTGGCGCTTCAACATCGGCTAACACCGAACCTACTGGCGCTTCAACATCGGCTAACACCGAACCTACTGGCGCTTCAACATCGGCTAACACCGAACCTACTGGCGCTTCAACATCGGCTAACACCGAACCTACTGGCGCTTCAACATCGGCTAACACCGAACCTACTGGCGCTTCAACATCGGCTAACACCGAACCTACTGGCGCTTCAACATCGGCTAACACCGAACCTACTGGCGCTTCAACATCGGCTAACACCGAACCTACTGGCGCTTCAACATCGGCTAACACCGAACCTACTGGCGCTTCAACATCGGCTAACACCGAACCTACTGGCGCTTCAACATCGGCTAACACCGAACCTACTGGCGCTTCAACATCGGCTAACACCGAACCTACTGGCGCTTCAACATCGGCTAACACCGAACCTACTGGCGCTTCAACATCGGCTAACACCGAACCTACTGGCGCTTCAACATCGGCTAACACCGAACCTACTGGCGCTTCAACATCGGCTAACACCGAACCTACTGGCGCTTCAACATCGGCTAACACCGAACCTACTGGCGCTTCAACATCGGCTAACACCGAACCTACTGGCGCTTCAACATCGGCTAACACCGAACCTACTGGCGCTTCAACATCGGCTAACACCGAACCTACTGGCGCTTCAACATCGGCTAACACCGAACCTACTGGCGCTTCAACATCGGCTAACACCGAACCTACTGGCGCTTCAACATCGGCTAACACCGAACCTACTGGCGCTTCAACATCGGCTAACACCGAACCTACTGGCGCTTCAACATCGGCTAACACCGAACCTACTGGCGCTTCAACATCGGCTAACACCGAACCTACTGGCGCTTCAACATCGGCTAACACCGAACCTACTGGCGCTTCAACATCGGCTAACACCGAACCTACTGGCGCTTCAACATCGGCTAACACCGAACCTACTGGCGCTTCAACATCGGCTAACACCGAACCTACTGGCGCTTCAACATCGGCTAACACCGAACCTACTGGCGCTTCAACATCGGCTAACACCGAACCTACTGGCGCTTCAACATCGGCTAACACCGAACCTACTGGCGCTTCAACATCGGCTAACACCGAACCTACTGGCGCTTCAACATCGGCTAACACCGAACCTACTGGCGCTTCAACATCGGCTAACACCGAACCTACTGGCGCTTCAACATCGGCTAACACCGAACCTACTGGCGCTTCAACATCGGCTAACACCGAACCTACTGGCGCTTCAACATCGGCTAACACCGAACCTACTGGCGCTTCAACATCGGCTAACACCGAACCTACTGGCGCTTCAACATCGGCTAACACCGAACCTACTGGCGCTTCAACATCGGCTAACACCGAACCTACTGGCGCTTCAACATCGGCTAACACCGAACCTACTGGCGCTTCAACATCGGCTAACACCGAACCTACTGGCGCTTCAACATCGGCTAACACCGAACCTACTGGCGCTTCAACATCGGCTAACACCGAACCTACTGGCGCTTCAACATCGGCTAACACCGAACCTACTGGCGCTTCAACATCGGCTAACACCGAACCTACTGGCGCTTCAACATCGGCTAACACCGAACCTACTGGCGCTTCAACATCGGCTAACACCGAACCTACTGGCGCTTCAACATCGGCTAACACCGAACCTACTGGCGCTTCAACATCGGCTAACACCGAACCTACTGGCGCTTCAACATCGGCTAACACCGAACCTACTGGCGCTTCAACATCGGCTAACACCGAACCTACTGGCGCTTCAACATCGGCTAACACCGAACCTACTGGCGCTTCAACATCGGCTAACACCGAACCTACTGGCGCTTCAACATCGGCTAACACCGAACCTACTGGCGCTTCAACATCGGCTAACACCGAACCTACTGGCGCTTCAACATCGGCTAACACCGAACCTACTGGCGCTTCAACATCGGCTAACACCGAACCTACTGGCGCTTCAACATCGGCTAACACCGAACCTACTGGCGCTTCAACATCGGCTAACACCGAACCTACTGGCGCTTCAACATCGGCTAACACCGAACCTACTGGCGCTTCAACATCGGCTAACACCGAACCTACTGGCGCTTCAACATCGGCTAACACCGAACCTACTGGCGCTTCAACATCGGCTAACACCGAACCTACTGGCGCTTCAACATCGGCTAACACCGAACCTACTGGCGCTTCAACATCGGCTAACACCGAACCTACTGGCGCTTCAACATCGGCTAACACCGAACCTACTGGCGCTTCAACATCGGCTAACACCGAACCTACTGGCGCTTCAACATCGGCTAACACCGAACCTACTGGCGCTTCAACATCGGCTAACACCGAACCTACTGGCGCTTCAACATCGGCTAACACCGAACCTACTGGCGCTTCAACATCGGCTAACACCGAACCTACTGGCGCTTCAACATCGGCTAACACCGAACCTACTGGCGCTTCAACATCGGCTAACACCGAACCTACTGGCGCTTCAACATCGGCTAACACCGAACCTACTGGCGCTTCAACATCGGCTAACACCGAACCTACTGGCGCTTCAACATCGGCTAACACCGAACCTACTGGCGCTTCAACATCGGCTAACACCGAACCTACTGGCGCTTCAACATCGGCTAACACCGAACCTACTGGCGCTTCAACATCGGCTAACACCGAACCTACTGGCGCTTCAACATCGGCTAACACCGAACCTACTGGCGCTTCAACATCGGCTAACACCGAACCTACTGGCGCTTCAACATCGGCTAACACCGAACCTACTGGCGCTTCAACATCGGCTAACACCGAACCTACTGGCGCTTCAACATCGGCTAACACCGAACCTACTGGCGCTTCAACATCGGCTAACACCGAACCTACTGGCGCTTCAACATCGGCTAACACCGAACCTACTGGCGCTTCAACATCGGCTAACACCGAACCTACTGGCGCTTCAACATCGGCTAACACCGAACCTACTGGCGCTTCAACATCGGCTAACACCGAACCTACTGGCGCTTCAACATCGGCTAACACCGAACCTACTGGCGCTTCAACATCGGCTAACACCGAGCCTACTGGCGCTTCAACATCGGCTAACACCGAACCTACTGGCGCTACAACATCGGCTAACACCGAACGTACTGGCGCTTCAACATCGGCTAACACCGAACGTACTGGCGCTGAGGGAACGGCCAACACCGAACGTACTGGCGCTGAGGGAACGGCTAACACCGAAGGCACTAAGGATCAGGCAACGGCTGTAGCTGGAAGTTCTGGCAATCAGGGAATGGCTGGAGCCGGAAGTTCTGGCGAACAGACACCGGCTGCAACCGGTACTGGAGGTACTGTGGGTCAGACAGCGGCAGCAATCACTACTGCTGTTACTGGCGCTCAGACAACGGCGCCAACCGGTACTGGAGGTACTGTGGGTCAGACAGCGGCAGCAATCACTACTGCTGTTACTGGCGCTCAGACAACGGCGCCAACCGGTACTGGAGGTACTGTGGGTCAGACAGCGGCAGCAATCACTACTGCTGTTACTGGCGCTCAGACAACGGCGCCAACCGGTACTGGAGGTACTGTGGGTCAGACAGCGGCAGCAATCACTACTGCTGTTACTGGCGCTCAGACAACGGCGCCAACCGGTACTGGAGGTATTGACGATGAGACAACGGGAGCAGTCGGTGCTGGAAGTAGTGGCGATCAGACAACTGGGGCAGTCGGTACTGGAGGTATTGACGATAAGACAGCGGCGGCAATCGGTACTCGAGATACTGGCGCTGAGGCAATAGAGATAGCGGCTGCAACCGAAGCCACTGACGCTGAGGCAAGAATGGCTGCAGCCGGAAGTTCTGACGATGAGACACGACAGCATAAAGCCGAAGGTGCTACTCCTACTGCCCCTACTACTACTAGATGGAAGCAGCTCCCAAGCAAGTTCAAGTTCTTTACAGGAGGAAGAGGATGGCCTGCTCGGAGATCTTCCTCGAAGATAGGCAACCATCTAACGGCTGCAACCGATGACACTGGCGCAGAGACAGCGGCTCCTGCAACGGGAAGTTCTCGCGAGCAGACACCGGCTGAGGCCAAAGGTGCTGGTACTACTAGTGGCGCTGTTGAGACAACTGCTGGAACCGGTACTGCAGGTAGTGGCGCTCAGACAATGGCTGCAGCCGGAGCTGCTGGCGAGCAGACACCGGATAAAGCCGAAGGTGATAGTACTCCTACTGCCCCTACTACTACTGGATGGAAGCTCCGAAGCAAGCTCCCTACAGGAGGATGGCTTGGTCGGAGATCTTCCTCGAAGATAGGCAACCATCTAACGGCTGCAACCGATGACACTGGCGCGGAGACAGCGGCTTCTGCAGCCGGAAGTTCTGGCGAGCAGACACCGGCAACAAATAAAGATGCTACTGCTACTACTACTGCTACTAGAATGAAGGCCATTTTTTCTACAGGAGGAGGGCGCGATCGGAAAGTTTTCCCGAGGATAGGCAAGCGGGCAAAGGCTGAGACGGGAGATCATGCTGTCGAACAGACAATGGCTGTAACCGGAGGTGCTGCTGCTGGGGATCAGACACTGGCTCAAAATGGCGGTGCTACTGCTACTGCTGGCGCTCGGGCAGTGGCTGCAACTGAAGCTGTTCTTGGCGCTGGGACACCGGCTCCAACGACTGCAACAGGGACTGGAGGTACCGGCGATCAGAGGACACCGGCTGTAACCGGTCCTGTGGGTCGGCGAGGCAGCAGTTGGAATTTCGCTCGAGCTGCAACAAGGTTTGCTCAGGATCTGTACTCAAAGAAGAAACAGACAAGGGCTGGCGCGGGCGCTGAGGCAACGGCTGATGGCCAAGGCACTAGCGCTGAGGCAACGGCTGAAACCGGTACTGGAGGTACTGTCGCTCAGGGGACAACGGCTGAAGCCCGAGGGACTGGCGCTGAGGAAACTGGGACAGTGGCTGCAGCCGAAGGCACTGGTGCTGATGCAACGAGTTCTGGCGAGAGGACACCGGCCAAAACCGAAGGAGCTGCTACTACTACTGCTGCTAGAAAGAACGAGAAGGCCAATTCCAATCGGCGCTTTCAGCTCTTCACCAATTTTGCTCGGATAGTTAGCCCGATGAAGACGAGGAAACATCCAAGGGCTGAGAGGGGAGATACTGACGGGACAGTGGCTGCAACCGGAGGCTCTGTTTCTCAGACAAATGCTGCAGCCGAAGGGGAAATGGATGAAGCCGGAGGTACGAACCCTCAGGGGACAACGGCTGAAGCCGGACGTAATGTCGCTGGGGCAACGACTGAACACGAGCATCCTGACGCTGGGCAAATGGGTGAAAACACGGGCGCGAGCCGTGTGGCAACGGCTGAAGCCGGAGGTACTGTCGCTCACACACGCGCTACTACTACTGGCGCTCAGGCAACGGCTGCAACCGAAGGTGCTGACGCTCAGACGCTCGGTGGCAGAGGTACTGGCGATCAGAAGATAACGGCTGCATCCGGAAGCACTAACGCTGGGGAAATGGCTGCATCCGGAAGCACTAACGCTGGGGAAATGGCTGCAACCCAAGGCACTGACGCTGGGGAAATGGCTGCAACCCAAGGCACTGACGCTGGGGAAGTGGCTGAAGCCGGAGGCACTGACGCTGGGGAAGTGGATGAAGCCGAACGCATCGAGTTACGGCGACCAAATTTGATGAATTTTGAACTTCTTGTGCATGATTTTGATTAACAGTATTTGCTTTTTCTCTCACGCTCGCATGGGGTTGTTTTTTTGTTCTCCGCTGCTTGAACGGGATAGTAGACTAGTCTCATAAATACACTCATACATGATTATGTGGATAGCGGTCGAACTTCTGGCACTTCTCAGAGAATTATAGATGATGGTCTTTCAGCAGTATGAAATAGTGCTGTAGTGCTTCAAGCTGTGACCGCTGTTTGATGTTTTTATAGTCGTCTAACCTCGGAGGAATGGCTCGAGTCGCCAGCTCCTGCAGAAGATGAGGACGACGGCGCGCAGGACCACCCGAGACCGAAGCAGAAGGAGGTCGTTGTGGACCACACTGCTCCTTTCAAGTATGATGGTAATTTTATGGTGCCTTGGGTATGGAGGGGGTGCAGTACGTGGTATTTTGGGGACGGTTATTTGCGTGACGAATTCAAAAAATTCGTTTCGCTCAACGAAGAGGACCCTCTGAGAGTGCATGTAGGGAAGGGCACACCTATGATTGTGGGGAGGAGAAAAGGTGGACCTCCTCCTAGGGGCGATCCAATCGAGAAGGATACATACGACTTGTATTCCTACATCAAGGATGAAGATGGACATAAAGGGAAATGGATTCGACACACCCAAGCGAAAACGCGTGTACGCGCGCTTGGTTGTCTTGAAGTTGATGAATAAGATTCGATAGTTGCTGTAGTTAGTTTAGTTGGTATATAAAATAGTTTAGTTCTTTCTACACAGCTATATTTTTACTTGCTCCTACTTCCCACTCCCCGGGTCCCATCCTCCTTTCTCCTCCCCCCTGCCCCTCCGTCTACAATGCACTGTAACCCTCTTCATGCAGATACGCTTGCTAAGCATTGTCTTGCCTCTGGTCTTTTTTTCAGTTTAGGATATACATCACAGCAATCGATCATCGTAAGGCACCAGTAGCCAAAGGAGGATGGCTTTCTTCTATCATGAACATACCCAACTGCAATCTCAAGTGATTATCTGGACAACCGGTAACGTTTGAAGACAAAAGGAGTCATAGTGAATCCCCACTTCCTACAGCTTTCTTCAGACTTCTGAGGCAGACTCCATTCCACGGTAAGGAATAAGAAGCTTATAAAGATTTGTTCATAGTTAGAAGTTTAAAGGTTATTGTTTGTCTTCGTATACTCGAAAACTGAAAATACGCGAGTTACTGACTGAAGTAAATGAGTCCTGACTAAGTGCATTCCTCGCCATTTTTCAGTACCTCGCTTATTTTAAGTAGTTACTCGGTTATTTCAGTTTTTCGAATACCTGTAGCTGTATTCTGTAAGTTCAACAGTAGTTGTTGGGGCAGAATTTACCTTCATATATCTACCTACCACCGCCGAGTGTAGCTCTACCTACCTACCTACCTACCTACCTACCTACCTACCTACCTACCTACTCACCTACCATTTACTAGGCAATCTGGGGGGTGAATAGATTCGAATCATCATCATAGGTACGTACCAACTTTTCATAGTCGTTATTCTGGATCCCTCTTGCCCCCGCCTCATCCTCTTCGTTTTCTCTGATTTTTCATACCCCTTACAAAGTGTTTTGATGTTTTTGTATAATGTAAAGTTCTAAACTTAAATTGACTACACTAATGCTGAGGATCAAGAGTGATCCATATTGAGTGTTTCCACCGGAAGAGTGAGCTGCGAGTGATTCATGCAAACTGACCATCTGTGTCTATTCTATGAGAAGCTAGTCTTCTACTTTCTTCTTCCTGGAACTCCTACTCATGTGAATGGACAACCCAGTTCGCGGATGCCGAGAGCTCTGCAGTTAGGAACCATAGAGTGAAGTCCACCTTGGTGGCATCTAGCTGATTGGTGTGTTCTCGTCCTCTGCAGCCAGCTACAATCAATCAGATGATGATGACGAGAATGACGATCTAAGTTTCGATACGACTACAATTTCAATTCAGTTCGTTTGAAAAGTTCCAATCTTACAATGGTAGCGGAGATAGTGGTTACTGAGATTCACACAGTATCTAGTACTGCGTTAAAAATTTTTATGAAATTAGTTTCATCTGACTTAGTTAGGAAGGAATGAGAGTCAAGGTATAATATGAGCCCAATAACGAGAATAAGATAGGAACCCCATCAAGGACTAACTTAACAGAACAACCAACAGTGATACAAGATAACAGGACTGGCTGCAGTGTGACGAGAGCCCCAAAAGAGTGAGTAAGGCAAAGAGTGTAAAAATTGGATGACAGAGGTCTTTAATAATTATGAATGAATATCAGTTGATGTATAAGTGTCTACATACTGAAAAATAACATGGAAAAGCAGTCGAAAGTGGACGCAAGCATTAGCAAAGAGAGGCGAGAGGCCAGAGCTGATTTCTTCAAACAGAAAGGAAGTGGAACATCAAAGAAGAGTTTCATGATTGTACTTGGTTCGGAACAACATCTTTTAACACCGGAACAAGTAGCTGGACTGGATGCAAAAAGAAGGAAGAAGTATTTGAAGGAACCGAACGTGTTTATTGCTCGGCTACGTGAACAAGGTGCAGTAGCATATGACCCGAATGTAACACAGTACCACACATCGGCATCATCACGGAAAGCAAGATATGAAGCAAACAAAAGTATCGGAAAATAAAGTAGTTGCAACATCTTCAGCATTCTTGCTACCAGGAATTACTGCAGCTCAGAACGAGCTCTGGAAACACATTGAAGGAGTGCGCAGGCGTCGGTTTAAGGGGTGCACTTCCGGCATCATCGGTCCTCGCATGTTCTCATATCTCGCAACACAAGTAACGTCATCCGGAGTGCCATACATCCTCGACTTTGACTTCTGTCGCGGTAGAAAGGAAGCGGGACAAGCCACTACTGCAAACATTCATCACTACAACATCCCAAAGCGGATTGGAAGAATTGTTGCAGCACTAACTAATAAGTACTGGCTGTCGAAGCTTCTGACGTCGGAAGATAAGGTCTTGTTTCTCTCACAATTCGCATTCACTGGTGCAGAGAAGAGTACATTCGAACACAACATAGGTGGTGAGCCGAGTTATCCATTAGATGGAGTAGAGTCTATGAGGAAACTGCATCATCTGAAGGATTGCAACGAAGGGAAGGCTCCCAAGAACAAAAGTGAACGAGTATTGATTGCGACACGTAACATGAATCGGAGCGGTTTTGCAACCGGGTTTTGGTGGAACGGATTAGGTGTATCTGGCTACAATTTTCGACCTTCTGACATCGAGAAAGCAGAGTAAAAAGCAGAAAAGAGTAGTTGGAAAGGTGATCATTTGAACGCATAATAGTAGAAGCAACAGAAGAATAGCCAGAGTCATAGTATTACTTGAATCATCACTACGATGGTGACAGCACGACATCATCGTAACCAGCAGCAAAACAGTGCTGCAAGATCAAGAGGTGGAGTTTCTAACTACCCACCTCCACCGCCTCCGCCTCCAATCCCCATTACGAACATGATCAGCGGTAGCGGGTCAAGTAGCGATGATCCCATGAATGGGAACAATGGAAGAAATGCAATCGTTCCGTTCAGTGGAATGGTGGCCCATCAGAACGCTAACCAACACAACTGGAGCAAAGGTGCAAATCGTCAGGGTGAGCAGTGGAATAGCAACCCAAATGGAAAGGGTCAAGTAGTAGCTCCCTATGGTGCTGCTAGAAGTGGTGCTGGTGGTAAAAAAGGAGCCCATGTCCCTGATTGGTATCGTGGACAGCAGCAGCTGGCAAAGGGCATGCATGAAGCACTTCAGCATGTGCAGGGAGTGAGTGAGGCCATCACTAACGAGCAGCAGCATCGAGTTGCTGGGGACAGCAACCTACAACAAGGCATCCAAGTGCAAGGGCAGCAGATCAACCAGCAGGGTCAGATGATTCAGCAGGGACAGCAGCTGTTAGCGGAAAATATTGGAAGGGTCCAACAAGTTGTAGGACAAATACAGCAACAGCAGCAGAACACCTCGGCTATACAAGGATCAGTAGAACAACTGCAACATGCGACCCATGAAGCTAAGCACACCGCAGCAGAAGCAGAAGCAAAGAATAAAGAGCTTAGCGCCTCATTGATCGATGCAAAGAGGGCTGTCGATGAATATGCTCAGCAGCAGAAGCTGAACGAGAAAGAGATTGTTGATCATGTCAAGGATCAAAAAGCACTTCTTCAACAACAGAACGAGCAACTTGATCTGGCGAAAGAAAAAATCAAGAAGTTGGAGAAGAAGAGTGGCAAGAAGGAGGCAATTGCTGTACTTCAGAAAAGGATCAAGAGCATTGAGAAACATGTTGGTCGAGATGCTGAATTGGGTCAGAGACGTCTACTCTTCCTTCAGGAGAAACAGCTGGATCAGCGTAATCGTTGGCTCGATTCTCAGGCTCGTCGCCGATGGAAGAATGGAAAGAAGATTCTGGAGCAGAAGACTCAGGAAAGGCGCAGCACTTCGGAAAGGGAGTGGAAGTCAAGCTCGGACGAGGAGTCCAAGAAGTCGGCGGACACTGCACCAGCAACTCGTGCAACCGGTAGGCCAACAAGCTTTGATCTAAACAACAGCCTTCGTCACCTGCTGGAACAGCGTCTAGAAGAACAAGATCGTGAGAAGGAGAAAGCAAGGAGGAATAATGTTGACTCCGACATCTTCTACGCTGAGATGACACCACAAGAAGTGACTACTGACTACGTTGGAGGAAGTCCCGATGACGACACTCCAGTTCGTGACATGAGTCCGATTATTATGGAAATGGAGGATGAGGAGGAGCGACAGAAAGCCCGGCTCTTAGAGAAGAACCCGTTCTGGTCTCTTAGTCCTACGGCTGATTCAATGGGAAATCCAGAGCAGATTGACGAAGAACTTATTCGTGGACTTGAAGGGAGTGGTCTTGCTGAGGTCGTTGGTCAGAAAGTCAGCGGACCGCAGAGTCGAGTACCGACAACTGCGCCACAATCGCAGAAGACAACTAGTGGAGAATCAACTAGAAAAAAGAAGAATGCGAAGGAAGGGAAGGATGCCTCAAGGAAGAAGAAGCACGATGATTCTCCTGACAAGAAGAAGAAGGTGGAGAAGACACCATCGAAGAACCAGCAACGGAAGATCAATAAGCAACTCGGATTCTCGTCGGACGAATCGGACCAACCAGATAAAAAGCAACGGAAGCAGGCCAAGGAACGAAGAGACAAGTTGGTGTATCAGTCGAAGAAGAGGAACAATGCATCACCATCGGGACGACGTGCTCTTCGGCGTGAGAACCATGATAAGGAACGGGCAAAGAAGCACGTGTACAACACGCCACAGCACAGGAGGAGCAAAGCCAGCAGTAAGCAGGACGATGGTAATTCTACACTACCTGCGCCAGGTGGTGGTGGATCAAGCAGTTCCTCCTCTTCATCATCTTCATCATCTTCAGCCACTGGGGCAGATGCTAACAGTTCTACACCGTCTTCCGATGACCACCATGGGCACATGAAGATGAAAGGACAAGCTCCAGGACGAGCTAAGAAGACAGGAGGTGGTGGCAAGCCAGGAGATGGAACTTCTTCCTCATCGTCGAGCTCATCCTCTGACTCGGACTCATCAGAGAATGATTCGAATGATAACTCTGATACGGATCCAGGAGCTGGTGGTGACGATGACTCGAGTGACAGCGGGTCCAGCTCAGGTTCAGACGACGATGGAGACGACCCTGAAGATGGTGACTCTTCTTCTTCATCATCATCATCCTCCTCGTCGGATAAGAAAAAGAAAAAGAAGAAGAAGAAGAAAAAGGAGGAAAAGAAATCCAAGCAGGGGAAGAAACAAAAAGAAAGGCAGAAGAAGAAGAATCGTGGTAAGAAGAAGAAGATGAAGAGGTCTAGGCGTGGAGGCCAAATTGACCAAGAGCCAAGGTTTGAAGCACTAGACAACTCTGATCTGCAGGAACGTCGTCACTTCCCTTCTAATAAGACCATTTGTGGAGGTGTGCCCAACTTCCGTCGGATTCCTAACAAGAATGGAGCAATCAGTATTGACCGACGTGGAGGGATCATATGCACCATCGATGCATTCAGCACTCGATGTACCACTTGCGTCTCAACTTCTAACCGCTGGCTTTGACGTGAAGTCGAGACATCTTGCGAAACTAGATCCGAGGAATCTGTTACCGATGCGGAAGTACAGTGGAGAGAGATCAATCTTCACCTGGAAATCACATCTCGAATCTAAACTCGAGTGTGCACTATCAGTGCAAGGAGCGCTGAGTACAGGACACGAGCATACGGTAGTGAAGGACTACTGGCTAGAGCATGGTCATACTCATGAAGAGAGGATGCAGATTTACTCAATGCGCTACATCGACGACTCAGACAAGAACACATGGTTGATTGACAACTACTTCCGCAGCTTACTCGAGATGGATCCGGAGCGCGGCAATCGCACAGCGGAGTACATTAGGGAATGGTCAATTTCTCATGGTGGTTGGAAGCAGAATAACGCAAATCTGTACCGCGAGCTTCTCCGTTTCCAAGTTGCTTCAACGCAGGTTGGCTTCGCCTTACAACCGAAAGGACTTGTTGGACAACTTCTTGTTCTACATGAACTTCTCGAACGAGTAGCAATCGCCAAGAACATCCAAGAAGAGATTCTGCAGATGTCGTGCAAACCAGTAATCCGCTTTAAGGATGCATTGCGCTACGCCGTACGCAATCAGAATATCCGAACAGCCAATGCACTGGTAGACATCCGAGACAAACGTTTACTTCGGGTGCACGATGCAGAAATCCGAGATGGGACAGTTGGCGAAGGTGACGGCGATGGCAACAATGGTGGTCAAGGAGAAGGAACAAGCCTAGATGTTGACATTCAGTCTACGGCTTATCACAAATTTAAGGACAAGATGCAACCTGAGAAAGGACAACAGGTGTGCTACTACTGTGCAGAAGCAGGACATATTGCCAGTCACTGTCCAGTGAAACTAGCTGGTGGAGATCCAAACTGTTGGCATTGTGGAGGAAAGCATGATGCAAGAGATTGCAAAATGCGTCCTACGGCAAACGCGATTGCAGCAGTTGCACGACGACTTCGACAGGCACAGGGCCGATTTAATCAAGCAGCCAGTCAAAGCCGTGGCTCGAATGCGAACAACACATCAGCTCGAGCAAATGCTCAAAGGTCTTCAACCTCAGTCGGTAGTCAACAGAGAGGTGGGCAGCATCAGAACAACAAGAAGCCGGCTCGAGGTGGCAAGTACTATGGCGGAAACATCAAGGCTGTGCTGTCTCTCTTTGACGAGAACGGCTATCAGGTGCAACGACTTGGAATTGACATCGACAATGCAAAACAACCACTGAAGGTCTTCAATGGTCGACTAACGGATGAACAAGCCATCGAGAATCTTTCGGAGGATGATCGTCTTCATGCTCAAGATCAAGATGGAGAGGAAAGCGATCCGCTTTTCGATTAAGCTCCGGCCAAAAGGCCCTAGTCGGGGCATCCTTCAAGGAAGAAAAAGGCGAACAGCATCTAGTCGGGAAGCACAAAATCTTTGTTCGTGAAGTGAGGGCAAGTCTTGCAGTAGTAGAAATACATAAGTTGATGAACGAACAGGAAGACAAGTTTTGGCTGGTAGACACAGGATACAACGCTTTCACTTACCTTGGAAAGCGTGATTGCGACGACTACATCAGAATCATGAGAACATACGGAATTGAGATTTTAGTGGAGGAGAGCAGATTCCGTGCAAAAACTGCTGGGGGATATGCTAAGATTCTTGGAGTGGTCCCAGTAGTATTTCATCTTCCCTCTGGTTGTCCACAAAGAATTGGCATTGTGGAAGGAATCATAATTGACGACACGGAGTGGCAGACACGTGCAACGAAACTGATAGGTGTACCACTACAGGAACGGTTGGGAATTGACATTATCAATTCAGAGAAGCGAGTTGTCTGCGGAAAATTTGTTGTGCATCCACGCAATAACCAGTACTTCATAGATCTTTGGGATGGACTAGAGGAAAAATTCCTGAAGCGCTTGCGAGGAACGTATCGGGATAGTTGTGGTGACATACATCTAGCAGTGCAAAAATTATCTTCAAAGCCACAACTAGCACGAAGAAAAGAATACAGCATATCACATCTTGAGGCGAGGACTTACTGCCACGAAGTACATCCAGCCGAAGTAGAGTTAACACCTGCCTATGACATACTTGAGAAAGACCTTGGAGTTAGTTTCCCATCAGAGGAGTGGTACGGATATGCCAGGACGTCCGTTGGAAATATCTTCTGCCTATTCAGTGAAGGAGAAGATGATAAAGCATGTTTGCGGGTTATTAGAAGCTTAGACAACATACAGCAGTTGACTCATCGAGATAGTAATTTTGATCAGCCGCAGAAACAGCCGTCACCAGTTCGTCCCCTACCTCTCAGCGGCGAGACGCATATTAACATCGTGCAATTCTACTATTTCAAGCAGCCGGCCGAGGGAGCCATACGAATCAGTACCGGGAATGTTTGCCAGGTGCCGATCATATCAAGGAATGTCTACAAACCAGCAATAGCTGACTTCACGAGGGCAGTGTCAACTCCCACATCTCTGTCATCGAGACGAATAGCAACTACAGCAGTGGGAAGGCAAGTTCCACTCCAGATGCGTGGCAGGGCAGTACGTTTTGTAGTGCCCCAGGTCCTGTGTGATCTGATTGAGCCTGGGCATACTGGACTCAGCATGAAGATGCAGAAGAAAATCAAGAATCATTTCGAGGCGTCACACTTTGTGGAAAAGATCAGTACCTTCATCTCGAAGAGCAAGAACGATGTTGCCGTGATTTGCCATAATGGGATCGGAGCAGACGTAGCACTTGCCGAATTAGTAAGTGAAGAACTTCAGCTGAAGCCCTCAAGACGTGCTGTCCACTTCTGTCTTGTGTCAACACTCGCAGGAAATGGTGAGAGAGTTACCTCTACTGGACGGATTCAAAAGTCTGGATTTGGCATTGCGCATCCTATTCAGGACTATTTTGATGACTTCAACTTCACAGTAGTGTATGATCCAAGGAAGAAGATGACACCTGCACAACTTGCCATCTACTCACAACTGGCAGCATACGCTCAACGACAAGGAGCGAGAGCACCAAGAAAGCTACTGGCAGATATTGCAAGGAAGGAATTCCGCAGCTTCAGCGCAACCGACGTGAAGATAGCGATTGACGCTGTGATGAGGAGAAGCTTGGTTGCTTATCGCTACACAGCATTGCCACTGAGGAAGAGCATTGGCACATGGTCAGCAGTAGACGTAACAGCAGTTTCGAAATTGGATACTACCTTTGCCTCGAGGACGCTAATGATTACCCCTGGTGCCATTGTGTTGATGACAAGGAAGGTCACGAACGATACCTGGGGAGAGTATGTTGGAGACAAGTTTCGGAATCAAAAGTTTGGGTCGCAGCTTGGTGATCTGGAGCTGACAGAGGAGATCAACCTGCGCGAGGAGGAGAAGGAAGCTACTATGAATGAAGAGGAAGCAATCTCAGATGCGGATGACGAAGGAGGAATAGAGAGCATTGATGCTTCAACATCCTCATCACGCAAGAGAAATCATAGGATGAAGAAAGAGGAGGGTGGCGGACAGCCAACGTCGAAACGAGTTATTCAGTTTGTGGCTGACAATATTGATCATGTTGGTCGAATTCTTGTAGTAGATCCCGGCAAGGAAAATGTCAGCGTGGACCTTCTTCTACTTCTGCTAGCCGTGGGCATTCGATTGCATCTGATAACAATCAACTCACCGAGAGCAATGGCAGAAGCAGAGGTGAACAACATGCATCTGAAGGCAGAACTTATTGCAATGCAGAGACATCCCCTGCTCCGTCATCTGTTTTTGTCGACACTTGTGAAGCTCGCATGCTACATTCGAAGGTGCCGTAGCTCTTGGAAGTCCTATCTTGAAAAATCTGAAGAGTGGAGAAACCAACGAAAAGACGAGGAACAAGAGACAAGTGCGCTTCGTTTTTGGGATCTAGAAGCGGCCAGGAAGTCTGAAGCACTTCGAGCAGAACACAGAGAAGCTGCCCAAGAGTGTCGAAGTAAGGTACTAACGTCACCGGCTCTCCACAAGGCACTGAAGCTCATACGCGACGATCTTGGACCAGTTGTGACCGCCTATGACCCGCAACCGGGTGACCTCTGTGAGTGGAAGGACAAGAATGGCGGCTGGAGAGCAGCAACATTCATCTCAAGGGATCGATCAAACGAGAAGTGTCTTCCTCGACCACTAGATGCAGTACACAACAGGGTCGAGGTGCCACGACGACTCGTACAGCCGGTGATTGACTCTGAACGGATTGTTTCTATGCCAAATACAATTGAGGTCTTTTCATCGGATGCGGACAAACTGGACGTCATCTGTGAACAAATCCGATCTGGCGAAATAATGCGTCGTGTAAAGAAGAATCAACACACTAAGAGGAGCAAGCTGATACCATGTACAACGTGTAACGAGATGCGCTATGTGCAGCATGACTTTCCAAGCGATGTGTGCCAGTGTATTCATCTTCTACCAAACACCATCTGTGGAGACTACAGCGATGACCAATTATCCATTGGTGGAACATGGGTGGAGGAGAAGCGTCTCAATCCTGTCAACTCCGAACTACCCATCTACAAGAGAAGCAGGCAGCCAGAAAAGGGAGATGAAAACTATCAAGACAATGAAAAGAAGCATGGCGAGCAGAAGGCTGGCACTAAGACAAGAGGGGTATCACCAAAAGGAAATGTTAAATTTGGAGGTGCCGAAGTGCGTGAGTTTGATCCGAGTGCACCAATAGGTGGACCATCCTCTTCTTCTAGAGAGCAGACAGGTACCGCGGTAATAGAGGAAGATGAGGAAGAGAATGAGCTGTTTATGAATGAGGACATGGTCGAAAATCAAGCAGAGGAGGAATCACCCTCCGATGAGGAGGAAGACGCATTTCCTGAAGAAGATGAACATCTAAGCGTAAATTTTAGTGGAGTCGAAGAATTTTCTAGTCGTGCCGTGCATGCCCTACCACATCCGCCAGCACTGAAGAAGGTGTTGTGTAATGTTTCGCAAGAAGCTGAGGAGAACGAGATGGAGGGCGAGCCAAGCATGGAAGCTCCAGCAGATCTAGAAGAACAAGAAGGTAGTAGTAAAGAAAGTGGAAGTAAAAAGGAGAAATCTCAGCTGGAATTGAAGAAAGAACTTTTTCAAGAATGTGGTATTCATGTAATCGATATTACAATTCCAGAACTCAACGTGGTATGCGAGAACATCAACCAAGCAGTGGTAAATCATCTTCAACAGGAGGAAGCTGAAATTACAAGTCACAGTGTGAAAGAAGTAATCGACAATTCGCGCTGCACGTGGGAGGCTAAACAAGACAACATTCTGGGTGTACGCCCTGGGATGCCAAGTCGATCTCTAGCCACACTGGTGAATCACCTGAAGGTCACCAAGGCGAAAGGTGCCCATGTTGATAGTGGATCTTTCAAGACGCTCGTCAACTATCTGTCCGATCAAAGTCTGCCCAATACGTGGGTACGTCCCAAATGGCTTTGTGACGAGGTGTCAATTGTGTGGGGAGCTGGCGCTGCCAAGAGCTATAACATCAACAACTCCTTACATAAAGAAAGGACATCGAGTGGGTTCTACGTTCGTCCAGCAGGGAATAACAAGATGATGTTTAGCACTGCGTGGTCAGTCGACTGCATCTGTGCGATCAGGTTTGAGTTCTCGCGATTCTTTGCGAGCAAGGAAGGGTCAGCCAAGGAGCAGAAGCTATCTGTTCACGCACCAGGTTTCACAGCAGCAATGCGAGCAAGGATACGTGCAGCACGGAAGCTGCCAGATCATCTTCCCAATCGTGCCATCGAGGAACTTCGGATTGGCGAACATGTCGTATATGCTATGAAGAAGGAGCTAAAGGGAAACCTTGTACCGAGAGAAGGTGCTACACTTGGCAATGTGGTAAAGTCAACTCCTGATCAGATTCGACGAAGAAAACAGAAAGGTGGACAACTTCTCACTAGTCGATTCATCCTGGACCTTAAGTACCTTGATGACTTGAATGTAGTCGTGAAGGTGAGGTGGGCACCAGGAGGACATCTTCAAGAAAAACCAGTAGAAAGATCAGAGAATAGTTCACCAACGCTTGCCCCTGTAGAGCTTCGACTGATGGCGATGCTGTCCGGACAGTTTCCGAAAACTTTCACAGAAATCTTTGACGTACCAAGAGCGTTTAACTTGTCAAAGGAATACCCAGAGGAAGAGCAACCAGAGCTAGCATTTCCAGTCTGCCACGGGTCGTTTGACACAGCATTCACCACGGCGCTAGAGCTACTATGTGAGGAGGAGGGACTGAAGCTTAGCAAAGAGGATGAGCTGAGAGCTCGCGTGCCGCAATATGGTCTTCTGGAGGCATCTTTCGAGTTCTACGACCACTCAAGAGACGAGATGATCAAGCAGGGTGCACCACCAACATCATTGTCACCAACTGTGTACAGAATTCTTCTCGACGATGGAACAGTCGGCGCGTACTTTGGCACTCATGTAGATGACTTTGTGGTATTCGGAAACGGAGCAATTAGTGGTCTTCGTGAGGAACTGAGGCAGAGATTCAGAAAGGCGTTTACATCTCTGAAGACCGAAAATTTTATTCCGGTGGAACAAGAATGGACCGCACTGACAGGAACAAAGATGATCAGAGTAGTTGAGGTTGAGGGCCATCAGGCTTTAGATGTGTCTCTGCATGAGAAGATGGATGATCTCACGGACTGGAAGGCTGATGAAGAGCTTGGCGGTGGTGTAGTCCCCGATGAAAGTAGGAAGCTCACACCTCGCGAGGTCACTCGACTACGCGGAACACGCGGCTCGACTGGCTGGATCGCAGAATGGCCTCCAGATTTCCTTTACGAGCAACGAACTCTTGCCAACGGAGCAGACGAGGAAAGAACCGTGTGGAATGCGAAGCGTCTGAATAATGTTGTACACGAGATGAAGAAATACAAGGACGAAGCATTTATTAGGCTCTGGCTCGATATTCGTGATCCAGTTCTCCTACAGTTCAGTGACGGCTCATTCCAATCCAGACCAATCAAGACGGATGAGCAAAAAGGGACTGCAAATCGAGGGATGGCGGAAATTTTGCCGGCGGGAAGTCCTGAGTTGGCGCAGGCGCGAGCTGATGGTATGCGACCAGTGACGTCGTCGATTCATCTTGTTGTCGACCGTGAGGAACTGAAGGACGCCATAGAGCACGAACTACCAGTGCGGTCACTGATGCTCGATTGGACGTGCGAGACACACGATTCGGTGGCCACGGGATCCTATGGGTCGGAAGCAGTTGGCTACGACAAAGCTAGCCAGCGTGCAGAGCAAATAAAATTAAAATGGGCGGACATGAAGATGGTTATCCCAGGAGGTGAGATCACAGACGATGTGAATCAGGCAGCAGATCAGATAACCCAGATCGATTTCATGGACAACACTGGTGTAATAAATCGTGTGCTTGCAAGACAACCATCACTGGAGCATGATGCAACTGTGTTCAAAGCGATTGTGCGATCACGACAGGTCCAGAGGCGCCTACGGAAACCCATCGTGCATACCTCTGATCCTAGTAATCATAGTGACACTCTCACCAAGCGTTTTGCCGCGTGCAATCAGAAAAGGCAGCGCCTGCGGCTCCTCATGCGAGGAACATTCGAATGGCGAACAGGGGAAGGAGATAAGCGTGGTGAAGGTTTCGGAGTTCTCCGACAACTCAAGAAACATGAAGCTATCTGGACAGGAGACCATAAGAAAGTAATCAAGAAGAAGTAAGTAAAAATTTTTAACGACAGGAACATAGTGGAACATGAGAATCACAGTACGTAGAACAAACCAAGCAAGTTCGAAACATAAAAAATAAAGTTTCACATTTAAATCATCTTGATTGGTTTAACAAGATTTGAAAATTATCTTTTCATTAATTAAGTTGTTTTTTGGTTCTACGTGAGTCTCTATCTTCCGGTGTTTTCTAAACCCCCGGAATTGTAAAGTTCTAAACTTAAATTGACTACACTAATGCTGAGGATCAAGAGTGATCCATATTGAGTGTTTCCACCGGAAGAGTGAGCTGCGAGTGATTCATGCAAACTGACCATCTGTGTCTATTCTATGAGAAGCTAGTCTTCTACTTTCTTCTTCCTGGAACTCCTACTCATGTGAATGGACAACCCAGTTCGCGGATGCCGAGAGCTCTGCAGTTAGGAACCATAGAGTGAAGTCCACCTTGGTGGCATCTAGCTGAGTGGTGTGTTCTCGTCCTCTGCAGCCAGCTACAATCAATCAGATGATGATGACGAGAATGACGATCTAAGTTTCGATACGACTACAATTTCAATTCAGTTCGTTTGAAAAGTTCCAATCTTACAATAAATATCTCTCAGGTCATGGCATTTTGATGTCTTTGTGTATGTCTCAGATCATGGTGTTTTTATATTTTTGTATGAATTTCTCTCAAAAAAAAAAGGTGTTTTGATCTCAGAGACTCGTTGTGTAAATGCCTCGCTTCATCAGCGGATCAATTCCTATCCTATCCTATCTTGCTTCAGACATGTCCACTTTGCGTGGAGTCACGGAAGTATGAGTATCTTCTTGAGTGATCGCCACAGTCAGTGTCTGGTACGAATCTTCGTAGAACGGGACGCGTGACCTGTATTGCTGACGGGCTTTTCGTTCCCTCCGAGAAAAGTACTCCGTTCCATCTAGTTTCCTAAAGGAGTAAGGGGAGCTGCGCTAAGATGCTCTACAAGTGAAGGACTTTTTCTGTAGCTTTAAGTTTGCCTGATGGGGTTGTGCTGGAAAGCAGTCGTAGTGTTTTATTTAACTGTAACTGTGTGCGAGATCATCGGTCCACGTGGGTGATGAGGCAACAAGTAGAGACCTACTTGTATGTGCCGGCCATCGGATTATGGTTGTGTGAGGGATTCAAAAGCGCCGTCTGTCTTACTGTGAGTTCCAGTTGAGAAGAATTGAGTTGTGAAAGACAAAGAGGAGTATCTACTCTGTTAGAGCTTAGGAAACAGAAACACCGTAAAACAGAAGCATCATGGAGCATGTGTATTTTAATTGCTCGTCTTGATGTTGATTGCTTGCTCATCAACATCATCTTGTTTTTTGGAGTACAGAATGGATTGATTTCATCAATTCTGTTCTTGATCTAGTACTTTTGCTGGTCTGTTTTCTGAAGATGTCCAAAGTCTCTGAAGATGTCCAAAGTCTGTCATTTTCATCTGTTAAGGAGAGTCTGTTCTTTTTTAGTTGTTTTTTGCAATCAAAGTTTTGATATACTCAGATCCCCTACTAGTAGTAAGGAGTACTTCAAGCAGCTCTTTTTCGGACACCAGCATTTTTGTTGTCAGAAGAACTACATCAAGACGAGGACTCTTTGACCTTCAAGAAGTGCCACAAGTAGAACGAACTGCTTTGGTCACTCAGGACTTGGAGCCTATATTTATCACTGGCTTAACACTTCGACCACTACTTTTATCTACTCATCGTCTTTATTGGTGTCGTGGTCTTCCTTGCTATCGTTTCTGTTGAGTTGCTCCTTTTCAACATCTTCAATAGCCAGTCTATGTATCTACGCGTTATAGATTAGAAGTGACCAGCTACAAAATTCCAGGATTTTGTAGATTTCATCCTAGTGATGTCATCTTAAATGGCGTGTCTGTGCATCTACGAGCTGCAGAAGTGACCAAACCCGGAAGCTTCTCAATGGCGAGCGCGTCCACCTCAGAGCTCATTCTTAAGGCCATCACCAATTCTTAAGACCATCGCTTTTTGTTCTTGCGACCATCGCTTGGAGCTAATCCATCTCTATGGGAATCCCTCCGCTGCAATATTGTGCCTCATGTTTATACCTCAACTCCTACTTCTACCTACCGCTATTACTATAATTACCACTATTGCTACCTAGCACTATTGCTACCTACCACTATTACTACTTACCAGTACTACTGGCTACCACTACTACTACTTACCACTATTGCTACTAGTTGCAACTACTTCTAGCTACCACCTTACTACTAATCTATGCATTTTCGTAATAATCTTCCTGATACATCCAGAATTATTAAGATGCATCTTATTGTGAATTAAGATGATTAGGATGTATCTTATTGTTTTCCTGTTACATCCTCTGTAATATCCCCATAGAGATGGACTAGTAAGCACTAACATGCGCATTTCCCGCAGCATTAACGATCGAGTCGACTGCCGTGGCTGTCGATCACCGCTTGCTCCGCGATACGGATCTCCCACTTCCGCATCAACGATTAAGGACTGCGTAACATTTTCGTTTACTTGCTTCATTGGCCGAACTCTTACTTGCTTCATTAGCCTAACACTTTCATTTATATTTCAAATACGCACCTTTCCCATTAAACCCAAAAACAACCACCGGGCCGTCAGGAAGGTCCTTTGAGCCCTTACATCAACGTCCGTAGTGACAGATGGCAAGGGCACTCGCGAGAGCGCCACGTGCGAGGCGGTAGGGCCACGCGCGAACATCATAATAATAATATAGCAGCACTAAGAAAATACAAATAGCCGGTTAATTTTCTCTCGGCTAAGTTCTAACAGGTCGGAAGTAAGTAATATGACAGATTTTAAGTTAAGGGAAGAATTGCGCGGTCCTTCAGATGAGGCGGTGATCGGTCCAGTGTAGCTAAGGAACTAGGAAGTAGGAGTAGCGTAACGCCGCCAGCTTTAGGCCGTAGCATTGTTTTTGGCTCTGCAGCAGCCATTCATGTCTGCCGGTTTTTCTGGTAGGCCTGCGCCTAACCTGACCTAACCTCGGCTTACTCCCTTCATCATTTACTACAATTACGAAAACGTAAGCGTCGAATAAGTTGATCCTCCTGATCGAGGACGCGGACACTTACGTTTGGGAAAGCCCTAATACAGCGTCTCGCTCCCAAGTCATGCGACCGAATTCGGCGTCAGTATTATGTCAGGTTCTTGAAACTTCGAACTAGAAGAGTTGATACCGGACCTAAAACTTTGCATTTATTCTCTCCAGTGGCAGGAAAGCTATCTCGTCTGATATAGAATTAGAAACGCTATTCATAGTTCTAAAACTAGGCCGATCGGGAGGCCTCACGTCACCCCGTCACGGGAAGAGCACCTTGGCGGACCTGGGACCAGGCAGTCTGAATTAAGGCCTCCACCATGAATATGATCCATCTTCAGGGGAGTCATCCTCGGAAAGAGGCATTGATTTGCTTCCTCACGGGGAAGAAACCTCCACCATGAATGTGATCCATCTTCAGAGGAGTCATCCTAGGACATAGGAATAGGAATACCTCACGGGGAACAAATATAGAGGGGAACAAATAAAGATGCCGCGTAAGAGGTGGATTTTTAGGGTGTGTCAGCTCTAACGCAGGGAACGAAAATTCTCATTATTGTACCGGGACGTCCTCGACTGCGCAAGCCATGTACCTGCCTATCTTTGAATGCGGTACCTGTCCTCCTGGTCCACACACTGTAAGATTACATTTAAAAAAACAATATTATCATACCGCCCTCTACTTGACGAGCATCGTTTTTTTAGGTAGGTTCCAGTATCGGTATGAATATTTTTAAGATGTTGATAAGGATGAATCATAAGTAACAGAGAGGCACACGCATATTAAGCTGAACGGTGTTCTTTTATTTCTCAACTCCCGGAGAGGCGTCTGACGAAATTGACCTCAGTGAGTCACTTCTTCTTGTACCAATTTTCATTGGGCCATGCACCTATAACATGTCCATACACGACCTATGATAAATAAATGGACATATTAAGCACCAATAGTCCTGCATACAGCTATGCCATGATACTAATCAAGTATTCTTAGAGGTCCACATAACTGGAACAGGTCTTGCGATCAAAAGACGAGTTTCAAGAGAAGTACATTAAGGCTAGTTTTTCCCTATCCCGTGTAGAGTATGGATGCCGAGTGGAGTTCTTCTGTCCTTTGATTTCTTAAACGGGAAACAAATCAAGGGGAAACAAATCAAAGGGTACAAGAAGTAACTCACTCAACCAAGCATAGTGAGAAGCTAGCGCTAAGCATGGGGAAACGCAGGAACGGTTGGGGAAAACGGAGATTGCACTGAGGGATCAGTTGCATGAAGTCGAGGATGAGGTGAAGAGCAAGATTCTCTCTTATGGTTGTTCATAGCAGTGTGAGTGATGCAGCCTATGCAATGAGTGATGCGGCACCTAGTAGTAAGTGTGTCTGTGCGCCTGATATGGCCGTTCGTGACCACCGTAAAGACAAAGTGGCAGCCTATGCAATGTGTTGATGATACTTGTCTCTACGTATATGCGCCCTCAGTATGTAATTTGGATGATCTTAATTGAACAGGTTAATTAATTGTTTGAAAGGGCGGTGGCATATAGTCCTAACGCAAAAAAAAAAAATACGGGTTGTACTCGGAGCAGTACCATCAGGGATACGCACATGGCATAGGCTGCCACTTTGTCATCTCTACGGTAGTCACGAACGGCCATATCAGGGGCACAGACACACTTGCTACCCGGTGCCCCTATAATAGGGAGTTACTGAAGGAGACTTGAATATATTTTATAATCATCAAAGTAAGTGTACTATCACTTACTGACTAGGTGCGCCTTTATTAGGGAAAGACTCATGCTTTAATTTTTTTCCTCGCGCACTATGGAGTCGAAGCTTTTGACGAGTCAAGAGTTCCTCAAGAAGTTGCTGAACAGCGAGAAAGAAGATTAAGGCTAGCCAATCGCTATCGGGCTGTGATGAGCATGTTACATTTCCGTATGTTAGTTTTCCCTCAAATTTTCTGTTTCATCCTGGTTTGGTCCCTCCAATCAAGTTAGTATAAGGTCCTGAGTCCTGTGAGTATAAGGTCCTGAATGGGTGGTTTTTCGTCGTAGTAGAGGGCAGTCACGGGGATTCTAACGTAGTCGGAGAGAATGTCTCCGCGCCCATCCGAGGTGGTGCGTTGAGTTCTCTTTATCGCAAGTAGTCTTGTAAGATTGACTCGCGTGATTATAAGAAGGTGAATATATCTCCTTGTCCTCTGTACTACGACTAGGGATAGTGATTGGCTGTCGTTAAGAAGAACGAACGCATGCGGTAAAGAAAGTCGAATGTGAATTGGAACGACTGGCAGGGGAGCTCAAGGTAATTTATAGGCCTTCTTTTTAGCGGCGAAAATTGGGGGTAAAAGGGGAACTCACTCAACCAGGCATAGCGAAAAACTAGCGCAAATGTTTCATCGCTCACTGCAGAATATTTTTACTTGTTGTAAGTCACGGAAATCTTAGGTTTCATGCTGATGCTGGAGAATAGATTCAAATCTTGCTTGGTTAGTTGTGCTATAGTCTTGATTTTGATTGATTCTGCTATAGTCCTCACATTGTGCTACACATAGTCTTAATTAATTGTGCTATCTGTACTAGCCTTTGTTAATTGTGCTATAGTCCTCACATTCCATCTACTTAGTAAGCTGGCTATAGTCCAGGCGGATGATCCCCTCGTAGCATATGCTACCCTCTCTCCGGTCTCGGACAACGCCCTTCCCCTTGTCATTTTTTCTATATTATACCGCCCACGTGCCCCCGGCGTGTACACACGCCGGGGCAGGGCGGAAGGGTCTGGCAAATGCTACGAGTTACATAAAATCCATACGGCCTACCGGCGTGCTACGAATTACGTAAAGAGTGGCGGGCTATGGAATAAGAATAGCAGCTCCGCGCTACAAGCTACTACGTGCTACATAAACCCCCACCCTGGCAGCACCCGAAACGCCCAAAAGGACCTACTTCGAACGAATGAGGCAAACGGGTAACCAAATACATACGCCGAGAGTCAAATCCTTGAGCAGATCACTCCAGGCCTGCTGTTTTCGGTTCTCAGCGTAGTGGCTGGGCGAAGCACTGCAGTCGACTCCGCTCACCGTGAGAACCTCGCGCGCCCCCTGGCCCGGGTTTTGGGCGTGGGTCCCCTACTCTTGGAGTGTGTTGCGTCTCCGGCTGGCATGGCAGTGTCACGAGGGGGGCCCCAGGCTTGTCGCTTTCGGTTCTCCGCATAGTGGGCGAAGCACTACGCCCGACTCCGCTCACCATGCGAACGTCTACCGTGGATCTTTTCCGTGGAGAGAACTAGGGGGCGGCCCCGTTCTACTCTCGGCCTGTTTGCGGGGTTTTACTCTTTGCGCCGTTTTGGGTTTTCCATCCAAATCACGCAGCTTTATGGCGTCGCGTTGCTGCCTACGTTTCAGCTGCTTCGCGTTTGCTCTCAGTGAGCCGCTTACCCTCCCAAGCTTACGGCGAGTTGCGCTCTATCGCTTAGCTTCCCTACCTGCTTCTGGCTTTCTCGAGAGGTGTGGGCATGCGTCATCTCAAGGCTTTGATCTAAGTGAACAAGAACAACGCCACGCGAGCAGTGCTGTGCGGCTTTCATGTGCTTGGGCGATGCAGTCTGTGAGCCGCTTGAGCTTTCTGATCAGAAAGCAAGCCCAAGCCTATGGGCTTGCTGGTTACTTATGGCTTACTCGAGAGGCCTTGTCCTTTGCGTCCATTCTTTTCTGATCCAAAAAGCGCAGCGCGATGAAGTTGCTGCGTACTTGTGAGCTGCTTAAGAGGTCCCACCCTTTGGCTCAGTTCAAGACCCTCATCCAAACGGCGCAACGCTGTGAAGCTGCTGGCCCTTTTGACTTGCTGGGAAGGTCTCACCCTCTGACCCAGCGCGGGCACCCTACCCAAACGGCGCAGCTTGCTTTATGAAGTTGCTGCCTACTTTTGAGTGACCTGCTTGAAAGGTCTCAGCTTTTGACTCTGCTCAAACCTCCCACCGAAAAAGCGCAGCTTTATGATATTGCTCTCTACTTTTGACCTGCTTGAAAGGTCCCAGCCTTTCAGTCAGCTCACTCAGAGGTCTTCCACAATCAAAGGGCGCAACTCTGTGAAATTGCTGCCCACTTTTGACCTGCTGGAAAGGTCTCGCTCTTTGGCCCAGATCTGGCCAGCTTGGTTACTCAAGGCGCGCAGCTTTATGGAATTGCTGCCCACTTTTGACCTGCTTGAAAGGGCCCACCTTTTGACCAAGCTCGGGCATCCTATCCAAAAAGCGCAACGCCATGGGGCTGCTGTCTGCTTTTGGCTTGGCTTGCTTGAGAGGTCCCGCCTTTTGCCTTTCTTTGCTCAAGCTCCTTGCTCAAAAAGCGCAATCTACTTCATGAAGCTGCTGCCTACTTTTGGCCTGCTCGTAAGGTCCCGCGCTTTCACTCAGTCAAGTCAGGCGCCTTACTCAAAGAGCGAAACTCTAGGAAATTGCTGCCCACTTTTGACCTGCTTGAAAGGTCCCACCTTTTGACCCAGCTCAGGCCGCTCAGGCATCCTATCCGAAGCGCGCAGCTTTATGCGATTGCGGTCGTCTACTTTTGGCCTGCTTGAAGGGTCCCACCTTTTCACTCTGCTCCAGCCTCTTATGCAAAGCGTGTGGCTTTATGCGTTTCCTGTCTATTTTTGACCTGCTTGAAAGGTCCCACCCTTTGACCCAGCTCGGGCCCCTTACCCAAAGAGCGCAGCGCCATGAAGTTGCTGCCTCCTTTTGAGCTGCTTGAAAGGTGTCACCCTTTGACTTAGCTCAGACCTGCTACCCAAAGAGCGCAGCTCTATGCCGTTGCTGTCTGCTTTTGAGGTGCTTGAAAGGTCTCACCCTTTGACGTTGCTCAGACTCCTTATCCAAACAGCACAACTCTATGAGATTGCTGCCCACTTTTGACCTGCTTGAAAGGTCTCACCCTTTGAGCCAGCTCAGACGTCTTATCCAAAAGTCACAACTTTATGAGATTGCTGTCTACTTTTGATCTGCTTGAAAGGTCCCACCCTTTGAGCCCGCTCAGACTCCTTATCCTAAAAGCGCAAACTTATGGGATTGCTGTCCGCTTTCGAGGTGCTTAAAAGGTCCCAGCCTTTTAGTTTGAGCCAGCTCAGACTTCTTATCCAAAAGGCGCAGCTTTATGAAGTTGCTGTCTACTTTTGACGTGCTTGAGCGGCCCCATCCTTTGAGTCAGCTCGCAATCCTTTTTCAAAGCGCGCAGCTTTATGAAGTCGCTGTCTACTTTTGACCTGCTTGAAAGGTCTGACCCTTTGAGCCAGCTCAGGCGCCTGATCCAAAAAGCACGCAGGTGCTAACTTGCTCAGCGTATAGCTGCTGGGTGCTTGCCTCTGTTTGCATTTCTTTGTTTGCATGTGGGTCCTTTTTGTAGCACATACGCAGACGCAGCGGATTTTCTTCATGAGATGACTGGCCCCAGGCTGAGGCGCTTCGCTCTTCGTTTATTTTTGTCCATGCAGCGCAGTCCTTGGCTTGTGCTGTTGGTTCAGGGTTTTGAGGTACTGCCGAAAGCCTTAGCAGGAGCAGAATCGCGGGAAAGTTGTACTCAAAAACGCGGCATTTTTACGGCGCGAGATGTATACATCTAACCCGTACATCTTTCCCATGATTTCCGTACATCTCAAAAAAGTGGAATTTTGGAAACCTACTATGAATCGCCCCGGTGTAAGTACATCTCGAGAGTACATCTTTCCCGTGATTTACGTATAAGATATATATCTCGAGATATATATCTCAGACGTATACATCGCACCCGTACATCTTTGCCATGATTTGCGTACATCTCAAGCCGTAAGCTCACTCCTGTTTAGCATTCAAAATAAGTTTTGGTTTATAATATTTATAGATAATTATAGTATCATGCATTGTAATTATACAACACCACAAACACTTTCAGGAATGGAACGCGGACTTCTGCCGTGATTTGGCCGCTAAAACTGACGAGGAGATAAGCATGACGAAGAAGGAAAACCTTACCGACACTGAGCAGCTGAAGAAGCTCATCTATCAAGTGGAGGAGTTATGCTATCACGCGGCGCTCAAAGCACTAAATATACCAACCGGTTAGTTTTTGCCTCTAGAGTCCTAGCCCTTCCAGCAAACAAAATGTTGATGCTGATCTCTCGGAGCATCTTCTCGGGATTGAAGTATAATACTCTATTCTGTAGGCTTATCCCCTCGCAGTTTTACCTCTATTCTTAGGCTTATCCCTTCATGCAGTATGATATTAGTTTGTGAATCCTAGAAAATGTATGGGAACAAAATGATAAGTGAACAGGTGAAGGCCGAAGCCGCCCGTTTAGGTTGGAAGTGTTTCAGGGGTTGGCCTGTCCACTTGGTTTCTCAATTACAACTTCAAAAACATTGTGCTGTACGATGAGGTCGTTAGCTACGACTACTACAACACCCCCACCCGCTAGGCACCTGAATGAACAATAGGTACACACCCTAAAGAGTGAGGCCAAAACTACCACTACTACAACCACAAGAGTGCGAACTAAATACACACTCTAAAGATGGGAGCCAAATTGGACCTATCTAAAGCGACCGCAGATAACAAGTCTTACGCGGACGTGCTGTATGGAAAAAAACCTTTCAGGAAAGTGAGTAACTAGCCTAATACCATTATCTGACGAGTAACAAGGGTCGTACTCGTAGTCGAGTCTGTCGTTTGAATAGAACCAACTGCCACATCATTGGCTGTTGACCAGTAACAAGGGTCGTAGTCGAGTCTGTCGTTTGAATAGAACCACTTAGTACATCATCATGGTTTGAAGAATAACAAGGGTTACAGTCGTCGTCTGTCATGAGTATCAATATACGTGAGCATGAGCTTTTCTTTGAATATGCTTACATGAGCATGAGCTTTTCTTTGAAGGTCCTCGTGCCTCCCCTAGAAGTACCTCCATCTTTGAAGTAGTACCCCTCCTTGTTTATTTATACCAAGGTCCTTGTACATTTAGAAGTACTTCTGAAGTACCCTTGGATCTGTCCTTATGAATGGAGGAACTACTTAGTAGTAGAAGTTGATACAGAAATCCTTTGAAGTACCCTTCCTTGACCTTGGATAATTACCCTTCCTTGGATAGGTACACAATCACCATCGCAAATCTTGGTAGTAGAAGTTGATGCACAAATCTAAGTCTAACCCTTCCTAGATGATAATACATTTCTCATGACTCAGACTCTTGTTCCTACTGCATTGCTTCCTTGATCATATAATTCATTGCATGATATAGGATACAACTGCATGCTTCCTTGTTAGATATTCATTACACCAATCTAGCCCCTTTTTCATCTGCGAAAGAATGAGCTCGCACAGGAAGTTCGTTTGCTGCGAGGACAATGCCGGAAGCTGGAAGAAGATAGGCATGTGGATCGCAAAGTGGTGGACGAAATCGACGAATTTTATGGCTTCATGACTCAAGTCATCTACTAAACATTTTTGTGCTGTCATAATACACGTGTATCTCTTCATTTTTACAATGACGGAAAGGGTCGCAACGGAATCAGGCAGCGAGAGTTGTCACGTGATTCGCAAATGAATGAATGAATGTTGGCACTTCTTTTACTTTATTTTGCTGCTCTCCCAGGGATACCATATTATAAATCTTTGAAGAGGAGGGCGCTCACACTGTTGCTGATAAAAATAGTTGGTTGCAAGCACATATCCTATTCTATATTATCCTATCTTATCCGATATTAAATATCCTATCCTATATTGTATCCTATATCATCCTAGCGTCCTATCCTATATTAAATATCCTATCCTATATCATAATTATCCTATCGTCCTATCCTACGTATTAGATATCTTCCTATCCTATTTATTACTCTTCTAAAAATCACTGGAGAAAAAATCGACCGCACTCGAGGACAAAGCTAAGTACATGGAGAGCAAGACCTCAAACGAGATGAACTTGGTGAATGACCGTCTCCTAGAATTGGAACGGAAACTGCAAGCGGTAAGAAATTAGTTAGAGTTTAGACGAGGGTCTAGAAGACTCCTTTCGTGAAGTGTAAGCCACCTTCCCTCGAGCCCCTTCTCTTAGGTGTGAGGCATTACAACATTTCTTTTTTGACCGAGTGGCCCAAATGGGTCAATGAAATCGTTAGTCTTGCAGGTGTGTCCAAAATAGTTAGAGTTTTCTTTCTTTCCAAATTACTACTTCATGAACTATCTATGTTTAGGGTTAGTAGTAGTTGTACTTCATTGCTTCATTCTTACTGCTGTTCTACAGAAATCAAATTATTTTTTTTCTACCTGATTTCTTTCGACTGAAAAATTTTCAGGTTGAAACCGATTCTCGTTTACCGTACCTGATGGAAAAAACTGAGGGTCTCGAAGCCTCGCTCTCGGAGAAATTCAAACTTCTCTCAGACAAGATTGATAACGATTAAGGCTTCGTGGTAGTCCTTTCGCGGCTGCGTGTATTCATCGGAGGTGCAGGCTTATATATGCTGTGGAAGTTGGATCCAGTCCTGTGCTATCTTGTCACAGATCAGGTGCCTCAGTTTTCTTCTTGGATTCTGAGGCTACGATCTGAGAAAGTGAATTATTGTATAAGCTCTACACAGTTTTTACTCTGAATATAGAAATACTGACATTGAAGCGTCCCCGGTGCACCTCATTTCTGTAAGCGCTAAAATGGAGTTTCTGCGGTATGCGATGCTCTGGAGTCATTGAAGACGAAACAGGACATAGTCAACAAGAAAATCACCGGACTTATCAAAGAAAAACACGAAATCGCTGCGAAGAAATCGACCGAAGACATGGCCGCGGCGCTCAAGGATTACGGCAGACTATACTAAGTCAAAAACATCGAGATTCCTCCAGGACGGGTGTTTTGGAAACTTCCAGGAAGGGTGTTTTTGGAATGAATAGCAAATTGATGAGAACGTTCTTGGGAATTCACTGTCTTGCCATTGCAATGTGGCTTGGCTTCCTTTATACCTTTTCTACAAAAGTATGATGAACGGCGAACAATTGACAAGAACGCAGTACCCTTGCGGATTTAGCATTTTTAGATCGCATAGCATCGCATCTAATGATGATATTGAATAGATACAATCCAATGTAGTCAGTGACTCACCGAGTGCTTTTTCTGTAGTCCTTCCGCATACTTCTGTGCACTGTGTTGACTCACCTACTTCTTCTGGAGTTGTCTTCCTCATACTAGTTCTGTCCAATTTGACCACCCACTCACAAACCCACGACCACCTCCTACTCTTTCATACTGTACAATGGAGTCGCACGGAGCAGCGTGTGGAGGCAGCCTTGGACCTCGTAAGACACGACATTGTGCACCCTGTGCAGCTCGATCTAAACATCCTATTGAAGGACTCCAACTCTTTCCAGCAGACCACGCAAAACAATTACGATTGGCAGTATAATAATCGTACACAGATAATCTAATAGAGAAGTAGGTCACCCGTCAGTTGACGAAATCCCACCCGTCAGTTGACAAAAGTAGTGTAATAAAGACGTAGGTTCCAGTCGAGTAGGTGCCGGCCTTCGTGAAAGACAGTGGCTTTAATTTGAAAGGACAAGGAGGTTCCAGATGCGCAGGATTCACAACCTAACCTAACCAAGTAATCGGCACAGTCAGTGCCATTACTTCTAATCGGCAGGAACAGGATGTCGCGTAAACCCCTTCACGGGATGGGTTTACTCCTACAACTGCTACTACTACCAGGTCTGTTTGCGGAGGTATTCGAAAACTCAAAATAAGCGAGCTACTGACTGAAATAAGAGAGTCTTGACTACGTTTCTCTCCTTTCAGTATCTCCCTTATTTTCAATAGTTAGTTACTCGGTTATTTCAGTTTTTCGAATAGATGAAACTGCCAGGTCAGTTTGCTACTACCAGGTTCTAAGCTACGCATGCGGAGGTAGATGAGACAATTGGTAACCTGGGCGAGCAGCTTCAGCAACTGCACACGCACTTGAATCAGGTGGCTCACGAGACGCAGCAGGACTTCGGGAAACACTGTTTATGGAAGATCAAACCCAATGTGGTCTGTCGCGAAGTAGGTAAGTATTATAGAATCCATGCAAATGTATGCCCGTATAGTTATGTTCGAACTACACGATATGTATGCTGTGTTATGTAAATGTATGCCTGTGTAGTTATGTTCGAACTACACGTCCGTGATAAGGTCGAACAGCATGTGTTGACTTCTCCAACATGTAATCACTCTTCATCCAACACCTATATAATTTCCACACTGCACCTCCCTCTCTAATTCTCGTTCGTATGGACGAGGAGAAGGTGCGCGTTGGTAAACTTGTCACGCAAGTACGAGAATTAGAATATGGATGAGAGTTTTTCCATCTTGCAGACAATCGAGGCTGCTCCTTTCCCCCTCAGGACTGTATTGCCTAAGCGCAAAGGGACTCAAACTTAATTTCTGCCGATCCGGTGCTTGATGCGCAGGGCTGAGGCCCCATCTGAATCTGAATCTGAATCTCGATGGTCTGCCTAGATGGAATTATAGACATCATCCATATAGAAGGGAAAGTAAGCGCTGAACTGGTAGCCTTGACCGACAGCACTCGCGGGAAAATCACGCAAAGCGGCTTGGATTTGGAGAAGCGAATCGGCGGTGTCTCTTCCATGCTGGAAGGGGTAAAGATTATGACTTATACATAGATAATGCTCTAAGAGCTTAGCTAGAGCATTGATGGGATGTATGAATAATCACAGTAGAGTAGATTAAAATTCCTTTGACTCCCAGGTCATAAAATTAACTACTACGAGGTCTACTTTGATGTACAAAACAATAACAAATATCGGTAGGAGGTTCTACACAAGAACCATCTATCATGAAGAAGAAAGATGTTATAAATTTGATTCTTCGTATATCAATCATGAAGAAGAAAGATGTTATAAATTTGATCTGGTCTAGTAGTTTAAGTCATATGAATTTGATGTGGTCTAGAAGTAGTTTAAGGGAGACTCCCTCTAATCTGAGAGAATTCCTTGGCGAATTGAAGAAGCAGAGCAGCACGTTGCATGAAGAGATGGAATTCAGATTGGAAGCGGTTGTTATGCTGAAACGTGGTCATTTTTCCACTGAAGTAGAGGTTTAATCATGTTCATGAGTGGTGGGGACGGGCAGTAGTTCTAATGAAGTTCTAATAATGCATGTACTAGTACTTCTAGAAAGATGACGGCGTTTATTTTTCGGACTTCTTGGAGTAGTTCTAATTGGAGACACATGACATGACAAGTTCTAATAATGCATATTATACTGGTTTCATCGTTCTTGATGTTTTTGATTTTTCGTTTTCAACCATCGATTCTATTCAGTCTGCCTCTCTTTCATAATTTAAAAACGACCGTGAGGAGGTGACGAGTGCAAGAATTTCTTCTAACCTTGGAGAGGAGATGGACAAAGTAAAGCAGGCTGAGGCACGGTTGTCGGATAGCGTTCGAGCGGGTGAGAGCAACCTCCTCTGCTACCAGACAGAGGTGAATGAGCTACTCGATGCCAAATTGGCAGAAACAAAGAACAACTTGCGCATTCTGCTCGAAGAACAGGCTGGGGAAACGGTAGAAGAATTTTCTGTCTTCTAGTATCTAGGTACGACAATTTTCTGGCTTCTAGAAGTATGTATTCATCGTATCTTCTAGTATCGTATCTTCTAGTACTACTATTACAGAATAACATATGTGCTGTGTCTTTATGTAAATTTATTTGTACTGCTGAATGATGAAGAAGGGAGCAACGACCAAGAACTTGAAGTACTACAGTTTTACTTGTTAGAAATCTCGCGCTCTGTAATTATACGTCGTCTCTTATGACCACTAGTTCTAGTACAGATTATGCGAATCCACATAAGAATCCACTTGTTCGACTCTTCAGGGATTGAAATTCGAGCAAGTGGCTCACGAGAGCGTGACGGCCATGGAAGGGGTAAAGGAAAGCGTCACGCAAGAGCTAGCAGACTGGAATACACGTGTAGAGGCCAAGTTTGGTGCGGAAGTCTCAAAGGTCGAGGAAAAAGCCGAGTCAGCTAAGAGAGAGCTCACAAAGGAAATCGGAAAACTCCAAGGCCAGGTACTTGAGAATATACCTGCTTCTAGAGTGAAGACTATAAGAGCTCACCTCCTCAGGGCCTGGTATAGTAAAATAGTTATTTGATATAAGGTTGTACAAATCTCCTCCGTATTAATATTGAGCCCTTCCTCGGAAGTGAAGCACAGTATTAAATAGCCCCGTCGACAGTTTCGGAATACTGATCTGGGCAACATTCCATTCCATACTCCATAGAAATTCTGACTTTGAAACGTCCTAGGTGAATCTCATTAATATAAGGCTGTACCTTTGAGGTCTAGGTCTACGATTTCTCCCGTACTTGAATTATAGCTTGCGGCCGCACAGCGAGCGACGCAGACGGCACAGAAAGAGTTACAGCGCTTAACCGAAACGAGCACAGCACAACTCGAGCAGCAAGGCAACAAATTGAAGAGTGTGGAAAAGAAACTCACTCAGCAGGAGAAGGAAGTGCATCACCTTTATGGATCAAACTCATAGGAATCAAACAGCATTTTGTGTTATTGACCTAATTTTTTTTAGCGACTGACCGAGTCATATTCTATTCGTTGATTACCGTAATCAAAGTTTAGTCCTCGCTGTTTACCCTGATCGAATCTCACACGTCCATAAGAGGACAGTAAATCCTCGACCTCAAGGGTAAAGCCTCCTCCGATTTACTGCCTTGGACTATCATCAGAAAGCGTGGTCCTCGTCGTACAAGTACTCTAGTCTATTTTTCTCCATTTTATTAAGTTCGCTGAATAAAACTAACTCTTAGTATAATAAAAGTACCAATTTGAATAATGTTTCTCACATCAATCTTTCTCCCTAGTTAGTACGAAATACTTGTTTTTCTACTTCACATCAATCTTACTTTCATCCCAGTAACTAAGTACTTATTTTTCTTCACATCAATGAATCTTTATCCATCCCAGGAACTAAGTACTTCTACTTGTTTTTCTTCACATCAATGAATCTTTATCCATCCCAGGAACTAGGTACTTCTACCTGTTTTTCCCTTCATACCCTCTCTACGGAAGAGTCTAGTTTGCAGCAGGCAGTGGAACAAACGAACAGCCGTGTCCGAAAGTTTGTTGACGAGCAATTGCGGCAGTTCCGTACTGAAGAGGCAGAGCGCGTCTATCATGTGAAAGAGAATTATGGCTTTGCCTTCTCACATCTTGGCAGATGGGTTCATTTTCATGCTTGACGTGTAAAGATGATAATTCCGATTTCGCATGTTGGCCTTGGCTGGCACTTTTGAATTCGATTCAATTTCAATTCCACATTTGTCAATCAGTAGTTGCAGTTTGTGAGATTACGCTGAAAAAACGATCTTATTTGCATTTGGGGTCATATCATCCGCATTTCACATTGTGGCTGGCAGTTTTTAATTCGAGTCTACAGGTCAAGCATTATTTGAGGTTTTTTGAGTAATATGAATAGCAACTTATGGACAAAAGATAAAACATTGAGTAACATGCGGCGTTTCTCTTGCTTTCCTCTAAGATTAGTGCGAAAAGGTCGAGTCGGAATTGCAGCATGTTTTTACAAAGCTGAGCTCCCAAGTGTTTGAGCGGGTAGACAAGAGTGGCTCCGAAATTTTCGCTAAGATGGATAGCGAACTACAGAAAAAACTTTTGTTAGGACGTTTCTGTCTACAACTAGTACCGCATGGCGATATTCTAGGGTCACAGTTCTGTCCTTTACACAGTCTTGCTCTATAAAGAAAAATACTCGAAGACTGAAAATAACCGATTCAGTGACTGAAATAAGGGAGGTAAGTAGGTTTGACGGGGCTACTCTTCCTTGTTCAGGCTTAACTGTGCTTATTTCAAGTAGTTACTCGGTTATTTCAGTTTTTCGAGGCTCTGAGTTATTCTAGGTAAACTTCGTTATGTTAAATGTCCATCCATAATCCTACTTTTCCAACACTAGCGTCATTGATTAGACGTGAAGTCCTCCTGTTCTAAAGCTAGCGTATTCGAAGGAGAGTCGAGTTTCTCAGCTGAGCGCTCGCATGGTTGAGCTGGAGACCAAGACAGCTGCGCAGTTCGAAGGCTTAGAGCGCAATCTGGAACGCGAGTTTGGACGTCTTGGTAGCCCAAAGCAGGGCAATGCGCGTACCACAACTATCATTAAGGCTAATCTTAACCTGGCAGTATGATGAGTGGAGTAGCATGATAGAACTGTGACCTATATTAAGCTATGCTCCAGCCTATAAGCTATTGGAGTATGCTGAGTGGAGTGGTCGCCCTTGATTTCAGATTTCTTAAAGGGGAACAACCAGAACTTGTGTACGGGTCCTCCGATATACGTAGATTTGTGGCCGAATGTACGGTCTTATGCGCCCCCAGTATGTAACTTGGATGACAATAGTTGAACATGTTAATATAGTCCTAACGCAAAAAAAAAACTACGGCTACTAGGAGCAGTACCAACATCGGGGATACACACATGACATAAAGGGAGGAAAAGGGCAACTCACCCACACAAGCATAGAGGAAAGCTACCGCTAATATCAGATCCCCGGTGACGTCGACAAGTGCGGCAAGCTCTCTGCACAGCGGGCAGAGAATTTATGTCGAGGGTGTAACAACATCATCATTTTTACTGTAGTAGTAGTAACCTCTTCATCATGTCAATTGAGTGGTTTAATTTTCCGATACAAGCAGTGCCTGTTGCATTTGTTTTTGAGTACAGGAGCCAATGCCTTCATCACTCGTTTTTTGGAATTAGTAGCAGTAGGAACAGCATCATCTTCACTCAGAGATACACATATGACACAGAGCTCTCTTAGTACTCCAAAGATGCATCTGCATTCTTCCCTACTCCAGTTTCTACAGTATAGCTATAGCACTACGTCTGATTTCCATTTTCTTCTTCTTGGTCCTTTATCCAGTACTTATGGGATATCATCAAATGCTAATAGGAGCTTTCTCTGGCGGCAGCAAAGTCACCGGAACGTGGGGAGACGATGAGCACTGCTCTCCCATCAGGCTCGCTCGCTTTTTTATGGCTCGCTCGCTAATTGTTCATCTTTCACGGCATCCTTGTTGAAAAGTACACTGTGTGGGGGGTTATCTATCATGCATGGGGAAAAATGTTTGCCCCATGCATCCACCAAGTAGACCGAACCTCTTGCCATTAGAAAGAAAGCTCTAACTTTTCTCTCCACGAACAGGTCGAGCAATGCTAGCAGCCGCAACGACACCGGATTGGAGTGAGGGACTGTGCGACGAACAAGGTGAAAGTGGCGATAGTCCCTTGAACCACCATTATATTAGGAGTTAAAGTTCACGAGAGGAAGCACAAGGATGAGAAAAATAGTAAACTCTTGAGAAAAATATACATAGCGACTCTAGTATCACAATATTAGCAATACTGCATGATCGGGCCCCGCATACGACTCTCGGGTTGCATGATGTTGGAGTACCACCAGGCTTCCTATAGTAACTAACTAACTACAACATAATTACAACCTAGTATAACGTCGAATGGTTTGAATAACTTCGAGAGAGATAGTTTTTTGGTAAAATCATATTCATGTTTTTGATGACACAGTAAAGGCAAATGTTGGAAAATCATTGAATAGTGTTGTGCAAGAACGAATCTGCTGTTCTTATTCGGCGAAGGAAGGTTGTGGTCACATCAACATTTCGTTTTTGCTTGAACAGGTCGTAAAATCTTTGATTCTGTAGAAGTTGGATAAAGTTGCATGTTTTTTTGGGAGTCGCATATTATGTGAGAAGACTACGTACGTAAGATTTTGGCCTATAAAGGTTTTTGAACGAACAATCATATGTACAGCGTTCTTGTATCTAGTGGATTGGTATACGTTCTAATCAAGATCAACTGAAAATTTTGATGAAAATCATAGTAACTAATTTCTGGGATTTCTTGACTCACCACGCATTTTAATCTTATTCTTTCATTTTCCAAAAGTAAGAAGAGATAGAACAAAGCAGTACCTACAAGAAATGTACCTACGGTGAACCGTAATTTTATTCAGTCTTTTTCAAATGAACAAACAACGTAGCAACTCGAAAGGACCACATGTTGTATTACCTCATGGAGGAGTTCACAATTTCTAGGGGGCATGTTAGTGTCCTAGATATTGTTTAGTCTCCAAAATAGTATGTGTGCGACTTCTATGTGAGACTCATGCCATGCCATGCAATAAGGCAGCAAGTCCTCCTTTGAGCAGAGGCTTCTTAGTCTCGTCAGCCTGATCTTCTGAGTCTCATTATGAAATGATACCCCCATACAGCCTGATTTTTGGATATTCCGTCTGCTCTGTCTGAATGCATGATCTATCAGAGATAAACCAGAGTTGGAGAGAGATGGCAGAATTTGAGAGACAGCAGATGTGAAAAGGTACTAAGTACCACTACCACTAGAGAGAACAACTATACGAGCACCAATTGAGTAGACTAATTCTACACTGACTACCTCATCGAGGCCAGGAAAAAACTTACAGAAGCGCAGATTTGAGGAACTACGCGAGAAAAAAGAGGTGAAAGTGAAATCGTAAGTGAACTCAGATGAGAATTGTGGCAAAAAACAACTACCTGATGGTAAACATTCATACCACAACATCTAGAGACCAAATCATGCAAGGCCTTCAAACACAAGACGAGTTTGAGCAATGGAAATTGGAAAAGAGGAAAATCAAAGTTTTTCTTTTGTCCTAAACTTCCTTGCTCAGTTTTTCAGTCCTAAACTTCCTTGCTCAGGTTTTCATTCCCAATCTTGAAGGTGCCTTCAGCAACATCCTGAGGGTGCCTTCACCAACAGCCTGAGGGTGCCTTCACCAAAAAATGGCACTGACACCGGTTGGCGCCCTGCTCGCCAATGCGGAGTTGGATGATGAGGCCGGAACCTTTCTCTCCGCACTGAGGCTCGATCCGAAGCAGGCCAGCAAAGCACGAGCGCGAGAGGAGCTACTCGATAGCCTGCCGAATCATGCAGGTTCGAAGATTCTCACGGTGCACACTGAGTTACAAAAATATGGAAACATCACTAGTAAAGTGAGCTCCAAAAATATGAAAAAATGACTACAGTTATCTCCAAAAATATGGAAACATGACTTAGAACGATGGAGTCCGAGATACATATGTCTACTTCCAGATCGTATAATGACTGTGGACTATTTTGAGACTCGTGCTTACTCTTTGTCTTTCTAGTTAGGTTCTTTCCCGTGGTCGAGTTCTAGTGATCGAGTTCTAGTTTTTTCGTTGGTTTGTACCCTTGAAGGAGCGAATAGCTCAGTCTCTTTGTCTCGAACCAAAATGGTAAGTATTTTCAAATTGCTTCAAAATCTACTACAAAGATGCTCCTACTTATTCTTGGCAGACTAAGATCTTATACCATAGCACAGCTACACACAGAACAGAGGACCACATTATTGAATTTCAAGAAGATATTTGGTCTGTTCTTTACAGAGAAGAGAGACGTCTTTTCTTCAATGAAAATTCACACTGCTGCCCTTTTCATTCCAAGCTTGCAGACACGCTGGACGACCGAGTCGGGTCATTGCTCGATGCCCATGAAAGAGATTTTTTCTTGGCCTACAAAACGCATATGGTTTCAGTGCAGAAGGAGTTCAATTCCCTGAAGCTAAAGGCCGATGAGCACGAAACAAAGAGCAGGAGGCAAGCGAAGATCCAGTCGCTCGAGAAAGAATTGAGGTTCTCCGAGATTTTCATTGGAACCCTAACGACATGTAGGAAACTCTCAAAAAGATTCGTCTAGTACTTGCTACTTGCCACGGATGACAAAACTCCTAGACTCAGGATGACTACCATCTCGTCTATGTATCTATGAAAATTACGTATGTAAATTACGGATGTATCTTCCCCCGCACGTCCTCCTTGGGGCGCTCGGCCCGCGCTTCCGGACACACCCCGCGTGAGAACGAAGCAAAGGCGCCCTATCCTATCCTATTCTGTTCTATCCTATCCTATCCCTATTCTATTCTATTCTATTCTATCCTATCCTATCCTATCCTATCCTATCCTATCCTATATCTTGTCCGTGCGTAGTATCTTGTTCTGTCCTTTGGTCCCTCCCCTTATATCATGCTCAAACTTTCCCTGACTTTGTGGTCCAAATCCGGTTTTCTTGCTTCAGCTCTTCAAGCGCTGCACTTTCCCTATTGATTCTCTTATTTCACTGTAACTGCTAACATACTACTGGTTGTTCCTTTATCTTCTTAGTTATGTAAAACTGAATTACCAGGTGGTTTATGAAAGAGGCATTACGGCTGGACGAGCTCTGCAAAAAGTACCTGCAAGAAATGGAAAGGTGGAAACAGCGCAGTGACCAGCTGGATGACGACAGGAGTTTTCTTGAGAATCAAATCTTATGAAGGGGATGTAGAAAGAAGTAGTCTGTAGTGTTCCTTTTTACCCCCTGGAGTGGGTACATAGTATGAAAGGGATGCTCGTTGTACTAGAGAGAATGTGCTTGCTATGAAGGGGATAGACTATGAAGGGGATGTTGTAGTATGAAGGAGATGGAAAAACTAACTATGTAGGGGTGGATGTTGGACTAGGAAGAAAGTGCTTGAAACCTGCTGCTCTAAATCTGAAGAAATCGAAAGGGCAGAATAGGGCATTGCGGTTAGCAGTTGAGAAGGCACAGCAGCATGCCTTCGAGGCACTAGCTGCTAGTGGGGCTTCTGCAGCCGCGCTAGAGAACGACCAGGCAGCTGCGCTTGAGGATGCCTCATCAGCAGCAATACTTACGGCTTCATGAAACTGAATCAGGTTCAACGCACTGAAGGTTCAAAAACACAATTTCAGTCTTTGCCAGATGATGTGTAGTGTCGCTGGTGTTCTGTTCTTGGCCTCATGCACTCCCTTGTCTGTCCCAGAATCCTTTATGTGCCTGTGAATCCCTTGTAACTGCTTTGTACAGTAAATGATAATCGGTCAAGAATAAAGCAATACTAAGCACAACCCCAACTACTTGGATCTAAGGTTGAGGATGCTAGTACTAAGGGTGACGATAGTGGTGCGCAGTCGGCTCTCGCAGCTCTGAAAGACGAGGATGATAGCGGTGTGCTCGACGATGGCGAGGAAGGCCCCAGGGGACCAGTAGTCCTAGGAGCATTGCCAGAAAAACAAGCAGAAAGGTAGTTATTTTTCAGGTCGTGGGACATCATCATGATCATTAAAATGGTCACCATGGTGGAGGTGGATCTTAGGAACTTCTTTCCCGCATTTCTCGCCTCTTCTTTCACGCTTACCGGTTATAGGTGGGACATGTTATAGGTGGGACATCCTCACTAATGGTCATGGTGGAGGTGGAAGTTTTCTAGCAATCATTTGACTTCTCCACTTATAAATTTTATCCTTCCTCCACCTGAGTATTGCATCCTTTCTCAGAGTTGACCCATTCATCCATTCATCGCTTCTCCACCATTTTCCCTGATTGCACAAGGTATAGAAAAACGATCAAGAACCTTCAGCAGCTCTTAGCGGCTGAGAAGCGAAAAGTGCAGAAACTCGAAATAACAGTTGCAAACACGCCTACACCAGCACCACTAGAAGAATACTTCGTGCGATGTACCATTATTAAATTATTGTATGAGTTTATTTGAGGTGAAATACGTCTACAATGTGACTCCTTCATCCCAGTAGAGTACAATGGGTTTTTGTTCTCCTTCAACACGGTACTAGCACCGAACTCAGTTACTATTAAAAGACACGACGATCAATCACAATCTTAATCTCCTAGGGATTGATTACTCGATCTACATTTTCTGACTGTTACTTTGATTGCGGGCTACTGGTCACGCTTCTCTCTTCGCAACAGGTATCCAGGATGCCAAGGAGGACGTTTTTCAGCGTAGAGCAGGGCAGGGTCGAGCAGCTATCCCAGCACCAGACCTCGTGGAGTTTACGGACTTCACTAGCTTCGACAAGAGGACGGTGATCGACTTGTTGTTCCGGAATCCAGATTTAATCCGACTTTTGGAGAAAAAGTTAGAAGAATTGCAGCAAGGCGCGACGAAGTAGACCACTAACTGAGTATTTTTGTTTATAACTACGCACAAGTTGTGACAACAAGAACTCTTCGTATTTGTGTTGTCTCTGCGGCTTTTTCTTTAAGATAAAAGTAGGTTTGTCGTTTTGTGCTTAATCTAGTATTTTTGTTTCAATCGATAACAATATGAACCTCGTAGTTGACTTTTATCCGTATTTGCCTCATTCAAAGAGAAAGATGTCGGTACCAGACATCTAAATCACAGTCTTTTTTCTTCGTTTTCTTTTACTTCGCATGACTGGGGAACCGCCGTAGTGTTTACTGAGACTATTGCTCGCGATTCAAAATAACGCGATGACAATGAAAAGTACGAATGCTGAACTCAACGAGTCCTTGGCGGCTGGAAAACGTGACTCGGGGAATTTGAATATTATTATTTAGACGATATAATTTTAATTCATGTTGATAGCTTCTATAATCAGCAGGAGTACCTCTAAAAAATAAAGGTTGCATGAGAAAGATAAGTGTCCGTGCGATCGTTGAGATTTGTTCTGCATTGTAGAACAGGGTTGAAGTAGCTCACGACGCCTGATCATGCCATTTGGAATACCGAAGATGGTGTGGAGGTGCCGACCGGGAAGTAAGAAGTGGTCACAAATTTGTCTGAGTAGAACCTAGTAACCAGTAAATTGAAGAAGTACGAGTAGAAGGAAAAGTAGACTATCACTAACTATTGGCAATCTAGAGATAGAGTAAGCTGACTTGTTGAAAAGAAATATAGACCTGAAGCAACAAGCTTGAATCTCCAACGAGTAGATCAACATACTTAGACTCAATAAAGGTGATAGTACTCAAGAATGTAACGAGTTGATTACTACCACGGGTTATGCGTCGCTTGCTGTCGCCGGCGCCATCGTCGCGATGTGGCGCTCTAGCCGTTTCGCAGAGATGCTACAACACAGCGACGCGGTTGGCGTGGTCCTATCGGCCGCTAGCAGCGAAGCCCGAACCTGTCGCGAGCAAGAAAGCGAGCGCAAACAAGAACAACACCAAAACTTAAGGCTCCTTTTTAGGATGATCCATTTTGCTGCTCTTTACAGAGTGCTGTGTCTGCTTCTTGCAGAGTGTGTCTGCTTCTTCCAGAGTGTGCCTCCTTTATCGACACTCGAGACTAAACTTGATGACTCATCCTTGACAGTAATTTTTACTAGTTCCGCACCTACTTACAGAGTCGCGCGTCTGCTCAAATAATTCCAAAACGGATTCTTGTTATGGTAATTATTATGATGTATAATGTATAATTATGGTAAAAAACCTAGAATGAATAAGCACGAAGAAGATAATTTAACCCGACCTCCAAGAAATTACAGGCAAGAAAAGCAAAGGTGCTAGCAGAGGGAGTTTTGGAACCGTGGGTGACTTCGATGAATCCAGTCAGCTGGATCCACGAACGCCAGCTGGAGTTTGCAAGGCGCTGATGGAATTTTGGACTGCAAAAAGTGCTAATCTTGGGACTACGAGGACTGAGAACTTGGTCGCGTCCGACGAAAATGGAGGTAGCTCCGAATTTGGTGATTCCGAGTTTGATACAGCTTCTGAGATTGTTGATTCCTCCGAAGTTGATAGCAGTGACAGCGCTTCTTCATTCTCCGCCACGCGATCTTCAACATCATCCTCGTTTAGTGGGAAAACTCCCTCAGCAACGCTACCCCTGCCAACGTCACAGTGGCTGTCACGGCCTCAACTGTGCGATGTAGATGCATCAAAACGCGGCTTAGTGCTAAAAGAGAAGAGCAGGAACAATCAGTTGGTTTTGGGCGACGTCGAGGGGGAAGTGAGATTGGTGATTCGCGGTAAAGTTAAGGGTTAACCAATTACATCCCCCACAACCATTCCTCACTCTTTTTCCAGTAGGAGAGAGGTGAGGGAAGAGGTTCTGAAGAATGTAATGCTGCAACCTTTAATAAAGAGCAGGGGGGAAAGGAAAAGGATGCGGAGGGAAAGGATGCACTGCTTCCGGGTGGAGGAGGAGGTAAAGACGAAGTTATACTAAAGCATTTCATGGGTGATCATGATCGAAAAGCTGCAAGTCCTCCAATTGCGGTTGCCGATACCTCCGATGGCAATACCAATACCAATACCAATGCTAGTACTGAGATGAAAGCATCTATATCTTCAGAAGATGACGCTATGACTTCTTCAAACGGCAACTCAACAGATGATGATGTTGTGCAAGTAGAATGGCAGCATGAGCTGATGTATTCGTGTCAGAAGCACACAGCAGTCGCGGTAACGAAAGCGATACTAACCAGGTCACATGCCTTCATCGAGACCCCGGCTGGCACTGGTAAAACCGCAGCCCTACTAGCCAGTGCAATCGCAGCACAGCGACACTTAGCCCGCAAGTACGGAAAAGCTCCCCAGATCGTGTATGCAACGCGGACCCACGGACAGATGACGCAAATCGTCAACACGCTTCGCGAGTCACCCTACCGATCTTTGTCGTTACAGTGCGTTGGCTCTCGTAGTAATGCCAAACTGTGTGCGAACACAAATTAAGGCAACCAAGAGAGCATCCCCAACATCAACAGCAACATGTTGAATATGATCACCTTCGGCGTCTTTTTCAAGGGGAAAAAGAAGTGTCCAGGAAAAAGCGTGCTCTCATCAAGGAAGATGCAAACGCGCTAAACAACAATCCGAGGAGCGGGCAAGTCAGCTGTCACTGACTGTCGGGCTGCGGTCCGTGCTTGGTGGGAGAAAGAACTCACCAAGTCGGACAAAGTCGATATGGCAGCAAATTTCGGTGCACTGTTGAAAGACACTAGTAGGAGGACAGCGAGGACAGCCGATTCATCTGGTAATCATGGTGTTAGTGGCTCGTCCGAAGGTAATAATATTAGCTCATCTACTACAGGTGAAGCTCCAAGTACCTTCGAAAGTGAGTTAGATGCTGACGCTGTAGAAGGAGATAGAGGAGAGGACAATTATAATATGGTGGAAGGGCATGATCCTGATCAAGAAGAAGGTGGAAACGATGAGACCACACCAGATAATATCAGAAGTAGAAGTAGAAGTACAAATACGGCGAGAAAAAAGTCCTCAAGAGCAGCATGTGGCGATACGACAACAGGCAGCTGCTCCACCGGGCCTTGTGGCAAAGCAACTACGGCAGCAAATAAGCTAGTCTTGCCTTCTTACTTCGGAGTAAAGAGTTTGAGCTCGCATACTCTCTGCCCTCGATTACACAACATGTTAGTTCCGTCCTTTGTGGAGGCGGCGCACAAATTGACGAAGGCCTCTGCAATGGATTCTGCGGAATTTAGCGCAAAGATCGGTGGTCTAGGGGGTTGTCCGTATTTCCTTTCGAGAGCGGCCCTTTGCGACGCCGACATTGTAGTACTTCTATGACCACAAGATGATGAATTTCTCAAGGCTCAGCGAGTTCCTTTGTTTAAATAGAGAAAGAATATTAAGCCTCTGGTCTTCCTCGGACTCGGTTCATGAACACTATTCGAAGACTAAGAAAATGCTTTTTGTGCTTCTATACGCCGGTATCTATCTGCCATTAGATTCTCTGGGCATAGTGCGCGTTGATCATTCATCTCTGTGATAATCTGTGGCTTGTAGGTACTGAAAGGAAGTTACTTGTAATTGCTACGTGGTTCGAGTGAATGAATGAATGAAAGGAATCTGTTGTAAATTAGGCTCTTCTAATGCCTCCTTATCCTTACTTGTTGGACCCGTTTGTTCGGGCAGCAACTTTTTTGACGAAACCTAGTGCAGACATCGACCATCAAAGAGGTAGTGAGCAGAACTACGGCGATGATGAATTGAGGCTCCTGGAAAATCAGGACGACCACGAAGGAAGACAAAGAGCCTCGTCCAATGAGGATAGCAAGAATTCCTCTTCTAGTATTAAGGCCTCACTTAATCCATCTTTGGGCTCATCTGTGGGCTGTTCGAAAGTAAAAATGTTGACACATCAGATGAGGCAATAGATGGATTGTAGTGAGCTCTAATTATAGTAGTACAACTAGTACAAGTAGAAGGGCGTCGTATCTGAAGAGTATTAACCGGTGGTCGAAGGATGGTGCGGCTGACGAGTTTCTGAAGGACAAGATTCTCATCTTGGATGAAGCGCACAACATCGATGGTTTCTGCAGGGAAGTGTGTAGTTTCGATGTAAGCATTGCCCGATTGGTAGCGTATGAGGAGAGTTTGCGAGCCTTTTTGCAGGTCCACGTCAAGGTCGGTAAGGGCGCCACGGCGATTCGGGGTGCCCGACTTATGATGGAGGTTTGAGAGATGTGTAGTCAAGAAGATGACTTTACGTTTGAGATGCATGTGGCAAGGACAAGATGTTGACGCACCAAGTTTATCTGATTCTATCAAGGAAGTTCTTGATTAGACTTATACCGCGATATCATACGACCTATCCATTTATCTTATAGAGATCTACTTCCACGAACTACTTCTTTGTTGACCATTCTACTACTTGTTGACCATTCTACTTCTTTCGTGCGTAAGTTCTTATCGTCTCAGGGGGGACCACGAACCTTTCTAATTAGAGGATAGAGGACTTGCGTTTGCATCCGGAGCGAGTGCAAGAAATTCTGCGTCAAGGCGACGACGGAAATTTCTTCGGTGCTCTCATTACGGCGGATGATAGTCATAGAAGTTCATCTTCTTCACAGAAAACTTTCTCTTCACAGAGTGGGTTTCGCTTACCTTCTTGGATTCTGAGATGATCATGAAGGTGGTAGCTGTAGCTCACTGATCATGCTGTGTACTACTTAAATTCATGATCGAGACTGTCATGAATTATTGCGCGCTCTGACAGTCTTGTCTCCCTGAAGTACAGCTTACCCAGAAGTTTGTTGCGGAAATTGTGCGTCTCTTCTTCTAATGTTACTTACATGCGTGCTGTTTTGCTACGGTTGGCCTGGTGCATAGAGGAATGGTGCGTTCGCGCGGATGAGTACCGAAGTCAGCAGGTGTCCCTGACCAGACGTGGTTTAAGGCTTACCGTAATTCTTTGAAAGAGCATCCCAGCAGTGCTTCTTTGAAAAATTTGCAGAGGGGGCTTACCTTAATTCTTTGAAAGAGCATCCCAACAGTGCTTTCTTACGGAGCATCTTTTCACTTAAGGGGAGAACGTGCCAAAGATGGGCTTCAAGATGAAGAATTATGTTCAGCTCTAAGTGGTGCAGCTTTCAGCGCGGGTCTCAGCACCGGTGCTGGAAACGATAGAAGAGAGCTGAGGACATGGGCAAAGTACAAAACTACAGGCGTGAAGAAAAATCTCCGTAAAGATGTCACTAGCATTGAAGACAGAGCCGCAGAGTCCAGTACAGTCTCTACTTCGGAGTCTACTTCTTCTGGATCGCGCCAAGATCCTGAGGCGCCTGCTGCATTTGCAGAGGAGTTGGCGCGTGCTCTCTATGGAGGGGAGGCGAAATTTCTGGAGGAATTTTTCTCAGAGCGGCTCAGGAGGGACATTCTAGCTATGTGAATGTTGTTTCTTACATCTTCTATCATATCAGACCATCTATAACAAGTTATACGTTGTTATTTTTAAGGGACAACATTTTAGTTTTACGTTTTTATCATTTAGCAGGATCCTCTTCAAGTTATACGTTGTTGAGGGGGTCGTGATGGTCTGGCTAGATTGAAATACTACATTCATACTAGCGGACAAATCGCGTGTGATGACGCGGACCGGAACCGCGGCGCAGCAAAAGATGGATATTGGCGACAGACGAACACGTGCTGAATTGAGTTTAAGTGCTGGAATTGTGTGATTTTTAGGTTGCAGGAGTAGAACGAAGCACCCGCCGCTTGTGAGAGGATAAGCAAGCCCTTAAAGAAAAAGTTTGTGTTCATCTGCAGATTGACGGATGGGGCTGGGATAAGCAAGTCCATGCCCCATAAAGTTTAAATTTTGATGTTAGAAGATTTCAAGTCCTGAGTTTGCTAACATCAGGTAAGTAGACCTGTTTAGGCTAGTACGCGAAGGAGGACGTCCTGAGTTGCTAACATCAAGTAAGTGCAGAAACAGACCTTTTTATGCAAGGAACGTCAAAGTCCATAAGGCAAGGAGCGTCAAAGTCCATAAGGCAAGGAGCGTCAAAGTCCATACGTTCACCTTTAAGAATCGATGCAGTAGCGGAGATTTCGGCAGCAGCTTCAGCAGTAAGCGAAATGCAGGATTTGTTCCGGAAAATGGCGTTTGTAATAGCAAATCTTGACGATTTCGCTATCGGCCTCTCAGCAAAGCGAAGTGCTTCTGCTGTAGGTAGTTGGACCGCAACTGACCTACATTTAAGGCATATACTAAAAATGTTCAGTGACGTAAGTAATAACCCTCGAAATAATGTAACCCTAATATTAGAGCCCCTGTAGTCCCTTTGTTGTTGTATGCCTTCATAATGTTCGTATTGTCCCTGCACCCCTTGTTGTATAGGGTTGGTTAATACCTTAACCTTTACTTGTCTGTAATCCCACTGCAACACTAATAAAATATGTGACCCTATGACCCTAGTATCACTCCTGCACCCCTTAAGAATATTGTACGCTTCTAATATCCCTCGATTTCCATTTATTGAACGCCAGCAAAGTACTAGACGACGTGATGGAGCCAGCGCATAGTGTTATCGTGAGTAGCGGAACTCTGTGTGCGGAATTAGGCGAAGAATTTTACAAGCGCGAAGTGAATGGCCGATTCGATGGGTTACATCAAGAAAAACTGAATAGCTCCTGCATCGAGGATGAGGATAGGCATGAAGATAGTGGAGATACTTGTCCCATCCTCGATTGCAGTGATTTCAGCAATAGCACATCAGCGAGCACAACATCCTCTTCGTGGGCGGGACATCAACAAGGCTCCCCTAAACAGAGCAGGTCATCATCAGCAGTCCTTTCGCCACTGCGGAGCGCGCATGTGATTAAGAGTTCCCAACTACTGGTGCAGAAGATTGAACGACTGAAGTCCGGCCAACGTTTCTCTACCGATTTCGGGACACTTCGATCAGCAGGAGCTGGAGAATGGAGTTTATGAAATCTTCTTGAAGATGAATGTTAAATTTGCTTCAAGTAGTCTTGTCGATGGTTGTAGAGAATGACCATTTGAGACAGGATGATGATGAGGCACTTTTTTCAACCATCATGTGGCGTTTCTAGGATGTTCGATCGTTACAAACATAAGAAAACTAAACACACAGTCTGATCTTAGTAGAAGCTTAAGATCTTTTTGTAGTTATACAAAAAAAAAAAACAACTAAAGATGTAGTTCGACGCACCAGCAGCAGCGGTCTTGTCGATGGTTGTAGAGAATGATGATGATGGTTGAAAAAGGTACCTCATCATCGTCCTTGTCGAAGTTTGAGACACCATGATGATGAGGCACCTTTTTCAACCACGGACATCCGAAGATGAACTCAGAAGAGACGCAGGGAAGTCGTGGGCCCAATCCGAATCAACCAACATCCTCATGAGACGCGCCCTTTTACTCTTTCTTTCTAGTTCTCGAGAATGAAGTGCAAGGTAGAAGGCATCGCTTGAAAATTCAAGCATGGCCCAGATACTAGATGATGATGGACAGCAGAGTACACCTATTCGTTGCAGAAACAGAAAGTGCCTAGAGTCGTAAAAACTGTAACTTTTGACCTCTTGTCCCAAATCTAACACGAACTCGCTCATTTCCGTACGGTGCTGGCGCTAGTGGTTGGAATCAAGGGATGCTAGAAGACCTTGGAGAGACGCTCGTCGACCTAGCCTCAGTAATACCTGGAGGCATGTTGGTTTTCTTCCCTAACTACGCAATGCTAAAGGAATGCTTCAGATGCTGGAAGAAACCGTCGTCGGTTATGAAGTTGGATGAAGACTATTTATAGAATCACAAGTTCCAGTTGTCTCACGACGTTATGTCTAAGACTTTACTTGATAAACTGATACAACAAGCAACGAACTGGTAAAAGTTCGACCAAATCGCCTGTTCTTGTACTTCCGCGACGTATTCCGAAGTGACTCGTTAGAAGAACTAATACTATCGCTCCGAAGAAGGAATTATATATCGACAGTATCTCTAATCTTTCTAGAGAAACTTGGCATCGAGAGGGACGCAGTACCAATACCAAAAAGACCACAGAATTGCCATCCGTGTACGAGCGACTGGTGCGATTGAAGATTTTTGTAGCGAAGGAAGCGGAGAGCACTGATGTGGACAAATTGCGAGACCAGCATAATGCCGCAGTAGATGAACACGGACACGCACTGCTTTTTTATGACAAGAACTCAGCAGATATTGTAGGGATTTGTTTGGAGTGGGCGACTTTTGTTCATGATCATTCATCATTGTACCACAGTCGTAATGGATTATTTTAAGTAGATTATAGAGTCAAGCTATCCATTCAAGACATAACCATTGCGTGGGTATATCTACTTTTAAACGACCATCACTCTTCTAGTCCTTTCATCACTACCAGGCGTGCTGGTGAGTGAAATCGTCATCCATAAAACTGACCGTCTAAGTTCGTGGAGTTATGCGTGGCAAGTGTGCTGAGGGAATCAGCTATGACGATGCCTACGCAAGGGGTGTTGTTTTAGTAGGGATTCCCTATTCGACGGTGAACGCAGCCTCGGTATATCACAAGCGCGAACACAACAGAGCGATGGCGATACAGAAGCAGCGAAGTAGCTGTGGTGGTTATGACGAGACGGATCGAAGCCATGTGCTTTAGTTTTTTCCCTTTGCGTTTTTCACTCATGTCTAGGTACTCCGACGACAAGAAAAATGCAAATATTTGCAGTGCACACGACTTCCTGTCGATGAAACTTTTTCCTTCATAGTACCATTAGCAGAGTTGACCAGCAAGACGACTGGTACGCAACACAGGCATTTACAGCGGTAAATCAGAGTCTAGGACGATGCATCAGACATTCCGAGGATTACGGTGCGATTTTTCTTTTAGATGCGCGATGGAGCTATGCAGGCCATGAGGAGAAGCTTTCAAAATGGGTTCAGGACTTAGTTATGCTCAGTATTTAGTGCCCATCTTTCTCCGCATCTTGGTACCCTTTCCCCATAAAGTAGACAAGGGAAATGAGGTGGCCGTCGAGATAAAAAGGGGATCCATCGAGATGAATAAATGCTCACTCTAAGTTAGGCGTCGTGCGCCCACCGGCGTTTCGGTGGCCGAGAATGCTGCAGGGGGTGACGGATTTCTACAAAAGAAATGGAGAACGAGGGACAAAAGAGAACAGGGATAAAATAAGAGAAGCGTAGGTTATTTACTGGAGAACAAGTGTAAGTGGAACTGTAATTGGAAGTGAATAGCTTTGTCAGGTATATACAAGTATATTGACCTCTTTTTTTTAGTTAGGTCTGCTCCACCACAAAGTATATACATAGGACTTACTCATGAAAAGTCGTGGAGAAGAGGAAGATGGAAGTTGTGATGTGCATAGCTGTATACCCTATAGTGACGGTCGCAGAAATTGTTTCGTCTTGCCGATGATCAAGCACGGCCATTTGAGACGCATTGCCTGACTAGTGGCGGTAAGTACTTAGGAACATGGAAGTTCTTTCTTCATCTTTGTCATCATCAGTTGGGGTGGGTGTACTGCCAGTGTCTATGTGTGATTTTAAGACGAGTACAGAGTAGTGTAGATCGATGTAGTAAAAAGTGGGTGTTTGCTCCTACATTTCAAGTATCTGTAGTTATGTTAGTTGTTGTTGTTAGCACAATATTATAAGCCCAATAAATCTTAAAGTTGTAGGTTCACTTGTATCTATTCATTGGTAGATTTATTTTCAGCGTTGCGCTTGTCATCTCCTCTTCTGCGGGTGCGAAGCATCGTATAGTCTAGGGGCTGGCATGCTAACCAGTGGTAGACTCCATGATGATGATGATGATGAGCAAATCAATGTTATTTCCAATCAACACTAAGAATGAATAGAATCTATTCTTAGAATAGACTCCATGTTGTTTCCGAGAAAGTAGCTCCTTTCTGACGCATAAATGTGCAGCTGCCAAAATGCAAAACCAACGATATAATTTTTGCGAAACATTTTTACAAATTTAAGCAAGCAAGTGAAAGATTAGAAGACTTCAATTTCCGTGTCCGACTGTGAATCTGAGTGTAAAAATTAGGACAGGATTCAATCAGGCGGCATCTTCAACATCCTTGGTCCAATTTTGATCTCATCCTTGTGTCCTAACAGACGCGGTGTTGCCTCAGAGGCAAAAGTCAAACAGGCACGAAATGGCCATTTGACCCTGTTCGACCACATTTTTTCGTCTTCATTCCAAGCACAACATTTCTTTGGCTTTTGTGCTACCAAGAAGCAAGTCCAAGTGTACTGTCATTCGACTTCATTCGAGGCACAGCATCAGCAAGTATGCGCAACCTGGAGCAGCGAGTAACCTAGCGCAGACTGTCGAAAGACCGAACGTCGCAGTGCAGATCACGACGCTCATCCTCGATTGGACGCTTGTTTTTTGAACTGAAAAAAGATCAAGATGTAGTCACGACGTGCTGCCGTGAAGCCCTGGCGTCGGTTTCCTATTTTTGGGCAAACGCGAGGAGCGCAGGACGTTGTACTACATCAGAATAATAGCAGTACCTAGTCGTACAAGTAAGTACAACAATAGCACTTGTTCATCTCTGGTGGAGAATAAATTGTCGGCACATGATGCTGGATGCAAAGGACGAAACAAAGTACTTAGGACTGAAATCAATAGCAGAGCACGATCTTCGTCTTCTAAGCGGCCTCCAAAAGTAAGATCAGTAGCAGACCTTGTCTACGAGTAAGAAGAATACCTTCAAGAACACTTCGTGACAGACAATGGAGCACGATCCGCTGATAGTCAAGGGCAACCGTTTGCTCTTTGACCGGCGAAAAAAAGAGAAGGAGGCAGGGGGAGACGGCGCTGGAGCCGTCAGGCTAGATGACCTTTTCCAGTTCCTAGTGCCACTCATTCACTACCTCGTCGGCCTCATATCCTGCGCCTACTATCTGGTATGGCTATCATCCCACAATTATTTTTATTCTTTTCGGAAGCAAGCACGAGGACGAGCGGGTCCTCTTGATGGATCGTATGAAAATAGACAATTCAGGGATTATATGAATGAAGACCATGAGCATGAGGATGATACTCTTGCTGCACTATAACTTTAGATAGTGTAGTACAGACTGATATGTGCTCACCAGGAGGACAGTTTCCGAGGACAAAATAAGGTGGGGCTCTTCAATGTAGCATGACAATTTTTACGTGGTCGTACCGATACTTGTGGCGCTAGCGAGTCTCGACGTGTTTTTTCTCTTCCTCGTCCAACAATCATGGGTGCGAGAGATGGGTACTTCACTCTTAGACCTTCGGTTTTCTATTTCTTCCCTATGCATTTAGATTTATGCATAACTACTCACTTGTTCTTGTTGTAGCACGAGTAGATCAGCCAGCGACAACTCGTACTTCTGGCAAGAATCCGCTCTAGCTACAAACAGCGTCGATACTATACTAGGATCCTGGCGCGACAGCATCTTCTGAGGACGAGTAGCGTGAGAATATGTCTCTATTCATGTTATCGATGACAACTAGAACGAAGAAGAGAAGGGTATTGCCGTTTACCGCTTGTTCATCGTTTTCATTATTGAAGAAAGAAAATCCATCTTGTGGCTGTTGGCGTTATTCTGAAAAGCTTTCTATAATATAACCTACATCCATCGCCAACGCCATCCCTCACTCCCTCACCATGATCAGCCACACTCTCCGTGACCGGACTCATGGGAGGAACGTTTCTGGGGGTCGTGTTGTACTCGTATTACATGGTGTTTTACTACGGATACAGGGACCTCCGGGTCTTCACCAACGTCATGTTAAGGCTAGTTTATCAGTCGTCATTACCGCGTACAGTACGGGGTAATGTCATTTGGCCCACCTCGGAGTACTTCTGTACATTATCAATAAGATATCTGTATAAGTACTAGAATGACGCACGTAGGTTTGCGAACTGGATAAAACTGGGATCAACCTTCCGGCGGTCTTGGCATACCAAAAAGAAAAGTTCTAGCTGGAGCGTGCCCCCCTGAAGTCTGAAAATGCAGGCAGTGCTCTGCTCCGTGGCTGCCCCCTTGAACTTGATCTACAGGGGGGACCTTCAAGGGGAACATAAAGAGCAAGTCACTCATACTCAACCACTGATAGATAGTGAAAGACAATTGCCCTTTCTGATAGAACAAGTGAAAGACAACGACTCATCAACCACTTCTGATACATATGAAAACAAGACAACTACTTATTACTGAATCAGAAGAGACTGAAACTGGTACTAAATGGTGAAGCGGGTGGTTGATGAGTCCTGCCTGATTGGCCTCGAGCAAACGTCAGGGTGGAGGAGCAATGAATGAATAGAGGCCTACTAGCTCTAACAATAGGAAGCCAGCCTGTGGAGCAATTTGTTGACGCTGGAATGCTGGGTTTCGCTTTTTCCACGTCCGTAGACACATCGAGGGCGGTCGGGTACTATTCCATGTTTGAAGTTGAACCGCTTCTGATGACATGGCTGAAGATCATTACGTCCTTGGTACAAGTACAACTTTATAGACAGATAGTACAACAAGAACAACATTAATAGCAAAGTCAAAGAGCAAGCTCATTACGTCCTCGGGAGAAGTTCTTCATCAGCAGCTACTGAGGGCGAGGTCTTAGTTGGTCTTCTATTCCTCCAGATACAAATCCTTTGAAGAAGGAGGACGCATGTACTGTGTAGCCCCGATAGTCGACAAGCAGCAGGGCTTGTCAAGTCCAGTCAAGTTTTGGGCCGTAGGTGAGAATTGTTGTCAGCCGAGAGGAAAATTCGAATGCGGCGACGCACAAAATCCGAAGGCGCATACGGGTGTCGTGGTACTAAGACACCTCTTCTTTGCTAAGGAGGACCTAGCTCTAGACGTAGTGACTATAACATTCTTACATAAGGAGTATAGTAATAGTACCACTACGGAGTAATTCTAGTAATTGCAATACTAATACTATTATGCACTATCATCGTCTGTAATCTGCTGATGCTGCAGCTGTTGTAGTACTTAAACAGCAAAGTAGAGCAGTCTGCATGATCCCTCTTATTAACGGGAACTTTCAATTTTATTTTCACAAAACGCTCTGACTCTGCCTTACGTCGTCTCTGTCTTAGATGTTATCAGGCTGAGGCGGGAGCCCCGCGAGTTCTAATTCTAAATCATCAGCATAACCAGTTCTCTAGCAGGATGTCCTCCTACAGTCCAAAAAGATGTAAGGATAACATCAAAATCAGAAATCGCGGACCAGGACCATGACCACCGATGGATGACTATTCCCGCGACTGACCCCATTGCGTTGAAATTAAGTATGAGTTTTTTCAATGTTTGAAATGATTATGAGTTTCTTCAAACGGCGGATCTCCACCAAACTACCTCTACCATTTCCATTCAGTTGCTCCGACCCGATATGTTTGCGCCAGCTACTGCGACCTGGATAGTGAACGAAAGGGAAGGCCTTCTGAGGCAATACGAAAGGGCTGTTGACCTTGCGCAAAACGTGTTCGGAATCCCAGAATTTGAACCAATTATGACAGGTCGTTCTACTTGTTCAGGTTTTATTTTTGTAAATTGAATTCAATTTGAGTTTGTATTTGAATTTTATCCACACGCAGAAAATAGGGGGAAAACCCAGATCCATTTCTTCCCGCGTGCGGCAAGCCCGTGGGGAGCCTCTTGATTGATTGATTGATTGATTGATTGAGTGATTGATTGATATCCTATTTCGCCTTTGATTTTCTTTTTTGACTAATTACCTCTCTTTATGCTTGTCTACTTTCGCTTCGTTCTTCCTCCTTCGTCTCATGATTACAACGCCAGATGATATTAACGCCGTTAGCACAGTCTTCGCCTTATTTACCTACAACCTAAAAAGATTCGTCAGTCTCTTTACTCCTCCCCTTCATTGGAACGCCACCCTTTGCCGCTAGCACAGTGACCACGACCACTGCTGCAGCCTCGACGACAGGGGCATCGAGCGACGTCTTCGTGCATTGGACGATGACGCCTTTCAGTGCTCAGGAAAGGTTTAATTAAGGCTAGTATTTTTTATGCATATCTATCAAGTACAACAATCCGTCTTAGTCTTTTGCAGGGCGACTGCCTGGGTATCTCAGCCAAGTAGCTCAATACCCTAAGAAGGTACTCGAAAAGTGAAAATAAGGGAGTAGCTAACTGAAGTAACAGAGTCATTACGTTGCTCTTGTTTCAGTATCGCGCTTATTTTAAGTACGTAGTTGCTTGCTTATTTCAGTTTATCGAAAAATAGATCATCGTCATCAGCAGTCACGCTGTCTATACACATGCACTCATACAGCAACTACGCATACAACAAGTAGTCCACGGTAGGTCGTGCCATAATTCTGAGAGGACATCTACAACATAATCGCTTTGTCCTCTAAGTTCGGGCTTCAGCGGACTGGTATGCCGCGTTCGCGATACTATTTGGTGTGGTCGCCTTTTTCATGCTCGCCTACCTTCCAAAGTCAGACCCCCCGCCTGCTGATGACGATGCGTGAGCATGAATTATGTGGATTTGGTTTTGAGGCAGGTTTCTCAAGGAGCAAATCGCTACAACATGCCATCAATTAAGGCTTCGCCTACTTACTCGATCCATCTTCACATAGTACATCTTGGACGAGCCGTTCTCCAAAAGGGGGGAAAATGAGCCGCAGGATAACGTCCCAAGATGGATAAGGGTAGGCGTCAAATCAAAGGGTGCCATCAAACGATGACGCTCAGACAAATGGAGTCGCCAAAATCACATGTGGCGTACCATCATGGGGCAGAGCAGTCATGTTGTCTGAAGTGTGAAGAACGATAGTTTCATGGGCCTTTTCTGTTGCCAGCTAAATGAACAAGATTAGTCCACTTCTATCGTGGGAGCGGGTTGTAGTGTTGATATACACCACAGACATGCGCCGAGAGCGCAGTTTTGATTTTTCATTTTGCCTGTACACCGAGCATATTTCTTGAGATGCCACTCTTAGACGGACAACATACTTAAGAAGGCTCATACTCACGCCCTCGATCATGAAGAATTTCTGTGTTTTTTCCCGCACATTCCAATCGATCGCAATGGCAAGTACGGCTGTGAGCGAAGTGCACGTGTTTAACAAAAGTCGCCAACAGAAATTGAGAGGACGCAAATCGTGGGACACGACTAGCAAGAAGTTAGAGCAAATTTAGGAGCCCTGTCTTCTCTATAGTGTTTCTGTAGCTACTGCTACCGCACATAGAGTTCTACGTATCTTGAGTTGTGACGGTTCGTCAGCATCGAGAGAGAATGGACAGGCTGCGGTCGTTACAGATGTTCGAGAGAGAATCGACGGACTCCAAGTGTGTCCTCAGCGTTGATGGCGAGACTTTTATTTATGTGCGCAACTATCCGGAGAGAGCACACGAGTAGACTGCCCTTGTTCGCCTTTTCGAAGGACCTCCATTCGTCGACTGTTCGACTTGTGAACATTTTCGAAAAGCTTAGTCAACAGTAAGGTGCCTTCTGTATCCAACACAATAAATTGACACAAGAACTCCATCAAAAGACTTGCAATCCTGTTGACACTAAAAATATCCTGCCTACAACTAGTCGAATTCGTTGCATGAAAATAATGGTAATGCTATTTTCGTTCTTGCACTAGCACTACTACATGCGCAACTCCTACTAGTACTACTTCGTTACCTCCCTCGGCTAATTTTGATTCAAGAACACATACGATACATCGACGGGGGGCGTCGAGTTTGTTCGAAAAACTTCCACCGAGAAGGAATGCCCACGACGACAAGCGAGTCGCGCGCCCTGATGCCCGTGTCGGGGGGAGCGAACTTAGCGGCAACATGTAACGGGAAAAACTCTACACTCAAGAGCCAGCTCTTTGCTAAAAAGAGGAGCCGCGAAAGCGCGTACACAATCGACGCGGCGCTCCGTTTCTGGCTCTACTGCTGCCACCAGTGCGAATGCGAAACTATCATCCTGCACCCGCTTCTGGGAGCGGCTGCTTTCCGTTCCGCTTTTTGTGTGATGGTGGAAAGAGGAGAGTTGCTGCCGCTCGTGCTCTCGTCCGATCAAGTTCGCGCGTTCTTTTGTCTCTTGTCAAGCTGGTTTGCTGATCAAGGAGAGGCTTTTCCTCATCTCTCCTCATGCTTGTTGACCGAGAAAGCTACCAAGACCAAGAAGACACTGTCGCAGCCTCCGTATCAGCCGCAGGAGCGACTTCTTCCGATCGAGGACGAAGATCGCAAAAGTAGTGCTTCCACCTTGCGTGGTCATGCAGAACAAGAACTGAAGACCAAGAAGACACTGTCGCAACCTCCGTGCTACCCGCTGGTGGAGCGACTTCTTCCGATCGAGGACGAAGATCGCAAAAGAGGCGCTCCTATCTTGCGTGGTCATTTAGAACAAAAACTAAGTCTTCCGCTACAAATTGTCGATGAGGCCAATAAACTTGAGCATGAGGCTCTTACAGCTTCTTGCGAATGTGATGAGGATCTCAACATCACTCCATCCTACGCCGACATCGTGAGGAGACGACCACGCAGATTGTCTGAACGTCCCTCAAAGCAATGCTTTACTAGTATCTTCAATGCAAATCCAAGTGGCCTCCTCGCTGCATCCCAAGGAAGACCATCACCCCAGAGCTGCAAGAATGAAGCGGATTATCATCCTCCTTTTTATAGTAAAAACGCATTTCCAACTCCATCGCTATCTCTCGTCTCTAGCAAAAGCAACACGAATAGAACAAGCGCAAATATTACTACTAGCACTAGGCCGCCTCGTACCAGTCCCGTCTACCGCTTGTCTCCTGGTACGAAGACGACTGCTAGCACTAGCGACACCGCATCAATTACAGCGACGCATCAATGCAAGGAAAGCCATCAGAGTCATCTTCTGCTCTCGACCTCGACACCCGCGTCCAGTAGTTCTGACGACACCAAGCCAGCAGAGCCAGAACATGAATACGCCTACAAAGTTGTAGAAGATGCTGACTATGATTGTCGCACTTGTGATAGTAGTTCCACTTCCAGTGCTGCTCGTGTGGCCGCAGATTCGATAGAGGATAATATTCTGAACTTGGAGCACTTGAGTCTGCTGCTGCAAGAGGAAATTGCGCGTCCAGGTGCCTTTGAACGGAGTGGTCTTGTGCTTGAGGGCGAGGCCTGGCGGTCTTTGGTGCAGAAAGAACGAGAAGACCAAGACATTGCTTTGAAGGTACTTCAGTTCAGCGCTTTTGTGGACCAACTAGATCGTTACAGGTAATTGGACGACAGTGACTCTATTTAGTCGAAACGGTATCGGTCTTGATGATCCTTGTTGTAACTTCACATATTGTGACCCTCACTTCTTCGTCTTGCAGTTACAGCCGTTACCTTTTTCCACAACCGCGAGGAAAAACGCGAATTAGTGCTGGTTTCTTCAATAGTTAGAACGAAGTACCAAATAAATCAACTTCAATACCTGCTCGGGTAGTTTCGTTGAAACTGTTTCAAAAATAATCTCTAATTCATTTTTATTCCAGATTGTAAATCCACCGCGCTCGCGACTGATGAAGCAGGAGTTGCCTTCGTCGCTGGATCGGGTTCCGGCTGTTTCGTCCACCACCAGCTTAATGCGAGAGACCTGCTGCAACAGGTTTAGAGCATTGTTCTCGACGATGGCAATTTCGCCTGACGACGGCGAGGACGAAAACAAGACGAATGAAGAGACGTCCAGCGCAGTGTGCTGTCTCACAACAATAACAAGCTCCCAACTGACCACAGAGAAACAGCAGACGAAGGCGAGCAAGAAAAAGCAGATGTTGAGTAAAAGAAGACTCGACACTTCTCGTAGGTCGCTCCTGTCTGGTACTACTTTGCCGACTCCTACAGAAGCAGCAATATCTTCTCTGCGATCGGCATGCCATGACGATGCCCCGTCTTCATCTTCAAGGAACGGCACCGGACTAGTAGACGAGCAGACGGACTACGCCGAGTCTTCGTCTTTTGCACCTCCAGCGCCTCCGTCTAGCTCCGCTGGTGCATCTACATGCTTTCGGGAAAGGGGGGCTAGTCGCTGCGAAACGGTAGTAGCCTCGGTGGCTCCCAGGTGGGTTGTCAACGCTGGCGCCACAGTTACCGCGCACTCCTCCTACCGCACGAACCTTCGCAAGCGGATCCTCAGCGCTGGCACTACAGTGGCGCACTTCTTCTACAACACTCGCAAGGGAATCGCTGACGCTGGCGCTCCTGGCGCGCGCTCCATCTCTTGGCATTCATGCAGAACCAGAAGAAAGCAACTTCCCAAAAAGCGACTGCCTCCACTAAGACTACTGCAGCAGGAAGAGCACGAGACCAAACTGAAGGTGGCTGTGCTGCGAGGCGCTTGCGGCCTCTTGCGTCATTTGCCTCTACTGCTATTGCCGGCTCTGGCAGTCGTCGCATACCAGCAGGCGGAAAGGCAACCGAAAAGCTTCCGCGGAGAACCGAGCCAAGAGAGAATGAAGCAACACGCACGCGAACTCTTCGACCGGGTAAAAACACATCCGCGGTTTTTTGGCCAACACTTTCTCCGGTTGGAAATACCACCGGCAGCGCTGTTGGAGTGGCAAGCCGATTTCAGAAAATGGATGACGAACCACCCGAACCAAAACGAGGAGTTGCAGAAAGAAATGCAAATGTCAGCCCAGGAGGCAGTTAGATCATGCATGCACGACCTGAAGGAGATTCCCGCGACCAGTACCACTGCAGGAGAGGTATAGGAGATAAAATAAAGCGACCTCATCCAAATGCGCACCATATAGTATATATCAAAGCAAAGAAAAGACTCATACTCAAAGGGCTCAGCGCTTCTATTGGTAGGCAGCACTGAAGCTGGCCGGTGCTTGCTCTCTGAGGGGCGGCTAGCTAGGATTTGTATAGATTGGCTCGGAGATCGAGATGGGCTGCGACTGCGGTTCTCTAATTCTTTAATTCAGCGGACCCTCTAGGTCTAGATACTAACCTGCGCCTGCGTCCGTGATCAGTCGAGATGGAGGCCCCTGAATGCTGAGCAGGTCTGAGGCTGACGCGGTCCCTGTATTCATGTGGTCGACCTTTTACATTTTGACACAGTCGCTCCATCGTTAAAAGTGGAGAGGCCTCACCTGCTCGCCTAGATTAAAGAGCCTCCGAGTTTACGTCTAACGGAGAACGAGACAGGGGCGATTTTCCCCGTACGTACCCGAAGCCAGCGCGCTGGGACAGCCTGCCCGGGCCACACCTTCTGAAACAGCATGCGCAGAACAAGGTCGCCGAGGCAACACGTCCAGAGCAAGGCTTCTGCAACAGCCTGCCCAGAACAACCTACCCAGAAGAAGGCTCGCGGGACAGCCTGCCCAGCAGAACAGGGGGCCCGGGGGCAGCCTGCCCAGAACAAGGCACCTAGGCTCCTCGGCAGCCTGCCCAGAGTAAGACTTCTGAAACATCCTCCCCAGAACAGCTCATCTGAAACACTTTCAACCCCCCAGGAGAGGGTCTCTGAAATGACCCCGCCGCCGACACAGCAGGACAGCTCACCTAAATCAGCCCCGCCAGATACAGACTGCTGACCCGACCACCCGAAACAACCTCGCCGGGCCAGCTTATCTGAAACAACCCGGACAGAGCAGCCCACCTGAAACAACCCCGCCGAAACGGCTCACCTGAAACAACCCCGCCAGAGCAAGGATTCTGGAACAGCATGCCCAGAGCCAGGAGTCTGGAACGATATAGAACGAGACAGGGCCGGCTTTCCCCGTACCCAGGAAAAGCGCGCTGAAACAGCCTGCCCAGAGCAAGGCACTTGAAACAAGCCCGCCAGCACTCACAAGAATGCTAAAGCAGCTTGCTTAGACATAGAACTCTGAAACAAGCCGGCCAGAGCAAAGCCAGAACTCTGAATAGACATCCCCGCGAGATCGAGGCAATTAGGCTAATCTTAAAAAAACAATCCCGCCAGACCTTGACCTCTGAGTGAAACAACGAACCCCGCCAGAGCACGGCTCGGCCCCTGCAGCAATAATACCTAAGCAAAGGGCCCCTTTTCTTTTAACCTTGCGCCGGGCAAGGGCGCTGGGGTAGCTTTTCAAAGCAAAGGCCTTGGGTTGGAACAGTCTCTCCAGGGCGACGGGTCTTGATTGCAAGGCCCTCCGTCTGCTCGACGGTCTCTCTTTTTTCACTGGCTGCGCTTTTGGTTTTTTCTGCCGGGCTCTTGGGCGGGGGCGGTGGGCACTCTTTGGCGGGGCAAACCCGCCCGCCGTGCCCGCGTGCTCCTCTCTCCTTGTGCCCCCGCCCCCTGCGCCCCGCCTCCGGGGGCGACGGGGCCGGGCGCTCCCGGAGAATGAGGCAGCCACCCCGCAGCGTTGGTTTTTGGTTGGGGTGTCGTTTTTTGTCCACTGGCCTCTCTGTAAGCACTCTAAGAAAAGCGAAGCTTGGCACCTGCCCGCGGCCGCGGGCGGCGGGCGTGGTGTGTGGTATTGGTAGCGCCTCCTTTTTGAAGTTTCTCGCCGCCGCTCTCTGTCCATCGAACCAATGGCGGCAAACGCAAGGCAGACGCTGCCCCGTTGGGTCCACCCGATGCCCGTGGTTTCGTGGCGTTTTTTCAAGTGGCTACGCGACTCCCCTCCTTCTTCTTCTTGGCCGCGCGACCAACATCCCAACCCTCCCACGCCTGCCACGCAATCCGGCCCCATATGGCGTTCCACGAGCCTGGGCTGGGTCTGAGAAGAGAGACCGACCACATGAGAGGAGACAGAGACCAGACCAGAAGAGCCGAGTACCGTACGAGAGGAGACGGCCCGACCCGACGCACGCGCGACTGGCGTCGGCCCAGACTGGGTGGCGCCACAGCCACCGCCCACCTTGCGACTGCCTTACTTTATTGGAGGCTAGGCGTAGCCAGCTTATTTTTAGTGACATAAGAGACAAGGCCAAGCGCGCCGACCTTGGCTTTGCCTTTGCCTTCCTTAGGGCTACGCCTTCCCTTACCCCCAGGCCAAGCGTCCGCCTAGAACAGAGGGCAGCCCCCCGTAGCCGCCCAGCGTTCAGCGCTGCTCAGGTCAACTACATCCCCCCGGATGCTCTGCGCTTCTCCTAAAAAAGTCGCCAGATTCTGAGCCAGAGGGCAGCCCCCTGGTGGCCCACTGCTCAGCATAAGGCGAGCCTGTTCTCTCTTAATGCGTTGCCTTTTTTCCGAAAAAAGCTGCTGACTGTTTTCCTTTGCTACTTTTTGCAAGTTAGTTCAGAGCTTCGGGCCGTTTCAGATTTTCGTGACTTTTTGAAAAAAGTAACGGGGAAAAGCCTCCACGCCCGACACGGTGCGCCGAACTCTTGCCCAGAAGCTGGAAACTAGAACGACACCAAAAACCAGCCTTGTTAAATGAGCAGTCTGCTTCTTTTATTTCTTCCTGCCTGACCTGCGGAAACTTTGGCGGTCTTACTTTTCATGAGTTAACTTTGTGGCGCGCCGACTCTCCATTTTTCAACCCTTCAAAAACAGAGGGCAGCCCCGTAGCCGCCCAGCGTTCTGCTTAAGTCGACTACATCCTTCCGGGTGCTCTGCGTTTCTCCTGAAAAAGTCGCCAGATTCTGAGCCAGAAGGCAACCCCCTGGCAGCCCACTGCCCTGCGTAAGTCGATCGAACCCGCCCCCGCCTAATGCGTTGCCCCTTTTCTGAAAGAAGCCGCCTAGTGTTTTCCTTTGCTACTTTTTGCAAGTTCAGAGCTTCGGGCTGTTTCAGATTTTCGCGATTTTTTGAAAAAAGTAATGGGAAAAGTCTACACACCTGACACGGTGCGCCGAACCCTTGCCCAGCAGCTGGAAACTACAGCGACAGCAGCAGCGAGCTTGGTCAAGAGTCCGCTTTTTTTGTTTCTTCTTGCCTGACTTGCGGAAGTTTTGGCGGTCCCAATTTTCGCGAGTTAATTTTTTGGCGCGCCGGCTCTCCAACTGCAGAAAAAACACGCATGGAAAAACCATAACCGCAGGGAATTACTTCCCCAAGTGGGTGACTTTTTAGGCATTTTCGAACCCATTAGCCCGTGACCCCCAAAGAGTTAACTTCTGAAAAAAAACGCAACAACTTGTGAAAACAATCAGCAAAAAGCCGGCAACTTCGAGCAGACAAGACGCCGCAGGCAAGAAATGGGACCTGACTACTCAGGCCCCTTCGCTTCCAGTGCTACCGTCAGAGCATTGGAGCGAGAGACTTCGACGAGCAGGGTGGCAATGTGAGGGCTTGGAATCATTAAAAAAGCAAAAGTGGCTAAATAAAAGAATCTTGGCAGGGTTTTTGGATGGATCTCTGGGGGGTCCTAGGGGGTAGGCGCGGCGTAGGTGCTGGCCTCCCCTGGGCAACCACTGCCCAACCCCCTTCCCAACTTCTGGGTGACCCAGAGCAGACCAGACGTGGCGACGCTTGGGCGCCTCAATGAAAACCGCGGAAAAACCAGCATCACACTAGGAGGCTCGCGCCTCGCAGCTCCTCCGGGGGGGTGCGCGTCCGGAGGCTGCGAGCGAGGAACCCGAAGGGGAGCCAGCCTGCGGGCAACGCCTTCACACCTCCCCGCCTGCTTGAGTGTGTTTGCGGAGGAAGGCGGAGAATGAAAGCGCTGCGTTTATTTCTCGCAGGTGAAAGCAAATGGCAGGACTGTTCCCGAATTCAAAACTGGGCCTGACAACGTCGAACCCAGTTAACCCTATCGACCTCAGATGACCTCCTGAATCCTCCAAATATTGCGTAAACATTTGACAAACTCACACTCACTGGGCATAACTCTTGCGACAACCGTAAACGAGCTGGCCTCAGCTCAACAGGGAGGGAAAGAGTAGAGATCGCGCAGAGATCTGAAGGGTAGAGGCTTCCTGTCACTTGTACCAAGCGAGAGCTACTTGACATAGGCTAAGGCGTCCTGACAACGGGAGAAACTTCAACTCCATTCGAATGTGGCATAGAGTTCCGAAGTTGAAACATCGCAAACAAATACAATCTGGAACCATTATGGGGCGTCACATCTACAACCAAATGAGTGAAAAGCTTGAAAGATAAAACTTAAAACGCGCCATTCATCTCAGCAAAAATTGACCTGCTTCACTCCTAAGCGTCAAGCCTATACTCCTAGACTTAGCGAGACTTGAAAGCACTTGGGAGACAACTGACGCCAACACGATGCGCCATATGAGCAAAAAAAAAATACGGAGAGCAGTCGGATTTTGATTCAATGGCAAAGCTTGACCTTTTCCAGAGTAAATCCAAAATAGACACAGAGGACCTAAATCGTGGAGACGTACTGCGCTACCAGTTTTTAGCTTTAATCATCAAGCTTAGCAGTGACTTCGTGTGGAGCAAGGCCAGAGCCGAAGAAGCCTGGAACGTGACCGCGCATAAGAAGGACGTCTTCAATAAACTTCCTATCCTGCTCTGTGTGATCATGTGAGAAAGCAGTCTCTTCATGGGGTCGATCTTCTCCTGACGAGTGAAAACGTCGGCAATATTGAACGCAGAAGGCACCCTGATGACCCAGGTGCACGCTCCTACCGCAGCACCGTCACCGACGGCCACACGCAACACGTGACCGCGCGCATAATTGCTAAAAACTCGCAAGGCAACAACCGGCGCAATTGCTTCCAGAAACGCGACCGGTTGCGTTCCAGCAACATCGTGGATCTGGTCTTTGTTAACCGCGTACGAGAAGCAACACAAGCGAAAACTTCCATCAGAAGTTGACACAACCCACGCGCCGGAGATCATGCCTTTGCCAACCCCAGGGTCATACGACGCGTCGGCATACAATAGCCGAGGCGCTACGCTGTGCCTGACAAACTTAGAACTCCTTCTAATAGGCAGCTGTACGACGTGCCGCACAATCGTCAGGCACTGTCTCAGCCTTGACGAAATACCGCACCCATTGAGAGCGTCTAGCCCATTCGACCTGTTGACGAGCGGCCTCAAAACCGGCGACGTGGTGCGACCGATCAGACTAGAGAAGATGAAGAATGTGGAGCCCTGCAGCTTTCTCGCATCGCCAGGCGTCAGAGCACCCATCTCGACAATGTCGTCTATTGCCTTGACTATTTTCTGCATCCGTTTCTGACAACCAAGTGCCGAACTCAGGCGGCTGCTTCGCGAGATCGAAGATAGTTAAGACCTAAGACTTCAATTGCTTCGCCTAGTTTTACTTTGGCTACTGAGTACGGGACGCCGATGGAAACCAGGAAAAGCAGGAAGATGTCTAGCAATTCCCGGGCCATCTTCTTCGGGGCGATTCCAGTATTGTCGTCGGCATAGACTTCGAGCAGAGACTTCACCACTCGCCTGAGAATCAACCTGATTCCCCACGCGACTCTTATCCAGCTAGTGACTGAGTGCACATTACCAAACGCGCACGCAAGCCCCTGAAATGCTAGGCATCTCTTCAAGCCCGGAGACCATACTACTAGCCTGCTGCGTTGGAGATGTTCGCCCATTACTGGGATGCTGTTGCAGGCCTTCAAAATGTCGACTACCCACGCCGGGATCATCAGTAACGGAATAGAAAAACTCGACTCGTCAAACGCACTACCATCGTTCAAGCTTCTTCTTCTTGGATGGGTGTGGACTCTCAGAAGTGTCGGCGGGCTTCTTCTTCTTGCCTCTTATCTTCGGAGGGCATTCGTCAAAGATGAAGAATTTCTCGTCTGGAGGAGTAGCACTCTCCCCCCGTAGGTATGGATCAGCTTGCTTTTCAAATTCTTTCTCCATGGCAGCTGCTTCTTTGATGAGTCTCCTGCTCATTACTACGGCGTCGCCATCTACCAGATTACAATCCTGCAACGCTGTGCCTTGTGCTAGAATTTGCGCCGCTGATGTCATTGGCGCTCCTCTTTCAAGAAGACTCGCTTTGTTTTGGGGCACTAGTGGGTCGATCGTCCTGATCTTGTTGCTCTGCTTGATCGGGAACCTCCTTACCACCGTACTCCAGCCCATCTCAGCTGCGTCCTGAATTTCAAACGGTCCCTGCAGACTGTTAGTCCCAATCGATTCGCCCCATAAAAATAGGTGCAACCTGAATGGTATTCGTTAGTCTTAATTGATGCGACTCGACTTCTCCTAAGTACTGATCTATCAACGTCTGCTCTGGCGACGAGGTAAACAAAAGAAAAACCGACTCAGACCCCCAAGGCGGAGCTGCTAACCCAAATCAATTCACAATCTAGCGTGAAGCCATACCTATTCGCCACCGCTCCTCTTGCTTCTGGCGTGATACGTTCCAAAACGTAATGCCATCCCAAGTAGATGCGCGCATCAACTAGCTTAGACGTGTCATCTTCTGGCGCAGGCGTCAGGGTCTCCATCAGTGAACCTTGCCAGCAAAATAATGCCTCATCTTCTTCCCACTGTGGAGCCTTCAATGAGCCCCCACGCGGTTCTTTGAAGTCCCTAATGTTATCCACTAGTGACGACACTGGAAGCGGCGCCTCGCGTTTCCTGCTTGCTTGTGGCCATGGCCAATATTCTGGCGCACCAGTAGGCCCGACCGCGGTCGCACCTCTCAGAAGCGGTTCAAAGAAGTTCGGATCTTCTGGTAAAAGATCCTGGCCAATGCTCTGGCATAGCCCTACGCTGAACCTCGAACAGAACTTCCGGATATGCGGCGTCATCTCACTCTTCAACCTCGCGTCTTCTTCCGCTGTTTCTTTCACTACTTCGTTGATGTATTCTTTTCTTCTACTCTCTTCTTCAACACTCCAGGCTTTAGAGTTGACTTCCTTGCTTTCTTTATGATTTCACGCGTTTCACCTTCGAGCGGCTTAAAGGGAGGCCTTCTATGCGTGTCCAGATTAATCCTTTCGCGCATCATGAAGAATTCCAACAGGAAATCCACCTGGTCGCATTCGTTCCCGCCCGGCATTTTTTTTTTGTGTTGCCAAACTTCTTGCTAAATTTCCCTAGACTTACACTTATAATTTTTCATTAGGATCAATCAATTGCACTCATCTTCTTCCGTCGTATCCTTCCGCTCCACTTCTTCCATTTTTTGTCTCTTTAGAAGAATTTCCACGCAAACGCCGCCAAAATTCCATTACTCGGCACCATTCTCTTTGTGCGTAGCTTACAGCTTTTCTAGAGCGTCGCACTACGCAACGTCCTTCGACGAAAATAAAGCCCAAACATAGCTCGGCCACTTTCTGTCATGTAAGGAAGCGCTCCCTTTAAACTTGTTCCAGACATCTGACGAATTCCGTGAAGGTCTAGTACTTGAATGAAGAAGCTACCAAGTAGCTGATTGCTCGTTTTAACTCGAGACAGCTTTACTGAGATTGATTCGCTTAGGTCTGCGCATTCTTGGGCATAAGTGTCTTGCTCTTCATAATATTGAGACGCAATTACTTCGTTCCCATTGAATGAAGCGGCATGCTTTGCCGACTTACTATCTCACTCTACATCTAAGTCTAACACTAAACCGTGTAAATGTCTTGACTCACTTGTGTGATTCATCTCCTAATCGGGAAGGTCTCAGCTGTTACATTTTCCCGCTTTTTCAGTCCTATAAAATCTAAATAAAATGGGCAAAGGGATGGGGTTTTTTTCTTTTTTCACCACTTTGCGCGGAGTCTTCTCCAGGCAGATGTGTGTGGCGATTTCTCCAAGAATTGAGACCGATGGGGCTTGTTTGGTCGGTCGGTGAAGCTGGGCACCGCTCTCTCCGCTTTCTGGTTGAGCAGATTCCGGCGGCACCGTTACCGGCTGGCGCTTTTTTGGTGGTGGTGCCTGGTGTTGATTGTCTGCAGGCATTTGGCCAAGGGTTTTGCTGTGCGTCCCATGCATTGGCCACACCGTTTTGCTGAAGTTGCCACAGAGCTGGGTGGGCTTGCCTGGTGTCTGTCGATTTTTCTCTGCCACCCAGGGCCCCAATGTGGCAGGGCTTACGATTGTCGTCGACACCATTTTGACTCCCGACCCCTCTGCGCTCAAGCCTCGGCTACCCATATCCTGGCCCCGTGTCGGCCTGCCTGCCGCCGCCAAGGGGTTCCGGAAAGGTCCGGGCAACTGCTGGTCTAGCCCTCGAGAACGCTCACCACCTGGCGACCCTTTTCTTGACGCTTGGTCTGGGCGTCGTGTGGTCGTGTTTGGCGTCCGCTGAGTGTCTTTTTTCGGGTCTGTGGCGTCAGCTTTTGGTGCGTCTCTTCGTGCTGAAAGGGTTCCACAAGTTGGCAAAAAAGACCCCCAACGGAACCAACCTCGGAACCCTTTTGCCGGACCTCCGGCCTGGATGATGGGCTTTTGTGTGGATACTAGTGGGGCGAAGGGCTCAAATGGGGCACTATAAAATGCCCTATAAAATGGTCTATAAAATCGACGTCTGATCCACGTGCGAGGCCGCTTCCTGCACTGGGGTCGGCCTCTTTTCGGGAAAAAAAATCGATTTTATAGAGACCCAAACTGGGGGTCTGGGCCAGCCGATCTGGCGCACAAAGTGCCGCCAGCTGGCCCCACTAGTATGCAACAAAGCAATGGCCCCCAGAATCCACCACAGCGGGGGGGGTAAGATTTTCCGCAGAAAAATGAACGGAAAAAGTTGCCAAAGAGTTGGGATCATCTGGAAGGGCGCGGACTAGAACCAGAAAACCCGTGGACACCAGCCAGCCAAGCCCCCCACCCACCGCCCCATCGTCACAGGCCATGCCCGAAACCCACAACCAAATCGGGCAAAGCGCCACAGCGTCGCGTGGCCCAATGTTCTGCCTCGAAGGACCCACCGGGCACGCGCTTGCGCTCACATCCTACAGCTCACGCTTTGGGGTGTTTGGTCCACAGGCTGGGCAGACCCGGACGCAGACACCTGACACACCAGGCAACCAACCGGAAGAACGAAGCACCCCTTTCGCCATCGGGTTAAACCGCAACCAGATGACCTCTGAAGTGAGGCGCCAGGCCATCTCTGGGCCACACTGTGGCTGACCTGTTGTCCTCCCCACCCGTCAAGCCAGCAGACCACTAAACTGACGGAAAATGGGACTACCAAAACCCCTCGAAACACGCTCGAGGGGTGCCAGCTCAGTGGGGTCCAAACATAGGGGGAAATCCATGCACCTTCTGCCGGTCTTGGTTTAGCTTTTGTGGGTTGCCGAAATCCGGCCGCACGAGCTTCGGCACATCTGAAAAAAAACCACAACCCCCACCCTTAGAAAAAGCAAAAAAGTGAGACACTGCGGGACATTTTATTCCGAAAATATAGAGGAACACAATCGGGAAAAAGGTAACAGCTAACACCTTTTCAACTCCTAACAACAGACACCGGCAAAGTTGGCCTATCTGAAAAAAGCGCTATCTTTGTCATTCACGTCGCCTACCGCTTTATCATGTAAAAGATTCCTACTTTTCCAACATTTCGCCAAACCAAGTCTCACCATATTCATGCGCTAACTTCATTGAGCTACTTCATTATCATGCTACTGAGTTCGCTATCCCTCAGTCTCCGGGATGTCGTTGTAGTTAACGTCTTGGCAGACCGGGCAACATAGCTTGAGGCTACTCTCCTTGCTTCACGGTTTCCCCCTGCGCCTTCGATGGCTTGACATGCGGCATACCATGCGGGCGCGGATTCTTGCATTGTCCCCAGACAAATTCAAAACACGTCGCGAAGTTCTCAGCTTTCGGCTCTCCTGCTGCTGCTCCTTTCTTGCCCTTCTTGCCTCCCTTTTTCCCTTTACCTGTGGACGATTTTGATAATTGTCTACTTTGGAGGACAAGGAAGAATGAAGCAGGTGAACAAAGCAAAACCATCAGTACTAGATACACAATAGTCATCATTCGGCGCAATCGACTTAGACTAAGGATATACTTTTCCCCTTGCCTTTCTTGCCGAAGCCTTTCCCTTTGTACGGAGAAGACCTCCGCTCCGTGTTCTGCGCCGCTGCTAACTTCGCACTAAGCTCCTCAGTCTTGCTATTGGCCACGCCCATAGCTTTGTTAGTAGCCGCTTGCTGTTCTACTGCGGCACGCCATAACGCCGTGAGGCTCAGGCTAAGCCTTATAGTATTGTATAATGGTTAGAGTCTTTCCTTTACAACAGTACAGGATAAAGCATATACAAAGGAAACCATATCACTCAACCAAGCAGGCAAGGCCCAATAGATTAAATCTTACCAGTTTGTCATACGTACCACGTTCACGCACGCAGCCAAGTCTGTCGGCGCAGCAGGATTAGGCTCCACCCCCGAGGCTGCCTGTATCAGAATGGAATCAAACAGCTTCCACTTGTCGCCTGCCGTGAGGTTGCTTTTGCGTACCATCAAAGCCAACGCGTTTGCTTGTGCCAAGTTTAACACTTGACCACTTTCACCGTGGAAGCTCAGCGCATAAATATACTTCGGGATACTGAGTTCGTCCTTCTCCGATACTCCCGGTTTCTTTTCCAACCGAGTGGAGCTGCTTCTTGCGCAGTTCTTTTTGTACCTTGAGAATGTTCATAATGACGCGAATCCTCCTAGAAGACCACTTGCATACTGGTAGACAACTCCTCTTCCGTTGGATAGAAGACGAAGAAGAGCACTGAACTTGTTATACCATGGCAAGCAAGAAAAAAAGTAGTATCTTTACCTTCTTGCATCAGTCCAAGTCTGGCTGTGGACTTAGTTCCGTAATGTGCCCAATAGCCACCCCATGGGCTTGCGCTTGTGCTGCGGTCCCGCGCTCGCGATCGTCTTGGGCATTGGCAAGGGCTGCACCCAAATCCGCTGCGTTGATCACGACATTCGCCATTTTGTAGAATTGGCCCCTTTTTCCAATGCGAAAGGGAGTTAAACAGTGTCGGCTATTTATACTTATCTATACTTATAGCAAACTTGAAACTTCAGCCACTTCGCAAGCCTCAAGCTATTAACTACTAGAACTCTAAGTCTAGACTTAGAGCGCCCAGACTTAGAACAAGTAAACCACGTCCAAGAGGAAGTAAGCAGACTTAGAGCAAATGAGTCACGTCCAAGGAAGAAGTAATCAGACAGATTCGCGCACACGCTCTATGCTATCGCTATCCATAGCCCAACTTGAAAAGGAACTCGAACGCAGAACGCGTCGACTTACCTCCTTCTGAATTGCGCAAGTGCTTGCTCTTCTTCTCTTTTCGCTTCCTTTGCATCGTCTTGAATGCTAACCCTCGCAAGATTGTGGCTAGCCTTCTCAAAATAACTACTCCCCTTGCATGACTTTCACTCCCATCTTATCCATATGCTTTAGCTTCCTTTCCCTTTTATGAGCAGACCACTGCTACGGCGTCGGCCTATATCTCTGCCCTGGCTCATTTTGCGCACTGCAAGCCTTATCTTCTAACTTGTGTGTCTATTATTCACCGTCACTATCTGATAAGTCAAGTCCATCGTCGTCAATAGTGTTCAAGCCACTTGCGCTCCCAGCTAAGTCTTCCGGTGCGATCCTGACCCACTGAATCAAGTTAGCCCAATGATATGGCCTAGAGGATTTTTGTGCGTTTCTTGCGTAATAAAAAGCATAGACGTGTCCGACCGCCTACAGTGATGAGCTATTCTTTCGTGAGATAATTCCAGTAAAAAAAAGTGGATTGCTGCTCCAATCCTACAAGAATGCGCTGCAAGCGATGCACTCGCCTCAGGGCGACAGCTACTCGATGATGACGACGCTCCAGATGGTGACGCACTAGACGAAGACACTGCCACAGGCGGAAGGTGATGCTTACTAGATCTAGTCGCAGCTAGCAGCTTGCTCATATGTGTCATGATATTAGCTTCTCCTGCCCTCAGGCGCGTTGCTCTATCTCTAAGAAGCGAGTTATGAATCAAACAAAGCCGACCGCTTTTCTGTGAAGCGATTCCCTTCTCACATCCGCAAGCGTGTCTAATTCTTGTCACTCTCGAGCATTTGGCTCCGCCTGTCTGTCTAAACAGTGAGAAGTCCACCACAGGTGCCTCCTCTTGGTCCCCGATATAGTTCAGGGCTGCTGGACCGTAAACAATCGCTGCTGCCTCCGACTTCCTCAGCGCTCCATAAGATGCTAACAGAAGAGCCGTTAACGTCAGAACAGGCCCAGGCGCTTGCGTGGATTCCTTCGATATGTTCACCTTCGCAGTCATAGGTAGAGTGAGAGGCGCTTTCTGCTGCTTGTCCCCAAAGGCGCCGCCCCTTCGTAATCTGGCTAAGAGCTCGCTGATCCTTGGCCCCTCTGAGCGAGACAGCCCCGGCGAAGCCGATAAAACGACTGAAACAATTCCCGGGATCGATGCGTATTCTGCACCCAGCGCAATGGCGATGAACATGTAGACTGATTCGGGTGAAGCTGGCCACGCAACTACTGGCGACTTCTCTAGTGCTATCGCGTACGTTTTAAGCCTACTACTCGCCACCTTGCTACTATTCTCGTTGATCGTGAGATCAGATAGCTTCGACGTCGCTGCCTCTAGTGGCACCTTGTCAGAAGAAATGCTGGCTAGTTTTCTCCTCCTACTAGTCATCTTGGCTCCCTTTAATGCGCTAGGAGCTGCTGCCGATCCAGTTTTGCAAACTACTGGAAGACTGAAGAAAGAATGGAAGTTCTTTCGCTGTCCCGAGCGGTAGCTCCCTCTTATTGCTCGCGACGATCTTGCCTCCAATACCAGCCGAGCTCGTTTCGAAGTTCCTCGCATCTTCTGCAGCTTGCAAGGCACTACTGTGCTTTCCTGCCTTTTCTTCCTGGGCTCGAAGCTCCTCCTCCTCTCTTCTATCCATTAACAGCCTCAAGCGTAAGGCCATGACTGTATCCAGGTTGTAGTGGGAGGGTGGGAAAAGAAACTTTTAACAAAAACCACCTTAGCACTTATTTATATATTTTAACTTTTAGCCTAGCGTTCTTGTGATGCGTGCTGCCCTTCGCGGCTGCTTACTTATAAGCACGCAAATAGCTTCAACGATCGCGATGATGCTTTTCGCTAACGATGGATGCATCGACGACCTATACTTGCGTGGGATTCTCTTCTTCTCTCACTCGTATTTGCCGGCCGACTATCTTCGAACGCGAGCGATTTCGGCGAGAATTTATTTTCAAAGTTTGAAGATTTTCTTATTCCTTGCCTTTTCCTTTCTGTTTGGCTGCTGTTTGAACATGTTGCAGCAGCCTACTCTTCCAGTCATCTCCTTCCACCTGGAGAAATAAGCTATGCAGTAATAGCGAGCTCTTCCTGCCTTAGTTTACTTCTCGCAGATGGAAGTAAGTGGCAGGACTGTAGTTCCCGAGTCCAAAACTGGGCCCGACAACGTCGGACCCAGTTAACCCCATCGACCTCAGATGACCTCTTAAATCCTCCGAAGTCCAAATATTGCATAAACATTTGACAAACTCACTGGGCATAACTCTTGCGAAAACCAATAACGTGGGACAAGCACAAACCAAGGGAACCTCTCGAAAAAGACTAGAGCTGGCGCCAGAGACTACCCCGACTGGTCGGAGACTAGACCCCAGCCCGACCGAAGGGCGGGGCAGACCCTGGCGCCAACTGGGAGACGCGGACTTGCTTCGAGAGGCCTATGAGAACTGCCACACACCTCAGACGCTGTCTACCAGCAAGACTCCCGACTTTGGATTTTCGACTTAAACACCTAAAGCATTTTGAACTGCTTCCCCCTCGACAAGAAGGACATTGCCTCGCACTTTAAAGCATTAACATTTTCAACAAAGAGAGCGAAAACATTGGACGCAAGCAACAATTTAAACTTTAGGCTTTAAAGCTTTTTTTTTGAGATTTAGAGACTTCGGCGCTTCTCTTTTTTTTTTTTTAACGCCTTGAGACTTTGAGACTCTGGGACTTTGAGGCCTTGAGACTTTAAGACTTTGAGACTTTGATGCTTCGAGGCTTTAAGACTTTGAGACCTTGAGACTTTGAGACTTTGAGACTTAGGGACTTTCAGACTTTTCCCAGACTTTCCCAGACATGGAAACTCACTTTTTTTTAACCAACAAGACAACGGCCAAGCATCGCAAAAGGGGGGGCTGCTAAGCCCCTGCACCACAAGAAACTTTTAACAGAAACCAGCTTAGCACTGATTTATATTTTAACTTTTAGCCTAGTGCTCTTGTGATGCGTGCGGCCCTTCGAGACTCCTTACTTATAAACACGCGAATAACTTAAACGATTACGATGATGCTTTTCGCTAACGATGTATCGACGGCCTATGTTCGAACGCGAGCGATTTCAGCGAGCATTTATTTTCAAAGTTTGAAGATTTTCTTATTCTTTGCCTTTTCCTTTTTGTTTGGCTGCTGTTTGAACATGTTGCAGCAGCCTATTCTTCCAATCATCTCCCTCCACCTGGAGAAATAAGCTATGCAGTAATGGCAAGCTCTTCCTGCATTAAATTAAGAGCCAGCCACGCGGGTGCGGGGCCATAGCTTTAGGCGCGCCGCTAGCTCTTCGTGGATCCGGGCACCCGTCGAGGGGAGTGCGGCCGGAGAAGGCCGCGGGTAGGTAGTCTTGCCAAGAAAGACAGAAACGGGGCGGCCGCCTTCTCGCTTGGCAGGCAACCCCCTCGGGCCCCCTGCGTGCCCCCGGTCGCAACTGACAGCGCGAGGAGGTAGCCGCAAAAAGTGCCAGCTTTAGAGGCTGGCCCCGTGGGATCCCTCTGAGAAGAAAACCAATCAAAGGAAAGCCTGGCGGGCAATGGGCAACGCCTCAGCAAGCTGCGAGGCTTTAAGCCTTGCGCAGCGCGGTCTTCTTGCTCTTGTTTTTGAAATGATCCCAGTTGTCTCTCGACCCACTCCCTCGGTCGCATGGTTAGGGCGTCTGTCTCTCGAGTGATTAAGCATAGATCTTCAGCTCTCCATATCCTTAGGCTCCTCCGGTGACGTGAGCACGTCGCCTAGCGATCTAGTGGGTGCCCTTGCGCTTATCTTCGGGCAGTGCCCTAGCGCTTTATTATTGGCTGTCAGTTCTCTAGCCCCTAAAGCTTAAAGCCTACAGTTTGGAAGGCGTCAAAGATGACGAGTGGAGCTGGCTCAACGGGCTCAGTGTCTTTCGCAGCCATCTGCGCGCATTCGAGCATCTTTCGGGCTTGTTTGACGATCGACAGACGATGCCGCTTTCTCTCGTGTCAAGGCCACAGTTTGACCGTCACGGCTTGCGATAACGACTGCCACTATAAGCTAGCAGCTCCCCTTACTTAGTTTTCTGTCATACAGCAGCCGTCTTTCCTGGCAGTCGTTAACCGAAGCCATTGAGTCAGCAGCGAATGAAACTGGACACGTGGCGCCACTTCCTTCCCCAGGGGTGCCCTTACTAATCCGCAACGTCTTCGCATCCTCCCTGAATGACTGCAGACCAAGACTCAGCTACATCACTGATGAAAAGAGTGACAATCTGGCCTAGAAGTCGACAGCTGGCGTTAGATAGCTTCGCTGCTCATACTATTAGGGAGTAGCAAACTATGACCCAGCTACCAATATTCATTAACCAGTAGAAAAGGCGAAGAATGGCCTATAAATCTGTGAGGGCCTAGCTTCTATAAATTGACCACCGAAAAGCAGCTGGCACATTTGAAGACCCAAGTGGGCCGACGAGTGGTAAGTGACACTTGGCGGCTAAGTAGTCTCAAATCTAAGCATTCTTCTTTCAATAATTAATCCTGCGTCCACCTTGTACAACCCAACGGAAACGAACCCCGTAGAGACTTATCCGCCTATGTGATTCTTCTTATCATTCCGGTTAAAATAAATTCCCGACGCGATCAGTATCTATAATGGTCCTCCCATCAAGTAGCTCCCTTGTCCACGACAAGTGGTAGCGACCCCTTTCCTGGTATGCGTGGCTGCCTGTCATTGTTTCATGCTTGAGATGAGGAGGAGCTGGTAGCCTCTCCCCTCGGTAGTACCTTGCTCAGACAAAGGCTGATAGGCTTCGCGCGATGAGTAACCTGACCAGCCCGCAGGTAATAGACCTGCAGTCGTTTCTTCTCCCCTTCCTTAGGGCAATGATAGAGCTTAATAGTACATCTCGGAGCTCGAAATCATCGAGAAAGTCACACGCGTCTCGACGCCTGAGGGCCAGCATTGCCTGATCGGTCAAAACCCAAGCGCTCGCCTCACCTCGAGACGGAGTATGCCCATGCGTTCCGATCTGTAGCGCGTCAGTATTGTCCTTCAGCAACCTAGTAAGTCGCCTCTTCTTCAAAACTTGCGCGAGACTCGACGTGCAACTTGGTAGACGCATCGGGCTGAAGATAGCCCGGAAACGTGCTGACGCTACGACGCACGTCAGTAGAGGGCGGCGCGTGAGTCGACATATTGGCATGCATTTCTTTAACTATCAAAGAAAAAGAGAGGCCGCTGTCTCATAGATATACGTAGCAGATGGGCTCGGCTTATGGTCACACTTCGATATCTTCGCAACGTGCTCCCACGCCTCAAATGGATGCACAACCAGACTCGGAATGGGGGCAGCCCTCTCGGATGAAAAATGCAAACAAATGCCACGCGTCAACTCATCTGACCTGGCCAAAGTAGTACCATTAGCGCTATCCTTGTAATGCGCCCTCTTTCTTGCTACCTGCCGCCCGCGGCCTATCCTTGTCCTTCATCTGACCATTGACAGGATCAACTGTCAGCCCTCCGCGGGTGGTAGCATACTCAGGAAAGAGGGCAGAGGTAATCCGAATGGGAAAAAGCTCAAGCGTTCGACTATCCGGCTGAAGCGGCATAATCAAATTAGCCGAGCGTGATACTTTATTTACAACAACTAGCGACCCTACTTCTATTAGCTGCCGTCGATGGTGTTCATTGCAATGCTGTGCCTATGATTATAGTGTGTGAACTCGCGCCCGTTCTGGTTCTACTTCATGATCAGGCGCGCCCAAAAACTTGACATCCGCTCCAGAGTGAAATACTCGGCACCCAATTTTTCATGCATATGCTCTAGAATTTCCGAAATCCGTCTGCCTGGTATTACTCCCAGCGGTCACTATTTGTAGCAGGGAGCACTTTCGCCACTTGTGAACTAGTTGGCGGCGCCGGTACTAGGACATAGCGGAACGCAGGCCGTTTGTCGTCAAAGACACGGCGAAAAGGGGGGCCCGTTTGCTCTTCGCGTAGATGGTTCGCCCTCTCTAACTCTAGTTGTGTGGCATTGTTCAAATACTCGGCTTGCTCATTCCGAAGCACTTCAGTTCAGAGCCCAACTTGAAGAGCTCCTGCACCTCTTCCAGAATGTGCGCCGTTTGGTTCACAGACCAGCTCTGCTTGCTGAGATCGCCCAACATGTCCTGGCTCACCTCCTGGCTGTCCGATAAAAAAAGGGCCAGCTTCATCCTCGTCCAACTTGATCACGGTGCCAGAATTCTTAGACTCCTCTGCGCTACCGGGTCCAGCATTGCTCCGCCCCGTCCCTCACGTGGCAATGAGGATGAGCGACATCTGAAAATAGATGGGGAAGACGATGCTACGGATGTTGCCTTCACAGCCGGCCGCGCTTTAGAGATCGGCTCACTGACTGCCTCACTTGGTCTGGTGCACGTGGCGACGTAGTTATCGACTCTGCGGCATTGACCCCGTCGATGAGCTGGAAGAACTCGGCATCTGGGTGCCCGTAGTCCTCGTCATGCCATTAAACTTCTGACGGACACGCGACCAATTTCTTCCCGTAGTAACTTAGTTAAGGAAGTTGACTCGCTCCCCGTCGAAGGTCCGCACATTCTTAAGTGCTTGCCCTGCACAGAGTAACGCATGCAATCCGCCCAGCGCCTGACCCGAGAAGTACACGCTGGCGCGCGCTTGTCAGTTTGTAGACTTAACCTCGAGAATGTGACTCACGTGATGCGTTGGCGTGTTGCTCCCGTCTTTCTTGTAGTACAAGTAGGCCCTTCCTCTCTTGTGATTCCGCCGTGGTAGTCGATCTCGTGCAGAGATACGACGCGCGCGCGCCTGACTGCAGCAGTCGCACTATCGTCGCCCATGCCCAGCCCGCACTAAGGGGCGTTGACGGGTAGAGAACGTCCGTTCTGTTGTGACTGATAGAGCCACGCTGGTGACGACGTTCGAGAAGGGTCGCAGAGGTGTCCTGCACTACTAGCTCCTCGCGATTATTCTCCGTTGTCATGTTGACAGCCGCGGTGATGTTGCTTGCCTGGGACTGCGTCGCTCTCTCTCTGTTGGTGTCCACGCTACGGCGTCGCCCGTAGGGCCCGCTCTTCGCTGCCTTATCGTCTCTTTTCGGTATGGGTTTCTTCGTCACCAGTGATGGAGATCTTGAAAAAGCGCAACCCAACGTCGCGCACCGTACTGGAGACAGCGGCGCAGTAATATCTGGCCGATCGTCGCGGCCTTGTGTTGGGTACCTGGAAAAGAAACCGGCTGCACCGTTTCCATCGCCAGGAAGATAGCGCTCCTCGTAATTGAGACCAATCTCATCGCAGTGGATTGCTCAGCGACGTGCTTGTGTAAGACGCGCCTGCTCTTGAGATCTATGAGAAAGGTAGTTTGCATTGTGGTTCGAGTTTTGGCTGGCTCTGGTCCTTATTTGTACATGGTAGAAGTTTAGGCTCAGCGACGCCTAAAGCACTTGCAGAAAAGCGGCCGGCTTGTGCTCAGTAGCTGGCTAGTTTTTTCTCGACTTTATTTTCTTACCGCCGGTATCTTCATCTCTACACCTTGCAGCGGGGCAGCGATTGGCCTTGGGTTCAAAAGTGGGAGGGTAGCAACGTGATTTGGTCTATGGTCTAAGCCTTTGCTTTTGTTGTAATCTGGGATAGGCCTTTTATTACGGGCTTGCCTGGGGTGGAGGGTGTGCCCGGTTGTGTAGGGTGCCGGCTTTGATAGCTGCTGCCGTCACTGCGGAAGGCCTTCTAACTCACTGCGAGAACCCGCCTTAGCACTCCAGTACGCACTCCAGCAATCTGCGACTGGAGTCTGGATGGTGGGGCGTCATGGGGTGAAGCGCAGGGCCTGAAGTTTTCGCTTTTTATTACTTAGAAATTTAGCTCTGCCCCTTTTTCTCATTGTCATCTTGCTTGTCACAAGGCCTGGCGCCTTATCGTAAAGCGATGGGCACCATGCGGGATGAGGGCAGTCGCAGTTGCTGCGCTCCTCTGTAGAGTAAATTGAGTATCTCTATCTTCTACATCAGTCTACTCTGATGCCAAATGCCACGACTTAGAGCTCTTGCACTTCGAGGCCGTGGCTGATCCATGGACAGCTTGGGGGCGTCATTCGCAATATCTGGCTTGTCTTCGTAGATAGGCAGCGCTCGTCCTTCTCCGGTCTTTGCTGACCACGTCAAATGTTGCGTTGCAAGTATTACGTGAAGACGATGGGCTACAGTTTTTATTTTTTGCTCTCGTCGTATGGTTGAAGCTTTGAAATCAAGCACTGAGTGACCACTGTTTGAGCTTGTTGAGGCTCACCGCACAAAGCCCACGATCAGCCTAATTTTTATTCGCCCAAAGAATAAGGCTGCTGGAAAGGTGGACACGCTTCACGATCAGGAGCACACATCTTCACTCGAATCACACAACACCACTCAGACTCAAAGCGAAGCTGCGCGTGAGCTTATTGAGATGGAAAAGGAATTATGGCCTGATAACGTTTTGGGAGTTGGTGGAAGTGCAGTCGTTGTGAAAACTTCGCGCTTAAGCGATAAGGCCAAGGCCGTCAAGTACGTGCGATTGTTATGGGTAATAATAGCCTCGACGCCTTACTCTACCGTATGACTATCGTTGGCTCAACTGGGCTACTCGTTTATGTGTCGTCAGTACAAGCGAAGTGTGATGGGTCTTGTGATATTATCAGTAAGCTTTTTTTACTCCGTGCTACAACTTTTGCCTCTAACATGATCTGCATACAGAGAAGACTGGGACGACGAGCCGAGTGCAGGAGTTTGCGTGGCCGACAGGTTGCAGCAGATGCGTGAAGGATGTACTGCGCTTCTGGTTTCAAACTATCCGCCCAGCACACGACAGATAGCGGCACAAACGCTGGAGGCATATGTGACCAAGGAAATTCTTGTTGACCAAGTATCCTGGCAATGGCGCCAGAAGTCGGAGAAAGATCTTCGTCTATACAGTTATGGCCTGGATTCTAGACACCTAGACCTTGCGCTTCGTGTCCTGTCTCATTTTGATTTGCTCGAAAGTGCCAAGAGGCTACCTGCTTTCGGGGTAACAGTAGCGACCCCGAAAGAGTTTAGAAAGCATGCCCGGCGTGCCTCGTAGACGTGTCTAGCTTTCCCCGCTAAAAAGTGTAGAGCAAGTCATCCACCGCGTGAGGCATATCGATATGCCTTCACCCCTTCAATGTTCGCGAAGTGTCGGAAGTGTTTACCTGCTCCCGCCTTCTTCTTCCTTTTCTTCTTCGTCTCCTTCTTCTTGTAGAGCATCAGCAGAAGCATGAACAGGAAACCCACGCGCTGCGCCCCTAGTATCTGTGGACTTATCATTATCTTCAGGACTGGCGCGACTTGCGTGTGATATTGTTGCCGTAGATATGCCGTAGATATTTGGGCTTTCTTTCAGATTAGTGACAGTATCCATATAGACGCCCTAGGTATCGAAGCGTAAGCGTTGCCAGATGAAATGATTGATCTTGATGCGTTTGCTTTTATTCTTTTGTTCGTCTTTTACTTCCTCGTAATCGTTGTCTTCGTCTGACTTCGAAGGGGTCATCCCATCGGCGCGCATTGCCGTCGTAGACAATAGGCACACGCAGCCCCTAAGTAAATAAAAGTCTTGACTCTAATACATCACCGATTCGCTCATGCTGCAGCAGGTTTACACCTTTGGCGACCTGGAACAACTGTCGACGCCTCGTCCTCCTTCTGATACCGCAGTCGAAACTGATGCGCAGGAGGGTCATCTCGGTCTCATTCGTCTGCTTTTGGATTTCATCAAAAAGGTCGACTTCTTCCACAAGACTACAGGCATGGCGCACCAGGATCTCACGCCCAGTAACGTTTTCCTGGTCAAAAATGTAGATCATGGCACGCTTTTTAAGGCTAGGCTTTTGGCGTTTCTGATCTTGTCGTTCGTTTTGCTCCTCTTAAGATTGATTGGAAGGCCCACCTACGTAACGGGGCAAGCCAACGCGAATAGCGGCTTGCCTCTTCTAATGTTACTCCACTGCTGACCGACTTTGGTGAATCTGCAGAGGCAGGTAGCGTCGGCGTCTGGGGGAAGTACTGCACTGTGCCAGCTTACGCGGATCCGCTCTACTGTTCATATCTGGAAGGTTCTTCCGTGGTAGTGAATACACAGGATAAGGTAAGCATCGACTCGGACGCGTGGACAGTCGGAGCAGGTATTTTACGGGCGATGGGCGCAAACGTTCACTCTATGTCCCCTACGGTGTCGACGATAATAAGGGAGATAAGTAGTAGCAGGAGCCCGGACACTACTTTATGACAACTCAAATAAATATGGATACCAAACGAGGACTACTTCTACTAGTAGCTCGCGTTCCGCTCGAGTTTCGCGCGTATATCTTTACAGCTCAAGAAGTAGGTACTGCCACTCTCCCTCTTTGGTTTACAAGCGTCCGTGTGTACACCAGAAAAGTATTCGTCGTAGTGTTCAAGGAGGTCTCTTTGTATTCTGCATCAGTCCTACCCGTAGTCTGGTGGCACGGATGTCACGCTCTGGCAAGGGCACTAGGTTGAGACATATTTTTATTTATCGTGAGAATGTGCACCTGCGCGCGGAGGTCATACCCATACCGTGATAGGCAAAATTAGCCCACAAAGATGGGGGTGCAAAATTAGGGCACAAAGATGGGGGAATACTTACAAGGCACGCAAATAGAACTACCATGATTAATGCCTGAAGGAAGCTATTGAAGTTGGTCTCCTTTATCTCCAGGTATAGCACTACTTGTGCTTCTTCTTGTCCTTGTGCTTTGGACATTTCATCACAAGAACAATAATTGCCCTCAGAAGAGCGAAGACGGATTTTGATCGCCGATCCAGTACTAGTAAAGAGTATACTTAGAAGAGGACCCAGCGCAGCTGCGACTGCGTGTCGTACTCAAAGTGTTTTCACGTGGGACGCTGTGCTTTACCGCCCTCGTCGGTCTTAGAACTAAATCCTTTCTCTTTCTAAAATAGAGACTGAGTATGTTTGTAGTTCCTTCTGCATTGTCCCTATGTCCTTACTTTATGGACGGCACGATTCTGATTGTGTGGGAGCTCGTCCACTTCTGTTCATAAAGCCGAGGGGCGTCTAATACTACCGCCCCCCTACAAAGTCTGCGTCGAGGTCATGAACACGGTTATCCTTCCAGTGCTCCGGAAGTTGCCAGAGCAGTTCCTACCTGCGCACCAAGAAAACGCGAAGGAACTGGCACTGGGGCTGCGGAAATTCGCACTCAACTGCAACGAGAAAGAGAGTAACACCAAATGGAAACCGGTAACACCGCTCCACGAGCAGATCGAGAAGCTGGACAATGAAGAGGACAACATAGTAGGCGAGCGCAGCCTGGCATTGCTTCGTGAAGCTTTTCAAAAAGTTGAAGAAAGGCAGTTCGCAGGTAACTTGAATATCGCTTCCATCTTCTTTCTCGAGGACATCGAGCATGAAAAAGATATGACCAAGATTTTGGATCAGTCGCAGTTTCCTTTTCTGATGTACTTATTTTCAAGCCCCTTCGCTTCCCGTTTCTCTGTGTTTGGTCTAGTTTTTTCTGAGTGGCACCTCCCGCTTCACTCTGTTTGTTTTTCTGATCCATCCGTCCCTTCTCCGCCTCTTGATCCTCTGCCAGTCAGTTGTATGATGGGGGCCTTGAAGTATTCTTTTACCGATGAGTAGGCGTAGTAGATCTGGCCTGTTCCTTTTTTATGTTCCTGCTTCGCACTGTTCTTTCTGCTTTATACCTTATTTGCGAGACTGTGGCCGACAGTCGGCCACGTTGGTGGCCATATTGATTGAGACCCATACAACAGCGGAGTGTCAGTATCTGCGTGTATGTATCTACTTTACTTTGAACCAGGAAGAATAATTGTAGTCGACAAGAAGACTTCTCTGGAAAAAATCTGTAATGGATAGATTCAGCATGAAGAAGTCCAAGGGCCTCATCCTACACATCTGGCCCAGACCTATCCTGTAGGCAATCGACGACGAATTCTTCTCTTCCACCGTTCAACTCAGCAACCCTGAAGCGCCCCGAAGCCGGGAGCCTCCCTATTCCGAATCTCGGACCAAGAGATCGACGGGCGGCCGCTTTTTTGGCTGTGGAGGACCTTTGGCCGAATCACGGCGATAATATCCACCACGACGACGCTTTCACACATGACATGGATCGCGATGCTCTCCACGGTGGCGTGGGCATTCATGGCGCAGATAATGATATGGAGAGGAAAAAACTACTCAAGCAACATAAGTTAGTACTCGTCAGAAGTATCGCTTAGGTCTAATTTACTCAGTCAAATTTAAACGAAGACGATTCTGTCTAGTTTTTTTTGAAGTTGATGTTGTTTCTTGTCTTTGTTGTGTACTAATACATAGAAAGTTTATTCCGTTCATGTACGCTTTCGACCATGTTGGGGGCTCCAAGTCGCGACGTGTGGCACCTGCTAGCGATGATGACTGGCTTAGCACCACCGACGAAATGGAGATGGAAGATGAGCCAGTTCTGGTAAGATACGACCGAAGTCGCGGTGGTCAGGAGACTTCAGGTGGAACTGGTGGAGGGTAAAAGAAGACGGAGATTGGAGGTCGAACTGGTGGAGATTAAACGAAGGTGTCTAGAGGTTGGACTGGTGGAGATTAGAAGAAGGAATCTAGAGGTGGAACTGGTGGAGGTTGAAAGAAGGTGGAGATGCGAGCTGGAACTAGTGGAGGTTAAGAGAATGAGATTAGAGGTGGAAGGAACTAGGGGAGGTTAAAAGAAGGTGGAGATGCGAGTTGGAACTAGTGGAGGTTAAAAGAATGAGATTAGAGGTGGAAGGAACTAGGGGAGGTTAAAAGAAGGTGGAGATGCGAGTTGGAACTAGTGGAGGTTAAAAGAATGAGATTAGAGGTGGAAGGAACTAGGGGAGGTTAAAAGAAGGTGGAGATGCGAGTTGGAACTAGTGGAGGTTAAAAGAATGAGATTAGAGGTGGAACTAGTGGAGGTTAAAAGAAGGAGTCTGGGGGTGGAACTGGTGGGGGTTAAGCGGTGGAGACTTCCAGTGGACCTAGTAGTGGAGAATGAGTGAAATTATGATTAGTAGAGGCGGAAAACGAAGGGATGTGGAATGAGATAAGAAGCAAGTATTGCGGAGGTGGGTGAAACTAGCAGAGGAGGATAAGGAGGAGACTGAAGGGTGATATGAGATGACGCGAAATAGGTAGTTAGGAAGAACAGGCTGAAGCTGGTTTGTAAAGCAGGAGGACGACGGCGGGCATGATAGGCCGAGAAGGTGGCATTTTTGAGGTGGTTGAAAATTTTACCTCTGTGGTCAGACAGGCACTCAACTTGGTCAAACACATCCGATGCCTGTAAAAGTCAAGTTGTCCATTCACTTCAGGAACAGGGTTAGTAAAGTTTCTCTTTGTGCCTTTGTGTTTATGTTTTTCCCTATATAGGTAGCTCTATTAGCAGTTTATTTACCGAACTTGCACTAGAACTAGGACAAAAGCTAACGAAGAAGAAAATCTGAATTGTTATCGAGTTCGTTTTTGGCGACTACAGCAACAGCAAGAGCAGCTACATTCTCACTGGTAATATTAGCTACAAGTATAACATTTCAGTTTATGAGCTAGGATATGCGGTAAGCGACGGCGCCGGAATAAGTGTAGGCTAACGCTTCTGATAATGTGCTTCTTGTGAAGTTTTTACGTGCTGCACAGCATGTCCTCGAAATTCTCACTCTTGTGTCGAGTCCAATTCTTGAACAGAATGCGCGTTCTCACGCGCAGTTAATGCACTCCAACAGCTCATTATACGCCGCACGATATCAAAATAGGAGCAAGTGCAGATGAGTGTCTTCAGCTGTTGCAACTCTAAGAGCTACCCGAGGACGCGTGTCCATATTACTAACTTTTCATACCAAAAGCTGCGGCCTGCTCCTCGTGGAGCTGCAGCACAGGGCAGAAATGAGTATCCGCCACGCAACGGGGTACACCTGTACAGGAAGATAGAGGTGGGCTCTACTTCATCCATTCACATTACATCAAACGTCATACATGGACATAGACGAACCAACACGCAAGCAATGTCAGTATCTTGCCCCCCAAAGCCAAATGCTCAATATCGTGTCCCCCTATCTTTCCCCAACCAATATATTTTACGGGCCTCACCTCAAACTGCATAGAGCGCAACAATCAAAATGGAGAGAGCTTAGGTAACCCCCTGACGCATGTGCATGTTGCCAGCTTCCAACATGTGTGAGGATGAAAATATACAGAGACCAGCACGCCGTAGGGGTGCGCTCTCTGAAGGCTATCAGTGGAGTCGCCTTCGGCCGAATGTTGGCGCACTACCACAGCACGTTCTAGCGTGAGAGGAACTTGGGCACCTCCTAGAGTGCAGCGATCTGTTGAAGCGTGTCCAGAGCCTCGCGCGAAGTCAGTCTGTAGTATGGAGGGGCCGTTCAACTCACAAGATTTGAAATCTCACAACGGTTGTGGTCATGGTTATGGTTGACACCAGAACAGCAAGAAGGGGCGTGAGCGGAGAGAAGGTGTCTGAGAGGGGTTAACGCCGAAAAGGGTGGCCCACTCGCAAAAAGTCGCCAACAGAAAATATGAACTATGCACAAGAAATACAAGATGAAGCGCTAACGTGTCTAGAAAAAGTAAGTAATTCAGAACCAAAACTCTTTGCGTGATCTGTCGAGTCTTGAGTTTCGTGCGGATCAATAGAGAATCGACGGACTAGATGCAACTGTAAGGATCGGTAAAAATGTAGTTTGAGCCTGTACGCACGTGGTTTACGTTTAGGCTCATCCACTCCGAACCCGAAGTACATCATGGCAGCACGACCCCAATTTGTACGTACTCCTACCTGCCTGATGACAGGTCCTGACGAGATTACTTGAGCACTTGCTCGCTTTTTAAGTGTTTTCTAAAACTACGCACTATATTAACTAGTGTAGTGCAGACTGATATGAATATGATGTGCTCACCAGGAGGACGGTTTCTGAGGACAAAATAAGGTGGGGCTCCTCAATGTAGCATGACAATTTTTACGTGGTCGTGCCGATACTTGCGGCACTAGCGAGTCTCGACGTGTTTTTTCTCTTCCTCGTCCAACAATCATGGGTGCGAGAGATGGGTACCTCATTCTTAGACCTTCGAGTTTCTATTTCTTCCCTAGGCATTTGAATTTATGCATAACTACTTACTTGCTGTAGCACGAGTAGATCCGGCAGCGACAAATCGTCCTTCTGGTAAGAATCCGCTCTAGCTACAAACAGCGTCGATACTATACTAGGATCCTCGCGCGACAGCATCTTCTGAGGACGAGCAGCGTGAGAATATTACTCTATTCATGTTATCGATGACAACTAGAACGAAGAAGACAAGGGTATTTGCGTTTAACGCCTGTTCATCGTTTTCATTATTGAAAAAAGAAAATCCATCTTGTGGTTGTTGGCGTTATTCTGAAAAGCTTCCGATGATATAACCTACGTCCATCGTCAACACCATCCCTCACTCCCTCACCATGATCAGCCACACTCTCCGTGACCGGACTCGTGGAGGAACGTTTCTGGGGGTCGTGTTGTACTCGTATTACATGGCGTTTTACCACGGATACAGGGACCTCCGGGTCTTCACCAGCGTCATGCTAAGGCTAGTTTAATTATCGGTCGTCATTATCGTTATCCTGTACTTGTTGCTGCAGTAATAGCATTTGGCCCACCTGGGAGTACTTCTGTATCTAAATTATCTGTTTAATGTACTAGACTGAAGATGCAGGTAGTGCGCTGCTCCGTGGCTGCCCCCTTGAAGTTGATCTACAGGGGGGACCTTCAAGGGGAACATAAAGAGCAGGTCACTCATACTCAGCCACTGATAGATAGTGAAAGATAATTACCCTATCTGATAGAACAAGTGAAAGACAACGACTCGTCATCAACCACTTCTTATACATATTAAAACAAGACAACTACCACGTGCACTCCAGGGGTAACAAAAAATGGGAAATACATAGTCTGCAACTCCGACACCTACGGATTCACGGCTAAGAACAATTGCAGGAGCAGCGTGGGTGCAATCTTAAGGCAAAGGCTGTCGATGTTTGGTTGTGATTGTGTGGACTCTTGTTCATAGTATGTCGACGTGTGTTAACATTGTTTTTGTTAGTTCTCCTTCTACTACACGTGGTTCTACTTCTAGTACCAGTGCTCGCTGTAGTGCTTCTGTGTCTCAAGAAGCACACTGCTGAAATTGGAATGAAAAAAAGCTGAAGCTCTAAGGTTCCACGTGCTGAAGCGCCATACAGATGATGCGGATGACGACGGAGGAGCACGCGATGAGTAACCAAAAAAGCACAGCAAGAGGATGGGAAAAAACCATTAACAAGAAGAGGGGTTTTTTAATGACTTGCTCTTCAAGTGCTAAGAAGAAGGAAGAGTCGAAGCAGTAATTAAGATATCTGTCGCTCAAGCGTCAAAAGATACCTCCAGAACAGGTAAATGAATGAATGAGTTTTCTACCTTGCCAGAGTTGAGAAGGGCTGTTTGCATGTTGTTGTAAACTTTCTAATAAGTCTACGTCGCGTGTTTGTGGAGAAGGAAAGATAGGTTATTAGCATTTCGTTGGACAAAACCATATGGCTGTCAAAATGTAGAAAGGCACATCCATGGCGTTCGCGAAACGGAACAGGCACTTAATAATTAATGGCATAAGAAGTTGTAGATACAATTCCGCTCTGCAACAAGCTAAGCCACTCGCCGTGTTCAATACGGATGGTCCTTGAGTGGTACGGGCAAGGAAACGACGACGTGCCAGTGGAATCGGAAATGATAAAATTTTGGAGAGATGATCTAGTGATTTACCGTTATCATGTTGATATGATTTACTACAACTTCTGAGTGATGTGTGTCTATTTCTGTTTCGGTCTGGCACTCGGTCGGGGAAAAGAGCTAGCATCTTCTACTTAGCGAAAACTTTCTTCGAAGATTGCGGTTGCGTTGAGATCTTGGTGTAAAGAAAGAAGTGCGTGAAGAATCTCGTAGTAGGTTGAACCCCCGCGTTTTTTGTGTCCTACCTTCCTCCATCCTCGCAGCCAATTCGATAGAACTTGGAGGCATAACAACACATCTTTCTGGTTGAGAAAAAAGTGATGCAAGCACCCCTTCTAGGAGGTAATTAAGTTTGATCTCGACAGAGATATGCATATGACATCCCCAGAATTCTCCTCAAAAAGTACTTAGATGAAGGTGTTTTGAGTTGCAGAGACAAGAAAAGGGCTAGAATACAGAACATTCTCTCGTGGAGGTGAAAAGCCTCCAGAAGAGTCATCAGTTACGAATTATGTCTCGTCGGCGTGTTCCTGTTCATTAGTTTCTTTTTTTGGATTTCGTAGTGTGATCTTTGCTTGTGATGTAAGAACCTTATTTCTTTATGAACAGGAAGATTTTTTGGTGAGTGACGGTGAGCCCACTTCCCACGAAGGTCGTTTTCATCGGCAATTTTTTTGTCGAATTCGTGGAATAAAGACGTTCGTATTACTAGTCCTTTTCTTATGCTAGTGTCTTCAGAAAGACTGTGGCCCGGTTGTACGCAAGTAAGAAGCTATAAGGATAAATCAGGAAATAGTCGCGCCATCAACACCAACAAGCATGATAATTCTATCTCGACAAAGTATAGAAATGTAATCTAAATTCATGTTGTCTGCTTCTCCTGTTTGTTTCTGAAAAACATGAAAAATAGTTTCTTATGATGATGCAAAAAAAATATTTCTCAAGCGGCGAGGAGACGGACCGCGACACAACCACCACTCGGGGTTACTAGTACTACTAAATAGTACTACTATTAAGGCCCAAGAACTTTCATTAGTCATTGAAGTTGGTCACTGACAGCGAAGCGGAGACCCCTTGAGACAACACTGGAAATCTAAGGGAAGAAGGGGAAAGCTCTGTAAGGGGCCTTGTCCGGTTCAGAGTCAGTGACAAATGACTGCTGACCTTTAATACTAGTAACTATCTTCACAACCTTTTTGGGTCGTTACGGTGATTACCAGCATTCGCGTCACCTTCATCCTAGGCAGCTTTACGACAAGCGAATACAGAGGAACTCTCGCACAGAGGAACTCTTTTTTTTCGGCAGCGGCGGGGCAGTTGTTCCCAGAGGACCTGTGTAACTACTGCCAAGTAACTACTGTCACAGCGTCTTGTTCTTTCCACCTCGTTTCATTCAGAATCATGCGAAGCTGAAGAACGCGAAGATCTGCCTCAACTCTTGCAGCTGGCATTACCGACAACTGAGACTACAACTAGTGACAGCGCGGTTATTTTACAACGAGAAGCCTCGCTAGTACAGCAAAGGTTGGACTCGAAGTGATAGCGGCATCTTCTCTGAAAAAGAAGAACAAGAATAACACTGTACAGTTTGCAAAGAGAATACAACAAGAGCGCGTGTTGAGGCCTAGTACACGCGTTGAGGCCCAGCTGCGCACTCCTGGCACAACATCTTCGACCCCAACTTAGATAGAAGTTGACTTACAAGGACTACAAAATGGAAGGCTTGAAGGATCCTTGTGGAGACAGGGCAGTGAAGACCCTTCCACCACCACCAGCAAAGCCATTGGACGAAGCGCTTCTTTACCCAGATGGCGACAAGAAAAAGCCAGATGTAGCGTGTCTCAAAAAGCATCTCTTGAGCTACGGGTTGATGCAAGTTGCCCTACTAACTTCTATCTTCATCTCTAAAAGTAGTTGTACTTGTAGTATTTGTGAACAACCGAGTACTTGTATTTGTGTAGAGATAGATAGATAGTTCCAAAAGTGTATTTTCTATAAGGACCTCCTCAAAAGGGTATTTTCTATGGGAAAAGAGATCCTTAGAGAAGAATATGCAACCTAGAACTAGATGGGCCAACAACTTTCTCCCGCTAATCGAAGGAAGGGAAGCTAGCAAAGTCGACACTGTTGGACATCATTGCGAGAGTGCAGGAGATCTATAGATCAGAAAGCACGCTGGTACTACTTGCTACTGATTTTTACCTACTTTTTCTTAAGACTTCTGGATTCGAACCGAGGAAACCAAAATATCAAAAAGCCACCCACATCAACGCAATGATTGAACATTCTTATTTTTTCTACACTGACTACAGTTGAAAAGCCACAGAAGTTCTTATTCAAGCTCTTACTCTTTTGCTTTCAATATTCTCTATTCTGATCTACAACCACAGGTGAAAGTCCGAGATCCAATAACAGTAGTCGGGGATATACACGGACAGTACTACGATTTCGTGAAGCTTTTAGACGTTGGGGGCGACCCTATGACAACGCAGACGCAATATCTTTTTCTAGGTACAACTACCATCCACTTTTTAGTCGTAACGACTATTATTCTCGTACTAAGAACAGGAAGATTAGAACAAGAACATACAAGAGTATCAGTACAGTCCTTTATTATCTATGGAGATAGAATCCGGTCTATTTAATGCACAGCCCGTTCTTCCCTCACTGCTCTTCCTCCTTGCTGTGCGCCTCATGTTTTTGCCAACTGCTACTACCATTTTACATCAGGCGACTACGTTGACCGAGGGAGCTATGCAATTGAAGTGCTAATGGTGCTTTTTTGCCTAAAGATTCAGCTACCAAAACGGATATGGATGCTTAGGGGGAACCACGAATGCAGGCAAATGAGCTCATTCTTTTAAGGCTTGCTCCACTCATGAGCTCATTCATCTTGTGAAGCATCTTCATCTTGTGAAGCATACGTTAAACCTTTTCTATTGGCGAAACGCGCTAGAGACGACTACCAAGATGATGACGAATTTGGTCAATAGCTCTAATTCTTTAACTTCAGGGACGAATGCGAGGCAAAGTATGACACAACAGTCTACAACGCGTTCATGGAGTGCTTCGATGCACTACCTCTAGCCTGTCTCATCAATGGAAAGTTTCTTGGCGTGCATGGCGGGTAATAATTTCTATGCTATTTTTTTTGGAAGCATCGATCTTGATCTTACTCAGCATTTGTTTACTCTTTCTTATATCTTGTTGCAGCATGACCTTTTTGTAGTGTCTGTCATGGTTTCACTATTCATCCAAGACGTACAACAATAATCACAACATCAGGATATCGCCGGACCTGGTGTCGTTGAAGCAGTTAGATAGGGTCGACCGGTTCGCGGAGCCACCAAGGGAGGGTGTTTTGTGCGACTTAATTTGGGCAGACCCGATGGACGAGGCAAATGAGGCTAGCGCTAAAGTTAAGGGGAAATAGGCTAGTCGTGCTAAAGCTAAGGGTAATCTTATTAATCTTATAATGGATGTTTTTGTGAGTTAGTTTGTGAATTCTGGTGAGGCTATCTCATCGTCTCGTTCTGCAGCATCTTAATTGAATCCTGTGGTTTTGAATGGCGTGAGCACGAGTTTACAACCTCTGTTCTGTGATGATCAGCTGTTATCCTAATTCACGCCGTTTTGAAGATCGTCTTGAAGATGCAAACCACGAAATGCATAGATTAGACTGTCACTTCTAGTTCTAATCACGACGTCTTCGTGAAGAATGAAGTGCGCGGATGCAGTTGGTTCTTCACCTATGAAGCAGCGACGCAGTTTCTCTACAAGAACTCACTTCTAAGCGTCATTCGAGCACACGAAGCGCAGATAGAAGGGTATGTTCGTTGGTCATCTAGGCATATAGTTGTGTTTGAGAGTGAGATTAATAGGATTGGCGGGAATGATCCTCGTCTATGAATTTGCTATTTTTTCATCTTGTTCAGCTTTTTTATTGAAGAAGCCTGATCGTGAATTCCCATTCCCTAAACCTCTTGCACCAGATACAAAATGCACAAGACGAACAATGCGACTGGATTTCCGACAGTTATCACGATATTTAGTGCGCCCAATTACTGCGACGTCTACAACAACAAGGGAGCAATATTGAAGTTCGACAACAACACGCTGAATATCTTGCAGTTCAACTTCTCACAGCATCCCTATCATCTACCGAATTTCATGGACGTTTTTACGTGGTCTTTGCCTTTTGTCGTCGAAAAGGTAGGAAACTATATATAACGATCATGGCTTTAACGACTTGCATTACTGTATCTAGAACAAACACCACCTCCAGTATAGGTACAATCATCATCATATCGTCCCGCCGGTAGTCGAGGTGGAGTACTACTCGGGATGCCCATCAATCAATCAATCTCTGATGAAGATTGATCATTTTTTGCCCACGCATAGGTAAGAGTAAGATTGATCTAAGAACCACAGTCGTCGAACATCACGGACGAACAACAGAACAACAATTTTTAGCAATGTACCTCTTGCTAGGCAGATTAACCACGACTCAATCAGTCACTCAGTCAATCAATCACTCAGTCAATCAATCAGGCAATAAATCCATCAATGAATCACGGACCCACTCACTGAATCAAAATCCGATGACAGGTAACGGAGATGTTATATTACATGTTGCAGCCATCGACAGAGACAGAGGCGGAGCAAGACATACAAGAAAAGGACTTGCCACCTGCAGTCCAAAAGATTGTGCGAAATAGTCTGTCGATGGAGCAGAATGATGTGGTATTAAATATACCTGAATGAAATAGCCTGTCGTCTTATTTTTACAGTCAACCTTAGTTGAGGATGGTCTATTGTGGCGTAGTCGAGCATGTATCCTCAATAAAAAAAACATTCGTAGTACCCTGTTCTAAGTACTCACACATTAGATAAATCTAGCGGCGCGACTAGCGGAAGGTCTGGAGGGAGAGGCAACGCAGAATAAATCAGTAATGCCTACAAACGAGCAGCTAGATCAAAGTGAGAAGCACGATCGTTTGCGGAAAAAAGTGAAAACTATTGCAAGGATGGCACGTACTATTGATTCCCATTTACTATCGATATTTGAGGTTTGCTAATTTGGTTTTGTTCTATCTTTATTTTCTATGCTCTACATTTCTATGAGATTTCGCTCTGTGTCACTCTCACTGTCATCGGGGAATTAGTTTCCTTTTATTTGTAGAAATATTTATTGTACAACCTGCCTTGAAAGAAACTTCTAGCTACTTACTTATGTTTGTTTCCAGCACCACGTTGATCTCCAGCATCGCCAATAAAGAGGATTTTCTCACTTCTTCCAGGTATGTTCAAGACTCTGCGACAGGAGAATGAGGCAGTGATCCGACTGAAGGGCGTGTGCCCAGGGCACAGACTGCCACCAGGGCTATTGTTGGCAGGGAAGTCAGGCCTCGCCACGGAACTAGAGAGGTTCGACCACGCTCGATCAGTAGACATGCGCAACGAACAGCGACCTGACTAATTATCTTATGGTGAAAATTTTAGGTGGAACAAGTACAAGTAGAAGATTCAATCTAGATGTAGATTGTTTAACAAACAAGGAAGATCTGACAAATCTTATGGTGAAAGGCCACTCTCATTGACTCTCTCAGTTCGTAGTCTACACGCTATTCACTAATAATCTTCTGTGTCATTCACATTCTCATCTCATGTCAACAAAGTATATCTCATCCTAGGAATGCACACGCTAATAATCGATACTAGTGACGCGACTTGTGGGGATACTGGGTGCGATGAGCGCGAACGGCGTTGCCTGACGCAGAAGTACAAGCGTCAATTTCCTTGATAATGTCTACTTACTTGATAATGTTTTTGTTTGTTTATCCATCCTCGCTGATAGGAGTTACTTTATTCGTCATTCACGTCAAAGAAAAAGATCGAAGTAGTAGATCTAGTTGTACTGGTTTCTGTCTATTTTCTTGATTTATCCCGAGCAACTTCCGAAGTTGTATCTTAGTTAAACATCCGGTAAGTGTAAATGGTCAACCTTTCTAAGCTTTCAATTAAATTTCCTGAAGATGATTAGTTGTAGATCCTTAACTAAGATATCTTTGTTTAGTTTTGCTGTATCGACGAAGACGCGGATGAAGTAGAGAACAACAATTTAAGCCTCCTGTATTATCACGATCGCGAAGAAGAAGGTTTATATTATATGATATGTCGCTTTCAGGAGTAGTTGCGTAGAGATCTACGCTAGTTGTAGCATAGGCATTATGAAGGTAGCCAATTTTTTCTTTCTCCAGCTTGTTTATGTATGTCACCCAAATCTAGCTGTTTATGTATGTCTCCAGCTTCATAATGTCACCCGAAACTAGCTTGTTTCCTCCCCTTGCACACTTTGCCGAGAGAGGAAGCCAGTTTTTCCTTTCTCCAGTTGCTGCAAAGTGCATGGTGAACGTAACGATATATCCACAAGATAACGCAACCGTTTTCAATTTAGTCTAAGTAAGAGAGTCAAGAAAACGTGAAAAAATGTGGGACTATCGCAATTCCTACCACTATCTAATGAGTAGCTGACTATGCTTCATCTGTTTTCGCTTCGTCATTAAATATACACTAGCCTCCATAAGCTTCGCCCGGCTTCAGGTTTAGCTTTAGCACTTCGCCGCCCACGGGCTACAGCTAGAGACAGCCCGCGGGTTCGCTATAGATAGTTCGCTTCGTTATAAGTATACACTTTTTATGAATACGATTCATAGACACGGACGGACGCGTGGGCCGACATTCTTCATAATGTTTCGCTCGAATCAACATTTGCCTGTAAATTGTACAGACTAATCGCGTCTAGGTAGCAACAATCTCGTCGTCTAGGCAGCTAAAAATGGCACTGCTAGAGGTGGGGATGATGGATGACGCGACACGTAGTAAAGGCAGGCAAGAACATGAAGACAAAAAGTCTGACGGGATTCATTTCAGCTTCTTGTTTACAAGCTGCAGGCCGCCTACTCATTCAATGCCAATTAATAGATACTAGAATCCCTCGTTATGATTCATCATTTTTCCGCTACGCTTAACAACGTTGAGAGCCAAGAGGCACCGCTCTCAACGTGGTTGGAGGCCGTCTCCATCCCAAAGGCTGTCGTTTTTAGTCTTGATTTTTGGAAGCCTCTCAGAAACTATTTTGATGCCTTGCGATCGCGATTGATCCCGATGCTGCCGCTCCCCCCTTTATTTTGTCGAGATAAAACCACCTACGGCGCGACGAGCAACTCTCTTTGGATTTCGATGTTTTTCTTTACTCTATGGCTGTACTAGTAAGTGATTTTTCTATCCTGGATCTTCATTTTCTGCTACTTTTTCTGCGTGCTCTTTTCCGTTCAAGCGACATAAATGAACAACAACTCGCCCTTCCAGAAGTCAAGGTCCGCATGTCACCACCAGGTCTTGATGTCAGTTCTTCTTCCAATCACAATTCGATTTCTTTGCGTCCAACAGCTTAAAGGGTTGAGTTGAGCAGAACCAGTAGAAGTAATTCTTCGATTCTTCGAGTTTCTGCAGAAGAAAGAAGACGAATGAATGATGTTCTTGAAATGATCCAAGCACGATGTGCCTGAGTTTATGAGGAAAGCCACCACCCTATAATCTCTACAATTAAGTTCATTTGATGAGGAACGATCTCATGTAACAAAATCAAAATCTGAATATGTCCTGAAGTTGGAATAAAATGAGAATCTGTGGCTGGAAAAAAGAATCTATTGCCTCGCAATGGGCAGCCACAGTTTTAGCGCGGGATATGAAAGAAGGACTCTTGTACTTATAAGAAGATCTTGAGGTCGGTACAACTCTAGGAGGTCAACATGGGATCTTTGATGATGGTGAGCTAATGATGATGCGATTCGTGGTGTAAGCAGGAAGCGCGTACATATTTCTGACGCTGTAGCAGAACGGAAGATGTTGATATTGTTCATCTGTGCTCATGCTTTACAAATCTATTCCTTCGTCTACCTAGCATAATTGTCATCGCACGACCAGGCCAGTGGGAACTCACGTCGGGTGCAATGGATCTTTCTACTCGGGTGGAGCTGGCGAATACTTAGTTTGAAATTCGACGTAGTCAATGTCAATGTTGATCTCTTGCATTCCTTCTTCTATGTCTACTAGAAGCTTGATAGTTCATTTTCGTGACCACGAGGTTGCACCACTTCGCTGCATGTTTTGCTATAGAAGCCAGCTAGTTAGTTCCTGATAAATAACTTACTACAACGCACTTGTTCTAACTTGTTAGTACTGAGCCGTACTTTATATATAAGCTAGAAGTACTGGCGCGAAGGCGTAAAGTAAGCTGTTGTAAAGTAAGCTAAAGCTGTATTAGTATCAGGATTATCTGTAGTCCTCCTAGTAGCGTAAAAATGACAGTAGCTGCAGCATCTTCGTCTCTTGCTGCTTTGCAAGAGCGCAACAGGCGGCTGCTCTCGAATCTGCAGAACAGGCCTGAAGTCTCACAAGGAGCACCCCAAGTAGGGGGGCAACAGAGTAGTAGCTGTCGCTCGTTGCGACAGCTGGCACTTGATGGACAGCAGCGGATGACATCTGCCGCGTTCCCTAACTCAGAATCAGCGATTGCAGGCGGCCTAGCTGGCGCTTCGGGAATCAAATCGAAGGTTCGCTATTTTTAACAGTTTGGTATCCCGAGTGAAATAGTTTCTTGAATTCTAAGTCCAATGAGACTGTTAGAACATGTGTGTGACTGGTTGTTGTACTTTGGTAGTAGGTTTGATTAGTTAGTATATATCGGTTGAGCAATTTGGGAAGACTGCTTTTCCAAAGTTTGAGCTAATTAAATGAGATCTACTAATGATCTTCTAGTAGAAGTCGGTGCACCTGTTGAATTTCATTTTTCGATACTTGCTTATAGGTTTCCAGACTCCTGGGTGATGCTCGCAATGAGTACCAGGACCGAGAAGTGTCCGCTTTGCAGCTTGGCGTGGTCCGAGATGGCGAGAGTGGAGGCGTTGGCGTTGATGGAGATCCAACTACAACCCAAGCAGGAGGCGACCAGCAGGCAATAAAAGCTTCGGCGTCCTCCTCGTTCTTCGTGAACAACCTTCATACTACGCTCCTAGTGTCTGTGCAGGAGGCACAACGAGCGGCAGCACAGAAGAGCCACTGGCGCAACGTCGCGAAGCTGAACAACGAGTGGCAATCCATGAAGCGACTAATCCTGGACCAAGTGCGGTGCGGGAACGACGTGACCAATCTACAGTGTGGAACAATTTTGCGAGGACCGACGTTTGCGCCACACTCGTCAACATCTTCATCAAGTGCAGGAGCAGCTCTGACCTCTCCCGCGCTCTTAGGCGGCGACCAAGTGCAAGGGGCTTTGGGGGTGCAGAGTAGAACAGCGGGAACGCACGAGCGGGAGGCAGCAACGGCGCTCGTGACACCCGCGCCGGCGGATAAGATGGCATTAGACGTGTCCCGCAGTTCCTTGGCGCACTACCTGACAGTGGCCCCAGAACTGCATTCAGACCTCAAATTCATATGGGAGCTGGTCCTCTCTCTCGTGGGAGACCACATTGACGTCTATCAGACAAGTACTTTTACTGATACAGTTAGCTAAGTTACAGAGTTCTTAGACATAGACTTTGGAATTGGATACAAGCTTATCATCTTGAGTAAGTACCTTGGAAAAAAATCGTCGACTTCAAGATCTCCTACTCTGAAGACAACATCTGCATTCAAATCTGAATTCATAGATACTTCTGTTCTGATCGACCGGTCGTTGGATTTTCTCCGCTCCTGGGCCATTTCGCAGATGCGCGAACGCGTGAGAGAGATGCCTTTGAGCGGCGAGCAGGACCTCTCCAGTTTGCTGATCAACTTTGGCGTTCTCTCCTGGGACGACGGCGCTTTTCCATCGACGTGGGCCCACTGCTGGTTCCTGACGTTTTACGCTACACGCACTCACAGTGTCACTTTGCTTCACCATCTGCAGCAAGACCCGCGCATCCGACAATGCCTCGCCGCAACCCCGGAGGCGCAGTCGTATTTCACGTTGGTTGTGCCTAGTCTAGTCTCGCTTTTGGAGGGACATGCGCCAGCCGACGTATTTCAGCAAAACGTGGCGGGACTGGAGAATCACCTCTACGCTCCCAGGTATAATTGTGGATTCTTACACCAGACCTGAATACTTAGCTTTGGGCTTTACTTTTATAGCTTTGGCAGTGGTTGTTCATTTGATGTTTGTAATTGATAGTTAGAGATTTATAATAGAAGATACAAGCACGCAGCACCTACTAGAGTGCCCTGCGCTCCAGGCTCTAGTAGAGGCCCACGGAGTTCCGGCGAATGTTGGGGTGGCTGCGTCGAACCCGAAGCGGCTAATCCCATACCTTCGCGACTTAGCGACCAGCTTCGGCGGTGCGTTCTTGCGAGCGCAGCCGCCACACCTCCAGTGAAGACAAGGGGAAACGAGTAGCGGCCGCTGTGGTAAACCCATCGCTGCCCGCTACGATAGGACGGGGGCCGAGATAGGTGGTGGCGAACAAAGAACGAGCAGGGAGGAGACAAGAAAGGAAGCACGCGAAGACAAAAAAGAACGAAGACAAAACGAGAACGCGAAGAACAGTGCACGCAGGCCGCAAGAACGTCAACCAAACCCGGACGCGCCTCGCCGCCAGGTGCTACCTACGCGCAGTCGCCGCCGCCCGCAGCACGCCGCGCCTGGCATGCCACAAAAGCCGCAGCTGGCGGGGACTGTGGCGACCTGACATGAAACCATAGTCGATCGCAATGACGACCATAGCACTACATACACAGAGCACAAAGAAATCCGGCGGGATCGTACGCGTCGCCCGGAGCGCATCAAAACAAACAAACAAGTAGCTGAATTTAGAAAATGACGAGTATAATAAAATTTCACGATTATACGCTGACGCAGCAGGAGTCCCATCAAAGAAATGTTTATTATCAATTCAGCATGATCGGCGTACATGGATCGATTTTCCGAGAGATATGCCTTCTGTTGGTCCTAGGCGAGCGCTTCCCCAGTGACGACGGCATGGAACACTATAGGGGTGATTGCTTCGCAGACCTTATGCGCAACGCTGAAAATATGATTTGGTACAGCCTACTCCAGGTGCGTAGCCGCACACTGCCGCTCGAGGAGTTTCAGGCCAGTATTAACGATCTCCTTGACGTCGTCTCGCTCTCTTCAAACGGCGTGCAGGCAGGATTGATGCAGGGGAATGGAGGCATGCAGATGATGGGAGGTAATAATTTGCAGATGAATGGAAATGGCTCGCAGATGGGTGTGAATAACATGCAGCCAGGTTCACAAATGCCGTTGTTTCAGCAAGGAGCCGTCGGAGCAGGCAATCCAGTGACGAGTCTCGACGACGTGAAATACCTGTTTTTGTCGTTGCAGTACGCACGCGCACTGCGGACCCTGCGGAACAAAAACGTAGCGCTTTTGTCCCCTGCGTGCGTCCATCTAGCGGTGACCCTAGCGAAGACGCGGGTTCTAGAGCAGGATGAGAGCGCAAAATTCGACTTTGTGCAGACTGTGATCGACTACACAACTGCCTCGCTCGATGTGACCGAGCAGCTGCGGTATTTGCGGGTCCTCGGCGCCGCGGACCGCAAGTTGGCGTACGTGCGATTACTGCGCTCCTTCCGCAACTTGGACGACCTAGCAGGGACTATCCTCCCCAACGGCGCACGATGCAAGGGACTTCTGGAATTGTCCTGTGAAGAAGCCAGCGGCGAAGATTCGGGCACCGAGTTCAAAACCATCATCCACGCTCTGGGCCGCGACGCGCTGCGACGAGGCCGTTACAGCGAAGCCATGCGCTTGCTCCACTTGGCAGATCGGGCAGACGAAGTTTTGCTCGTTATGCAGCGCGTTTTGCGATTACCGGACACGGTCCTGACAAGCTGTGCAGCTGCGAGTGGCATGGCGGCGCCAGCAGGCCTCGCTTTGGCGCAAGGAAGCAACACGTGGGTTGGCGCAACGCTGCTGGAAGAAGTTGGACGATTCTTAGCGATCTATGCGGATTTTGGTGCAAACTTTGGCGTGTCAGACACAGACCACAATTGGCTCTTCGTCTGCAGGCTGTGGAAATTGAGACTCTTCTTTGAAGGGTGTCGGGATGCTGCCAGGTACTTACTTCGAAATAAGTACTTAGACATATATCGACAGAAAATTTTCCCCTGTTGCTGTTGCAGCGAACGATATGAACTTTCCCATTTATTTCCATCCATTTTTACAAATGAGTAAATACGTATCTTGCTGCTCACTTTACTACTATATTCTTCTTTCCTACAACTACCTTTCCCAATAATAATCAAATGTGGTTTAAAAGGTACGACGAAGCACTGGACTTGTTCGATAAGGAGAATTTTCTGAGCGACGAACCTGAAGCCGCTAACGTCGGCGGCGCACGACTCTTTCCGATCGATTACACGCGGATAGTGGAGAGCTACCTGTCGCTTCTAACCAAGAGATTTGGCGGTTCAAATACTGATGCTGGCTACAACATCAATGTTCTGCGGCCACGCATATCGGCATTGCAGTCATGGCTCAGCAAACACAGCTATATCGTGACCACTAGTGCATCGAGGAACATGCTCACCCAGCTAGGCCTCAAATAAAAAATTCGTCCGACTTTCTATTCCAACTTGGTGATTAATAGCTGGAGCTGTCTTGTTGTTCAACTTTTTTCGGGGACTGCGACTGGAGCTGTCTCGTTGTTCACCACGATGGAGAAGTCGGAAATCATATATTACAACAACTTTTACTCTATATTCAAATTTTTATCACGCGCAACTACAAGAACCCACCTTATAAGTAATTGTTTCACATTCACTCCTGATGTATTCTGAACCTTATGGATGTTGGGCTCGTTTGAAGGCATCAAGTGTGTTCTGTGGCATCAACGCAGCACCCTTTTTTGATGATGTCTCAATGGTATCTGACTTTTTTTCCAGCTAAGACTGGCAGGACATCGGTTACTATGCTAGGTGTCTGTTAATTTCAGTCGTTTCTGTGATCTGTTACTTTGGGCACGCGTTCTACTTTCCCCGTCAAACAGATGCGAATTTGTACATGGATCCATGAGCGCGTCCTGCTCTTGTACTCAGATGTACTAGATGGATTTTTTTTCTTTTGATATAGAAGACAAGGAAATATGGCGTCTGCGAGCCGTGAGGACGCAAAATTTGAGGCCTCGTTGAACGCGATCCGACGGAGGACCGATTACTTGGATGTAATTACTGGGAAGAGTGCTGATATCTCGACCGCCGCGTCAGGCCAAGCACGAGCCGGGTTGTCTTCCGCAACATCGAGTCCCCGGAAAAGCATTTCTCCAAATCGAGGTCGCATGAAGAGTCGATTCCTGAAAAATAGCTATGTGAACGCAGTGAACGACAGGCGTGCAGAGTTGGTGGAGGAGCATCTTGGGCCAAGCTTCGCGGCTTGGAAACTAACTTTGCAGCAGAATTGGCAATGCCTGCAGCCACGGACAAAGATTACGGCTAGCCTATCTTCACTATCGGATAGTTTCGGACTACGCTGAGTGGGGTCCCTCTGGAATTCGACTTGAACTTGAAGGGGAAAGTAAATGGCAACGGGGGCAACTCACTCAGCCACGGATAGTGAAAAACTGCCTCTAAAAAGAGGAAGTTTCAATGCGCCCAACTGAATCTGCGCAATCGAAGGGTAAACATGGATTTGGATGCTTTTAGGCGAGAACATCAACGACGGGCGACCGGAGCATAATGGCAAGATCTAAGCAGTAGTAAAAAAGATGATTGATCATATTCTTTTTTGCATGACAATTTATATAGACTCCTGTATGAATTAAGTACGATTAAGGACGACTGTGGCAATACACCTCCCAGATTAGTGGGAAAGTCTATTGATTTTGATGTGCATAGGAGGAAGTCTATTGATTTTGAATTTTGTTGCCGGCGTCCGTTAGTACTATCAGAATATATTTATTTGATGTGATCGTAAAAATGCATGACGCCTACCTCTCGTCTCTTACAGAGAAGTTCTTGTGATACATGCGGATGGAGACACCAGAGACAGATAAAAGGTCGTGGGGCGTCGATGTCAAAATCATGTACAGTAATCTTCTTGGTCGGGCATAATATGTTGATGATGCTACTAGTAGTACAATTGTAAAAAGTGATTTAGACAACGAGGCCGGGCAACATACAGAGATTTATCCTGGATGGCATGAACATTCGTCGAGTGCGCATCTTGTTTTTGTGTGGAGGTTCGAATTTCCCGAATTCGTCGTTCGAAAGTCGCGGTCACTCGAGAAGAAGAGCTGCAAATGGAGGTTGGACAAGATCGACAAGATCGATGCAAAAGAGCAAATGAAGAAGGTGGGGGGAGAGATAAAACGCTTCTTGCTATTTTGTTAACAACTTGCATGTAAATGTTGTTGGAAGCGGCGATTGAACTTCAAAACGCGGCAAAAACGTTGTCAGACTCTGTACATTTATTTTTTATCTGGCAAATGGACGTCGATGATGTCGACTTATTGATCGAGATAGCTCAAAACGTGCGAAGTAACATCCAGACATAGACCACGCTAGAAGGAATATAGATTTGAATATGCAGTAAGATCAGCGGGACCACGACGGACAACTAAATTACTCTTCAATGCAAGTCAAGAACCATGACGGTCGATGGTTTCCCCGAACGGCGCTGATTCAACGGCTGGAGGTGCGGGTGTCCCTACTGCCGCTTTTTTGACACCGCGGTCGCATGGTCCTCGTTCCGGTAATTTGCCTGCTGCAGTTCTAGGTCGATCAACGAATTTGCGACAGAGCAAGCGAAAAGGTGCTGGAAAATGCGCACTGCTGGAGGACGTGGTGGTCGACGATAGTAGAGCAACAAGTGCAGAAGGAGTACTACAGGTGGAAGAAGAAAATTAAGGGTAGGTTAAAGGTGCTTTTCTTACCGCTTTTTATGCCTCTCCTAAGGGAGAAAGGCATAACAAGCGGGGTAAGCGAGCACCAAAAACCTACCTCTAAGAAAAATTAAATTCTCTTCAGAACATCAACATTACTAACGTTTCTGTCGCTGCTGGGCACATCGCTACAGCTTCGTCGGGTAGTGAGCAAAGCACGACAGCAACTGACGTTGAACAACATCAAGAAGAAGAGAGAAAGAAGAAGATAAGTACTGGAAACAACAATAATCGTCCGCGGCAAGGAGAACTAGCAGATACCAGAAGAAGTTCTGCTTCTATACAGGCAAGCGCATTCTCGACCACTACTACTTCTACTGTAGTTGGTTCGGGCATGTCGCAGACGACCCTGATATCTCAGACCTCAAACGGGCAGCCAATTGCAAACGGGAGAACCTACTACGACTCGCAGATGACGACAGGACTGACACCGACCGCTTCTACAGGAGCGGATCAAGGCAGTACTTTTAACATTCAAGGTCCTGTTCCTGCGACCTCCACTGCGTCGGGAGGATCAACTGGCCCACCGCCAACGCTACTGAAGAGCGGCGTCGTACCAGATTCAGCAGGATTGGTTCACAGTCATCAGCTAGCGCAAACGGGTGAGGATTCACTTCACGGAGTAGAGGGTGGCCAATTCGAAGGAGACAGCGCCGCACCAGGAGTAGCACAGAGAAAACGAGGAGATTATGCACAGTACATACTGCTGTTTCCCCTAGTAGTCTGGACATGGGATACTTGGGAGTATGCGGTCGAAATTATATGCGGGAAAGGTATTTTTTTTGTACTCTTCATCTCAAAATCAATCTCACAACAATGGACAACTTTCAAACCACATTGTTTGGCACTCTTCATCATTTTCCTTGTAGGTATTTTGACTATCTTTTGACATGGTGAAAAACCAATGGAAAATAATAGAAATACGTACGCTTTCCATCCCCAGCGAATAGATGCACATCATCAATCGCTCCATCCCAACGCATTACCAACAGGAAGCCTCCGCTGGCAGATGGTGATTCATCTTCTGACAGCCATAGTTACGGTAGGTTTCGTTTACCGATGGGAAACACAGAGTGGAAACTGGAAGATGCGATCAAAGTTTATCGGATTTACATCGATTTTAGCTGCAACTTCCGCATGGGTCTTCCTCGAGAAGCTTGTGGCTTCAATCGCTCCTAAAGTTTTCGATCAGCACGCAATAAACCACCTCTTTTGCTACGCCTTTCTCATGCTCACTACGCTTATCGTGATCCTGCTGTACGAAAGAGTAAATGGAATCGACCTGTTTCAGCGGTTGCAGGATATCTGCTGAATCATTTTTAACCGTCCTACAGCTACATCAACGCAACAGCAGGTCAACATCAGTTGCAGCTTGTCATTGCATCATACGGTGTTCTTGTCATACCTCTATTATATACTCTCCTTATAATATTAAAACATGATCATGTGAACAACTAATAATTGAATCATATTAAAACATGATGTGGCTTTTGAATCAAAATCTTCCTCTATGTGCTGTTTGTGGCCTATTCGTGGCCTCTTCATTCAGAGGACAACCATCAGGCATGTTGCTGAGCCATGAAATTTTTAAGGAGAATCAAAATAGCAGAGTCCTGTCGTCCAGCACTTGGAGTTGGAGTCCAAAAAATTTCTAGTTGTTCTTTCTGGACGATGAGGCAAACGAAGTTGATCAAGTGTCCTGGGATCATCTTCATCCTGGGATCAGCTTCATCCAGTCAAAGAGACGATGAATTTTGATTCTTATTCTCAAAAGTCTGAAGGCAAATTTGTACAATTTGTGTTGTTTCATGAGTGGTTGGTCTAAGTAATATTAACTTTTTGTTATTGCACCAAATTCAACTTCAACAAGCAGGGGAGCTTCACGACGTCTACGGGGTCTTTCACTAGAATAAGTTTGTTTGGCGATTATTCTTGGCGAATACTTTTGCTTTTTGGAAGCCGGTGATGCTGTCAAAGGCAGTGCACTGGAGGACAGATTTTTTTTTCTTGAGGAGCACTAATTTAAATTTTAAGATTTTTATGTCTTTTCGAATGTCTGTCCCGGATCACTTTTTTCCAAGTAGCCTCTAAGCACCTACACCATAGTCTGTCAAGAGAAACAATGACGCTTCCGGAGGTTGAGCTAGTCAACGTGCCGCCATGGCTGTCCGCTTTGTGGCTCTCGCAGCCAGATGGCACCATAGTCGGGCATTGTGAGGATGACAAGACAATACGGCTGACTCCCGCGTGTGCAGATCCGAAAAAGCCATCCGTCCTCGAAACCACACTCATACGAGAAGCGAAAGGAACGTACTTACTTATGCTTTTACTTTATTTTGCAATTATAGTTGGTACTGTAGTGTTTATTAAGCTCCTTAACCATTCCTTTTTAGCGGTAGGATTTGGTGATGATTTCGTCCTCTTGGCCGCGTCAGTATATGCTCTTAATGAATCAAGATTTAGTTACTTATTTGAAACAAAGTTTTGTTGAAACACCTGCTTCGGCTTGTCCAATGAAAAACGCTTGTTTTCAGGTATGCCATCGATCTAGAGGGTCCGCCTGAGAGTTCGACAGCTGACGTCGCAAGTCGCAAGACATCTGTCGGGACAACTGCATCTTCTTCTAGCAGTAGCAGTAGTGCACAGAAAAAGACGGACATGTCCGCTGCGACACCAGGGGTTGGGGGATCGACTTCCAGTACAACTGCTGCAGCTAGTGGCGAGAACAAAAGGACAGTGGAGAGAGTGACGAGGGTTTTATCCTTGTTACCTAAAGAGGACGATGAGAGCTATCGAAATATGGTGGCGGAGAGGCGAAAAGCGGCAGCGAGAAGGGAACCCCATATTACCGAAATCGATAAGCGACCTAAGGTGCAAAAAAGGACAGTAGTAGATACCAAACCCCATGAAGCGGGAGGTGGCAGTAGATTGAATGCACTGAAAAAACGAAAAATATAGCAGGAGTGTTCAGAAAAACAAAATTACTTATGCGCTCAACTCCTTGATTCCTCCACCTGAACAAGAGGCATCTCTCCGCCTCCTTCTTCCTCCTTCGACTACCTTTTTCAGAACAATCGTCGCTTTCTAAGGTCTCGAGTACCTGCTTTGAAGAGAAAAGAAACCTTAGCACGAAAAAGAAACCTTCTTCTAAATGGTGTTCATCTGGTATGGACTCCAGCGGTGTTCGACCCGCATTTTCTAATCCACGACTCGAGCAGTAGAGTCTTATGATTGATGAAGATCCTCGTCTAAAAAACGTTTCCATGGCTAAATCTGATTAGGCTCTTAGAAGAAAAATCGATCACCGCGAACTGAGATCACGTAGAGAAAAACTACTTCGGCTAGTAGATCCACTTGCACAATTACAAATAGAAGACTTTGAATCCTGAGGATCCAGAGCACGATTAGAACAATCCAAATCTTGCATCAAGGCACAGATCCAAGACCTGGCAACTCACAAGATCCAACTGGCAAGGGCAACTCAGAAGAATTCTGTCAATTTAAAAGAACATTTTTCCTGAACAACAATTTGTATGAAAAATTAGTTGAACGAGTTAATTAATTGTTTGAAAGGGCGGTGGCATATAGTGCTAACGCAAAAAAAAAAACTCTACGGTGATCAAGAACGGTCATAACAGGAACATACACATGACAACAATATTCTCCATACAGGTGCTTACTAGGTTGCAGGCAGTCACTCTAGAGTAGATGCAACGGTTGTGCATTTAATTTCTTCTATTATTCGAGTTGTAATGCTTACTACGATTACCTATTTCGTGGACGTGGTGAGCTCTTGTGTCTTATTATAATTTTTTCATTTGGTCTTGAGTGGTGTGAATCGATGCATCTATCTTCTATGTGACAAAGTTTGCACATTGACTTGAGTTGGGATAGTTAATGTTGAAATAGGAAATCATAATCTTTCTTAGTGGTCTCGTAGTCCTTGCAAATGTAGTTCTTGCATATTGTTTCTTCCATGCTTTTATATTTATATGAGCAAAATCAATTGGTGATTGTTTATGTATGGAATAGACATTGAAATTGATTACTAACGGAAAAATCTATGGCCTGGTTGTAATTGCGTTTTGCATCGTGGGACCATCCACAGGAGCTTGAAAAACGCGCTGCACCACTGCTTGAGGAAAACATCGTTTTGACGACCCGTTACGTTCGCTTGCACGACCGTTGCCAATTGGAAGTACGAACAGCAAAACCTACTGGAGAAGCCCTCACTCTTGCAGCCTCTCATCTTACTGCGACCAGCCTCGTGCTTCTCTAGCTCTACAAGGTGAGAAGCACCTCCAGGCAGAAACTTCTTACTACAGTCTTCCAGTAATAAGTACTAGTATACGTGGCAAGATGTCGGCGAACGTAAGCGAGCCTAATGTGCCTGTCGGCATGAACACTTTTGGGCGGCAAGCAGTAGCGCAGACAATAGGCGCTGGGCACCGATGGGGCTTTGCCTTCACGGCGTGTACCATCTTCGTTTCAGTGGTGCTGTGCGGCAGTTACTTGGCGAAGTTTCTGAGGGGGAAGATATCACTCTTCGTTCTCGACCTCTTCAATGTAGGCGCAGCAGGGATGTTTCTGGCGATGGCCATGTTCCACATTCTACCAGAAGTGGTGGTGGAAATCTTAGGTAAAGATTATAGTTTTTTCTCTTCTTGTCGTTGTGGACGTGGAACATCTACCTCCTCCTTTACCTCTAGACAAACTTCTTTTTAGCGCAAGTAGAAAATAGAAACACGACACTTCGGGTTCGTTGCCTTTAGCAGACTTTATTTCTCTTTGAAAATGACGACAGGTCAAATTGTAAAAGGGTCAGTAGAAGGCTGGCGATCGCGGTATATGGATCAGAGTGGCTTCGATTTTAACGAGCAGCTAGGGAAGGACATTATGAATGTCGACGTTGACGACAAATTGATAAGCTTCACCTCCATCACTGACACTGCATTACACGAATTTGAGCGGAGATTGCAGCTAGTCGGAGCTATCCTCTTTCTGGGTTACGCAACCATCCTCTTCTTCGAGCGAGTCTTCGCACTATGGTATAGATATTTTTTTAGTCTCCAAACACATTTCTATAGATACTGATTTGTTTTCATTATTCACTTAGACTTACAACAGGAGAAAGGTAAAATCTTCAAAATCAAGGAATAGGACATCAAAATCAACACAAATCTTATCAAAAAATTATCCACTACCTACAACAAGCATCTGCTTCCTGTAAGAAACCAAAGACACGACTCCACCACTTGTCATACAGGTTCACTCCAGCTCCATCACACGGGCACTCGCACGGCGGCGGTTGCGCAATTCATGACGACAGCGACGAAGAGGACGAAGAGGTCGACAAGCCTAGTCCCCTACAAGACGATGTTGAGGACCTCGAAAATCCACTTCTCAGAGAAGACGATTTCGAAAATCCACTGGCCAATGCTTTCAGTAATAAGGTAGGCGTAGAACAACAACACAGAACAGTAGGAGCACCAGCGACGTCAGCATCTTCTTCTTCTTCAAATGCAGCTCGCCATCATCATCACGGCCAGCTGCATAGTAGCGCAGCAAGTAGACATGATCATTCCCACGACGATGGGGCTTGCGATCACGCTCATCATGCCGATAGCCATGGTATGCACGGTCACGGCCATGAGCACGGGCATGGTTCCACATCATTTGGCGGTAGTGGTTGTGGGCATGACCACAGTGGCGGTAGTGGTTGTGGGCATGACCACAGTGTCGGAGGAGGACATCACGAGCATGCTAGGCATAGTCATAGTGGAGGTCGACATAGTCGTAATAGCCATAGTCATGCCAATTGCGGCAGACATAGTAGGCGGCACAGCACAGCGAGTCTAGGGTGTCACGGCCACGACAACCACGGACATCAACACGGTGTGCCGGTTGGTGCTAGTCCAGCTTCGGCTATTATGCTCATGCTCGCGCTGAGCATACACTGCTTCTTTGAAGGGTACTAAATTAGGTCTCTTCTTGATAAGTTTGAGTACATATAACTTTTTATGTCGTGCTACGTACGTCTACGTCTAGGTGATTGATGATCTTTATGATTTGATTGATTTTAATCTTTATCTGTAAGAACGATGATGATGGCATTCTACTTGATTGTTTGTAAAGTCGTCTATTGCTTTGTCCTTAATAAGTCAAAAATCTAGGCCCTCAACATCTATTGTTGCATTTTTTCCCATTTTCTCATCGCTCAGGTGGTCAGCGGCGTCCAATTTCAAGGGCAACAAGCCATGGCGAAGTGGCATCGTAGCTGTCACCGCTTACGCAGCGCACAAGTGGGTGGAGGGCTTTGTGCTAGCCTTATCTTTGCTCAAAGCGGATTTCGGGAGTGGCAGCTTCTTCCTATTCAACTTCGCCTGTAGTTTAGCCAGTCCATTGGGCGTGATCCTGTATACCGCGAGTCACGCAGTAGCAGCCAGTCAGATGAAACTGGTGGAGCCATATTTTAACGCCTTCGCGTGCGGAACTTTGCTCTACGTAGGGGTAACGGAAATTATCCCGGAAGTATTCGAATGCGACACTGCGAAGAGCGTACGAAAAGCACTGGCGAAATACCTGGTACTACTTATTTCAATTTCTCTAAAGATCCTTTCTGAATTCTCCGTTGAAACTAATCGGTTATTTGATTTGAACATCCCTATTTTCCTTATACTTTACTTATATTAAGCGTGGAGGTAGACTTGGTTTATTTCTTCGAACAAGTGGTCGTTCCTGCGCTTGTTCGTGACTTGTATCATGTCAAACCCTTGCTTTGGTTTGAAATTGATGCTCAAACTACCTCATCATCAGACATCTACTTCACCTTACGACTTTGAAACTCATACCTCATCATCTACATCTACTTCATCAGGTCTTCAATGCATGCGGTGGGCTCTTAATGCTGTTTTTATTTTTCAACCATTCTTGTGGAGGGGGCGATGATGGGGATGGACATGTCCATTGCGAAGATGGTTCTTGCCCCCCTGACGAGCTGTTACCCATGATTCTCAAGAGGGTTATCCTTTTCTACGGATACTAGTAGAATCTTGCCTAGAGGGGGCACCAACAGGCGGATGAAGGAAACGGACACTAGTAAGTAACCCCATTCTAGTTCCATAAAGGGGGTATCGAAATCGATCCTGCTCTATGCTCTCTGACGCCTTGTTATTTTACCAGACTAGAACGTAGATGATTTGAACAGTATTCAGATCGGGTTTTTGTATCGTAAGTATTTTGGAACTACAGATTTCAATGAGTAGAAAGCATGGCTTTCACGGCGTTTGATTTTCCTTATCGTAATTCTTATATCTGACGATGACGGACTATTCTTTTCTTTCCAACCCTCGGGATAAAAATTCCTCTGAGTGGTCCCACTTACCTAGATGTAAACGTAATGAGAGGTCTTGATATGTAGCCTCACGTGTGACCTGGTGAAACAATTGAGTTTGAATTGAGTCCTACGCCGTTGTACAAACTAGATGCTAACGCTAAGTGATGCCGTTGGAGTTGTCCTTGTCCTTCTTGTCACCGATTTCTATTGGAACTTAATGACAATGTAGATACCTCGTACCTCAACAATTATATTATATGTACCCGAACCTCCCGACTGACGTCTGATGCAGTTCGTGCTATCATCTACAGCATCAGGGAGCCTAGGGAATTGTTTGTTCTAGGCCCTTTGAGAATTATAGCCGTTATGGCATCTTCCCGAAATTTGAGTGGTTCCTCCTAGAAATTTATGTTAAATGAAGACTGAAGATGTTTCCACGTCAAGGTTGACGCGACACGGATGCGACGTAACGGTCGCGTGCGTCCCAAATAATTTAATTATGATTCCCACCTCATGTTGGTAAGCTTTCGAAAATTCATGGGAGCGTGTGGTTGTTGAACTGAGTTCTTTGCTTTAGATTTTTTCTGGTGCGACAACTTCGCCAAAGTACTAGGATAGTATGCAAATGCACAGTGATTAATTGCTCAGTTACCTTGCTACCTGCGACTACACATTGCTGCCAGTGGTCTGTGATATAGACGCATCAGGCCAAATAATTCTTCTTTCCACTTGAAAAAGCATGGACCGATGAAAATTCGAAAATATAGCTTTCTGGCGTGGTATTCCACTAGACTCTCGTCGTCGTAGCTAGCTGGGCGAGTAGCGCCTACTAACTATGCAAAGTTCATATCATGGAGGTGGCCAGGTCTAGGGAAATCATGGAAGCCCTCGACCTATCCAAATCATAGCTTACTGTCGACATGGGTAGAAGTGTTAAGGAGGATGAGATGGACATGGACTACGTATTTTTGGTAGGCTTGTTAAGTGTATTGAGAATATAGAATTATTTACCTATCTATCTCTGTTGACCAGTTACCAATCTATCGTCATAAGCAGTTCTTCCCTGATGAAGTGCCGGCGTTGTACTTGCATATAGAAATTGAGTCTAGCGTCGCCACTAGAGTTTATCATGCCTTCTGGTAGGCCAAGGCTGTCAGCAAAACAACCGCGTGGTATGAATTATTTTCGACACGCAGAATTCTTCAAAATGAAAAAATGAGTGGCGTTTCAACAAGAAGATGTATCAACAAGAACAACAAATAATCAACAAGATGAGCGTTCAATGTGAACGCTCAAACAGCACGTCGCTCGCGGCTTGGTTCTGTGGATGAACAGGCTTGTTCTTTGTACTGAGACAATTTGAGGTGGTTTTTTTTTCTCCAAGCCGCACGGAAAGTAGGCAAGAATGTGAGCAGCAGATGCAAGTAGCAGGCGCAGCTTTCACCTCTAGAAGACCGGATCCTTTTTTACCTATAGATAACGTTTCAGAAATCATAAGGTATGAGTTTGCGCCTGGACGAAGTTTGTGAGCTCGTCTGAGCCCTGTGAGCTCATCTGAGTCCTCTTCCTTGTTTTTCTGGAAATGGCAACGACTTCCTTTACCATCCTCCAGCCACATCAAAAAATCAAAATCGGAGGAAGTCACCAGAGAGAGTACACTGTGATGAGAGATACACTGGCGTAGGAAGTAGGAGCGGGATTGGTAGGTGTATGCGCCCATCAGAATTAGAGAAGAAATTGTGATTGTCTTAGACAGTGGAAGGACATGGTTGATGTCACACTCGCCTTCTCTAAACAAGTGCAGGGATCTATCACTGTATTTTCCCACGACGTTGATTTCACAATTACATCTACAAATTACTAGAGCATATGTACAAGAGCCTGTTTGTGTTTGCTACTCGTGCAGCAAGAACGACGTAAATTTATTCAATCGCAACTCCTGTTTGAAGATTCAAATAAAACTTCACGCATGGACCACAACATCCAGGACGTATCTTTTTGTTTGTTCAAAAAAGAATGGACACGATTACAGGCCAGGAGAACGAACCAGAAGCAGGCTCCTATGTACCACTGAGACGTGATACCTGAAGATACGGGAAGATACGTGAGAACGACCACATGGACGACCACTGAAGATAGACCTGCGAACCGCATGGACGACTGATACTATACTGCGCAGTTGGTTCAGTGGCTTGGGCGTTGGCCTGTTCACTTATCGAAGAGGGTACTTGACGAGCCACGATGTCGCTGTTAGAAACGCTGGATCAGGAGACACTGAAGAAAATCCTGAGCAATGCTATTCAGGCAGGCGTGGTGGATATTAAGGCCGTTAGTATACTGAGCTGGTCGCACCTGCCCATACTTACTTTATAGGTGTATTCATTCTGTAGAGCTCGTCCTTTCTTGGTCGTTTTACTTACTCCGGCTTTGCAGTGAGAAGATTAAACAGAAAAGTTCCTTTATTTTCTCCAACTAACTAATCATATTTATAACTTTAACTGCAATAGAGCAGGGCGAAATCGAAAAGGGCATTCAGTGCTTGGATGAGGTAAGAAAGGATGCTATTTCACCCTAGGCGGGTGCCAACTCACAGCGGTTGTAACTCTTCTAAGAAAAAGGAGACACTAAATCCGGTGCACCAGCAGTCTTACGAGCATGTGGTTTCTGGGAACCTATTTGAGGTGCCGCCAGAATGCGATCGAGTCCAATACCTCTCAGAAGGCGGCTACGGAGTGGTCACGAAGTGCCGGTGTCTGAATCCAGCCAAGTACAATGGCTTTGACCAGGTGGCGGTCAAGAAAGTACTAGATGAGTTTGTGAGCCTCCACCCTCAGGTTTTGATGGTGCTATGCATAACATATATTACTCACTTGGCTGTAATTCTAATCGATACCACTGACCGCTGATCCCATGTCGTCGAACCTGCTTACCACTGACGCATCCCAGGTCTCTCTTCCGCACGAGCGTGCCTTCGACGGAGAATGGGAGGATAATATTCGGCTATTGAGGGAGATCCATTTCATGAAGCACTTGCCTCATCCGAATGTCACGCCGATTATCAGTCTGTACATGAACAAGGAGGCACGCGGAGGAGACCTCAAGCAGCTCAATTATGACGGAAATCGTTCGCGTTTCTTGTTTTCTTGAGTTATATAATACAGTGAAACTAAGTAACTTCAACGTGTAACTTGGCAATGACGAGACATACAAACCCAGTTGTTAGCCACTAGCTAGGAGCTACTGGCGCGAGATATAATACAACTGGAGGTTCTTCAAGAGGCATCCACGGTGTTGAATTTTGAATAGGGATAAATCAGCATCGTAAAGAGGTAGATCTACTCACTTTCATCAATGAAAATGAATAGTAAAATATCAACATCTGGAACAAGCAGGTTTATTCACCTTCTAATCCCTGTGCTTCTACATCGTCATGCCGCTCTACGTGCCTGGGAGTATCGACCAGATGGGCGTGATCGATGATCAGAAGGTATTCTGCGGCATTATGCGTGATTGCGTCTCAGGCCTCTTGTGGATGCACAAGCACAAGGTCCTGCATCGTGATATCAAGCGGGAGAACATTTTTTACGACGAAATAAACAAGAACGCAGTCATCGCAGACCTAGGCATGGTATGGATGATGTTTTTTCTCCCATCTGTATAACAGACCATGTTCTAGGCTGCCCCTTTTCCCCTTGGAAGTGTACCTATATTAGGTTACAACGGGAGCCACCTCGATGATGGTCTGCCCTTAGACGGGAAAAAAAACAAAATTCATAGATGGCTAGGAGCACGAAGAAGAAAATGACAGGAGGTCGCGAGTGCAGTACAAAAAGCTACTTGGCGCCAGAATTGATAATGGAGACAACAGAAAGCTACTCGTTTCCAGTGGATATATGGGCGCTCGGATGCGTCTTCTACGAAATGCTCATTTTTGCAGGTATGAATTAGAAGTGAAGAGTATATATGATATCATGCGTATATTAGAAGTACCATCTTCAATTTCTCTATGATCTTCATCAAAAACAACAACGATATTTTATTATGATATCCGCAATCCAGATGAAGGGGGTTCGATGTTTGCTGAGTCGAACCCGTACCACCTCATTCTTGCTAGGCAGTACTCGATCAACAAGACGTTTGGAACGAAGCTGAGCCGCAAGCGCATCATGCTCGGCACGCACCACATTCAGCAGATCGCAACGCAAGAAGGCAGCTGGGTCAGAAGTATGGCCGGTTGTTGTTCGTGTCGTTTAAGTATTCGAGAGTAGAAAGTGCATCTTGTAACTATGTGTACGTACCTGGTGGTACAAGAAATTGCTAGCTGTTTTGGTCTTGCGGGAAATAACTAGACCTGGTGGTGAACTCCATGTTGACAGGACATCTTTCATTTCCTAGCGTTGGCTGAGTTTGGAGAAGCAACTGGACAAATTTACCGGAGAGAACGGATGGGAGGAGTCCATGAAGCCCTTCTTGGAAGATACTATCAAAAAGTGCTTGCAGTTCTATCCTGAAGAGCGGTGTAGTGCACAAGAATTAGCCGACATTTAAGGTTAGTTTCTCCAAATTGTTCATTTTCGGAAGCATCTTTCTTGATCTTTGGTCCCTTTATTACTTTATTTAGGGGAAAAACACAAAGCTAATGCTAAGGCGAAAGCAACAGCACGTCCACAAAGATACACGTCAAGAAAGATGAATATGACATGTGCAAGAACATGTTCTAAGACATGTTGAAGAAGTCCTTCGTAGCGAAGCTCGTAGGCGGAATCCACATGCCCAAGCGCGTGAAGCAGAGCACGGTAACCGAGAACTTCTTCGAGGAAATCTCAAAGCTGAAAAGTGATAAAGATCGCGGTCAGAGGATTCGCGAACATTTGTACGAGCTCACGAAAGTTATGGCAGAGTTATAATTTCTCATTTATCGTATGAAGGGCTCTCCGTCTCCCCCATTTCTATAATTGAACTAGTTCAATAGTTCAATTTCGGCAATAGTTCATAATTAATGTTGATGAGTTGATTGTCACCAGTAGCACTTGTTCATAATATAATTTTTGTCAGCTGCTGTGTAGAACAAGGGACAGGGGTAGGGGTACTTACTCGGATATTCAGGTAAAACTCGTCTCAACAATTTGAACACCAGAGGTAGAAGTAGATACACTTCGTTCCCTTCTTCATACAGAAAGAAGACGACAGCAGTAAGAACCCTTTCGTGAATGTGCCTAGCTATACCTTTGGCGATAGCAGCAGCCAAGTAGATACGAGTCCGAGACGGAGTGTTCTCGACGACGTGGCACCGATGGATGTCTGCGAGCCAACCACATTTCAGCTTGTTAAGTGCAACAATTAAGTCCTGTGAGCGACCTCTTGCTAGGTAAATGAATGAATGAATGAGTGAATCCATCTCTCTCAGCATCTCGATACCCTGCTTATGATTCTTTTCGCCGGAAGAGAAGGGGTCCTCGAGGTGAGGGGACCGAGAAGGATAAAAGCTGACTCTAAAAACCTTGGCAAAGGAGTGGCCGGCAACGTTTTATCCTCGTCTTCAGTGAACATTGGTAATGTTAAGGCTCTCGCAATAAAGTGAAACTCTTGTTCTTCCTGAATAAAAGCATCTTCTTGTAAGGAGGGCTCCTTTCTAAGGGAAGAAGAAAACGACAACTAGTTGCCAATGAGGTGCTTTATTTGTGGAGGAATATTATTATGAGAATGAGAGCAGCTGAAAGAAGTCCAGAGTTCTAGGCTCAGACTGTTTTTCGTTTGCTGTAAAAAGAATATCAACCCTTTGGTCTTCCTCGGTCTATCCTATAATTATGAGAGCAGTTTAAGGTCTTCTAATAGTGGCGGTAGCTTGAATGCGGGTGTCCGACACGACAGTGCGACGCGTAAACCGAGTAGCGCAGCTGCGCTGAAGATGAGAGCTGGCAACGCTCTTGGGATGCAACTACAAAAGGCTACAGCGTCGACCGAAACAACCGCATCCCAGGACTACGAAGCATGGAAAGAAGTGGAAACGGATCGACCGCTGCTCGTTTTCAAGCCAGCAAGTTCCTCGAAAAAGTATGCGACAGACGAGGCGGGCACGATTGAGGGTTTTTCAGGTGCCGATCCTGAGAAACTCCAACTAAATCTGGGAGCGCCGTCTGTGGCAGCAAAAGTTAAGGTCTGTAGAACAAACTCCTCAACACAACTGCTGCTCCTCAACCTTCAACACTGCTGCTACCTGCGAAGAAAGTACTAGATTCAAGTGAGCCATGAAGGAAATCAGAATGGGTAGTACAACGAACTGATAGTAGAAAGGACATGAACTTGTTGTAGACTCTAGCTACGAGCCAAAGCGAGATACTCTACTCAACGACCTCAATTATAGAGACAATCGTATACAACGAACAATCTCCATCGTCCATTTCCATCGTCTGCTCTAATGAAACCGATGCGAAGACGCCGAAAGCTAGCCCGCGCGGGAAGGCCAGAGCGAAGGTTACGCCTGCTGCTAAGCGGCGTAATTGGCGAAAGGCTATGGCAATGCCTACCATCGATGAGGACGACGAGCCCGATAATAATGGAGTAAATATTACGGCTTCTAAAAGACTCTAAACCATCTTCTCGTGAAGAATGAGTACTCCTAACCGACATGTTTTGACCTGTGCTGCTAGCGTCTTGGCTTCGGTCATGTTCACTACCAGAACTTATCTCTACCAGAACTTCTTGTTTGAAAGAGCGGCGGCATATAGTCCTAACGCAAAAAAAAAATCTACGGGTGCTGGGAACAGCATCGTCAGGGATACACACATGACGCCTGGGAAGGCTTTAAGCCATCCCCCTGGAAAGGCTTTCTTTCTACTTCACCTCCAGGATGAGTCACACAAGATGGATAAAAACCAGCGAGCTCTAAAAACAGGTCAGTAAGCATCGCTGAGGACCAGGATCAGCCACCGAGCGGGAAGGGCGTCTCGTCTGGAGGAAAGCTAGGTATGTCAGCGTCGTCTTCTAGCAGCGGACCGCTGCGACGGCCTAGCGTCGAGGAGGAGACGCCGACGGTCACAGGCCTCGCAGGCATGTTCGGATCGAAGCTAAACGTGCGGACTCCTGTGACCGGTATGAATGTTATGTTGGAGTTTTATGGTTTTTCTGGAATTCGAGTCGTGGTACCATCAAGGTACTAGTAGTTGAGGAAGCATCATGAATTCACTCTTAGAAGTCGTACTAGCAGCAGTACATGTACTATGTCTAATATGTTCGTCCCATCTTTGTGGTCTAAAAAGTCTAACAAGCGCGGAGCATCGAGTGGTACTTTCAACAGTGGTACTTTTTCCGCTGGGATCGCGTCTGCCAGCTCGTCTGCTTCCTCGTCGGACGTACCACCAACAGCGGCAAAGGGTAAGTCTCCGAAAGTCTCGGCGCCGAAGAAAAACCCGAGTCAGAAGCGCAAGCGCGGCAGCATAAAAGAAGTCAATAAGGGAGCAAGTAGCAAAGGGAATAACTCCTCGCCCAATAGCGACGAACCTCCCGAACAAGTGACGAACGATCACCCGAACAAGAAACGAAGAACCTAGTTGAAAGCTGGTAGAACTTTCCACCACGTCAACTACCATTTAATGAGTCGCACAGGGCAATAATTGGAGTAAGACTATGACACTATAGTTCTTTCTCTTTGGATTTTTTCGAAGTTCCCTGACGTGAAGCTCACCCAGCGTTTTCATAGTAAATCTTTCACTTGATTTAGCTCCATCAAGAAATTCTTTTGATAGAAAAATGAGTAGGAAAGACTCCCGGGATCGATATTTTTACTTGTAGTTGCCGTTTTGACGAAATAAACTTAAACTTTTTTAGGGTATGTGTATGGAGCTGTGGCGCGACAGCCATGAGGATGAAGGCTTCAAAGCACGCTTCTCCGCAGGTGATGAAATTTGGAGAAGTCTGCTTTATTTGTGGAGCAGAAAACGTAGACGTGGAGCTCGCTGAGGTCGTTGCTGCTGACGTCGCAGAGGGTGTTGCACAAGATGATGTTGAGCTACCATCAGCAGCAAGTGCAGGAGGTGCGACAGCAGCAACGACCTCTGCGACGTCCAGTGCAGTAGGTGCGACACAAATATAGAAGACTTCTCCAAAGACTTCTAGTACCCTTAAGATTTGTGTGCTGTCGAAGATAAGAAGTTTTGGGTAGTTCTAGTAGAAGTAAGACTTCAACAAAGCACTTTTGGGTAGAAGTAGGTACAATTATAGGTAGTTGCGCACTCGGATGTTGAAATTTTCAATTGGGTGTTATAAGGGCAGGAAGCACCTTAGATTCGTTTTCTTATCCCTAGCGCCCTAATTAGTTCGATCTGGAAGGATGTTAGGACTTATGAACACGTGCCAGTAGCTTCAGTATGTTGATTGTAGGGTTATTCCTATACAGAATGCTTACGTGCGTGGACACTGGACGCCGCATGTATAAGCAACAACATGAACCTTTTTATGCGTATCTACCTAACACTAAGTATCGAAGTTGTGGATCCAATACCAATCCAGATTCATTTAAGGAAGGTATAAGTTTTCCTCGCAGAATGATACCGCCTCTCGCGGCGACACTTGGTGCACTACTCGCTGTTGACCTCACCAATTCCTGAGAGTTACTTACGAAAAACCGTCACTCTACGTTGAAAAGGGTGCTCTATCACATAGACCGCTGTGAGGACGTCCTGAGGCGGCGTTTCGAATGGAAATTTAAAAACCAAAAAATAGATGGGTCGATCAAAAATGAATTCCAATCCACCAATCCAAAAAGGTAGCTACACTATGACCTAGAACAAGTGGTAATGAGTACTAGTAGAAAGCACTGGTTGTGATATTATCAGGGGAGTCGTGCTAAGCGCGCCTTCTCTCCTCGCAGCCTTTCTGTGCGACGACGTCAAGGTAGAGGAGTTTGCTCAGACAATAGAGAGGGAAGCAGTTCGTTGCTCCTGAGGTGGTCAGGGCAAGAAGAAGAGAAGCAACGAAAACAAGCTATGGCATCTTCTGAAGAAAAAAGTCGAGAGGGCACGAAAAGAACGAAAGGAATTCACGCAAAAAATGGATGAGAGACTAGACTATTGTAATCCAATGCTGTAAATATAATGTGACCTTACTCACTCAACAAACTAGCTGCTAGAAAATGCTCGTCACGGAATGCATAGCCTCTTCACTCTTTTTGTGACATCACTGGTTTCGCGCAGAAGAGCACACACAAAGACGAGTATGACAACTGTCCATAACGCATAAATCACGACTGATCAGCACGTAAACTATTCACCCGAGGAGGCAGGTCAAACTGTGGACGGTGAATCAAATCCTATCGGATGATCCTAAACACTCTCTTAAGCTTAACCAGAAGAAAACTATGGTATTGCATCCGCCCAGCACCAAGAATGCCGGGACGACGCAGAGCGGCGGTGCCCGCGGATCCTCCCAACATACTGGGGAATCCTCAGGTGCAGTGTCAAGGGATCAAGTCCCTGCCACTCGGTCGATTAAGTGTAAAAGTATTTAATTCATCTGCACTAAATAAAACAACCGGTTAGTTTTACCTGTAGAGACTTAGCCCTTCCAACAATATATAAGGTATATTAAAAATATTAGTCCATGTCGACCTCGACACCTGTCTCACCCTCACGTGGTGGCGGTTATCGATTTGTAGCTCTTTTGTTCGCTTTCCGATTCTTCATTCATACTACTAGGCACTTGCTATTAATCTCGTCCAAATGTGGTTTAAAAATATTAAGTACGTACTACCGTAAAAAGTAGGACATCGTGAAAGACAAAGAGGTCAGTCATCTACCTCGGGAAGACAAAGAGGTCAGTCATCTACAAAGAGGTGTCTAATCCGAGTTCCTCTACGAGACGCGGCGGTTTTTTCAAGCGACGAAGTGCCCGTGGGTCACCGTTGGAGCGGTTTGCACTGCCAGACGAGAGCCCTAGTCCAAACTTACGGGATGCTGGCATGTTGGGTATGGAGGTGTCTCTGTTAAGGGCAGGTTAAAGGTGCTTTTGTTACCGTTTGTTATGGCTCTCTCCCTTAGGTGGGGACAGCCATAACAAGCGGGATACGCGAACACCAAAAGCCTACCTCTAACTCTGGCCTCTTCAGACGGCGCGATGAAGACTTCAGAGCAACTTCTGCTGGAGAGCGAATCCACCTCCTCCTCCGCTGCAGATCAGTACGAGTCCACAGCTAGAAGTGCAGGACGAGCTGATCTTCCTTCAGGTCGCAGTGATATAATTATTACAAATAAGGGAAGCAGTGGTTCATCTTCATTTCAATTGAACGACCAGTCAGTCCCAACATCTTCGTCAAGTGCGTCAATACTGAACGAAAATGCTGAAGAAGAGAGCCGTGAGATACCGAAGTGCTATGGCGGCGGGACGTCTCCGACATTTGCATCAGGGACCAAATCAAAGGGGAGTCCATCCTCGGGTGCGGAAGAAACGCGACAGTACATGCAAAATTTGCCTTTCTTTGGGCTCTCTTCACCCGCTTCACCCGTCGGCCCAGCAGACTCTGCAAGAACTGCCTCTAGAAGTTCTACGAAGTATGTGACAGGAACAAATCGGACGAAAAATATGGATGGGACTCCTGCGGGATCAAGTACAAGTAGGAATGAACAACATAGCAACAAGGGATCCTCAACATCGGCTGCTACTTCCGCTACTTCGACAACATTGCCTAGTCGACAATTGAATGCGGATCTTCAGGTCTGCCACGGCGCTGGCTGGACGGTCTCTTCCACAAGCAGTAAAAAGAGTAGTGGCACCAGCCAGTCAACCCCAAGTTCACCGTCATCTAAGCATCGAGGCACAGCGACGCGACAACGATCTCACGAAATGCTCGGTGGGGGACGCACGCGCCTAGGAGGTTATTCCTCTTCAAGCACAGGGGTTTTGCTCCAGCATTTATGACTTGCAAGTAGCTTTCACTGCAACTGGATCTACAAATTTGTAAAGATTTTTGTCAATCTGTTGTTCACAACATCTTCTCTTTTTTACTCCTGGTGGTGCCCAAAGTTTATCCAAAATTAGCAGTGATCTACTTTGCTTCGTTCTACCGTCATCACTATTTTGATACTGACCTTTTTGATTGTTTCACCATCACCGTCAAGAGCGGCCTTATCGCATTACTTCTCTTGTATTCCTTCATAACATTCGTCCACTATCAGCAGTTCGACGGTCGTCGATGGCGACGATTCGATTGCTTCGCCATTGACCGCAGACTTTTGCCAACCGGTTCCGCACCACCTAGGAGGAACGCACGACTCCGATGATCCGCTAGCTAGTCTTGACGACATACTGCGAGAGGTGCATGAGCGTCGCGGTGGAGGTGGGACGAGTGACCCAGAGGCGACGGCGTCTAGTGCTGAAGCGTCTAAAAACATGAATACGCAAGGTGAAGAAAGCAGCACTGTTGTGAGTGTGAATCCAAACGAAAAGCGAGGAGAGACTCCTCCTAGTTTGTCATCTTCAGGAACCTCCACTGTTCTTGAGCAAGAGCAGGACAAGTCGGAAAGCGAGAAGCGTCAAGGCTTCTCAGATGGAACAACTACTGAACATGAGAGGATGGATAAAGACAAAGAGCCGCAAGCGCAACAACAACATCAGCTGCATCAGAACAAGAAGAGTGCTGTTCCCTCCGCAGTTTTACCTTTCGAGCCACCAGCACGGAGGACTAGGTCACAGAGTGACGTGGACGACGACTGGTCCACAATTCCCGGCGAAGACTCTCCCGGAACTAGTTGTCGCATCGGCGTTGGGTTTGGCGACACTGGCGGCAGCTCTACGCGCTTACTTGACGTCTCCGAAGACAGTGCTGCACGACTCGCGCAGCATGTCACGAGAAGTAGCGTGAAAACTGGAAAGGCGACGTCGTTGCGACCCGAGGGAGAGCGGCTGCTGTTCTCAAGTTCAGGAAAGGGAGTAGCTGTCGAACACCAGGGAGGAGCATCTTCTACTTCCACAAGTATGCTCATAACGGACGAGCAGGGCAAGGATTCACAGCGGCGGCGGCCTCCAGCCTTGGATGACGCCGCGCAGCATGCATTCACGGACAAGGCTGATGTCCATGCCGCAGCAGCTCAGCGCGATTCAGAACGCGATTCAGAACTCGTTGCCGACAGAGCGAGTGCAACGGCCTCATCCGATGTCGCTCGCGCTGCCACTCCTGATGAAGCGAACAATAACCCGCAGCTTTCACCAGCTTCGGAGCGACTGCAGCAGCGTGTCCACTCGGAATTGACGAAGATGAACACAGCATCGGATGGGCTCAATCGTAGTAGAATTCTGCAGAAGCAAAGTCAGAAAGCACTGGATAGCCTCTCAGCAGACTGGGCTGTCCAGAGGATCTACTTGTTGTCGAGCTGCGCGGAAGAGAACGTCCTCGCTGCCGAAGATTACTACAGATATGTCAGACTTCTACCTGGATGTACTTATTTTTGATGTAGTCTTGAAGTATTTGATGTAGAGTCTTGATGTATTTTTGATGTATAATTTTTGGTCGTTTTCATTCTGCTCTATTAACTACCCTATGAAGATCTTTCCTGGGATACTAGAATGAGAAGTACAAGTACAACGATACTAGTAACACGGCTTGCTTTTACTTATAGAGTACTTACTAGTATTGATATTCATCTAGCACTCCTCGTTTTTCCCGCTTTAATTGGGTAAGGAGAACGAGCTTGAGAAATCGAAAGCGCGGACGCAGCTTCTGTCGGAAAAGTACGGCATATTGCAGAAGAGATTGGCAGATCGTGAGTCGCGGTTGCGAGCAGCTGTTGGCTACTCATCTTCTTCTAGCGGAGTAGAAGACTCGTCTGTCGTCCGCGACGGCCGAGAAAGAAGTTGTACTAGTAGTCGGGCACAAGACCCATCCACTTCGCCAGAGCCAGCACAACGACAACATGCAACACGAGAATTATCTTCTGGACAGCATATAGCAGTTGCTGGAGTGCGACAGCGAGACGGTGTAGTGCCGCAGTTGCAGCGTAAGGTGTCGCGCATGAAGCAAGCTATTCAGGCTATTGACGAGAGCCTAGCGACAGAAGTGCTGCTTTCCTCAAGATTACAGCGCGAACTGAAAGCGATGACAAACACAACGTCTGCACGACAAAATCGAAAATTGACGCTAGCGATACAACGCGCTCGCCCGTTCTTCTTGGCCTATCTTATGTCCAAAGTTTGTACTACTAGTACGAGATGATGAACTTGAATAATAATAGGCTCTCTCTCCTAGTACGCATTCTCCACATTCAAGTGCGGTCCCTGCTCGTAGGCATTAAGCATTGTCTTCTATGTTCGAGCGCGGTCCTTTCCTTGTCTCATAAATATGGTTGCTCTTTTTTTCTAGTTGGCACCCACTTGCTTCGATCGATCATGAAAAAGGACTGATGTAGGGAAGAAGTGGATGGAGATCCGCCAAGAGCTGCACGACTTGTGCGTTCCTTCTCTCTGTCCTGAGGTTCTCTGTCCCTTAAGCCGGTGTAGGTGGGGTTCATTGTTTTATTATAACAGTGGGGCTGACAGGACGACGATAGCGCCGGTGGTGCTAAATTAGTTTTAGCAGATAGCTAGGACGATACTTGACGAAAATCGCCCTTTTCTCTTTTCTATCTTCCTCTGGTCTTTCTTTTTTCTAGTTAGGTCGGCTCCGCCACAATTATAATACTTTACTGGGGTTTGAAAATATGGCTCCGTCAGGTTCTCTGGCATGGGTTTGCCTCTCTTCCCACCTCCCCCTTTCCCCCCCTTTTTTGCTTTCATTTGCTTATAATCTCTCTTCCACGCCATATCTCATCCGTTCTTACCTCTGTACTCGTCCTCGTAAAAATTCACTTCATCTTCTAATGCCTCTCCTGTAGTAATTCATTATTATTTTCTTCTACTCATGCAGAACTTTTTTGACTAAGTATCTAAGGTTTACCCGCTTATTACTTACTTTCTTCTACTCCTTATCCTGAAATACTAAGAACCTGTGCCTTGTAAGGCAGGGAAGAAGTGTTCATATTTGGAAAATTTTGTCGGTCGTGGAAAGAGATCCGCCAGGAGCTGCAGGAGGAGGAGAAGCGTGCGGAGGATCATAAGATGGCGTACTCGGCAGCGATTACATCCCTAGAGCGCATCAGCCATGAGGAGCACGTGAAGCGGGGTGATGCCTAGAAGAAGTGGTTCTTCGTGTGAACTACGAGATCCGCGTCTGGCATGTTGCTTCGTGTTCTTCGTGTGAACTACGAGATCCGCATCTGGCATGTTGCTTCGTCTTCCCCACAATCTCGCATGAAGTAGATACTATGACTGACGAGATGAGGTGCATCGCAGGAGCACCTGTTGCGCGGGGATGAGCAGCCAGGGTCCTTGCGTCTTGTTGTCTATTTCACACAACTAACATGGGACGAGACGCTGGGATCCTACATGCTAAGACGCAGTACAATTTCGCCTGCCCACCACTGCTCTTGAATTCATCGCTATGATCATGCTTCAAATTAATGTGCATGTTACAGAAGTGATACTGTTGTGATTATAGAAGTGTTGAGGTCCCACTTGCGCCATGAAAACGGAGGCATTACCTTGTTCTTAGAGAAGTGACGAGTCAGTTCGTGAAAAACAAGCCGGAGCCAAACCAGTAATGTGAAGTCAGAAAACAACGGGTGAAGAAGAGTTGCGTGTTTGAGAAGCATGCTCCTGGTGGTGGAGTACTTTCTCTGTCTTGTTTTGGGAATTAACGGAGAAAAATAGCTAGAATTGAGAAGAAAAAGGAAAAAGCAAACGTATGCAGAAATACGTACTTAGTTTGCAATTCTGACAAACGGGGTGCGGAATACGAGAAAGAATGACCAGAGACATGGATACTCTTAGCAGCAGTAAGTATGATTTGACTTTGAGTCCTAGTTATAGAAGTTGCAGTTGTAGTCTGCATTAGATGCTTTGATGTTGTTCGTTGTTAATAATCGTGTTCTAGACTGCATCTTAAATGTTCTTGTGACAAACTAACTTGTAATTTTAGGAACGAAGCCGTGAGAACATGGGTAAAGATCCGGAAGCGTCTAAATCTACTTTGAGTGCAGGCGGTGGTGGCAAGGGAATCGCGATGAAGACAGCGAGCGTCGCACAGCCGAAACGCGCGCTTCGTGCGCCTCCAGGGACGAAGCGCTCAGCGTCTGCTAGTATGGTTCCTGTCATGAAAGCTGCGGTCGCGAAGAAACGTAGTACTGCAGGAGCAGCTTTTCGTGGAAATAGTACGAAAGTATCCTTGGAGAAAGACACGCATGGAAGTACATCCTCGGTGGAAGGTTCTCGCGCATCCTCGAAATCCTCGAAATTCGCAAGTAGTGGTTCTTGTCCACCATCTTTACCTGCGACCAAGAAGCCAGTTCAGAAACGTAACGAAAAAGAAGTGAAAACCAAAGCAAAGACAAGCAGCAGTAAAACGGTAAAAGCTGCTACAACCACAAAAGCGCTTTCGAAAAATGGCGCAGCCTCTTCATCTTCTCCATCAAAGGAACTAGCTGCGGTGACAACAGCAAGCAAAGCATCTTCCCGTAAAGCAGCGTCGAGCAAAGCATCTTCGAGTAAGGCATCTTCGAGTAAAGCAGTGGCCTCACCACCAAGCACGGCGGCTTGGAGTTCCAACGCTTATCTGCAAAATTTCTTAGCTGGCAACGAAGGTCAACTACATTCGGAGAAAGCAGCTCTCGCCTCGCCTTCAATGGCGGTTGAGATGACGCGTTCTATGCTAGCATGGTACGGCAGGAACAAACGAGATCTTCCCTGGCGGCGAAAACCCAATGATGCATATTTATGAGAACAAGGTCTGTTGATAAACTTTTTCTATGTTGTGTTAGTTACTAGATGTAGTTTTCTATGAATGTTGTGTTAGGTAGATGTTACATGATGTTGCTGAAGATTTCATCTCCCGGTTTGTTTCACCTGGGTGAGATCGGGTTACTGCAGCTTAATTATACCATTAGAGATATTATTGTTCATGTGTTGATGCTATTTGCAAGAGCCTTTCCAGTTGTAGATTTGAACATCTTCTAATGACGGCGATTTTGATTTCTGAGGTGATGCTGCAACAGACCCGTGTGGCTGCAGTGATTCCGTATTGGCAGCGCTGGCTCTCAACCTGGCCAACAGCCTTGGCGCTTGCACGAGAGCCCAGTTTAGACCGCGTCCTTGAGCATTGGGCAGGCCTTGGCTACTACAACCGCGCTCGCAATCTGAAGCGTGTGGCGGAGACCGTCTGTTTTGGCAGCGTGATATCACCGGACCTTGTGCCAGCTCCTAAGAACGGGTGTACAGAAGTTTCATCTAAGAACGGAGGAGCGACAGCTTCAACATCTAAGAACGGAGACACAGCAGGGACCTCCACAGGGAAAGTCTGTAAAGGCCACCTCGACGTAGATACCATCCAAAATGAACATGCCACGACACCGATCATTTCCACAGAACTACCGCGGACGCGAGAATTTCTACAGAAACTGCCAGGCATCGGACCCTACACCGCTTCCGCGATCGCGTCGATTGCATATTTAGGAACTCAATCTATTTTTGGCATCTGAAATTAGGGAGACAGCTTAACTACATCAAGGCTACTCTTCATTCTCATATTAAGTATTTCGCTTATTCTCGTCTGTTGCTCGCTTATTTTATAGTACAAAAAAAGACCATTTCAATTTATTCTGATGAGAAGAAAAAGACTATATGATTCATTGTCAACTACTGCAAATAGAAATGGGAGATTGCAACTTCTTGTACTAGGTAGGTTTTGCACCTCCTCCATAACTACATCATCTAAACTTTGGCGAAGCTGTCGGCGTCGTAGATGGAAACGTGGCTCGTGTGCTACATCGCGTTTTTGCGGTCCCAGGTGATATTCAGCTTGCGCCTTGGTTGTGGAGCGTGATGGACAAGTTAGTTGGAGCATATGAGCTGTGCGCGGGCTCCTCCGCCGTGAATATTAAGGACGCAAGTATGTGTAAGTACTTGATGAAGGAGGGCGGAACGAGTTTCGTTTCATTCATCAGGGCTATTGTTTAGTCTCCGGAATAGTACATGTTGTAAGACTATGTGAGACTCGTGCCATGCCATAGACGAGCTTCATTTTGTTCAGGATTAGACAGATAGCTAGGGTGACTCAGGAAATGAGAATATCATTCGGCTAGAAGCAAAGTGGAGATGGAGGTCGTTTTCTAAAAACCATGATCATCTGATGGACATCGAGGACGTTGGCACGGAGGTGAAGAAAAGAAAGACGGGTCCCTCAGCGCAAAAGAAGAAGAAGAACTTAGTTCCAGGCCTCTTGAATCAAGGGGTGATGGAGATTGGAGCCCTAGTTTGTACGCCTGATAACCCAGATTGTGCTGCCTGCCCTTGGAGTACGTTCTGTTTATGGATTACTTAATCGAAACCTTATAGCTACCTGAAATTATGATAGAGTCGCTAAATTGTTCCTCTTTCAGTATCTCGGTTACCCAAAGTAGTAACCTGCTTATTTTTTTCGGTTTGCCTGCCCTTGGAGTACGTTCTGTTTAAATTGGTAGCGGTGTAGCCCACTTAGATCTACTAGACTTAGGGTCACTTGCACTTTGTAGAAGCACCACCAGTCCTCGTTGGTTCCAAGTTTGTCATCACCACGTCAATATCATGATCATATGTAATAAGTACGTAAAAAAATAACATGTCATCATCAAAAAATATGCACATATAATTTTGCCTATTGGAGGCAATAGTTTCCTTCCAGTAAAAATTACTCACACGACAATGAGTCCCCGATCATGTCTCCTCTTGTTTTTGGTGCATCACTTTTTCTAATCTGTCGAGGTAAAAATGAGGCGGCAACGCTGGGACGAAAAGCGAAGAAAAAGGCAGTGCCAAGTTTGGAGTTCGATGTTGCTCTGGTGGCGCGAAATGCCGGCACTGAGATCTTAAGGTCAACAATCACCAGAAATTAGATGACTTTGAGTTTGACGAGGGCAACATAACCTAAAAAATGGATGTACGTCTAATAACTGCGCTACACTTCTAGCTACTAGTAGATATAACGCATTCTGATCGTAGTCGTCAAGAATCACGAAATGGTAAAACAGCCTTTTATTGACGTTGTTCTAATTGTAGAACTAGCAGTGGTCCGCGAAACGGAAGGCACGTTGTTGCGTGGACAGTATCGCTTTCCGTACCTGAAGGAGGTGGAGGCGGCAGCGCGAAACCCTGGTAGCGCAGCAAGACCCCTCACAAGGCTCGTCAAAGCCACCGCTGATGGAAAAAAGAAAACGCAGAAGAAGTCCGTTAAGGCAAGGCCAGTGAATATCATGATATTACTATCATAGTCACGATGGGATTATTAGCAGATGGGAGGATACTTGATGATAGTTGTTTGTGAACACTAGGACAGCGCATTTACATCCTTAAGGTGATGCGTTTACTTGTATAATTTCCGGCCTGGTTCAGTTGTGCGAATCGTGAAGGTTTTGCATGTTTCTCATGCGGTTGCAAAGTTGTCAAATGTGTGGGCCTTCTTGCTCATATATAACAGCATAAGGATCCACATCGTAGGCGTGGCATTCCAGTGCTGTGATCATTGTCGCCATAGGTCCTGGTCTTCTTATTTCCACAATTATAGCCACGAACACTGCCTTACTGGAGTTAGTACTGCGTATGTTGTTAGTAACATAGTTTTTGCCTATCATGTATTACTGATTGACTTTACAATAGATAAGTACAAGTAGCTGTCTTAATCTTAGCTTACTCTTAGTCAGCTAATATGACTTATCTTAATCCTAGTCAGCTACCTATCTATTGTTATAATTGACTGTCATATATTACTTGCAAAGTCTATTAACGCAAAGTTAGTGAATGTCATCATCATGATTACTGAGTAATAGTACGCTGGCTCAGCTATGATAGTCACTAACATTGCCTTATAACGGACTTACTTACGCTCATCGGCAATAGATATCATACTTACAACGAGATAGGTACAGAGAGCTCTGCTGACGAGATGATATACTCATCACTTGCTTACGCTCATAAGCTACTCACGCTCATCATATTATGCTAAGTCTATTAAGGCAATGTTAGTGAATATCATGATATTACTAACTTACTTACGCTCAGCTATGATAGTCACTAACATTGCTTTAATGTTCCAGAAAACAAGATACCTCGAGCTGTTTTTGCGAGTGTGAAGCATACGTTTTCCAGCCAAGTGCACACGTATCACGTTTCCGCTTACACGTCTTCTTCGTCTTATGCATTTGGATTGATTGTTCATTTGTATCTCGCTGAGAGATGAAAGTAAGGCCTAAAAAAGTGAGTAACAAACATCTTAACAAGTATTGGCAAAAAAGCGCTACAAGGACAAGATAAATATTTGGAATTCTCATTCTTAAGCTGATTCAATTGATTGTACCTACGACCTCGGGTGGCATGAATTATATACGTAAGAATAGCTAGTAGTTAGAGTTCCCAAAATCTACTTCCTCATCCTCTAAGTTTCCAGTAGTACGTACCTTGCTACGTCTCCGCTCGAGTGGAAATCGGTGGGTGTCGACTTATCAAAAGCTCTAGTCTCCACGGGTCAGAATAAGATCTGGGCGCAGGCTATTGCTTCTGGTTTCCTTGATTGTTTGTGATGGGGATGAAGCGCGTTCTCGCTCTGCTTTGCTTTGTGTGTGTGACATCCCACGCTTTTGTGGTCGCGAGCAAACCCAGTATATTTGCAGCATTTTATTTTCGCCGTATTGGCAACGAAGATGTGGGAGACTTGCTGAGAAAGCAAACTGATGTTTCTATGTGTCGACTCTGTCACCACATGAGCTGTGACCCTGAGCGTGCAATCATTAGATTCTGTCCAATATGGAATCTGTAATCTGAGAGAACGTGTAGCAATGAGAGAGAAGAGCAAGAGAAATATCCAAGGCATTTGATAGAGATCATGAAGAGCAGAGAAGTGAATGAGACATTCACGAGATCTGTCTGATGAGCATTTCAACTCTGTATACTTTTGATCGGATTGTCCCTTGGAGAGAAGCTCTTTTCTTGGAGACTCCAAGTGAAATTGCTGAGGATAACAGAATTCAAAGGAGTTTCTGTTTTATCTTAAAAGAGAGTTGCTCTGTCTTGCACTCGTGAGCGTATCAAAGAGAACGTCGATGTCGGCAAGGTGCCATATCTTTGTACTCTATAAGCCTTTCCTATCCTCTTTCTTTCATCATGTTTTAATGTTTTTCAAACATGTCAGTTTTCGCTTTTACATTGAGTTTCCCAGAAACCCACAACTTTTCAAGAAATTCTAGAATCAATCTTGGTTCTTCTGCGTTACAGCATTTAGATTGACATTTTCCTTGTGTTTGAGTCTAATCAAGTAATAAGTTTTCTGACAGGTTCGTTATTCTACTTGAAACAAACGTTATCTAAGATAAGACTATTTCGACAGAATTGTTGGAATACCACTCAGAATCGACAAAAATGTCAGCACTCTCGTTTTCGAAAATGCGATGCGCCGTTGCAGCAACGGCTGTTGCTGGATCAGTGCGCGGTCTGCAGTTTCAAGTGAAACCATCTACTAATTCGTTCAAAGCGCTGGAGGCCAGTGAATCGGATACCGGCCCGCATTCGCCAGAGCAACAGAAAGCAGTTACCAGTCCACGACCAGGCGCGGCCGAAAGCCCAGCAACAGGAGGAAGTGCGAGTTTGCAGATGAAGAAGGCTTCCATTGATTCGCCCTTCAAAAAGTCGCCTATGCGGACGACGAAGACCCTGGATGTAGGATATTCTCCGAGTAAGAACGCATTCGCTCCTGACATGACGGTGACAGAGGTAGGAAGCAAAAGCCCTGCGCCCAAGCTGGCAAAAAAAGAGATCTGGAAAAGTGGAAAGCCTCTGCAGGCCTCTCCAGGTGAAATGCAGTCCCCGAAGCCTGTGAAGGACGCGCGTGAGGAACTGCTCGCAAAGGATGATGTACCATATTAATATTTATTATTAATATTCGGGTCATTGGAAAATATTTGGGCTTTGGGCAAATATTTGGGCTTTGGAAAATAAAGTACGGCGGCGACTGGTCTCAGTTATTATTGTGAAATACAACTATGATCAGGTACCCGAGGAGCTGGTGAACGCCGTGTTTGGAAGGTGGTACGTCGTATTCGAGGCACCGCTGCATAAGGATTTCTGTTATCCCGAAGCAAGAACGGCATGGTTGCACGGACTATGGGAGACCTACAATCACGAGGATGTCGGAGGCCAGCAAGCTTCACGAGACCAATCCACTTTGGTTTTGAGGCACTTGAACAACCCCGGCACCGCTACCGAAACAGACCTTTTGAAGTACGGGGTGCCGCGGATTACCCAAAAAAGTGAAAGCTTCAAAAGGTTGGCAGCTTTTTTCAAAGACGGTCATGCGGCCCGCGAGTATGGTAAACACGGCTGGCTTGCCTACATAAACGGTTTGATCACTGGCCTGATAGCTTACATGGCTATGATGCATTGGCTGCAGAAGACATGGGGAATCCGTGCCCTGAACGACATGATGACGCTCTACAACAGCGGAAAGCTCATCGCGAACAAACCAGGCATATTTCGGGATGGAACAAAAGGTGCGTCCTTTTTATATTCATCATAGTTTTAGTCATCGATTATACATCTAGTATAGACACTTTTCGAACTTCCATATCAGTCTGAATCTTATAAAACTTATGTAACTAACCTCATCCCATAGCAGGACTTATTCCCCTTTGTTCTCTTTTCAAGGTGTGCTGCAAATCTTGATTGGCTTTCACCCTTTGGTGAAGGTTTAGGCCCTGCGGCGCTCAAAGCACTAAGTAAAACAACCGGTTAGTTTTCACCTTGATCACCAACGTAGACTTATCCCGTGCAACAATCTATAAATATGTTCCTCAAGGCTTTTAGGTGCATAGACCACATATTATCGAAGACATAAGTTATGGTGAATCGCCACGCTGCATGAGCAACAGCGCCTACTTGACGATAGAAAAAAAGAAAGGATAGAGTGGAGATATGATTTTCACCCGAGATGAAGCTTGTGTAATTAAGTATACAAGGAGATGAGCACGGTAAGCAGTTGTTGATCTTCTTTTTCAGGCAAAAATGTTTGATTTGTACTGCACCAGACCATTTCAAATTATTCCTATTCGTCGCATAATAATGCTGTAGAACTTGCTTAAAGAGCCGCCAACTTGTACCTTTTTCAGCAGCAGGGAGCCTGGTAGGGGTGCTTGTGATTACTATGCTTACTGCATAATACGACTTAGTACGACCACTCAGTAGCTCGGGTGAGCTTTATAGAAAGTATTCCTACTCTAACTCTTCTACTAGATTTGCATACAACAACAGTGATTTTGAGCATTTCGAAAACGATCAGGTGGCGCGTGGAGCCTGAAACCCGGTCAACAGGGCAACAGATGCGCCGGCGCATCAGCGCGCATTGTCTACGTCTTCCATCAAGAAAAGCCTTTCCTACCGCCGCTCGCTGGAAGAGACACAGTAACCAATGCAGCGTGGATGAAACAGATTAGTACGATGCCTGATCCCCGAGTATTGAACACTGGCGGTGGAGATGGGGGTCCTGTGCTCAAACTGGTTCCACAAGACAGAGAATGGACGCGTCTCTTCGATTCCGCCAGTACCGAACCGACTGATGCGCCCAGCCAGCTTGCGTCATTATCAGCGTCCTCGTCCTCTGATTATATGATGTCAACACCAAAAGCAGAACCCGGAGGCGGTGTCGTCGGCGAACTGGCTACACCATTAAGCACTTCTTCTATGACGACTCCGGTCGCAACGCACCTCGCACCCGGTTTTTCCGCGTACAAAACGCCTAGAAAGCACGAGGAGGTTGCGCTCGACTGGAAGATCGTATATTGTCCGAATGCGAAAGTTTCGCAGCATCCTCGGGGGGCGCGGTATTCCTTATCCATACATCTTCAAACCAACAAAATATCTCTCAGACTTCTTTTTGCAGATGTCATGGAAACACTTGGATACTTGGAAGATGTTCCAACTTTATATTATACTACGCGTACTACAGTGCCCTTCTAACAAGAAAGGCGTAGTAGAAGGACTCACAGTGTCGAAAGAGTATCTATATCTTTCGGAACTGTGATGTGAATATGAGGAACAGTTTCAGTTAGACCCCGCTCCCTGCCAAGACAATAGAGGATCGAGTAGATTATAATCCATTCAATGTACTATTGCCCCGGCCAGAGGAGCGCCCCCTCCTGTGCGTTTTTAGCCTCGTAGTGCATACTCCTTGATGCTTGCTGCTTGCTAAACCTTGTGATTACTTACATCGATCGTAGAAGATTGAAGTGGACAAATTGTTCTTTATCGTCTGTCAGCGTTTTATTTATTCAACAAAGCTCAATCAAGATCAACGATCCTCTCAGTGTTGGTCAACAGTCTTCGATGGCGACCATGGTAGGAAATAATCTGGTCGAGGCTGAGGATGACCTCAAATCGCGAACGACTTCTAGAAAAGACACATCGATACTGAAAGACATCCCGGAAGACGAGCTCGGCGAGGAGGGCGAGGCGGAAGACGCACCGAAGAAGGCAGAGAACTCTGAGGAGGACGCAGAGGAGGACGCAGAGCCAGAGGAGGACCTCGAGGTTGACATCACGGAGGAGGAGGGGATGTACGATGACGACGGGGCGGATCCGGTTCCAGGTGACGGCGACGGGGCGGATGAGGTTCCGGCTCACAACAACGGCGACGGTTTTACTGATGGGTCTGACCAAGGTCGTGACAGTCCTCGGAATAGCGAAGTCCGAAAAGCTGGCGTAAATAAACTCGGTGGTATGTTTGACAAAGCGGCCGAGGAATTTTCACCCACCACGAAGCCCGGCTTTCGCCCTGATGACGACGGTCGTTCAGGGGGGAGAGGCTCAGCCGCGGCTGTGACTCCGTCTTCCACTCAATCGGGTCGCGGTCCCCACAAGTCTCCTCAATCGGGCTACAATGGCGGCGACGAACGCGAAGTTACTGGAGGAGGACCTCACTCTAGTCCGCTGGATTTTCCTCTTGAACGCGAAGTTACTGGAGGAGGACCTCACTCTAGTCCGCTGGATTTTCCTCTTCGGCGGGGGAACATTTTTAGCGACGAGGAAGAACAGGCGGCGCCAAGTCAGCCGCAGGGAGGATCCGGATCGGCGGCTGCAGTGAAACCTCGCCGGCGCTGGGAAGATATGTCTTCTGATTCAGACGTGCAGACTGATCCCAGTCCCAGATCATCTGATAAAGAAGCACTAAAAGGCGGAGGTGCCGAGGGCAGTGCTGACACCACTGGCGCCGGAGCTTATGTTCATTTGTACGACACGAGACCTTGGGCAGAGCAGACGTCTGATTCCGATCAAGGCGCTGGTGGTCCGGGTCCGGCAGCACTTGGAGAGCGGGCACTTGGCACGCTTCCGCAGGGAGGACAACCGGAGCCAGCTGCGGCTGGGACGCAGACGACGCCAAAAGCTAACAAGAATGGCAACGGGAATCGTCTCGATGGTCAGGAGAATCTCCTGTGAAGAAAGTTGCGCTGCAACGGGGGTTGAGAGAAAGTTCAAATAAGAAACAAAACGGGGAATATCAAAATAAGGAGAAGGAGATTTGTGATATTTGCAAAAGAAGGAAAAGATGAAATTATTTTTGAATTGCTAGTTGAATAATAAATTGCGGGTCTGCTCTTTTGATAATCGAACGTAATCAATAAGTAGTATCTTTGAGGGCATCCATAACATGTGACAGACCAAATGCATTGAATCATAGAGAATCGTAATTATAAGCCGCCTGATGTGATCATAATGTAAAGAAGTAACAAGAATGACCATTAAGTAATCAGTAAGTAAATGATCAATCATTTTCATTTGTTCAATCAGCATATTATTTAAGATTAACATTTTCCAAGAATCATCAAACGACACCACTGCGTATTTTTCAATCACTATATGGTCAACGTTTTTTCGAAGATACAGTTACAGATAGTACTCCAAAACTGAAAATATGCGAGTAGCAAACTGAAGTAACTACCGAGTATCTGAGATTATTACTCTCCTCAGTTACTCGCTTATTTCAGTTCTTCGAGTACTGAATTGGTTGCGTATATCATAGTATTGAAGATTGTGATGCTGTCTTCTCATTTTCCTCCGATAGACTTTGGCGAAGCGAAGGCTACGAGGAGAATACATAGAGCGATGGCCGAGTGGCATTCTCTTCGACTGCCTAGGCATGGAGAACAATGTCATTCGGGCACACTTTTAAGAGAGCATGAATGTGGCATCAAGAACGAAGGCGGTTGATGTAACGTTATTGCCTACACTAAGAAAATTATTTTTTTAGCACGATCACAGCCACGTAGGAGCCGTTGGTTTTTTTGATAATTCTGACTGATAAGTTTTTAGGCCAACGCGTAAACCAATAAGCAAATTAGCGAGTTGTGCAGGCGGCTGCTTGAAACAAGATTTGGCGACCATGTTATTGCTAGTGTGGTCTAATCTAGTTGTACTACCTACTTAGAAGTTTTCATCAGGGTTCCATCATACTGAGCGTAGTGGTCATGTTAAATAATGTTTCAACTTGAAAAAGATTAGGAAAGGCAAAAATGTTTGAGATTTGAATCGTGTAGATTGGGACTAAGATTATTGATAGAGATAGAAACAGTCAGTAAGTTAGAATTTGATAGTGGCAATGACATGTATGAATAGGAAAGCGTCGGTCCTCGCGTGCTAACCCACTATCATCTAGAACTTCTGTAGCTGAAAAATTGAAATGAAGCATTACAACATAGAGCTCCTACACCGAGCAGTAGAAACGTGGGCACAAAGTGCAGAAAGCTACCGGAACGAAAGGATCTCAATGGCATTACCAAGCAACAAAATGCGGCATTTATATGATGACTCACGTTGGGGTTTTTTGTTTTTTCGGACTATACTGACTGTAGCACAGCTTGATGTCTTCCCTCATGTTACGACTCTGTTATGGATGGGGCAACAGACATCGCATGATAAGGGAGGCGCATGCAAAATGTTTGTTCTTCTATCTTCCGGTGACTCTGAATTTAGGCGTTAATTACATGCACTATGAGGCGAGCAACATCTGCTTGGTCCGTTGTTGCAGCATGAGTGGAAAAATTGAGGGACTGAAAGTAAAATAGGAAGTTGTTTTGACATTCTCCAAGATAATAAGCTGAGAAGTTTAGAAACCACACTTCGTTGCGCCGCACCTTCAGACGCAGAGGTTGTATCTTCTCTCGCGGGCGTTGCAGTTGCAGAACCAACAGTAGATGAGCGCCCCAAAGTTCTCATTATATTGGGGCTGGCGTTGCCGGCATCTCCGCAGCCAGAGTGTTTCTGCGCCGTCCGGCGCACCCACATGTCACGATTTTTGAGGCAGGAAAAAAAACGGGTGGCGTCTGGCGCCGCAACTACTCTGAGGGCTTGCGCTACTAGGCCTAAAAATTGTAATGTCGTAATTTACTGAAAAGAATCAGGAAACTTAGTTTCCCTCTTCTTTGGAAGCATCTACGTGAAAACTCGTCAATGAACAGAGAAAAATCCTCAAAATGGTGAAGAACGTCGAAATTAGAAGATGACGATAGAATTTTGATGAGCTCTAAGGTTTTGGGTTGCAGACGCCTAGTAGGCTGTCCGAGTTCCCAGACATGCGGAAGCCCTCATCTGACCCCTCAGCTTAACCCGATGGCGCCACGATTCAGAAATGCATCGAGTTATGACTTTCATTTCCGCGAACTTCTATCACGTAGAAGATAGTCGTTGAGACTCGCGCTGGCGCTCTGTTCTTGCTCACACGCTGCCTAGTGAAGCTATACTTAATCTTCGCCACGCCGTCGCACTTAGCGTCCTGAAAAAATAGCATAAAAAAATACGAAAAAAATCTGTTGAGAGTCGAGTGAAACCGAAATGCATAAATGCCACCTACCTACCTGGGTGATTTTTTAAGCATTTTGGTGACCCGCCAGTCGCCTTTTGGAAACTGATTGGGGTCTAGAGTGTTCCCAACTTCTGTCATGTGTGAGTCGAGAGGCGCGGACTTGTTTACGGACAAAAAGAAAGAGGACGGAAGAATAGAAAAATTTCAGATCTTACGCGCAGCTTGATTTAAAAGGGGGAGAGCGTCCCATCGCTCTCCCTCGCCGATCCTTTTATCTCCCGCCCGCTCTTAGCAGAGAAGTGGCTAGCAGGCATAAGGCAGCCCCTTTGGTAGGAGTAATCCTTCCGGTTTCTGTTTTTCTTTTTGGGTATTTTATGGCGATTGCGGAAGCGGGAACCGGCTGAGGATGGTGCACGCCGCGAAGGAGGGAGCGCGAGGCCGTGAAGATAAGAAAAACTAGGTTAGTGCTCCCTCAACAATGAAAAACATGTTGTACTTAGGGCCTTACGCCAGTAGGCATTTATTTCTAGTTGTTCACTTGTCAGTTGATTGCGCATTAGTCAAGAGTTAGCAGGGTTGGCATCCCCTGCGCTCGTGCCTTGAAGGTAGGCGTATAAGAGTGGGACGGTTGGCAGCCGGTGGAGGTTTATATAAAACTCTTAATCCGCCTCCTTTACCCCTAGGGTTCATCATTTTAGAATCGGCAGGTTCGTAGGCAATTAGTGCGCTGTATTATAAGGAGGTAACCGGACTCCACCTGCCGTCGGTTTGCGAACCGGATAAAGCTGAGGCCGCTCCTTCAGTAGCCCCGGGATCCAAAAAAAAAAGTCCTGGCTGATGCGAGAAGCCCTTGAATCTTGAATCTCCGATATTTTCTTTTTCTTGACGAGAAAGATTCATATTTGATATACATAGGCACCAGTAGGCATCAATTGGTTCTTATCCTCAAAAAACAGGACTCTGACTCAGGGAAAGTCGTAAATGTTCAGACGGGCACAAGGATCCCAAGATGATGAAGTACGTAGTGCAGGCGCTTACTTTCCATTTGATGTGGTCTACTTTGTATCTGTCTTGTTTCTCTTGCATCATCGCTTTATCTTTATGAGGAGAAGCCTCATCTACTCGGTGGAAGCTCGAAGCGGTAGTTCTTCATCGAAGGACTCTACTACGGTCAGCCAAGAGGTCGAAACGGATATTTTCGACTTCGTGCTGTGCTACAATGGACGACGAATCTACTCTCAGAGGAACAAGGTCGTGCCAGCACATTCTAAAAGAAAGTGGCATTGGAAGATGAGCAAGAACGACCGCAGGACGCATCGACAAGACCATCTTCTAGTCCTGTAGTGATTTACGCTCAGCCTTCATTGGTCACCATTTAGATTGGGGTCACTGAGATTGAAAAGGACACCCCTGGAGAGAACCGGGGAAAATGAAGGGAGAAGGGGAAGGCTTTGAATGAAGGTGGTCTCTTCCGTTCAGCATCAGTGACCAGTGACTGCTGACCTTTAAAGTGAACTACAGAAACAACTGCCTTCTACTGCCTCACCATGGGCTACCGGAAACCGCACTGGCCAGTGCCCCGAAAGATTCTTGGCTGTTTTCCGTTTGAATACGCTACCTTCGACAGGTTTGGCGCAGCCATTTACTATGGCCTAGTAGAATAGAACTCGTAGGAACTCGAAGGTGACCATCGTCATCATCAAGTGCTCACAATAATACTTCCAGGAGGACATGAGAAGAAATGCAAAGGAAGAGGAAAAAAGGGAGAGCAGAAGAAATGAGAAGGAGACATGAGGAAAAAACGAATTCCTCAACTAAATAGACCTCGTGCAGCCAGGCACTGCAAGAGCTGACCTGTTGTAGTGGTCTCAGCTGGTAGCTTCAGGGAGACGTCAGTCGGTATTGAAACGCATACAAGAATTAAGGCTTGCAGTAATTCATCTGAAGCTGAAGCTTCCTACAGGTTTCTTTTGTTAAGGCATCCCCTATTAATCCATGCTTCTATGCACGTTGGGCTGTATCATGCTAGACAAGGTCTGGAACAAGATCGTAGCCAACTTCAGTGTGCAGCAAAGATGAATCTGGTGACCAACTTCAGTGGTCAACTTGTAGACGCCAACTTCAGTGTGCAGCAAAGATGAATCTGGTGCCCAACTTCAGTCGCAACTTGTAGATCACGATTTCAATTTCTATGATCATAATGGATCTGCCAAGACGACGTGGGTCTTACATGGAATGTGGAAGTCGGACAACAGAAATCTACCAAGTAAGGCAAATGGATAACGCATTTGCTGAATAACCTTTCTTTCTGAGATTCCGATCTTCTTTGACCGCTCCATAAAATTGGTAGAGGAAGACGGCCTTTGGTTGGTTCGCAATATGGTGCATCCTGACGTTCCAAATTTGGCGTTTGTGCCGTCGAACGCTGCGACCTGAAGACAGTCATAACACTAGCACAGTAGAAGAACGCGTTGAAGTTTTGTACGGTGCAAAGATTCATTTGGCAACGACAGACAAAATCAGCACAGAGACGAGTGAAAAGCCCTATATATTTATAAGACACCTGAAAAACAAAAATGATGGGAGAAAGTAAGAGTTGAAACAATCTTCGAGCTGCAAGTTTTTCATCCTGTTACCTGATGTAAATGTGACCCGATGTTCACTGTCAACCGCACGAGTATGAAACGAGGATGCTGCAAGTCTGGAAACGAGTGTGAAACGAGGTTTATTACATTCTGGATCAGGGCACTGCTGCATGCTAATCGACATGGTAACATGTTGACTCCTGGTCTATATTCATATTCTCATTCCTCGCAGGGGTATTTTAATATATCGGAGAGCATTTAAGCGAGTCAATCTGGTTTTTCCCTGTGTTTACGGTGTTTTGGAGTATTCATACACCAAGCAATACTTGGAAAAAGTATTAACCTCGTCTCTTTTGTTGCTGCTATTGGTACTAAAGTGTAACAGTTTTGGTGCAAAATTGTAAGTGCAGATTGGATTATTTGTTTGAGTCTGTACTAATGTTGAAGTCGACGTTCAGTTCAATGGTTGATTTCTAGCACTGAAATTGATCATGTGGAGACAAAATCCGAATCGTTTTATGTAGCTCCAACATAGCTCCAATTCAAATTCTCATGTTCAGCTTAACTTATACAACTAGAAGTACTATCATTCAATTCAGCTGGTGTATAATTACTAGATCTTGGTCTGCTCCTCCGTAGTCTTCTAGCATTCGACCAACCATGACCATTTTCCTCATCATTTTCGAGTATTTCTTGAAAGGTGGAGGACAATCAGAGGAGGCTTCTGCAGTAGAGAGTGAGTTGCTACCAGTAGTGAATATTTTCGCTGCCCGTCTCTTTTTTATTGCGTATTCCCTCCATGTTTTGCTCTGTTTCTTTGTTTTTGTCGGGAGATTGTATGCTCGAAGTAGACGATTGAGGCAACTTGTAATAGCAAATGGCGGAGGTGCAGCTGGAGACCGAACTACTTACGGCTTCATTTCCTTTCCTTATAGACCATCTAAAATCGATTTTGAGATGAAGCAGCCGCATCTTGAAGCTGCTGTCCTCCTCGGGCTTGATAGAGTCGTTTAGATGAGAATAAATAGCACCAAGATGCATCTGCTCAAGATGGATATTCGTTTCCTACTCTAACAAATGCAAGAGCTAAACTTCTACCTTAATCGGCAGAGTCCTGCTACCCAGGCAGCTCCAGGAGCTGTCGATCAGGCTACTTTGATGGCGGAGTTGGACCTCACGGTTTCGATAGTGACCATCGTAGCCTGCGTTTCTTCTATCATTGCCTCCCTAGTGTCGCCAGTCCTTGGCGTCATTGGCTGCCTCTGCGGCTGTCTTTTGTCGCTCATTCGTATCGAGACGGTCGCGCAGTTCGTTCTCGACCTTGTTTTGTGCAGGAAACGGGTAACGCTCGCAGTTTACTCGGGCAGGAACAATAGCGGAGAAGGGGGACCCGGGAGATCCTTATTGGACATGTCGTTTTTCCGTAACACGACCGGTTCATCCGCTCGTGGCGTTCGAGGTGAGGGCGAGGCCACAGGGCCGCGTGCCGCTCGTCGCGGACGCGAGTTGCACGACGACAGACGAGATGCCACCTCCGACTCGTTCGCTAAACGCCGTCGTCGTCTCCAACTACCTAGTTCTCAAGATGATCCTGCGTCGTGGGAAGAAGCGGGTGCAGATGTCGCTAGTCCAGGAGGAAGGGAGCCGTCCGAAACTGAGCAACGGCGTTTTCAAATGTCGCAACTAGCTGTGCTCAAAGCGACTTTTTGTCACCTAGAGAAGATGCCTGCTTCTGCTTCATCCGACAAGAACTGCTCAAGCGCATCGACGATGCCCAACACTTCTACGGTGATGAACAATTATAGCCAAGATCTTGCATTGCAAGTTCATCAAGCATGCGAACAAAGCGTAGAGGTTCCAAGCGACGTGTTGATACAGAACGTTATCTGCGCGTTTCTGGCTGTTGAAGACGTTGTGGCCTTAGGCTGTACATGCAAGTCTCTGCAGAAAGGAGTGCTGCAAAATCGCGATGTCTGGCTTGGGTTACTCCACCGTGACTTTCACGACCAGGGAGACCAATGCCTCTACAACTACGGACGAAGTAACCTGATTCATGGGTGTTGTGGTATGTCGAGGAGACTTTTAGCTGGAGATGAAAATGAATTAGATGGAGTAGAGCAGTTGGGATCGAACTACACTTGTTTCAACAAAGCTGGGACGAAGTCTAGTTCGGCATTATGCTTGTACCTGCCACAGGATCAAGCAGCGTCTTTGATTATCGAGCCTTTTGCCGAAGGTGAAAATCGTGAAGATCATGCTGATGCTGATGGCAAGCCTGGTACCAAAGTCGTTGAACAACCGCGAAAGCCAGCCTCCGGTGCCTGGAACAGCGTGCAAGAATTGCAAGAAGTTCGTGCTTTGCTTGATCCCTTCGAGCCGGTCCTCTTAGGCCGCGAGCGCGCGGAAATTCTAGCCCCAGACGAGGACGAAGGAGAGCCAGCCTTTCCCGAGAGCGAGTCCGGCGACGAAGAACTGGATGTAGACGATGAGCGGCTGCGTGCTATCCGTAATTTCTTCCTGCGTTCGGAGGTGGATAATGACGATGACGAAGACCGTCCACGCATCGTGCAGCCCGTTGATCTCCTCCAGTTTCTCATTCGCTCCACGCGCGGAGGAGGAGGCGATGGTCCGCCGAGAGCAAGGCAGCAGGAAGGGGAAACAACGGCTGCGGCTCGAACCAGTGCACCGGCTGCAGGCTCTGGCCGACTTTCGGGTAGTGCAGGCGACCAATCGAGTGCCTCTGCTGCGCGTCAAGAGGATAGCGATAGCGATGACATGGCTGCTTTCGCGACGTACTTCGATCCCAGTGGCGAGCGATCAATGAGTGACAACAACGACAGGAGCAGGAGGGCTCGAGGCAGTCAAAACAGGACAACTAGAACTAGCAACAGTCCTGCTCAACAAGTAGAAGCCAGAAGGGAAGAAGCTAGAAGGGATGAAGCCCCTAGCCGAGGAGCCCATAGTACCGAGAGTGGCATCGATCCCCTCGCGCGGCTATCGTCAGGATCCTCTTCTTCAGCGGTTGGTGGAGACTGGTTCTACAATCTTGGAAACACTTCTCCAGCAGATGCAGTAGATGATATTTTTATTGAGGCTTACACAAATTCATCCTGAAAGGCATCTTTGGCACATTTTGAAGGGGAAAAAAGGTCAATGATGTAAGTACTTCAGGATGAATATTTGGAAGGTCTAATTTTAACAATCCACCCTCGATGGTCCAAATGCTATCCTCCGACAACTACGGTGGTAGTCAGCTGGATGTTGAGAATGAACAAATGACCGCAGCTGCTCGAGAGGTCAGAGGGGAAGGAGAACTTGTCCCTGCGGCCGCGGAGGAGAGTCAAGATAGACAAGAGGGAAACGAGAGCGACCATGAGATAGAGCTTCGTCAGATAATGGAAACATCAAATGAGGGAATCGATTCATCAAGCCATGGCGATATCAATGGAAATGAAAACGTTGCTGACGAAAATGAAGCTGGTGCTGGCCGTTCTGACGGACGTGGTAGCGTTTGTGCGGCTCCGGGCCTCAAGGCGATTGGAGAAGCGACAAGTGCTGGCTCTGTCATTCCGGCTACCTTCTCTGCGCAGAGTTCCACAAGCCTGGTGGCAGCAGCTTCGCCGGAGACGAGTGCAATTCGCCCACCAGAGGCGATTGTTTCGTCATTTGATTCAGTGCGGTTGCAGACTGAAAGTAGCTTCAAAAAAACTCCTGCTTCTAGTTCTAGCCTTACTGCACCCTGCCCGAAGAGTAATCTCGATGCAAAAAGAGGAGGTAAAAAGAACAAAGGCAATCTGGAGAGGACGCCGAGTTCTAGCGACGTAGACAGCACGTTTATCTTGTCCAGTGAGTCTCCTCCAAAAGACGTTTATCATGTCGTTGAGAGTGGTATCGAACTGGGAGAAGATTTTGAAAATGCGAATGAAATACTGGACGCCAACAAGAACAGTGATGGTAGCCCGGGAAACAACAGCAAAGGAGACGGACCCCACCAGGTGGAGGCGACCGAAAAAGCTCAAAACGGCAAAAAGATAGATGTTGCGCTTGTGGAGGCGCCTAAAATTCCGGAAGTTGTGCGTAACATTGAAGTCGAAGCCAATTCGACCGGGTCCAACCATCTCGGAGCTTCTTCATCATCGGATTTTGCCGAGGTAAGCGAGGTTGTCAAAACCACCTCTCAGGATGAAGATGTTGATGTTGAGTTTGAAGCGCGATGTCGCGCCGAGTCTAAGCTTTTGCGGGATATCTACCTGCACAACGAGCGGATAGACCGGAGCGAAAGGCTTTTTGTGCGGCAGGTTCGCAACCGCGGTTTTCGTGAGCGTGAGGGACACGTGATGTTTTCGGCTTTGGGCGGTCGTCTCTTCGCGTGGTCCGGCTTCACGAACCAAATGCCGCTATTAGCCACAGAGCCGCTTGGGCGCTCGGTTCTGCCATCTGCGTCGCTGGCCCTGCGCTGGAAGCCGGTGGAGACCAGCACAGTGCAAGCTTCTGCACCGACCCCGCGCATGCACTACGGACACACCTGCGTCGTCCTCAAGGACAACGGTCGGGACGCCTGCGAAGTCCTTATTTTCGGAGGCTTCCTATCCGGCGGCTACCACAATGCGAGTCCAGACTTTTTGTTGTTGAAAATATTCGGCGAACAAGTAGAAACGGATGCCGTAGGTGTTGTCGCGAACGGGGTACATCCGGAGCAGACGATGAGGTATTCCGAAGAACGCCAGCCCTTGTTAAGTTCTGGGTCCTCTGGGGACCAGGAGTCATCGTCATCTTCTTCTAGTCCAGTAGTTGTAGGTACTCCTTCAGGTCGAGACAGTGACCCACAGGAGGAACAAGGTGTCGAAGCGGAAACGGGGGATGATGCTCCACAAGAAGTAGATCATGCTTATGGTGAAAGGGACGTCGAAGCAGAAACCACCAGCACCAGTGCAACTAAAGGAGAAGCAGGAAGAACTACAGAGCGCGAAGTAGAGAAGAAAAAAGCAGTCTGGAAGCTACGCTGTACATGGGAGGTCAAGACACAAGATGTTATTTCTGTAGCCTCAAATCGAGCATTTCTTCCACGCGCATACTCAGCTGCCGTCGCGCTACCGGAGGATGGTGTGGGGTCGACAGTGCGGCAGATTCTTGCTCAGCACTCTAGTAAGCGGGAAACCACACAGGGTCGTGGGGGTGGATCTTCTGTGCCGAACAGTCCCCAGTCTCGGAGAGACAGTGGCAGTCCGGCCTCTCTCAATAGTGCTCTTAGACAATCCAGTCGACCTAGCAGTCCTCCAAACAACATGGAATCCAACAACATGTACTCACCTTCGTCCGTTGTCCAGCAAGACCAGTCTTTATTATGTGAAAAACAACAGCAGAATCCCATGGTTATGATGTTCAGTGGTCTGACGGACATGGGGGTCGATGAAGTGGTAGCCTTTTTGTGCACCGAGACCTGGCGCCTGTATGGACCATTCAACCAAGGTAACGTTCTCGAGCTGGAACGAGCGGCCCAGGATTGCAACCTGAAGATGTGGCCAGGTAGTTTGCTCGCAAAAAAATATGGTTCGTCACCTCCACAGACACAGACACAACCAAGTAGTACTAGTTTAGCTTCACCACCCGCTATTTTTACGGAAGATCATGCCACAAGCACAGCTGCTGAAACAGGATTTTTTGAAATAAATGCCGCTCTTTTTCCCGACGGGAAGAGTGAAGCTCGGGACTGCGACACTGCCAGCAACGTTCTGACGACTAGTTGGAATATGAAGAGAAGTGAAGATCAAGACCAAGAAGAGGACAGTACAAGTTCTAGCGGCGAAGACGAGGAATTCTTGAGACCATGGGAATTTTCAGATATTACGGGTAGGCTAAAGGTGTTCCGCCCTACTTTTATAGCGTTCGGTTTGCCTTTCTCACACGGGGGAAAGGCATAACGAACGGGGTAAGCCAACACCAAAATCCTACCTCTAAAGATAGCCGCGTTTTCCGCTCACGTAAGCGCAGGCGTGTGGTTGTAACCCCGCGAACAAAGCAAGAAGGGGAAGCGTCTTGTTCGAATAGAACCTCCTCCACTAGTAGAAGTATATTTGAAGATGGCATTCGTCCAATGCATGATCCGACCATGCCAAGAACTACAGAGGGCAAAAGAAATGAGGCTACTACGAACGCTGCCACTGTTCAAGATTTTACTTTGTCAGAGGAGCTGCATCAAGGCAATAACTCGAGTACAAACTTTGGCATGTTGTATGATGCTCCTTTCGTAGACGCACATACATCAACAACCAGACACCAAACTTTTTCGACTGTTCCTCCGAACACCGTTTCCGGCGGTATGATGTGGCCTTTGGGTCGTCTGGGTCACTCGATGACGCTCGACGGCGATGAGGTCATAGTGTTTGGCGGTAGCACGGGTCGAGATCTGTTGCGATCAGGGAACGACTGTTTCGGCCACGAGCTGTGGATCTTCTGCCTGTCAACCATGAAGTGGCGTTGCATGTCTTCGCCTGCGCTTACAAACGGCACAGCTTTGAGGCAGCGGAGGCTAGAGGCGCAGAAAGCCTTTTTACAAGTGTCCTCCTCGTCTTCATCGACTACTGGTCGTGGTCGTGCTAAACTAGATCATGTTATAGGAGGTGATCCTGCGACAGCGAGGGATGAAGATCTTCTCAGCGAGCCTCCAGAGGAGAGATCAACATCCAGAACACGAGCTGGTGACTCGACCACCTCTTCTGCCTCGGGAACAACTGGAACAGGTGGAACCGGAACCATGCCTAGAGGACCATCAGCAACCAGAATAGAATTAAGGCTCCCTCAAGAATTTTGATTGGTCACCTCGCTCCATAATTTAGGTTACTAGAGAGTCACTGAAATCGAAGAGGGCCCCCTTGAGAGAACAGGGGAAAAGTGAGAGAAAACAAGTAGAGAAATGTGGGGTCCCTCCCGTTCAGAGTCAGTGACCAGTGACTGCTGATCTCTAATAGAAGGCACAAATGCGCTGGACACTTTTGGCGGTGGTACTCCGGTCTTAGGCAGAGCCCATATGGCTGCGAGGGTAGCGAATACCATTGTTTTCTTCGGTGGTGGCCGCCACGTTTCGCGGGAACTCGTATGCTTCAACGTGCGAAAGCGAAAATGGGTTGCGCCAGAAATGCAAGTAAGGGACGAAACAGGAGCGTACCATAACCCAGCTACAGAAGGCTATCCATTAAGGCTCATCTGCAATACTAGATTAAATCATTTATGTACTTAGTTACTTAACCTCCTCCCATAGCAGGAAGTTATTGATTCCCCCTTATTTTTGTCTTAGAGGAGGTGTGCTGCAAATCTTGATTGGCTTTCACCTTTTAGGTGAAGGTTTAGCTTTAGGTCCCGCGACGCTCAAAGCACTAAGTAAAACAACCGGCTCTTTTTCACCTCCACAATCTTAGACTTATCCCCTGCAACAATATAAATGTTGATTTTCAATGAGTATTTCTTGAACTTCTTCGATCATGCTTCTGGATCTTACTCTTAACTTCAATTATTTAGAAGACAAAAATTTTTCACGACTTGGCAAATGACTGTGGATCATTGAGATTAACACTCACTGTAGATTAACGGCTGCATGCTTCCTCATCTTATATAGTCTTTCTCTTGGGAGCTCTAATTCTTTATCCGAGAGGCTGTCTGTCTGGGGCTGCAGCGGCAGTGTTGGATACCGTCTTCGTAGTGGCTGGCTGGCAGAACAGTGGCAGTTGCAACAATGTGATCGCACTACGCTTTGAACCCTTTCAACCTTGAGAATGCTGGATATTAATATTTGATATTTCTATGATGTTTCATGTTATCTAGACACGAGCACGACCGATCTTCCAGGTTTCCCTAATAGTATTTTTAGCTTCTCGACGACTGATGTTGAGTATACTAGGTAGACGGAAAAATGAGATAGCTAAAGTTCGGATTGGCTTGTTCGAAGAATCATACATACGGTGTTTTTTTTGGTTAAGATAGAGTCGTTCGTTCATAGTTCGTTGTGATTGTGCAGAATTTCTTGACACGACGGTTTGATTTGCGCGCAAGTTTACTAGTAAATATCCGCTCTGGTAGTTCGTTGTATCTTTAGTTCCTTGGTTTTTAACTAAGTAGTTTTTTTGTGCTATGACTTCGTTCCCTTCTCCTCAGAAAGCTAGTGAAAAGTAGGTTCATTCTCGATGATTCAACAATCCCCGTCGACGTCCTCGTCAGTGAAAATAACAGCTCACTCATGCCGACGATAGTGTAAAATCAATATCTAGAGCTGCACTTTACTGTCGCTGCAGGTTTTGACACCACCTATAATCAAATATATAAAAGCCTTTCCTGATTTTTTTCCTCGATGATGAATGAAATGGAAATTCTTGTTACGACTCGTCGTTCCACATAAGAGTGGTTGATTCTCATCGCATGCTCGCATGAACAGCGCGCATCAAGAGAGATGAGTCGTTTTATGCGCAAGAAGAGATGACAAATATTTATACGTGATGGATTTTCAGCAAAAAGAAACACTCTAGAAAGGCTAGCATCTAGATCTTGATGTGGATGATCACAACAACAACATATCCTTGAATGTACTACAAGGTCTTGGCTGTAGAAGTCAAGATGTGAAGAAAGCCTCTTCTACTTGATGAAGATTCTGGTGTCCGTCTCAGACACCTTCCACAGCAGGAAGTAAGTAATTCCATCTCCTTCTTCAACTTGAAAGAATGAATATTCATCACTTTGTCGGTCCTAAGACAAGAACGCGATGATTACGATGATGATAAGAAATTCACATGCTGGTGTATTGTCTGCGCGTCAAATCTTGATGCTTCAACTTGTGTCGTGTAGTTTGCGACAGGCGAGGACAGGTCTTGCAAGTAATTCGCTTCAGAGCGTGGTATCTGAATCTGTAGGCCTCTATTAGTCGTTTTTTGGTTAGAAATTAGGGTAAAAGTTGAGTTTAAGGATATGGATAAGGCCAACGTCTCTGTTTAAGTTCATTTGGCTGTCTTTTTTTAAGTGGATCCCTCCCTATCCTATTCTATCTTGTTAATTATCCTACCACAATTATAATCGTGCGATTTTTAGTTGTCTACTTAACTAGAATCAACATTATTTATTCCGGCTCTTATCCTACTACAAATACTTTTATAATTGTGTGAGTTGTAGTTGTCTAACTAGAATCAAAATGATGTTGCGTGCGCAGGAGTTGTCTAAGGCTTTGCGGAGAGTTTGCGACGAGGGAGAAGATTCCAGTCAGCTCCAGAACATCTTGCTAGTCGATGATGAAGTTAAGGCTTCTTCCACAAATGATCTCCCAACATTTTCCTATTTTGAGAAGCAAGGCTTCTTCTTCCACAAGAAATCATTTCAAACAACATTTTTTTATTTTGAAAAGACAAGAATGATGGAAGAAACAACTATTGGTGTAGTACGTACAGGTACAGGCACTACAGCTAGTTGTGCTGCAACCTCCGTTTAGAACTGGGGGAACTATGTACTTATAAATATAATGGTGGTCCGTCCACGATGCATTTCAAGAGGGACAAATAAAGTTATGGATTCAAAAGGGACTTAAGCTTATAATTGACGCTCTAATGAAGGTTCAATCCTCGGAGCAGCGCATACGAAGGACGAGGGCGGAAGCCGGGACGAACATCTGACATACTCGTCAGCAGTCTTGGCTTCTATATTATGGTTTGTTTTACCTATTTAATCAAACTAGCCTCCACAAGCTTCGCCCGGCTTCAAGTTACTTTAGCACTTTCCTGCGGCCTCCCACGGGCTACAGCCGCTAGAGTAGAGACAGCCCGCGGGTGAGCTGTTGCACCCTACGAATTGACTACGACAAGAGCCGGGTGCCGGCGGTGGCCGACTCAGATGCGTCGACTCATGTGCAGGGGATTGCGCTGCCTTCGGTTTTTTTTTGAGATTGCCGGGGGGGTCATGCAAATTCTTAAGAATTTGCAAGACCCCCACGGCAGTCCAACAAAAAAACCAGAAGAGAGCCACCAGACACGCACAAGAATCCGCAAGCCCCAACGCACGCAAGCGCCTCGCGGTGGCGCCAGGCAAGAACGAGGGGCGACCTTGATGGGCCAAACAAGACAAAGCAACGCAGGGCCGCGCTGCTTGGGTCTCTCTACGCGCTTACACCTGGCGGGGCTTCTTTGTTTCGTCAGATGTCTCTCGTCAGAAACAGGCGGGCGCACTTCGCGGGGTCGTGCGGCGTCGCGCTTCGGGCTGTGGCTGAAGCCTCTCGGCTGGCTGACGTCTTTCACCAAGCTGGAGACTAAGGCCCTCCATCAGGCTGATGCCGTTCGTCAGCCCAACGCTCTGCGCCAGGCTGGCGGCGTTCGTCGGGCAGGCCGGCGCCCCTCGGCAGGCGTCTTGGGTCAGGCTGAGGCTTTTCGTCAGGGTCGGGCGACGTCTCTCGTCAGGCTGAAGCGCTTCGCCTGGCTGACATTCCTCGCCGGGCCGAGACTCACGCCTTTGGTCAGGTTGATGGCTTGCTTCAGCTCGGCGCCGTTCGTCAGGCTGATGCACTCGCCAGCCAGGTGAGGCCTCTCGCCAGGCCGGCGCAATGCTTCGCCAGGCGTCTGCCTTGCGTCGGAGGGAACAGGCTGAGCGGGGCCTTTCTTCGGGCTGCGGATGTCTTTCCTTCGTAAGATTGACCCCGTTCTTTCGTCGGACTGACGTGCTTCGCCAGATTGACCGCGTTCGCCGGACTGACGTCCTTCGCGAAAGGTCTTCGCTATCTTCAAGGGCCTCGCGCCACAGGGAGGCCTCGCGTCAGTTTTTCTGGCGGAGGTCGTTCGTCAGATGTCTGCTGTCGCGGGTCTCACTCTTGTCGTGTCGGAGGTCTTGGGCCCAAAGGTCGTCTTTGGTCCACGCACAGGTCGCCGGTGGTCCACAGGTCGCCTGTGGCCCAAAGGTCGTCTTCGGTCCAAAGGTCGGCTTTGGTCCAGAGGTCGTCTGTGGTCCAGAGGTCGCTTTTGGTCCAGCGGCCGTCTTTGGTCCAAAGGTCGCCTTACTTTGGTCCAAAGGTCGCCCTACTTTGGTCCAAAGGTCGCCCTACTTTGGTCCAGAGGTCGAAGGGTCGCCTTACTTTGGTCCAAAAGTCGCCCTACTTTGGTCCAGAGGTCGGCGCACTTTGGTCCAAAGGTCGGCTTACTTTGGTCCAAAGGTCGGCTTACTTTGGTCCAAAGGTCGCCTTACTTTGGTCCAAAGGTCGCCTTACTTTGGTCCAAAGGTCGCCCTACTTTGGTCCAGAGGTCGCCGGGTCGCCTTACTTTGGTCCAAAAGTCGCCCTACTTTGGTCCAGAGGTCGGCGCACTTTGGTCCAAAGGTCGGCTTACTTTGGTCCAAAGGTCGGCTTACTTTGGTCCAAAGGTCGCCTTACTTTGGTCCAAAGGTCGCCTTACTTTGGTCCAAAGGTCGCCCTACTTTGGTCCAGAGGTCGCCGCACTTTGGTCCAGAGGTCGCCTGTGGTCCCGCGGTCGTCTTCGGTCCCAAGGTCGTCTTTGGTTTCAAGGTCGTCTTTGGTCCCAGTGTCGTCTTAAGTCCCAAGGTCTCCTGTGGTCCAGAGGTCGCCTGTGGTCCAAAGGTCGCCCCTGGGTCAAAGATCGCCTTTGGGCCAAAGATCGTCTTTGGGTCAAAGATCGCCTGTGCTCCAAAGGTCGTCTTTGGTCCAAAGGTCGCCTTTAGTCCGAAGATCGCCCTTGGTCCAACGGTCGCCCTTCGTCCAAAGCTCGTCTTTGGTCCAAAGATCGGCTTTGGTCCATGTGTCTTTGGTCCAAGGTCTTTGCCCTTTCGGTGGGCGGTCTTTCGTTGGCTGTCTCTCTTTGGACTTTTCTCCCCAGCTTGCGCCCCCACCCCCGTCGGCCATTTTTCTGCCTTCTTTTCTGGTGGTCTGCCACGGGGCCGCAACGTAAATCCCAACAAGGAAACGGCCGGAGGCTATCGGGCTTGAGACTGAGGGGAAAGGGCAGGAGACTATGGGCAATAGCTTCGCGAAAGAAGCTGACTAATCTCCGGTGGGTTAGGCGGGGAGTTTTATGGCGGCGATCAATGGCGAGATTAATAATATAGATTAATAATATAGATTAATAATATAGATTAATAATATAGATTAATAATATAGATTAATAATATAGATTAATAATATAGATTAATAATATAGATTAATAATATAGATTAATAATATAGATTAATAATATAGATTAATAATATAGATTAATAATATAGATTAATAATATAGATTAATAATATAGATTAATAATATAGATTAATAATATAGATTAATAATATAGATTAATAATATAGATTAATAATATAGATTAATAATATAGATTAATAATATAGATTAATAATATAGATTAATAATATAGATTAATAATATAGATTAATAATATAGATTAATAATATAGATTAATAATATAGATTAATAATATAGATTAATAATATAGATTAATAATATAGATTAATAATATAGATTAATAATATAGATTAATAATATAGATTAATAATATAGATTAATAATATAGATTAATAATATAGATTAATAATATAGATTAATAATATAGATTAATAATATAGATTAATAATATAGATTAATAATATAGATTAATAATATAGATTAATAATATAGATTAATAATATAGATTAATAATATAGATTAATAATATAGATTAATAATATAGATTAATAATATAGATTAATAATATAGATTAATAATATAGATTAATAATATAGATTAATAATATAGATTAATAATATAGATTAATAATATAGATTAATAATATAGATTAATAATATAGATTAATAATATAGATTAATAATATAGATTAATAATATAGATTAATAATATAGATTAATAATATAGATTAATAATATAGATTAATAATATAGATTAATAATATAGATTAATAATATAGATTAATAATATAGATTAATAATATAGATTAATAATATAGATTAATAATATAGATTAATAATATAGATTAATAATATAGATTAATAATATAGATTAATAATATAGATTAATAATATAGATTAATAATATAGATTAATAATATAGATTAATAATATAGATTAATAATATAGATTAATAATATAGATTAATAATATAGATTAATAATATAGATTAATAATATAGATTAATAATATAGATTAATAATATAGATTAATAATATAGATTAATAATATAGATTAATAATATAGATTAATAATATAGATTAATAATATAGATTAATAATATAGATTAATAATATAGATTAATAATATAGATTAATAATATAGATTAATAATATAGATTAATAATATAGATTAATAATATAGATTAATAATATAGATTAATAATATAGATTAATAATATAGATTAATAATATAGATTAATAATATAGATTAATAATATAGATTAATAATATAGATTAATAATATAGATTAATAATATAGATTAATAATATAGATTAATAATATAGATTAATAATATAGATTAATAATATAGATTAATAATATAGATTAATAATATAGATTAATAATATAGATTAATAATATAGATTAATAATATAGATTAATAATATAGATTAATAATATAGATTAATAATATAGATTAATAATATAGATTAATAATATAGATTAATAATATAGATTAATAATATAGATTAATAATATAGATTAATAATATAGATTAATAATATAGATTAATAATATAGATTAATAATATAGATTAATAATATAGATTAATAATATAGATTAATAATATAGATTAATAATATAGATTAATAATATAGATTAATAATATAGATTAATAATATAGATTAATAATATAGATTAATAATATAGATTAATAATATAGATTAATAATATAGATTAATAATATAGATTAATAATATAGATTAATAATATAGATTAATAATATAGATTAATAATATAGATTAATAATATAGATTAAGAATATAGATTAAGAATATAGATTAAGAATATAGATTAAGAATATAGATTAAGAATATAGATTAAGAATATAGATTAAGAATATAGATTAATAATATAGATTAATAATATAGATTTTTTTTTTGTTATGTTTTTTATCTATCAACTTATAAGAATTTTCCCCATTTTAATGAGGTGTGCTGCAAATCTTGATTGGCTTCTTCCCTTTTTTTTTTATAGGGTCGAGGTTTAGGTCCAGCGGCGCTCAAAGCACTAAATAAAACAACCGGCTCGTTTTTACCTCTAGCGTGTAGCCCTTCCAACAACCTAGTTAATTATTATCTACAGTAAAGTACCCAGATTATCTACCAGCCTATCATCAACATTGAGTTTGATACAACTAGGTGGACCATGATTCGTATTCAGTGCTCCTGTCGTGGCCCTCCCCTCGTCTGCCTCCCCACGACACCACCTTCATCACGCTACAACGAGTATCGAGCAGCAGAGAAGAGTATTTCTACTCAAGGCAGCTTGCGTGTCCTCGTCTTTGATACGGAGGAGGCGAAGGTCGCTGTCCGCGAAATTTTCGACGATGCTCCAGAAACGCGCGTCCTTCTCTGCGTCTGTTAAGGGTTCTTCCCAAATTCGTACATTCTTCACCAAAATACTCCCTGACTGTGACGTCTCGACTTTTTCCAGTAAAAGATAGTTCAGGTGGGAAGATGTATAATTGAAGTAGAATGCACCAATGTGGGAACGACCTCTAAGTTTGGGGAAAGCCAGATGCTGATCCACGGGTTTTGCAGAAATTAGTGGAAGTCCTCAAAGTAAACCTCCAAGCCCTGAAGCAAGTCTTCGATTCAGGCATCCCACCTAAGGATGAAGCCTAGAACATGAAAACATGAACAACTATACCCTAAATTCTTCAGAGCGTCAATTCTTCTGAGCGTAAGCATGAATTATAGTACCCTAACTCAGTGGTCACGTACATTCTACTCCCGCGCAGTTCCACTTCAGTATCTGAGGAGCTCTGAGAATCAGAGCTTGTTGTAGTCAAGAACATTATACATTTATAATCGTGCCGAGGAATGCAGTCATCAACAAGCACTCGAGTTCTCAAACACGATGAAAAATTTTGTGTTGATTCGCAGAGTGCGAAAAGAGAGAGATTTTTATTGATTGTGATCATACATCCTTATCAAGATAATGTACGAGTGCTGCTCTATTACAACATCTTCATTTTTTCTTGAAGAAAAAGACAAGCTAGTACGAGTGGAATCGGGCTAATCTTAGCACTCTGATTTCGGTCAGCTCTACAGGAATGCTGTCTTAAATGTAGCTAGCCCCCTGCATTGATACCGGCTAGTTTTCACCTCTATCCCTAGGCTTATCCCTCCGTTTATGATACATAGGACTTGCCCTCCACTGATAGGACCTGCTCCCAGTCCTCTATCGCAGTGTCCCCTAAAACAATTTGTATTTGATGTTAGAAGATCTTCATATCTTCCAGCACTGTTCTCTTTGCTTCAAGGCTTATTTAATGTGTACTTACTTCATGATCATGCATTGGGTTGCACTTGCAGCGCTAGCGGGCAGCCCTTGTATCGGAAATTTGGAACTCCAACAAGGTCCTCGAACTTTATGATTTTCCCCTAGTGGCTTCTTTGATGATGAAGCCATTGCTAATATTAGTTCACAGCTGCTAGAGCGATATCTTCACTCCGAGAGCGATTTTCATCAGTTCGAAATTTCAATAAGAACATGGGGCCACGACGACCTAGTCGAAGCGGCGGTGGAAGAGACGCTTCATCTGCACACTCATCTTCGGCTGCTCCACCCTCAGCTCTATCCTCCTTCGTGAGTGGCGTTGCCGATAGCTCTAGGGGATTTGCACGCCACGGCTTCGGGTTCAGCAAGACCCCGGATTGGAGCACCTACCATAGTACTACATTCACGACCAGGGTGCCGCATCCGACATGCCCCTATCAGAATAGTTCACTCTTGTGGTGGTCGAAGAACACACCACCTCGTTTGATTCATCATCTAAGCAGGAATATGCTGTCCGTGGTGTCCTCATCCTCTTCGTCATCATCGCTCGACCACGAAATTCCAGGCGTGTACAACGAAGATGTCTTGTTGTACCTCGTTGAGGCTGGCGGTCTGGGCACTGGAGACGCGCCGTACGTAAGGAAGTTCATCAACATTAAGGCCCTACTTAAATATGAGTATACTTATGAGTATTTAGACATAAAGAAAAAGCCGTAGCGCCGGTATCTCCCTGTCAATGAAAATAATTTTGATTTAGGTGTTTTTTAGTATGTAGTACATCAAGTCTGAATTGCGGTCACGACGACCTCTAAGAACACAATAGTGAAGCAGTCTTTCGTGACGTCGAGGTCGGGAAATAAGCCCCTGGCGGTTTATTGCGTCGCGGTGCATAAACCGGGAGTTACTCCGAAAAACCGCACAAAGAACGGAAAAAGCGTGCCGTTTTCTGATCCCATGTACCTCCACGACATCTGCTCGTTTCTACGAGCACGATTCACTCCTATCCGTCGTGGTGCGGAAGAGCGACCACTCAGAGATGTTGAAGCTCACGTCGACGAGGATCACCTTCATCATCGACACGACACTGCAACTGATGCTGATACCTCAGGCTCAACCTCCTCCATACAACAGCTAGCAAAAGAGAGACCACGAGTGACAAGAATGCCGCGTCTCTTTATTGTCCCTGTCGGTTTTTCGATTGGGGGATTGTGTATTTGCAAAGCCGTGCTCATGTTAAGGCTAGAAGAAATCCATCTTCACAGGCATCCACCTGAGACCGTTTTCAAGGGGAGAAAGGTCCTCGGATGCGTCTCAAGATGGATATCTCTTAGTTCTAATCATGGCAAGCGGAGTTCCCAATGGCGAGCTGGATGCGCCTACGACTGTTTCCGACGCACCTCATAAGGAAGATTACACAACTAATGACGGTCGTACAACTAATACAATGACATCAATGACCATGACAAGTGCTGCTGCAGCTGGCATTTCGTCGGAAGGTGACACAGACGGAGGGAACAAGTTACCACGATCAGTAGACAACCAGGAACATGAGCATGATCAGGTGAACAAGTTGAAAAGTCCATGGAACTGCGTGGTGTGTCTCGATTTCCCTATCGACCTGATGGGGTTGGTGCACTACTACTCGCAGAAGTCCTTGTATCGATTAGACTGGCTTTTTGCCTGGACCTATTTTGCTGTTGCGCGGGAAGGAAGGCAAATGTTTCCACCTTCCTTCCTCGGACCAGCGAGAGGCGCGCCGCCTTCTTCTCGTGAAGCACAGGTTGACCACGAGCTTCTCGAAGATCGTGTGCGAGAAGAGGATCAAGAAGATGGTGATGGCCTACCTACATCAAGTAGTGCAAGTACAACTACTTCTACGTCTACCTTGAGTAGAGCTGCTGCACCAGATGAACAAGAATCTTCTGATCATGGTGCACAAAAACCTTCAAGAAGGGAACAACGAGGACGAGGAGAATATCTTAAAAATAACTACTACAAGCACCAAGGAGATTCACATAGACCCATTAAGAAGAAGACTCCAACGTCAACTTCGACACAGCGATCAGCAAGTTTTCACCCTCGTCTATCGAAGTGGAGACTCGTGTCCAAGCGCAGGAGTCGAGCTGTCGTCGCAGCGTTAGCAAAGAACCGACCTGGAGGTTACATATACATGCTGGACCAGGGTCGGGCTCACGCAGGCGGTCTTTCTCGGGAAGACTTCGCTCATTCTATGCGCGTCGTAGATACTGAAAAACATAAACCACCCTGTGTGTTGCTTTTCAACAAGAACAGTAGTAGTAACACGAATTATGCGACTTCGGGATCACCTCCTTCATCTTCCACACTTCGGGAATTATCGACTAACGCGACTCCTACGAACGAACAAGTCGCGAACGATGACGTACGATCGAACCGTCCTACTGTGCCAAGAGACATGCTGATTATTTACAACGACAACGACCCGATTGTCCCCCTGCCGCACCAGTTGAGCTCCTTTGTAGAGAAGGGGGAAGCAAGTCAAGGGCAACAGCAACATGTGGAAGGAAAGGAAAGCAAAAATCATGATCATGATCATGCTAGAAGTGGAACTACAGCCGGAGTCAAGCACATCGCTAGCAACGTATGGCAGCTACCGCGGGGCGGTCATTGTGGCGCTGTGTTTTTTTACCCAGATTTACCAGCTCGTATTCATCAGTGGGTTCTACAAGCATTGTGGAGGAGTACTACGGACGACAATGAGGCGCCCATGAGAACAAGGGTGTTTTTACCGTCAAAATTGTAGACTGATAGAATTAGAAATAGTAAGTATCTTTTATCTTATATATTTATATACGTACATAATTACAGCTACAGGTATTACACTTGTTTGAAGATTTTTTTGAAGTTGAAGTTTCCGTTTCTAGGGCTGCATCTGGTCATTGACCACGTACCCATGTTGATATTTCTTTGTTGAGGAGCAGACAGAGTGCGCATCTCTTGCATCATTGATACTAGCATGTATAGATAATCCTAATTGTAATTGTTTGTTCGTGGGCGATGTGGTACGCCGCTTAAGTGTATGAAAGGAAACCAACTTGAGGTCTTTTTGCAAAAAATACTGGCTGAGTCCTCTGAGGCTCAAATATTCAATCGTCCTGGAAAAGAATCATAACCTTTTCATGACTGCTTGCAGTCTCGGAAGTCAATGATTTCTAGTTGTTATAAAAAAATTTTCAGCTCTATGATAATTTTTGTGATCGTGTTAGAAAAAGCTTTTTTACAACTTGTTGTCACCATTATTTCTTCGGCGACTTTGGTGATGTTGATCGCGATTGAAATCGCATGTATGAATGCTAGAAATAAGGATTTTCTTTGTCGATATATGATAGAACTTTCAATTCTACCATGTGCACAGTTGTAAATCCCCATCCCGACATTAGTAGAGGACCCTTGCTGCAAGGCTTCGTTCTGTACAACTTTCCATTACGGTAATTGAGTAGCGTCCTTCTCGTTGAGCAGGTTGGAGTACTCGTAGCTACAAACCTTCTGCGCAGGTTGGAGTACTCGTAGCTACTAATGTTCTTGCTGGAATTGTACCCGAAAAATCTGAAGTGGTATTGTGAAATTGTCAATGAGGTAATTTTTAGGAGACATGATATGGGCTGTCTAGATAAAAATTTTCGGCGAAAAAACTACACTAGCTTCGGTCGAAAAATGTGTACATATTCTGTAGGAGGCATGCAAAAATGTACTTTTTCTGAGAGAAAGGTGGCAGGTATGAACTCAGGTTCCACCTTCCAACTGAGTGAGAAGCTATGAAATGTGCTGGCCCGTGCCAGTTGTATGACCTCCTGCTTCGTTTGTCGTGTGTGCAAGAGCAGGTTTTGTGAATTGTGCCGTTGGACCACTCGCACAATGCTAGGGCAAGTCCAATCGCACGCTCGGCAACAGAAACAGCAAAATCGGATGCGCATCCTTCCTATGCCTATGCACCTCTGCTTACTTACCTCTGCTAGCAGAAGAAAGCGACTTATTCAGTTGATGCGCTTTGCGTTTTTTCAGGCTTTGCGAGCGTTTTCTTTGGAGGTGTATCAGGCTTCATCGTTTTCGGATGCACCACAGGCTTCAGCAACACTCAGCTCACAAGAAGCACTACAAGCATTGAAGGAGAATTACGTGCATGCGGTGGAAGATTGTAGCTTTGGACCTGCACGTGGTTTATGCAGAACGTGCACAGAGAATCAACGGCGTCGCAAGAGGCGTTTGTATGTCGGCTCCGAGTCATCAACCCGGTGCTTGGACGAGTTGTTGAATCGTCACTCGTATCGCTACATTGGCTTAGCTTGGGCCATACAGGATTCGTTGCTTTCGTGTAGCGAAGAGTGAGACTCGGCGGACATCCGTTTTGGGCGCTGTCACAAGCGCGCGCGCGACAATAATATGCCGCCAAAGGGGCGCTTCGCATCTTTTGTCGAATCACGATTGTACATGCGCACGCAGGGCTTGAAATCTAGTACGGAATACTTCCGCTGGAGCAACGCAGGACTGCGTCCGAAAAATATTCCCTGCCGTCCGGATATTGTCTATAAACCTCACGGGTGGGCGGGTTTTCAAGACTGGTTGGGCTACGAGTGCGCAAATGGAACGGGAAGGGCCAGCTTGTTGAAGCATGAGGATGTGGTTCGAAGCGTTGTGACCTACATCGAGAGCGCTGCAGTAAAATTTGATTTTCGCCCGCTCCCGTATCGTTGCTGCGCTAGCTTGCTTTACCGCGAGAAGGGGTCGTCAGATCAGCGCTGGTGCCCGCTGGTTGTGCGGAGTGCGCGTGAGCGCGGCCCCAACAGGCGAAAGCTGCAATTTCACCCGGTTCGGGAAGGTCAGGGACTGGGAATAGTTTTCGTCCACGTTACTGAGAACGCAGTCTTCTTCCTCCCTCATGCGCTGCTCCGAAGCGGCTGCACCAAAGCGAACGCGGACAGCGCCATCGATGGTGGACGGACGATTCCGCATTCTCGAAGTCCGCAGTATGTCGGTGAGGAACGAGCTGAGGACTATCGGATAGACAGCGCAGACGACTTGGCCGCGCGACTGCTTGAGCACAGAAATGAGTCAAGCTTGTATCTTTCAGAGGAAGCGTACGTAAAATTCTCTTCAAGGTCTGCCGACATCGTGTGCCACATTCTCTCAAAGACGCTGTTACACTTTTTGGAGACCGAGTGTCAACTTGGAGTACAGTGGGTCAGCGAGACTGGCGCAAAGACCACACAGTTTCTTCTGGAGATGAAAACGCCAGCGATTAGGGAACACTTCGTTTGTCACCCGAGAGTGTGCGTTGATGTGCTTCAGCCACCTGGCAAACCCCGCTTATGTCGTGTTTTTCTGCGAGGCCGCCCACGGAAAGAGTCGCACGAAAAGAAGATGCGGCGACGCGATTCTCCAGTCAAACCAAAGGGACTGCGTGCCCCTGTGGACACGTGTGATTTTGTGTTCGCTTTATTACGACGGGCGGCTGAAGAGAGAAGTACTCTCCCGAGTGAAAAAGAGGTTTCACAGAATTCGTTTTGCAGCAACAGCATGCGGCCGCTCGCAGGTGTCTACGTCATACCAAAAAGCTACCTCCGCACGCTCGGTACCTCGGGAGAACTTCCGTGGGACTTTTACCTTTTCCCATCTGGAACAGCTGGAGAAATAGGAACTGCAGAAGAAATCCCGGTAAAAAACAGGAGGACTTCGTTGAGCACTAGCAACTTCGACTTGAAGAAGTCACGCATTGCCTACGAAACCGAAAACTTTTTTCTCGATTTGTCGAGTGCAGGAAGCAAAAAGGCAGCCGCCACAAAGCTGGGTAGCATTTTACAGAACTTTCGCCAAGAAAAGAAAGTGCAGGAACTCGAAAGTGGCCAGAATGAACGTCCCTCTAGATTTGAGAAGATGGAGAAAGCTGATCTAATGTTCGCGCAAGCTGGCGCTCCTGCATAGGGTCGCTGGGTGAAATGATAGATACATTCATATTGCACTCATGATGTACAGAGAGCTAAATCTTGGATGTCGAAATCTTCATTTTGTGTTGTTTTTGTAAGTCATAGCACGCAGGCAAGGGCGTTGTTACTAAAGAAAAACTCACTTCAGACTCATCTACTCTTTAGCTGGATCTTTCGCTAGCTTTTGGCTGTGAGTCGCCGTTGCTGACGGTCTGTTTCTTTCGACAGAAAGCCTGTCCCTATGGCTGGCCTTCAGGACGGCAAGTCCTACGATGAAGATAATTACCTAAGTACCTAGAAGACTGCGACCACTGTCCAGGTCCAGATTTCGCGAGTGATATTGTGACAAGCCTCCGTGTCGCCTGAGATCATTCTCGCTCGTCTTCAGTATTGCAGACTACAAAACACGGAGGTCGATGAAGTGACAATAGACTCTAATAAATGACTTCTTCTTGACTTTGATATTATTGACCATGACGATGACGTCATCCTAGCAAAGAGCTGCTGCCGAGGTTGCGCAGCTACTGCGCACCTGCGGAAGGCGACGGACAACCGCTTCGGCACCGGACGACGGCTCTACAATGCCGCCCAGGCACTCGTCAGGGATGCTGCATGTAATTTCTAAAGTCATGCCGCGTTTTCGTCGTTGTACCTTCTACACTTACATAGTTTTCTTCGGACATCATGACTGGAGTATGGATCAGCATGTGCCATTGGACAAAAGCGAGCAAAGTCTGGAGAAGCTGATCTCCTATGCACCAGATTTAAGGCTTCCGCAAATTTATCTTATTATAAGCGAAAGCGGCCACTAACTTCGACACCTTTTCATGTTCTTTCAAGAGGAAAAAAGGTCAAGAAAGACGCGTCCAGCTAAGATGAACATTGATTTAGGGGGAAGGTCTAACGGATGCGCACAAAGAGCCTCCGAATATCGCGACGCCTAATCAGATAGATGCAGAAAAGACTTTCGGTGCTGATGTCCACATGTCCTACCGCATGCCTTTGTGCGGCATGACCAATTTGCACCATCCAACCTCGTGTTCTCGCAAAAAGAACTGCGATCCTCGATGGCTTGAAGTGCGGCAAATGGTTCATCTATTCCTAGATCAGCCGTATGGCCATACAGCGGTAGCGGGGATGATACTTAAGGGGACAACATTTAACTCGTATCTACTATTGTGTCATATGTGCAGGAGGTAGTCGAAAATAGATCTCCTGGAGGGGCACCGAAAGGATACTGGTACATAAAGAAAGGACTGCAAGAAGGACTTATAGAAAGTATTCATTCAACATCTGTGTCGCTCTAAGACTCGCCGTCGCTGGGATTTCTCGAATTGCGACTGCACCTGTGGAGCCTGTCATACTTTCTTGAGTGAGTGTCCTCTGGGGCATCTGACTACCAAATGGATGTCGTTTTTCGGCACGACTGCAGCGTTTCGCGCTTTGCTGGTGTACGGGAACGTTCTACAAAAATCCGACGTGCAGAAAATGGGTGCGGTGGAAGTACCAATACAGGTATGAAAAAGCACGGTTGATGTGATTAGAGCATTGGTACAACAAGAATACATTTAACGGAAATAGTAACTAAGGCTTTTGACCTCACTAGAAGATTTCATATTATCTCCAAGAATGAACATGAATTGAAAGAAAAAGCTCGAGCCCATTTGCTAGTCAACCTCCTTCTATGTATTTCGAAGATGAATTCCCACACCAGGACCACCCTCCTGAAATGCAAAACCTGGGTTTTTTCCTGTTCTACATTAATTTAGCGGGGGCTCCGAGCAAGACGTGCCAGAGGATGAAGATGAGGGACTTGTTAGGCAGTTCGATATTGTCGAGGATTATGGCAGCAATATCCTCTTCATGATACGAGGAAACTGGGGAAGCTACAATCTGATGCAGTCGGGCTGGCCAGTTTACGACGTTTTGCTGCGATTGACTATGGCTTTGTCTTTAGCTTGGTCTTGAGTGTCTCACGAGCGGAAAGATTTCATCACTCGAATGGGATGAACGTGAAAAAATTACCGAGCCTGGTGAACAATAAACCTGTACATCACGTCGACGACAAAGTAGGTGTATTTGTCCCTTGTGTTGATTGAGGATGGGCAAACACTACCAACACATCATCCACTTTTCCAAGAGCCCTCTAAGCTCAGCCATCAACTTACGGAAATCGATGGCTATCCTTTGGAAAATTATATACGGGGTGGCGCAGTCTCCCGTATGCAGCTAGAAGAAGCAGAAGCGGCGCGAAACAGCGACATAATCGTGCCCGAGATCACGCATAAACAAACGCTAGATGGCTGAGTTAATCGTTAGACTTCTTCAAATGTCTATGTCTGGGATGGAATTATTCGACCTCTTGCCAGGCACATCAATCAATCAATTCAATGCACTAATCAGAAGAAGAAGTCTGTCTTCTTACATTTACAGTGAAAAGATGATAAAAAGTTGGTGTAGTGATGGGTTTGGGTAACCTTTCACCACGCCCTCTTTAGAAAGTAGTGAAAAAATCTTACCCGCTACTGAGATACAGCTTGAGATTATTGCAATTTGAGAAGATTTTTCTTGGGTGGTTCGGTTTTCTCCGAGAAGTCGTTGAGGAGTCTCTTGCAGGAGGACTCGCATCCGAAGCTCGAGGGTGGAAAACCCAAGCTCCAACAGTCGGAAGGGAAAATGTTGGTTTTCATGAAAGAGGACCAGGAGATAATCATGGTACTGGTACTCAAGAAATTGGTGATAGAAGGAGTACTAGTGAAGGAGTTTGTTTTTGCGTTTTCCAGTTTTTTGCTTCTTCCTGTCGACAGCCGTCTTAGGTGGTAGTGTTACGTCTTACTGAATAACTTCCTCCTCCTCACTCCAGTGCGTGCGCTTATGATTAGCCTACCTAATTGCGGGGTAAGTGAAGTTAAACGTCCTACAATCTAATCCAATCATGATCACTATTTATTGACAATGGTGATAATTCTAGCTAGCCAGTGTTAGACTTCATGAACAAAGCCAAGATGATATTTCTCGCGAGCCAGTTGCGTTAGTGGAAGCCAAGAAAGGTCCTTCCTACAATGTTGGCACATGCAAGAATCGCACACGACCAGTAAACTTCGTGTAATCGCTCGATATCAAAGATGGTTTTAGATAGGGCAGAGCATGCAGCAATGTTGCATCTGGGTTTTCGACAGCGTACATCGATCAGTATACTATAATTTTGGTTCGGAGGATACTTTTGAATGCTTTTAAAGAATGCAGCTGATTCGATGTCTCTACGATCTCTGCGCTTCGTGTTAGCTAAGGCCTGCTGTTTTGATTTCGGGTTTGCTAGTCGTAGTTGATTTTTTAACTTTCAAACAATTCAGTAGGAGGCTCATCAGTAAATCAATCATCTGTGTTGCGGCGTGTCATACCCCTGCAGGTGTGCTGACTTGCTCACGGGGCCCCGCTGCGTCGGGTTGCGCCTTAGTTGTTCTGCAGGGGTCGAGTGTGCGGCTCCTCCGATATCGATCCGTAGACTTGTGGCCGATTGTGCGGTCTTATGCGCCCCCAGTACGCAACTTGAATGGCAATAGTGGAACATGTTAATTGATTGTTTGAAAGGGCGGCTGCATATAGTCTTAACGCAAAAAAAAAAAACTCTACGGATGTTGCGAGCAGCACCATGAGAGATACACACATGACAAGTACTTGGAATCAGGAGAAGGGGGCGCAAAAAATTGGCTTATAGAAACGAGACCACCGTCATAATGGAACTTTTTAGAAGTCTACTTTCAACATCACCAGCACGAGGCACCATCTGGCGGACATGAAGCTTCTATCTTTGTGTTCTTGGTCTTTGCCGAGCATAGTTGTTGGTCTTTGCCGAGGATGAGTTTGCAAACCTTCATCTTCTTGGGGTTCTCTCTCTACGTTGCCTGGTGCGCTAGTTCTTCTATTGGTGCGTTATTTCTTCTATGGGAGCGGAATTGTGAGTGTGGTGTAGGATCTTCTGAAAGTGAATGCGTGTGAGTAGTATGTCCTGACTGAGTGTACGAACAATCTTTCTCTTGATAGGTACATGCATTAGGTGATCTCACGAAGATCCATCTGCTGAAAGTGACATTTTATTTTTTTGGCTAGGTGGACTCCCTTAGTGATTCCCTTCTTCTATCAATATTTCTTCCATACTTGGTTTCGCCTAACAGCGTTTTTGTTATAGTAGACTTTTAATTTTGATTTTATAGGCGAGAAAGGCTCTTAATTTTGCTTTTGAGTGATACAGGTACATCCGCAACGAGGAAGCAGTAGCCGAGCGCTAAGAACACTGAGTACTAAGTGCATGACTTTTGGCGGTGGTGTTGGTGTTCTAGAAAGCCTAACAATAAAGGGAGCGCTTGCAACACTATAAACATCAACAAGCTTGATCCGATCATTTTCAAATCGAACAAAAGAATACAAGTAATTTCGAAAACCAGATGAGCAACATACTTCTATTTCTAAGTACCGAACTTGCTGGGCCATCTTCTTGTTCTGTCGTGACTCTTTTAGTCAACAGTAGCGGAGTAGAAACAAGCAGGATATTGAGTATTTATAATGCAATTGTATTGCTCAATACAATTGTTCATATTCTTTCAATACACTCAAATAAGTGTAATTTGAAATACAAGAACTAGTATTAAAGTTTTGTTCACGAAGACGACAGTTTAATTGTATTATTCACGACAACGACACACACAGCAAAAAAATACGACGTCTGGTCATCGTCAAATATCAGCGAAGGTTCTCCCTGTGAAAAAGATCCGTTGTGCTTTGCTAGATCACTTGCTGCTCCGTTAAGAAGGAAGCAAAATGAGTGGCGCGGAGCATCAGGGTGGGCCTATCTCTAGTGACGGCATGAGTGGCGCTGGACATCAGGGTGGCCCTATCTCTAGCGACGGCATGAGTGGCGCTGGGCATCAGGGTGCCCTCATCTCTAGTAATGGTGTGAGTGGCGCGGAACATCAGGGTGGTCCAATCTCCAGTGACGGCATGAGTGGCGCGGAGCATCATGGTGGCCTCGTCTCTGGTGACGGCATGAGTGGCGCGGAGCATCATGGTGGCCTCGTCTCTGGTGACGGCATGAGTGGCGCGGAACATCACGGTGGTCCAATCTCTAGTGACGGTATGAGTGGCGCGGAGCATCATGGTGGCCTCATCTCTGGTGACGGCATGAGTGGCGCGGATCAGCAGGGTGGTCCACTCTCTAGTGGCGGCATGAGTGGCGCGGAACATCATGGTGGCCTCATCTCTGGTGACGGCATGAGTGGCGCGGAACATCAAAGTGGCCTTGACCTTATCTATGGTGATGGCCCGCGTGAGCGGAACACCCCAACCAAGAGCACGGAAGAAATGCCTCTGCTAGATACTTCGTCGACAAGTTCACGGGTCGCGTTTTCGATCTCTCTTATGGCCACAACACCTTCTTCTGCGTCGTCTCGTAAGTGACAGAAAATAGAGGCGACGCGTGTTTTCAGCGTTATAATCACATGACCAATTATCCGAATCGACTAACATCATCGTCATCATCATCATCATCATCATCATCAATGACGTGAGCAATTCTCCGGCGTTCCAAAGCGGTCACATCTTCAGATGCATCTAGATAGACAGCAAGTAGATTCGGAAATGAAAATGATCATGATGACCGAAGAAAAATAGTAATACTTTTAATCTCCATTGTTCCATCCTGAAGCTGAATCTGATTCTGTCAGATCTCCACAGAAATGGGGATCCTGGCACTTAGGCCTCCGCCTGGCTATGCCACTACTGCGTGTTGAGGATGATTATAATCACTTTAATTTATTTTCTAATACTGCACCTCCCGCCCGAACAAACCGGGACACGGCACAAAGCCCGGGCCTGAAGCTCCACGAGAAAGTCTCTCGTGGCTGTCGCTGGCTTCTTCTTGCTGCTACGTTTCTGCTGGGTATGGCTTATTGAGTCTTCAACCTGTGACTATACTTACAATACTTCCATTCTTTCACACAGTAAGGACTAAAAGTATACCTTTCCATCTGCTACATTCACTTCGCAATCATTGCAGTAAAACATTAATACTATCATGAAAAGTTAAGACATTTTTAGAATGGACGACGCAGGCTACATGAAAAGATTAGGCCTTTCTCCATGATAGATCGTTCCAGAGATGAACTAACACCATCGCCAACTATGGCGGCTACATAGGACGATACATAGATAGCGTCATAACAGCAGGTAGGAACAATGAAGTACGTCGAACGAGGAAGAGGACACACTTATCGTACTGACTACATCTTCATGTTGAGACGAGATATTAGCTGTGCTCTAACCAAACAATCGTGGCGCTAAGTGGCACCTATTTCCTGATGCTTTCTCCGGAGGAAAAAGGAGAGTTTGTGGATTCGATCAATGCACTGACAACCATCGCGTTCTCGTTTCTGCAGCAGCAACAAGGACAGGCTGAAACGCATGGACAAGCAGAGGGTCATCGGCAATCAACGTCCAAAGAGGGAGAAAGACGTCTTAGTAGGAAAAAAGAAAAAAAGTTGAAGAAACGGAATCTAAGGCAGACAGGTTTGATAGGATCTCTTCGAGCAAGAAAAGACTTCATGCTTACATCATCAAGCGTGACAGAGCGATTGAACAAGTTGTTATGATCATTCTGGGTCTCATTCATTTTCATCTCTTTGAGCTTACTGCTAGTACCCTTCCCACGTAAAATACGAACTCGGGAAGGAAGTGACTACTTGGAGTCGACTGACTGAGATGAAATGAAGCACATCCTAAGCCGAGAGGGGTTTATATTCGGGAAGTCTGGCGGGGATGGCACTACCGTTGACCGAGCCGAGAAGCAAGGAGAGTTGTGCCCTCAGGGCCTTTTGTCAGCCCCGGACAAGTGCTTTATGAATTTGCTTCAATGCTTGTAAAAAATACACTCAGACGACGTTCAGATCTACTCAGAGATCATATCGTGTTTCAATGCAAGAATGAGCTAGCAAGTGTTCCATTTCTCTGCAGTATACTTTCCAGCAAGTTACTTACATCCTTAGCTCGACGTTGAGGTGAATGTAAAATACATAGGGATGCTATGCGTAGAAGTGACTATTTTTTCGCTATTTTTCTAGGTACTTTTTTTTTACTTGGACCTCGTCTTTCACGATCCCTCCTGTCGTGCTCTTTTTAGTAACTAAAAGGCAACCAGGGCCGCGACCTTGCTCGACTGAAACACCCTCCCCTTTCATAAAAACGGTGGTGGATATGTTTACGACGCTGGAGAAGCAGTGTCACTGTAAGATTATGGTAGATGGTTTCTACATACAACTAACACAAGTTGCATTTACATGCTTCTTTCCTGCGCCTTTTGAGATGAGAAGAGGACGCCAACACTTGTATACACATAATAGGTGGCATAGCTAAGATTTGACCAGTTCTTCTGTATAATCATGTATATGGAGATGTGGCACAATAAATGTGCATAGAAATAGATTCATAATAGATGGCTGAGCATGATCAATGGCAATGCTGGGCGCAATCAGCAGTAATACTATCCCCTTGTAGGTTCAGACTTCTTTTTAGCATTTAGTACATTGATTTTTTTTCCCTAATCACCATCAATAACAAACTGACATCAGTGTTTGTTTGCTCTCCATTTGTTGTATGTCCAGCATTCATGATCAAACCATCTGCGGGAATGGTCGATCAACCGAGCGAGGAAGTTGAGCGAGTGGCGACCAGGGACATGAATGCCAGAGTACGCCGAGTCATGAAATTTGCGGAGTCAGTGCACAAACTCATCCACTCTAGTGGTCGAATGTGTGCTGCTTTAACACCCTTATACCAAGCCGCGTCACACTATCAAACTTCTGATGGTAATGACTCATATCGTGAACAGCTTCCAGAACTGCGAGAACGTGCCGAAAAGGCAGTCCAAGAGGGTGAAGTCGCACTGCGCGAGGTGCACGCGACTGGCAGGAACCAACTCTGCGGTACTGAGCCGAATTTAGGTAGGGACCAGCCCTTATGCAAGCGGTTCGACTTCGACCTCGTGCTTGGTACGCCTCAACCATATGAAGATTGTGACCCGTCCACACCCTTGCCCGAGAAGCCTGCAATTTTCGACCATGACATAATATGCAAGAGCACGAAAGCACTTGCCATTGTGAAGCCCCATGCAAGTGTCGAGCGGGAACGATTTGGTGGGCAGAATCCAATGTATGTCTGTGCAAGTATAGTATGGCAGTTCTGTCCCTTGTACTCTGTTAGCTAACGAGTGAGAACGAGAAACAAACACGGAGCACCATGGAGATGACGAGGGACAAGCATCAAGAAATCAATAGGCATACATCTGAATCAGTACAACACTCCAAGCAGTGAAATCTTTTGCAGAGGCCTCCTGAGTCATTTACTTGAATCAATTACCGCACTCAAAGACCCGGGCTTAACTAGCTTAGCTAGTTAACAAGTACTAGGTATGGCGTCCGTTTTCCTATACTTGCGCGACTCCGTCAGAGCAGCCTCGCTGGAACATTAAGGCTGGGCATGACCGATTGCGTGATAGTCTGTGGGTGTTGAGTATTGCATTAGTGTCATTTAGCTGAACCTGAACAATAGTTCTGCTAAGACTACAACAGAGAGACCTCTTTTCGTCTTCACAACGACGAACAGCGCTAAGATCGCAAAAGGAAAGATCCCCGATCGTGCATGGTTTTTGCCGTGATAACAGGCTTCTCCCCTATGCGGAAGCGGTAGCAGACCAGGAAAGATTTGACGTTTCCAAAACTACCCGTCTGTTGATGTGGAACGAAAAGTTCATTACACAAGAAGGAGAAGCGGATTCTGATTCCAACAAGGCTTTGCGCAAAGCTTATACCGATTTCTGCGAGATATTTGTGTTCGGCAAGCTGCAAGAGCCGCTAGACCAAAAGGGTGCTTGGTGTACGGAACTAAACACGAAACTGGTCGCGGATATTGTTCGCGAAACTTTTAGCCAGTCAGGTGCGAGTCTCCCAACAAGAGAGCCAGAAACGCGTCTCTTTATGTATTTTGCGTAGAGTAAGTAATGTGTCTTAATCTTTTGAGTACTATGTGCTCCAGGAGAACCGTAAGTAATGAGTAAGTGCGTCTTAATCTTTTGAGTATGTGCTCCAGGAGAACAGTAAGTATAATATGAACATTAGAGAGCAGATTCTCCTGTACATCGCCACTCTGAACCATATCCCCCTTTCATGAATACGTTTATAGAGAAATCGAGGAAGCCGCAGAAGGAGCAGCACGGGGGCAAGACAGTCGACAAAGCATTCACTGAAACGGAAGGGGTCTGCCTTATGGTTTCTGTGTATTGCTGAAAAAATGCACGTAGGTTTCTAGTTTGCAGACATCATATGATAATCAAGTTTCAATCTCGCAACAAGGAAGAGAAAACGTTTTATTAGATGCTTTCAGGCGATGCACACAACTTTTCAGACGAGAGGATCAGGCTGCAAGACCTATAAGTGTACTCTATTCCGTGCTACTGGAGTCCGTTTCATGGAAAGGGATGCTAAGTTGAGTATGAACATGAAGTAGTACTGGTAGTATTTTCAATATGTTGTACTAAACCAACATTGTGTCCAACTTTCATTACGGCGGCGCTTGCGGATCGGGTCGAAGAATTAGAAGAAAAGGTCAACAAGTTGGAGGCTTTGGCTGCTGCCATGGGGCCAGTCAATAAAACGCGTGAGGAGCTTGTTTAGGACGTCTGATGGGTAATGTGGATATCGATGACGCTGTACAAGAACCTTAGAACAAATTCAAAATGATTAATTAGATGCCTTGAATTCATAGTTACTTAGAAGACATTTTTATAGAGATTCAACTCTTCTTTTCATGCTGCAAAGTAGCCATTATTTCATCTAATATACTATCTAGTGAGCGGAGGGGGCGTGTTGTTATCGTAAGTATCTACTTCTATTGATTGAATAAAAAGGACGGTGGGACGAAGGGGACTGCGTTGAAGAATTGATAGGATTCATTTGAAACATATTGGAACTACGTGTACCCCCAGGATCCTCTACTCTACCATGACGATGACTTAAGATTTGTGTTTCGATCTTTTTACCATTTTTCTTTGAATTTTGTACGCGTGTCTTCAACTTCTTGTAGATTTTCCCCTCCTCCCGATAGTATTATTGTAGTTTACCCACCTAAAAAGTCAAGGTAGGAAAGAAGAAACATATGGAAGAATCGAAAGCACTCAGTGAGACAGATAGATATTTGGTGGAGCATCACTTTTTTTGGGGATGACATCACTTTTGAGACAATTTCGATGGTGATTCACCTGATTTTTCAAAATATACATCGACTGCAAACGACCTTTCGACTAGAGACATCATTTACCACTCCACAAATGAGATGTCGCGCTCAAATTTGTCGTGTAGAGGGTATGCAGCACCTTTACGAAGCAGTTTGTTCTGTATCAACGAAAGAACAGACGCGTGTATCTGTAGTTGTACTATTCACTATAAGTATAATGTTAGTATGTTGATGTTAGTTGACCAAGTAGATGAACTGGCAAGTCAGAAATTCCTTACACTCTTACTTTGGCTATGCCATAAAAATGTTATTTTGTCGAATTCAAAGATCTATTCACTTTTGTTTACGAAATTAAGAGAAGAACCAACCGTGGTAAGAATGAATTATAGCGAGAAATGTAGACCCAAGCACCAAAAAAAAGGTATGAAACAGGGGGACCCGAATGAATGAATGAACATAGAACTACGTACAAACAGACTAGATAGCAGACTAATATTACGCAGAAGCAAACAGCCGATCCCGATGAAGCCTGGAGTTTAAACCTAGGACGATGTAGCCGGTCGTGGCACCTTTTTTCCACCTGTACAATTTTATGGTGCCAGTCTGGTACGCGTGCGTCTCTTCCAGTGGCTGTCACGCTACTGTAGTTGAAAGCAGTTTCTTTTTGCGTTGATTTGATAGATGATGTTGGTTCTGTACTCTGCCGCCTCTGCGCCTACTTCTTCAAGATCTTAATTTTAGGTACCTTCATTCATATTTATACATACTCATATTGATTATTGATTGTACAAAAACAAAGCGCTCGCGCTGTTAAAGGGCAAAAGTTTTTCCACGAAGTAGTCGATCTCCTCTCTACTTTCCATGATGGTCGTCTCCATCGATCGCGATGGATTGTGCTAAATACTTGTCTCTGAAAGGAGATGGACTACTGTTATTATATCTACTGTAATCTTGATGTAGTACAGCCCGTGTCTTCAATCATTCTTTCAGTTTGTCCCCCTTCCCCCCCTCTGTCGGATACACATGGAAGAGCTCAAAGCCAAAACAAAGTCGAGAAGATTAACACATGCGATTGGTGAGTTCCCGACTAGTACATGATCAGCATGACTGTAGAAAAATACTAAAGTCAACTATGTCTGCTAGTTTTTCTAGTGGGCCCATACCTAACGTAAAACACTAAACGACGTTGGGCGAGGAGATCCGATAGCGCAACGGCTCGAGCGAACCCTTGACTAAGTGCACTTAGAAAGTCGCTACTGCAGCTACCACACTCGGCCGTGTAAAAAGTGGTGCTTTATATAAAACATAAAAAAGAATAAAGAACAGAAAATATAAAATAGAACTATAGAGTTGGAATAAAAATTTAAATAGCATGGCATAGTGTTGGGCAGAATGATAATGGATAGATCAACAACGTGAAACGGCTCAAGGATCTCAGTCAAGAGGTCCACCAAGATCGTGAGCCAAATGGTTACAGGATCAGAATCACACCATTAGTAAGATCAACAAGATCACACCAAGGGGATCACCATCAGGATGATCACCATAGGAATGGAATACTATCGGGATCGAGAACATCAGCACCGAGATCCCTAGCGTGGCAAGTAGTTTGATACTCATTGACATGAACAGGCACACTTTGGAACTGCATGAGAATCATAAAACTGAATGGACTTGCTCCAACCTTCGCAGGTATAGGGAAGGGGATACTGTTTCCAACTTGACTCCCCTGCGGGTCTAGTTTTCTAGGTTTTCAGTGTTCGAACATTCTATACCTTCGAGGCCATTAGCTTCAGGGAAAGCATAAAGCTTTTTTTTATAGCCTCACCAGTTTGCATTTGCATAGCCTGAGTAATTAAATTCTTCACCGTTCTTTTGTAGATTCAAAATGGGCGCCGAAGATAAGAACACTACTCGCCTCGAGGAATTCTGGGGCAGTAGCAAAGACTTGCCTCGCTTCGGAGATTGGCTCTACAAGGTCTACTCTCTGCTGGAAGAAGCAAGCATGGGCGTCCACCTTAAGGACATTCTGGAAAAGAAGAAGAAAGCTGAGGAGGTACTTGCACTCGATGCAGTACAGGCCGCGGGTAAGCATCTAAAGAAGGTCAAGACGAAGACTGTTACTTTGAACGCTCTGCCGGGTGGCTCGCCGGCTTTGGCTGTGGCTAAAATGGCCTCTCCTCAGAACGTTCTTTCGATCCTAGCTTCCTTGTGTCAAAAGTATGCAAGCCAAGAAGCCAGTGCTCGTTTCTCCGGGTACAAGCTGATGGTGGACCCTCAGCCTTCGGGTGCGGATATCATCAGCTGGATCGAAGGAAGAGGGGTCGCCATGGCTGAAACTCTGCAGAACAAAACTGATGCTAAAGAGTTCTTGGCTGCGTGCGTCCTCATTGGCGCTGATAAGAAGTTCGATGTCGTATCGTCTTCCATGTTGGCACGCCAAGAGACACCACTTGATGTCGTCAGGCCTGCTTTGCGCGAGTTCGCAGCTCTGCAGGACCTCAAAGGAGGCGACCACGAACAGGACGCTGCTGCACATGCAGTAGTAAGCCTGAAGAAACAAGTCCAATCCTTGAAGGATAAACTTGCCCACAAGGGTAAAGGAAAAGGAAAGGGCAAAGACCCGCACAAGAAGAAGGTGAAGAAGGATGAGAAGTGGTGCTCGCACTGCAACAAATCCGGACATCTTGAATCTGGGTGCTGGGCAAAAGATCCGAGCAAAGCCCCCAAGAGCTTGCGGGACAAACTAAACAAGAAGAAAGCTGAGGGAAATTCAGTCATTGTCGACGATGTTGACTCCGTTCAGGCCGGAGACCATCAAGAAGACGCTGACATGACTCCCAACGCTGAAGAACAGAGTGAAGATCCTACCAAGATTCAAGAGCTGAAGCGCGTTCTTGCTTGTTCTCCGGGTGACTTGGCGCACATGAAGTTCAAGGCTGAGGAGACCGAGAAGATGCGCATGAAGGTTCTGAAGGAGGTGGAGCTTTACAACAAAGAAAAGGAGGGGGAGAAGGTTACCTTCCTACTTCCCAACGAAGACGAAGAAAACAAATCTTCGATGGCGGACACTACAGGCGACACCGAGATGTCTGTCCCTGCTGAGCCTACTTTGTATAGTTCTTCTGTGACTGGTGCTGAGGTATGTTCCGCAGGCGTACTAGGTAATGCGTCAAATTTTCAGCCTATTGGGCATGTGTTCAAAGGGCAACAGCAAACCAGAGCGACAGAACAAGAAAAGGAAGAATCAAGTGATTCCTCGTCGGTTTCCGAGTCGTATTTTCGGGCTTTGGATGAGTGCCAATCGGTCTCATGTGAGTCGGTTGAGGGCACCTTTGCGGGGGAATTCTTGTCCAAACAAAACGACCTTGGCACAAGCCCAAGACAACAAAGATCATCGGTCTCACGTGAGTCGGTAGGGACAAGGTCGGACCTGTACACGGGTACAAGTTCAAGCAGTTCATCTTCGTCGGTCGCGGTAGTTTCGCTTTCGGTGAACAAAAGTAGGAGCTGGAAGAATAGCCTCGGGGCGCAAGCTAATCCTGCATTTGTAGGTGGGCAAGCGCGCACGACACTACGTCACAAGCAGGCATTCGGGAATGCTGGCGCTAGTGCAAGTGGCAAAGTAAGTAACCCTTCAGAGGGGGCCGGCAGTCCAAGTGGATTGTTGACGCAGGGGCATCCCATCACATGACGGGCGACAAATCTGCGCTCAAGAAGTTCACAGGTGTGACGCTTCCCCTGAGCACAGCTGATGGCCCTTGTAAAACAAAGGCCCGAGTTGGGTACTTTAAGGCTAATAGCCTGGGTTTGGTGATGGGGCTTTATCGTCCTGATTTGCGTCAGCAGCTCATCTCGGTGGAAGAGCTAACGCAAGCGGGAGGTGAGCTTCGTTACGCAAAGAGCTCACGGATTGTCTATGATCCTTCGGGTGAAAGGCACATCGCTGAGCTTCAGAACGGAGTGCCGATGGCAACTGTTTCATTTGAAACAGAAGCGTCAGCGCACCGGTCATTTATCTCAAGTGTGTCAAACCCACAAAACAAGCTAAGACTGCATCAGAGATTAGCGCACTTCAACGTCTGGGGCCAAGTGGTTCCTTGTCCGGATTGTGCGAAGGCTAAAACGTATGGCCAAGTGTCTCACAAGAAACAGCGCGATCCAAGTTACATCGTCGAGAACTGGCGTGATCAGGTCGATTGTGACTTCATGGGACCGCTGCCAGCGAGTCACTTAGGTAAAGAGTACGCCTTTGCCGTGATAGACTCGCGTACGGATTGGGTTGAAGTGTATGCCATAGCGCAAAAGTCTGACTGTGGTGCAGCTCTAAAGCAATACTGCCGTGAGATGGGCAGTAAACCCAAAAGGGTTCGCACTGATAATGAGCCTACACTGAAAGGGCTTGGTAGTAAATGGAAGCTGACATGTGCGGAATCAATTGGATATCCATCCCACACATTCAGTCCCCTACGAACCTCAACAGAGTGGCAAAGTCGAACGTTGGATGCGCACGATGGCAGATGCCATCCGGGCGAATATCCAAGGAGTAGACCCAGCCGTCTGGGACTGGTGCGCGCGCTACGTTGCGTACGTGTTTAACCGTCTACAGAGGAGGAAAGACAAGCCAAGTGCCTATCAGCGCAGGTTCAGCAAACAGGTGTCCCTTAAACATCTCAGGAGGTTTGGCTGCATGTGCTACGCCAAAATCCACACGCAGCAAACAAAGCTGGAGGACAGACTCGAAAAGGGGACCTTTCTCGGGTATTCTAGAGAGAATTCCTCGTATCTTGTAGGCGTATGGCGTAAGGACGTCAATGGAAAGGAAAAGCGTGAGGCCATCGAGAGTGCTTCCGTGAAGTTCATGGAAGATTGTCTCATTGATGATATAGATTCTCTTAGGGCCGACGGTGATCCGTTGCCTATGAAGCGGAGACTGCGCATAGCTGATCCTGCCGATGTTGTAAGGAGGAGTCGCGACCTCTGTGCAGCACTCGGAGGGAGCGGCGATGAGCGATCGCAAACTTCAGAGGGGGCGGATAGCCCGGAGGCCAAGAGAAGGAAAACGGAGAACCCATCAGGCACAGATGGTTCCTCAGGAACCAAAGTGGCTGACGCTGGCAAAGGCACAGCGAGACAGACAGTCCCTGACGATCACCCGACAGACGGAAGCCCATCGTCGTCTTCATCAGCTGACGGCCAGCCACCGGCGGTGGGACCGATCAACCAACAGCCGAATCCACATGGGTCGACTGAAATCCCTGTCGAAAGAGGCAAAACAGAGAAAGAAGCGGAACGCTTAGGAGCAGGGCAACCTGATTCAAGTAAGTTCCATGCGTGGGGCAAGGTCCTAGTCGACGCGCAACAGCCTCAGGAAGGTCCTGCGACGGATTCCCAGACTGTTCACATCTAATAGATGACGATCTGAATCCCTTCAAAATGGTCAATCGTGGGGGAACGATGATCAAGGTACGGCTTAGGCGAGGTCGTCCTATGGGCCTGACAAAAGAACAGTGTCCGCACTGGAAAACCAGTGGCCGGAAGAAGAAAAAGGGAAAAGAAATTCAGCAAGAACTTCCGCAGGATGACACTGCAGAAGCTAACGTCGCAAGTGCGTTTACAGCTTTTGGGGGTCCTATGTTGGATCTTGAGGAACAGGAAGCGGCAATATCCTTTACTGTTCAGGTCACTCGTGCAGAAGCCATGAAGGGCCCTGACTCTGTGAAATTCATGGAGGCTGACAACCTTGAAAAGTTGCAGCCAGAAAGCTGTAATGTTTGGCGAGCTCTGCATGATGGTGAACTCAAGGACGATGATGAGACTGTCCCGTGTGTTGTCATATACACAAAGAAGCGATCGATGTGGTAGATACAAGGCTCGCTGCGTTGCTTTAGGCAATAGGCAGACGAAAGTTAGTAAGGCCGAAATCTTCTCACCAACAGTCTCGCACGCGGCTAGCAGGGTGTTGTTAGTTGATGCGGCTGCCAATGGCAAAGCCTTAGGTCAGTTTGGCATCTTTCTCCAGCGCATTCGTTAGAAGCGAGCTGGGGGATGATGAGCGCGCGTTCATTAGACTTCCAAAACATTGGTCTGCGGACCCGCGTGGGGACGTTGTGAGACTATTGAAAAGCCTTTCGGACTGAAAACAGCCCCTAGAAAATGGCATGACTGCTACTCTAGCTTCCTACTGAAAACAGGTTGGGAAAGATGTCCCAATGAGCCCGGTCTCTTCCGGCGCAAGGGTGTAACTATAGCCATCTACGTTGGTGACTCCCTAGTTAGTGCCAACACAAAGGAGGAAGTAGACCAAGTGATCAAGGAAATCCTGGCGCGCTTCGATGGTAAAGTAATTGATGCTGAATGGTCTGCAGACAAGAAAAGGAAAACTCAAATCCGCGATATCTTGGGGGTGCGACTATCGTACACCAGAGAACCGAAGGAGATGAAACTCGACGCGGAACAGTCCATCAAGAAGCTAGCCGAGAAGTTCAAGGTAGAACCAGGTAGGGCTATTCAGTCGCCTTGTGTTTATAGCGATCTTACTGAAGGCGCAGAAGATTCAAACTTCCCACTGAGAAGTCTCGTCGGAGGTTTGCAATACATTGCTACACAAGCAAGACCAGACTGCTTTTTTGCGGCGAACCGCGTTGCGAGGCATGTCACGACTCCGACTTCGGCAGTCATAACAGCTTCAAAACGTGTGCTGCGGTACATGCTGCAAACAGCGTCTTGTGGGGTGGAATACAGTCCAACCCGGGAGAAATATTTCTTCCAGACTTATGAGGAAGTCCTCAAGAGTCAAAAGAAGTCTGACTTACGAGACTTTGTGGCGTTTTCTGATGCAGATTATGCGGGGTGTACAGTCACACTGCGTAGCTGCTCGGGTAGTATACTCTATTATAGGTGTACTCCAGTTGCTTGGAGCTCCAGGAGGCAATCCATTAGAGCAGCTAGCACTTGCGAAAGCGAGTATGTAGCAACTTGTGAAGTCTCAAGGCTTTATGGAGTGGTATGCGTCCAACGCTATGCTGCCACAAATTTTCTGTGGCAATCGGTCTTCTATCATGGTGGCAGGGACCTCCCTACCCACCAAGAAAACAAAGCACTTCCAAACGCGTTTTCACGCGGTGAAGGATCACGCAGAGGACATCTGCTACTGCCCGACTCACATGGATGAATCGAGCTGATCCTCTTACCAAACCAATGGGGAGAGCCTTGATGGTGTTCCAAACACCGCCTGGCATTTCGCTCAGCGACAAGAAGCGCGACGCGCGTGCGTTGTATTGCTGCATCGCTTGAGGGGGAATGTGGGGGAAGTATCAAGGCCATAGGGGACTGCGGGAACCTATGGAAAGCGGTGCTTTCCTCCCATGCCGTGCGCCGCATCATCGGTAGCGCACTGGGGGCGGGCAGCTAGGTGCCTGCGGGGGTTTTTGTCCGCATAGATAGTGGAATCTACATTGATTTCCAATCGGGTGGCGTCTCGGATGACCGTAGCCATTTCTAATAGTGAACGACTGTCGTCTTTCTGGTGTTGGCTTTGAGCTAGTTGACTGTCGTTGTCGTTTCTGACTTGGTGTTCTCTATCCAGTGTCAAGACGAGGGCAAAGGCCTTCATCGTTGTCACTGAGAGGGGGAATGTTGGGCAGAATGATAATGGATAGATCAACAACGTGAAACGGCTCAAGGATCTCAGTCAAGAGGTCCACCAAGATCGTGAGCCAAATGGTTACAGGATCAGAATCACACCAATAGGAAGATCAACAAGATCACACCAAGGGGATCGCCATCAGGATGATCACCATAGGAGTGGAGTGCTAACTATCGGGATCGAGAACATCAGCACCGAGATCCCTAGCGTGGCAAGTAGTTTGATACTCATTGACATGAACAAGCACACTTTGAAACTGCATGAGAATCATAAAACTGAATGGACTTGCTCCAACCTTCGCAGGTATAGTGAAGGGGATACTGTTTCCAACTTGACTCCCCTGCGGGTCTAGTTTTCTAGTTTTTCAGTGTTCTAACGCATAGAGTAAGAGTAACTTCAAATCGAAACTAGCAGTGGCGTTATGAACATCTTCACTCAGGTGAGCTGTAGCACATAAAAGGCCACTCTCATCCACTGAACTTGAAGTCATAGATGATCACGAATTTCCTATCAAACGTTGACGCCAGACCCCCACATCCCTCTATACGGATTCAATAGGAGACTATATGAAGACTCGGGTTTCTTAGGACATGTTGACGGCATGAGCGTCAGCGCTGTTATTCGGCGGTTGTGTCCTTGAGCCCTTGCTCACTTCAGTTCTTTTACCCCCATTGTGTAAAAAGTGGTGCTGTATATAAAACATAAAAAAAAAATAAAAAAAAACAGAAAATATAAAACAAAAAGAAAAAATATGAAATTAAAACAAAAATAAAAATAGCATGGCATAGATTAACTTCAAATCGAAATTAGCAGAGCACCATGTGGCCGAATATAGCACCATTTGAAGTCGAGTACTGCCATAGTCCTGGAACAGGAGGCCTGCTTTTATCTTCCCCACCATCTACGGCAGAAGCCTTGCCTTTCCAGTAGCAGATCTATTGGCTTCAACCTTGTTCCAGCAAAGAGAGAGAGAGAGAGAGGAGGAGACACGAGTGATTTTTTTATTAGAGACGCTATGCCTCCCCGTGAGTGGGCACGTCAATCATTCAATCAACCGGCAAGTCAACTTTTACAAAAGAAGGAGAGGATGGAAAGATATTTGGATACTAGTACAGGCGTAAAACGATTTCGGTATCAGAAATCTACTACAGGTCACTCACTCACAGCTCACTGCGCACTCACACAGGGAGGACATGACTACGGTTTATTCTTATCGGTGATTGGTCGGTGAGCAATAAGAGAGCACTTTTCTTGACAGTCATGATGATCAGGTTATCAAAAAGTAAACGATAAGCAGTGTCCTAAGATCGAGCTCAGCCTTCCCACCTCCTGATAAGGTCCCGTCTTACCTGGCACATCCCATCCACCTTTCGGGCCGTACATGGTGAATGGGTTTACTCCTCCTAATTAAATGAACATCCTACGCCCGCTCGCCAAGAGCTGGGCATCTCATCATCATCATCATCATCATCATCATCATCATCATCATCACCATCCTACGAGCACTACTAATGCTCCTCCTAGTTTCTCACATGGTTGTTCTTGCAGAAGATTGCTGTTCTCTTTTCCATAGTTGACGTACATGGAGACACATTCTTGAGTGCTGGAACAAATATTCTCGTCATACTCTAGGAGTGGAAGATGAGCCAGATATCTCGCCGCCATCCAACATCTATCTTCGTTTCCTCCTCTCATTCCATTCAGATAAAGAATGCTGCTTGTTTGTTACCTGCGGGTATGTTAGAATTAGATGAAAAGGACGCTCTTTTTTAGGGTGTGTAAGGTGGACAATATGCCGACGCACGTTTGTAGTTGAACTTGTGCTGATGATGTTAGTCGATTCGGGTTGGGCCCACGACTTCCCTGGATCTCTTTCTTCGGAGTTCCACGGATTTCGCCGATGTTGAAGCTGTGAGGGTGGTCCGCTGTCTCTAGAGTGGCGCCACTCGTTGTTGATAGGAAGCTGCCTCTGCTGCTCGCGCTTCCCTCTGCCATACTCTTCTACCCTTTTCGCTTTAAGCCAGTCCTCCAGCGTAGTTTTTGAACTTGTACGAAGTAGGATCGTCTGACGTTGAGAACAGTGACTCCTCTATTAGCCCACTTTCAGCTGCTGCACAGCATTAGAGGCCATTTATTTTTAAACAATTTATCAACGGCTCGGCCGCCTCTGATGAGAAGACCTCCAGTGCTGTTGGACGACACGCGGCGCCTAGAATAGACGGATCCTACTTAGCTTGGCCATTACTATAAGTTTGCACTTATATACTTTTTACCTACTATCCTTCTTTTTTCTTCCTAGTTAGCTTGGCTCCACCCGTATTATCAACGGGCACGACAAATACAGTAAAGTGTAAAAAATTAAACTTCTAATGTCGTGGGCCGCTAGTGATGTCCATGCGTTCTAATTCAAATTGCTTCCGTAGCCACTGACTGCTGCTGTTCCTCGTAAGAAATGAAAGTCGAATGACTTTTTAACTGCGTCTACTACTACATCTACATGCTAAGGGTAAGAAACTCCTGACTTGTTGCTGATGTGAGCAACTAGGAGGAGTTATGATTTTGTTGGCGCACTTTTCTCGGTCGGTTCCGCCTGTCAACTAGAAGGAGCTGGCGCACTTTATTTCTACGCGCTAATAGAGTAATAGTTTAAGTACCAGCACGTCGACAATACAAAAACGTTCACTGTGCGACGCTACGTCGATGAGAGTTGCCCTCGTCTCGCACCGCAGAAGCACCGCAGAGCTGCTCAAAGCGGTAAAGCCGAAAACGCCTGAGTGTGTCTCTCGCTGAAGGGCGTGGCAGCTGCGAGCTCCGACGAAAGACCACTGGCCACCTGATAATCGCGGCCGTATTATCAGGTGGCCAGTGGTCTTTCGTCAGTTATTTTTTACTTCATTTTCACTCAATCAAATACTTTAAGTTGCAGTACTACAGGGCTACTCAAGTCCAAATACTTCCTCAGTTCGAGTAGTCGAGTACAGGGCTACGCACTTAGTAGCGTTTATTGATCTTCGCATCATATTCATTTTTCTTGATCTTGTCCTCCATAACTCTAGACTCGGGGAAGACACCAAGAAATGCCGGCCAAAACAAGCAAGAATAACAGCAAGGATAACTCTCATCTTCCCACGTGGTTGCATTTTGGACCGTACCCCGTGAATGGGTAACCTTCTTGTTCTTACCCTTGCATTTGTGCCTACTCTTTCACTTTCCTAAAAGCTTTACACTTGTGCCTACAGCTTCTATTATTAAGTGCGTACTACTAATCATGGGCACACTACTACGCACTAATGCTACTAACTTACTACTTACTACTAATCATGGGTACACTACGACTAATACTACTAACTACCTAGTACTACCAATCATGGAGACGCTTCTCCTATTACTACTACTCCTCCCACTACTACTACTCCTACTACTAACAGGAATATTGACAGCAATAGGCTAGCTCGAACAAATCAGCTCCGTTCATTCTCCAAAGTCTGAAGGGCAAGAAGATGCAGGATCCAGATGTGTGACAGGGCCAAAGGTGGCAGGTGAAGCTGGCAGGCGAGTGACGGGACTTCTCGGAGAATGAATTAAGAGCATGTTGTGTAGGAATGGGATTACTCTATTTGTTCGAAACATAACAAGGAGCGCAACAGAAAACTGTCGTCCTATGCTGCTCTCTAGAGAATGTTTGAGTTTCGACAAGACTTCTATCGTCCTATGCTGCTCTCTAGGGAATGTTTGAGTTTCGAAAAGACTTCTATCGTCCTATGCTGCTCTCTAGGGAATGTTTGAGTTAATAAGAGAAAACTGTCGTCTATCTCTATTACCAAACTCAGTAGTTGTGTCCATCTACTGTACTAGCCTCAGTAATTATCGAATTCCACCTTCAGAAGCATTGTGCAGCAAGTCAACCACTTAACAAGGTGGCAAGTCAAAAAATGTTGCGTCACCTCTTGCCAGGCAAATTCATTCACTCAATAGCAAACTGCAACTATACATCTTCGCTTTCGTCAGACACAGACGCGCAAGCTCTTCGTCAGACACATAAGCATGATCCTGTAGTACTAGCTGTTGTGGCAAATTCTCCATCTTCAGCAGATCTGAACTCAAGAGCATCGCGCACTAGCCTTTGTTTTCCACACGGAGGCGTGTGGATGAAGAGGAAAATAAATCTCAAGGACGGATGGGAAGTCATTAACTGTTCGTTGGAAAAAGTATCCTTTTTAAGAGACCAATCGGTCCTGATTCAACGCCAGGTCGTGAAGACAGTTGATAATTTATGGTCTCGCGCGAAGACTCCCTTTTTTCATCACACTTATTGGCTCACCGATATGGACCATTAGCACACACTGACCTCATCAATATGGACCATTAGCACACACTGACCTCATCAATATGGATCATTGCCCATCTCTATTACAACATGAAGAAGCTGCTACCCTCATTCCTTCATCACATCCCGCCTTCCCTAACTACGTGTTGAACTTATCCCCAGAACCGGCAGACTACGACTACTGCGACTACTCCGACTACTCCGACTACCTACTACGTACTACCTACTACCGCCATTTATTGGCTAGACAAATTCCTGTACTAGGACTAGACTTTGCTGCTCTTACAACATACAGACTATTACTCTATACCAACAACTAACTAACTACAGACAGACTCTTACCTTCTGGGTGATATGATACTCACGAGCATTCCTTACAGTTTGTTGCAAATTATTATTCTGATTTTTTTGGTCGTGCTACCTACGGATACAGTACTCACATCTTTTTATTCCATTTTCCGATGTATGCTCGTGGTGCCACGGCTTTGATTCCTAGAGATTTCAGATGATGGACTCAGAGGAGACCTATCCGCATTGATTAGTAACCAGGTGGGTTACATCTTGTAGAAAAAAAGGCGTAATAAAGAAGTTGAGGAGTATTTTTACTTTTTGCTCAATATGGGAGTGTAGATGTGTGACTGAGTATTCCAATTCCTGCTGTTGCGTACTAAGATGTAGCAAGTAGCGACTTTCACTCCAAACCTCATTGCAACGCAGCTAAGTAGTTACTAGTGCTACTTCCTACTTCTCCTCTATGTATAGGCTACTCCCTTCTCCTCAATAGGGTAGGCATTTCCTTCTCCTCAATGGGGTAGGTATTTCCTTCCCCTCAATAGGCTGCCTCCTTCTCCTCAATAGGGTATTTCTTTCTCCTCAATAGGGTACTTTCTTCACTCGTCACTAGGGCGCTGAACGACGAGCCAGAGCCGGACGTTGAGCAAGCGCCGAATCCTTTCCGGCTAACCGGCGCTCCAGGACCCAAACGGCCGCCATCGCTCGGTTACTTTCGACCAAAAGTTCTACGATCTACGAGGACAAGTCTGTCCTTTTTTTAAATGAGTAGGAAGAACGTTCTACTTTTAAACACTTAGGAACGCTCTTGTGCGGATCTACGACAGAAAGCGGCGCTGCGGCACCACCCGAACGGGATTTAGATGATGACCTGGACTCAGACTCTTCTAGTATTCCAGACGACCCGAAGCGGCTAAGTTTGAAGGAGAGGCGAGCGGGAGAGTTGGGGGCGTGGGTTCCTCCAAGCGGCCCGCTAGAGTCGTACGGGGTTTATTACGGTAGAAGACTTGAAGTATTGGCAGGAGAAAGCGAAGCCACTTGAAAAGCCGCACGTGTGGGCTACCTGGATGGCCGCAAAGCTCGACGCGAGGACTTCCCCCGCAGAGCATCGTTAAGGCAAAGGCCTCTACCTCGTCCAGAAAGAGGCGAATTTGCGTCCGTACTCGTGGCCAGCGTGCAGGCCTCTTTGTTTTTTGTTTTTCGGGAGAATGCTGAGCGTGGCCGAAGGCCAACAAGAAGAAGATGAAACTAACTCGTAGAGCGTCTGGGAGGTCTGTCCTCAGACGCTGCAGCACGCGCAGTGGTACACCAGTACGATAAGAAAAACCCGGAAGAGAGGAAGAAGTGTCGGAAACAAGTTAGATCCGCCTTCCACAAAAATTCTATGTATAAACTCAGTCCTTACTGGTCTGTGAATAAAAACAGAGGGAAGATCGCCCCCGTGCTGCTCCGGTACTTGATGTTGATCTTGGAGTCAGGAGCCACTCGGTCGCGGCAAGGTCTCTTTGGAGTAACAGGCGTTGGAGGTTGTCTTGAGAAGTTAGCTCCTTGTAAAGGACGGCTCCTTGTAAAAACAACCCGACAAGACACAAAGCAGGCTCGTATAGTAACTCGCTTCGCTGTAGCATCATGCCACAGTGTGTGTCTCTTTTTAGAGGAGTGAGAGAGAAGCGAGAAAGGATACCCTGGCATTTTTGGGCTTTGCAAGAATTGGCTTCGAATTTATTGAACTTCTTGTGAAGGATATCGTGCGTCAAATGAGAAAATTAGTAGACCTAATTACATGCCTCAATATGAATATGACATTTTCAACGACTTCTTGACCATGTTGATGACGTCGTCTTAGCAAAGAGCTGCTGCCGAGGTTGCGCAGCTACTGCGCACCTGCGGAAGGCGACGGACAACCGCTTCGGCACCGGACGACGGCTCTACAATGCTGCCCAAGCACTCGTCAAAGATGCTGCATGTAATTTCTAAAGTCATGCCGCGTTTTCGTCGTTGTACCTTCTACACCTACATAGTTTTCTTCGGACATCATGCCTGGAGTATGGATCAGCATGTGCCGTTGGACAAAAGCGAGCAAAGTCTGGAGAAGCTGATCTCCTATGCACCAGATTTATGGCCTCCGCAAGTTTATCTTATTATAAGTGAAAGCGGCAACTAACTTCGGCACCTTTTCATGTTCTTTCAAGAGGAAAAATGGTCAAGAAATAAGATGAACATTTAGGGGGAAGGTCTAACGGATGCGCACAAAGAGCCTCCGAATATCGCGACGCCTAATCAGATAGATGCAGAAAAGACTTTCGGTGCTGATGTCCACATGTCCTACCGCATGCCTTTGGGCGGCATGACCAATTTGCACCATCCAACCTCGTGCTCTCGCAAAAAGAACTGCGATCCTCGATGGCTTGAAGTGCGGCAAATGGTCCATCTATTCCTAGATCAGCCGTATGGCCATACAGCGGTAGCGGGGATGATAGTTAAGGGGACAACATTTAACTCGTAGCTACTATTGTGTCATATGTGCAGGAGGTAGTCGAAAATAGATCTCCTGGAGGAAAAGGTACTGGTACATGAAGAAAGGACTGCAAGAAGGACTTATAGAAAGTGTCCATTCATCTGCGTCGCTCTAAGACTCGCCGTCGCTGGGATTTATCGAATTGCGATTGCACCTGTGGAGCCTGTCATACTTTCTTGAGTGAGTGTCCTCTGGGGCATCTGACTACCAAATGGATGTCGTTTTTCGGCACGACTGCGGCGTTTCGCGCTTTGCTGGTGTACGGGAACGTTCTACAAAAATCCGACGTGCAGAAAATGGGTGCGGTGGAAGTACCAGTACAGGTATGAAAAAGGACGGTTGATGTGCTTTTTAGAGCATTGGTACAACAAGAATACATTTAACGGACATAGTAACTGAGGCTTTTGACCTCACTAGAAGATTTCATATTATCCCCAAGAATGAAAATGAATTGAAAGAAAAAGCTCGATCCCATTTGCTAGTCAGCCTCCTTCTATGTATTTCGAAGATGAATTTCCAGACCAGGACCACCCCCCTGAAATGCAAAACCTGGGTTCTTTCCTGTTCTACATTAATTTATCGGGGGCTCCGAGCAAGACGTGCCAGAGGATGAAGATGAGGGACTTGTAAGGCAGTTCGATATCGTCGAAGATTATGGCAGCAATATCCTCTTCATGATACGAGGAAACTGGGGAAGCTACAATCTGATGCAGTCGGGCTGGCCGGTTTACGACGTGTTGCTCCGATTGATTATGGCTTTGTTTGAGCTTTGTCATGAGCGTCTCAAGAGCGGAAAGATTTCATCACTCGAATGTGATGAACCTGAAAAAATTACCGAGCCTGAACAATACACCTGTACATCACGTCGACGATAAAGTAGGTGTAGTTGTCCCTTCCAACCCTTGTGTTTATAAGGATGCGCAAACAATCAATCCATGCATGCTTCTGCCAACAAATCATCATCTCCATTCCAAGTAGTACCTGTCTTTTCCCAGAACCCTCTAAGCTCAGCCATCAACTTACGGAAATCGATGGCTATCCCTTGGAAAATTATATACGGGGTGGCGCAGTCTCCCGTATGCAGCTAGAAGCAGAAGCGGCGCGAAACAGCGACATAATCGTGTCCGAGATCACGCATAGAAACGCTATATGGCTGAGTTAATTGTTAGACGTCTTCAAATGTCTATGTCTGGGCTGGAATTATTCTCTTCTTCAATGTACTAATCAGAAAGCGAAGTCTGTCTTCTTGCATTTACAGTGGAAAGCTGGTGAAAAGTCTTGTGCTTGTGTATCGGCTTCGGGCAAGATTTCATCACGATCGCCTTTCGAGAAACCAGTGAGCAAATTACTATCCTAGCTGCTATCAGCACCTACAAAATATTATAAACGAAAACTTAAACTTCAAAATTCAAATTCAACATTCTGATCCTTCATGTCCCCCTATGCTTCGACGTTTCGACAAGCCAGCGTGGTTTTGTTGCTTCCCCACGGCAGAGGAGAGAGTACGACAGGAAATCCAAGTGCTGAAGTACAACTTGAGGTTGTTGCAGTTTGAGAAGATTTTCCTTGGATGGTTCGGTTTCCTCCGAGAAGTCGTCGAAGAGGCGTTTGCAGAAGGACTATCCGAAGGTCCAGAAGAGGCTTCTGCAGAGGGACTAGCATCCGAAGCTCGAGAAGAGGATGGGGACACTAGTATTGCTTGGAGTTTGCCGAAGCGTTTATTGAACTTCTTGCAGCGACAGTTGGATGGCCCGTTGCAGAGGAAAGCCTTTGCGTGGTACCGATCTTTCGATTAAGGGCATAGGTTACTTGGTTCAACGAGTCAGCATTTTATTTAGGTGAGAATAAATGCAGAGACATTGAGATTTGAGATAGTACGTCATACCTTCGGAATAAGAAAGATAAGAAAGCCTTCAGCGCTAATATCGGCGTTACTTGGGACATGCGCGGAGCGAACTTTCGCGTGACTTCTTCCTGGACAGTGCGAATTACACGCTACTTTCTCCCATTGCCACCTACTTCGAACATCATAAAGCGTTACTGTCGAGTCATCCCTTCGCGAAGCGCGTGCTAGATATGGAGATCTTCTCAAGGCTGCGAGAGGAAGAAAGGGGGGAAGGGAAACTACAAGGTGCTCTTTTGCACTCAACTGCAGACGGAGAAGCGCGTAGGTTGGAGGCTGACTTGGTTGGTCAAGACCACTCGAAGGACACAGTTCCAGATAAACCAAAACTCGCTGAAACAATGATCATATTAAGGCTTCCCCTAATCCATCCCTGTAAAGAACATATGTATCTCAAACTAACATTCATATGCGCCCCAATTATACAAGGGAGATGCTGACGCATATGCTTGAGAAATTTCCACAAAGATGAATAGGGGAGAGCTCTAATCATAAGGAAAAACAGCAACAATGTTCATGCTGTTCCAAAGCGTCCAGGAACCTCACGTGAGCACTTTCGGGATTCGCGTGGTGTAGATTTCCAAGTTTCCCACTTTGCAGATGGCCCACGCATCATGCATGAGCCGGACAACGTGATCTGGCGACTAAATCTTGCGCATGACCGCATAGGCCTGCCTGGCTGGGTTGCCGCGTCACCATTGATCGAGTTGAATAATCTGACTACACCTTTTTTCGAGAGTCATTTTGCATCCAGCTCCAGTTCTTCGGTGCCGACGGACGCAGCCGCTCCTGGTGTTGTAGCGGCTAGCACTCTTGAAGCTGAAGGGGTGGGTGAACAAGTGGGGGAAGTTCTAGAGGAGGATTTGGAGCCCACTAACACTAGCGCTGACAAGAAGGCCTCTACGAGTCGTGCGTCTAGCAATAGAAGCTCACGACGAGGAGCAAGATCCACCAGTTTGCGCTTTCGTTTGCCATTCAGGATAGGCGCAGAACGATCTGTGATTACCCCCACTGAGATCAGTTCGATGCAGAAGCACATTCGGCAAGCCACTAAATATCTGCTGCCAAGCTGTTCTCTTCAACAGGCCGTTGCGCTCGCAGAGTACACTGCTGTCACAGTTCTCGGCGTCAATTTGACGCACGTGTCTCCATCCGGTGACAATATTTTCGTGAACCCTGGTTGGGCGGCGTCACGGAGGCGCGAAAAGGAGAAAGCTGAAAAAAAAAACGATGCTGCAGCAGAGGAAAGACCAACTACAGACAAGAAGAGTCACCCAGAACAAGCTGCATCAAGCAAGGAGCAAAGTCTTTTTTCTGCTTACGAAAAAGGCCAAGCTCTGGAGGAAACTGGGTTTTGCCGGGTCACCGCATCTGAACTAGAGCGCGAGGCGACGTCGAATACGACAGGTTTTTGGTCTGAAGAGCTGTTTCAAAGATACCACGACGGACGCAGTTTTGAAGAGGCGCATGGACGTACTTTATGAAAAAGGGGGTTGCTTTCATCTTGCAGAATATCTAGTAGGATCTTCCTTTGTTTCCTACCAAGTTTATACACGCAGGAAAGTGTCTGCTGTATTTGAGAGCTTGCGAAAATGAATCGGGGCCTGTAGGCAAATATAATAAATATGTTTAAGTACTACAGGAAAGGGGAGATAGCCATGATAACCCCGAGCTCGACGAAGGTCTGCTTAGAAGATGGAAAAAGCTCCCTCCATATACTCTGGAGGACTGGCAAAAAGAAAAAGTCCACGTACCACGATGGCGCGACATAATTTTGCGTCGTATCAACACAGAGACCACCGACTTTTGGCATTACACCACGATGGAAGACCTAGGCTTTCGAGTGGACACCTGGAAAGATTCGGAAGATTATAGTTATGATGGGTAGACTACTACTACTACGGCTGAGACCGGATTTTTTTGATTTCGCGGTTCAGGAGCTTCAAGGGGCTGTTTATTCGTGATAGTTGCAGGTGTGCCTGAACATGCAGGAGAGAAGTCGGATATTGTGATGAACACAATGCAGAGAGTTATAGGGCACGCGCTCATTGACCTCAAAAATATTTTCTTAACATCTAATCATACCAACAAAATCAAAAACAACACCATTCTGGTTCTATGCCTATGGTCAAATTTGAGGTTGCAGGATGGCAGGCACAGGACAGGCCAAAAGCTACTGTAGAGGTGATCAACGGTGGAGCGCGGGACGAGATTGTGATGTCAATTACAGAGGAGCAAATCGTAGACCTAAAGCAGAGGCTAGAGGCTTTTCTGTCGATCATGCTCACGGAGATCGATCTGCTGCTTCATATGAACGCGCGTTGGCAGCGGAAGGGGTTTTTTTATGACATAGAAGTACTTAGCAAACTAACAAGAAACAAGACATGAAACTGAAGGGACGCTTGTCCCTACTTCTCCCTACTAGTTGTGATTTCACATATTACGACTCTCGTGCTTGCAACTTTGATTCGCCTTCGTGAAAAGCTTTCTGCTTCTCTAATCTTGTGGCACATTATTAGCCCTCCCCGAAGCGCGACGGCTGCTGAAAGCCTTGGCCATAATCCAACGTTCAATTTTGCAAGAGTTTTACTGCGGCCGCATGGATCTCAAAGGGAAAGCGAGCGTTGCTTTCCAAGGTGAGTGGAAGGTGGAGGCTAGTGTGATAAATTTGCTGAGTGGAGGTTTGGGCTTGGATCTCCTCAAGCAGCAACGGGAAACCAGAGAGCGCATAGACACTTCTAGCAAGCAACAGGGTTCTTCGAAAACTAAAACACGGAAGAAGCAGAAAAATGATAGACCTGAAACTTCTGTTGGTGACCAGGAGGAAGAGCAGATCCCGAACGGTGAGGCAGAGCCATCCTCTAGCTCTACAAAGGTTACCTCCACGACTGAAAAAGAGGACCATAAAAGTATCAGTGCCGCGAGAATACGAACAGCAGTACAAAAACAAGAGTCCTCCTCGGTCTCCCCCCCAACAACGTCTACGCATAAAAGGGCGAACTGGGCTGTGATGGCGAATGGACAGAAGCGTCGTGTCAATGTCGCTAAGTTTTCTGAAAAACGCCTGTCCTCATCCTCTTTCTTTGCAAAGAGAGTATCGAAGAGATTTGCGTTTGTATCGGTCATGTTTGACAATAACGAAGTGGACGTCTACATCAACGCTCTCAGGACACTAGCGCGGTCGCTTTTCAGATTATGAGCATGTGTCTTCACTGATTCTAATTCGGTAACGGAGATGATAATGAATACTTCTTCTAATAGATAGAAATACGCTCTTTTTATCTGAAGCTGATGATCTTTCTCCTATCGCTTCTCTGTACTAGAATAAGAAGTTGTTATTCAGGGCTTCTACTAGAACCACAGGGCAGCTCTCTCTGAAAATCTCAAGGGAGAATTCTCTAACCCCAGTACACCGTGGAAAATACGGATTTGTGATTCTCTCCGATGAACGCTTGTCGGAAACTACAGAGAAAAAGCTGTTGAGAGAACCTCGCTACAATCTAGAGGTCCGAAAAGTTCCTGCGAGTGAAATAGCAGAAAATCCTAGATTTGGAGTCGAGGATGAAGAGGAGGAAAGCAGTATACCACCAGCACCACGTGGTGAAGAAGGTGGTGAAGACGGGAAAGCCGGAACTTTTTCAGATGGTGCAGCCGCAGCGTCTAGTTCAGATCATAGCGGGGCAACGGTTTCAGATGCTGCAGCAGCAACGTCTAGTTCAGATACTAGTGGAGGGGCATCGAACTCGCAGGTCGCAGCAGAAGCAGCAGAACTACCCTCAGGTGAAGAAGTACAGACGGCGAAGCCAAAAAAGATTGATTGGTGGTACGAGAGGCAGACTAGGCCAACGGCAGTGGGGTTTTATCGATGGAAACTACTGGAATTTGAAAAAGTGATCTTCCTAGATGCGGATATGCTTCTTCTACTTATGGAGGTAAGTGAAACAAGTGCAAGAAAAATTGCACTATTTACCGATGTTTCAGTTCACAGTTTTACCCGACTGAGATTGAGAAGATTTTCGCGGTAATAATATAATAATGCATCACATGATTGTCCACAAAGAACTCATTTACAGTTTTCTGCGACGTAGTGAGTATTACACAAGTTCAAGTAATATTCGAATATCGATCTTGATCTTGAATGACGATTATGGCCTAGTCTAATCTACGCCCGATCGATGAGTTGTTTCAAGTAACAGCGCCGCTGGCCATTGGGATCACTCCGTTCGCCACTTTTCGGCTTTTCGCGGACATGAATCGCTTTCCCTATCTGAACATAGGCGTTATGGTGCTCACGCCGAACGAGGTGTTTTTTCGGACTCTCATGTTACGGCGTTATTCTATACCGATTACGATTTACTTGCACAGAATACCACAACTACATGGTTTGTGGTGTCCTGAGATGATCAAGAAAGTACTTTGGTACAATTATAATCAAAAGTGATATCATTCGCTCTAATAACTTACGCGCTCGAAAATCCTTCTTCGCCTGTCATACGGGACACAAGACTCAACCGCTTGTTCGAGAAAGGACTACAGCAGCCTTGGCTAGTTAAGACTTCTTCGGAAATCCATCTTCAGAAGCATCTTGGACCTCCCGTGTAGGACGGAAACGGGCCCAAGACGGCTTTCAGACTCCAGGTGTATTCCCAGATGAAGGTCTAACCTAGACAACTTTTTGGTGCGGAACCAGGTACGCTTGGGCTATGTACGCTTCGAGCCTTTGGGTACGGAACCAGAATTGGCGCGCAAAAGGCGTAAATTCTTCTACTATCCAGAACTCAGGAGAAAGGAACTAGGTGATGGGGCGACCAGTGGAGAGGTAGAACAAGATCATATGAGCAAGAAGAGCAATGAGCACGACAGTAGTAGAGTGGTAGAGGACAATAACATATCGAAAGAGCAGGCGAATGAAAATGGTGTCGAACAAGTAGAACAAGATGGAGAAAACGGTCTTGGGAATCGGGTGGACGAGACAAAAAATGTGAGTCCACCTGAAGCGGCGGAAGAGCGTGGTTACTCCAGCGACGTGACTGATCCGCGTATGCTTGCTTTGCATGCTCCACCGGGTGGTCCTTGGCTGAAGTCAACAGGACGAGGAGATGCGCTACGCAGCTCTGCGGGATCTTCACCGGATGAGGGATCACCGGATGAGGACTTGGCAGACGACGAAGAGGACGATAGATCAGACAGCAATCAAGTGCCGCTTACCTTTGTCGGGTGCGATGAGAACTTCGCCACGCGATGGGAACACGGGGAGCTGTTAGGCCGTGGGGCATTGCTTCAGCCCGACACGGTACGTTATTAGAGGATACATAGTGCCGATCTTCTCGTTGATAGTACTAGTGATAATCTTGGGATTTTGAATGATGTAAAGACCCATAGATGCTGGTAATGCGGCCATAAGTCATGTTCATCTTGCATTGATACATGAACAGGTTATCTTATCACTCCGAAGCCGAGACACTCTGCTCGAGCGCGGAAAGGGATACCCCACAGATGCCAACAGCATTCAGCGGGTGTATTTCACCTCACTAAGGCAGATCGCACACAAAAGTGAGGATATACATAGACACATCCAGAATGGATCAATGGTGCTATTCTTGTTTGCCCATGAGACTCTCCTCCTACCGTGATGTATCCTAGTAACATAGTGTCCTCGTGAATTTATCTTCTAACTCCAGAAGGCCGTTCCTCCGAGGTTGTTGAGCGGGATTTAGCGCGCATGGGCTATTCCAACCACTTAGTTTTGCCCTATCACTGCGTACTGCCCATGGAGTACAATTTTCTAGTCGAGTACAAGACCGGAACCCAGCTATTGGACATGGTCTGGAATGAGCACATTACCAAAGAGCAAGAATGGGAAGCGAAGTTATGTTATATTTATAACATTGTTAATAGGAGGGTAATTCTTCAGATTTATTTTGAGGATTGGTTGCGTACTATTCATGCTTATGCTACAAGAAGTGCAGGAAAATCTTACTCCGTCTGACGTACACTGGCGCCACTGCTGTAGGACGTGGAGACGAATCTCTTCTGAGTAAATCGTAGTTAACAAGTGGTGTATGAGCATCCAGTGAAGAGTTTAAGTTTTTCTTCTGAGTCAGAAGTTATCAAAAGAGCTATCTATCAAAGTAGTAGCAGAGTCACACTCACATCTTGCTCATTATTCCAGAAGTTATCAGAAGAGCTATCATGCGTCGAGTGTGTGATCAAATCGTATCCATCAACTAATTCATAAGTGAAAAAAGATAATAGTAATCCTTTAGATGTGTGATTTGCCTCCAGCACTTCATCTAAGTACTAGTAGAGTCACTTCTACACGTAGTACTAGTACTAGTACAGAGTCACTTCTACACTCACATCTTGTTCATTATGCGACGAACGACGTTACGAAAGGCACTTACGCGAAGAGTTTGGACCAGAGACGCGGTTCAATGTGACTCGCGACTTGGTGGCGTTCACCCAAATGAGCCTACCACCGAAAGTGCTTCACTGGGCAGGAGAGAATATTAAGGTTGTATTGTATTGCATTGTATTGTACTGCAAAATAAGCAGGTAGGTTTTGATATATCGGAACTCGCTCACGATACAAAAAAAAAAAAGCGAGATTAGTTGTATTGTATTGTATTCATTCTGAGTGAAGATTGGGGGACTGGGGGACTCAAAAAAGCCACATGTTGATATCCCATCCAAGCTTTAGAAGAGCAGTGTCATAGTGGGAGAAGTTATACTGAAGTGTTGCGTACTTCTTTTTACAATTCGAGTATATTTTTTCTCCTACCATCAGTGTAAATGTGGGTCATGTTGTCAGACAATGATTTTTGGATTCTTTAGTCAGTGAGATCCTGATCACCGTCATCGTGATTCTTCTAATTTTCGAAAGCCCTGGGAGCGCATTCATCCCTTGTCGCGGAGTCAATTTGATCAACTATGGTGGGATGAGTTTGAAGGTATGCAAGCGGAATTGGAGTAGATATCCATCCAAGGACACTGAGAGGTGAAAATCTAGATGACTTACCGAGATTCTACATTGGTTCTACAGCTTGGTTCTACAGCTTGGCTTTACGGCTTGGCTCTTTACAACTTGGTTCTACAGCTTGGCTCTACAACTTGATATGAGGACACTAAATTAAATGTGCCCACTTGATTATCTTAGTTCGTGATCCTTGCTGATAGATAGATGAATATATATTTGCAAGAATGTGATTCGGAAGGTGAAGGGAAGAGTCAAAATGAAACATAGCTGCAATAGAACAGTTTGTTCTCGCATGCTAGAGAACTATGCATTTGCAAAAAGGGAAGAGACAAGAACGTAGTGCAGCACACCTTGTGCACGAACTTGCTAAAGCGTGGCAGGAACCGGAAAGCCTATGAGTTTAGACTCAAGGGGACAGGGCTACTGTGAGCCTAGCACGAGGATAACATGAGTTGAGAAAATAGTCAAAAGAAAAGCCATGAAAATTACAAAAGTGCCAAGATGTGTAGCGCTCAACGTTTGCGTCTCTAATAGAAAAAGTTGAATCTTCGGGTATGCATTAGATCACAACTTCTGGACAGTAGAAGACGAATAGTCCTGTGGCAATCACTCATCTGTTGCGAGAGGGAGAGACAAAAGCACTAAGGAAGTTGGGTACATAGGTATGTTGACGGACCCTTTTTAGGTTATAGTTATATGAACTAGTTGTTAATAGATGCAGGATGTTGAACCCCTAGCATATTTCCACAAGCTGTCATCTCTGGCCTGAGAACGAAGCGTACAGCCTTTAAGTATACGAAATCTTCAAAATGAGTGAGAAATGATGGGACCCCCTTTGTTACCCCAACATGAGGTAGTGCTTTCTTACTCATTTTCTCAAAGCTTATATGCATTCCGATCTAGTATGTTCCCACTTGTGTTGGTTCACAGACTAGAATGACATTTCACGTTAGAAATTCTATTGCTATCACTTCCTCATTTTCCATGTTAACGCGCTAGAATGATATCCTACAGCTACTTTTGATCAAATGCCATCTTTTCAACTGCGTTTCTCCACGCTCTGTGGGGAGGAGCATGAGGTCGTCACTCGTGCTGCACCTGAGACGGTTGAAGAGTTCAAGGCCCTTCTTCAACGCAAGTACGATCCGCTGCGCGATGCGCCACGATCCTTGTTGCAAGTGTGGTCAGTACCTGAGACGCAAACTGCCTTTAGTCCGAATGTATACACGCCAGGGGAGCACGCGCCTTTTACGCCAGGAGGCGGGTTGAAAAACCTGAATAACTACATGGATGCTCCTTCTGCTGGTAAAGACACCAGCGGTCGTGGTGGAAAATCGAAAGAAATCTATGGTCTTGAGGGATCAATATTATTGAGGATCGATATGATCTTGAGTTGATCGATATGATCTTCGAAAGTGATGTTCGTTGAAAAGAAGATGCTCCTTGTACTAGTTATTTCTAGATGGAGGAGACGCTTGAGGAGAGATGTGTTCTTTGTCGCTAGCTGCTCTAAAGACGCGGGCCGGCTGAAGATAGAGGAGCAGCTTTTTCACCGCATACGGAGGCAGACGGATCAGGAGTGGGTCAGCCATCGAGGGAAACATTAGCTAGCCTGTCTCATGTTGAGATACCAGCTTTTCATCTTAGGAATTGCGCCAATTTCAGCGAGTTGTGTGAGCGACGAGGCCATGAAGAGGTCGTGTTGAAGGATAGCAACAAATCAAGACCGTAGCCTTTTTCATTTGATGGCATATCTAGCCTGTACGCTCACTCCGTCACAAGTGAGCCCACTCCTATCCTATCCTTTGTTGAGATGGCACGATCGATTATCAGTCTATTTTACTAAAATAGACTGTAATTAGACTTAGTTAGAAGTTGTACAAGAGGACTCTAATTTTCGCCGCGGGCAGGAAGCGCAAGGAGGCGCCACGCTTCTCGAGGAAGAGGAGGCACTCCAGCATGAAGACGGGGAAGATAATCCATTGGAAGAAGAGGAGCCACAATTACTCGGCGATACGTGCGCTATCGCTTATGCCGGTCAGCGAATGGTCACACCACTTTAAGGATAGTTGTTTTCTTTCACCTTCTCGTAGCAAGCTCGTGCCGTATGAGGTATCTATCTCGTCCCAGAGTAGGTTTTCCGTATAGTGATCAAGGGTGAACGTGAACCTACTACTCTATTACTTATCGAAAAAGTGTTTGTGTTTGAATAATTATTATGAGAATCAATTATCTCCACACCAAGAGAAGCAGAAGAGATTCACGTGACTACGGAGTATGTTAGTATGATGATGCGAAACTTCCACCGCATTCACACAGCCCCTACGGACGATGTCTCATGATCCAACACTACAACTTGTGCCGCTAACTATTACGTGTAATTCTGGCGCATCGGCATTTCCCATCTGATTTCCGTTTCTGGGAAGCAGATACGAGGACCCTAGACGAATGGCTATTTTTGGACGGCTACAGATCCCACTGCTTGAGTTAAGGACACAGCAAGTTCTTCTAGAGGGAGTAGAACAGACACACGGGGAAGGCTCAGGCTTCTACAGGGACTCGATGAATACAATTATGTCAGAAACACTCACTCGTCAGGGTACCGTTTCGCGACACTGTTGTACCTAGCGGGATCTACTTCTACTTCAACGGTTTCTACCTCGCTCAAGCCAGGACCTTCATCTAATTATGGGAGCTTCGATTAAGGCTCAAGCTCAACTTTCAATGGTCATTGGGGTTGGTCACTGAGATCGAAGGGGTTGGTCACTTGAGAACACAGGGGAAAACACAGGGAGAACAAGTAGAGGGGTAAAGGGCCCTTTTCTTTCAGCATCAGTGACCAATGAATGCTGAGCTTTAATTCGACATCCAGTTTTGTTTTTCTACTTTGTCGCGGTGATGCTGACATGCCCTAGCCCCCTCAGTCTGCATGGGGGCAACGATGCTGACGAAACTTGTAGCACCTCTTCAGAGGGTGCACCTTCAGAAGGTGGGCAACTTGCAGAAGATGCCGGTTCAATAGCGGACGTACTAAATGATGGACAACAAGAAGACGGGAATGAAGGAGCTCTTTTATGGCAAAAAGGAACTAAACGTAGTTCTAGTAGTAGAACTAGCAGCTCTTCTACTAGGAGAACTAAGAGTAACAACAGCGTTCCTTGCAGAACTAGCAGCTCTACTGCTAAGACTAGCAGCGATAATATGTTCGACTTTCAGAAGATCTTTTATTTCATTATAGAGTAGTTACCACTTTCAGCACTCTGAGTGAGTGCTAGTACATCAACTAAGTTTCCTCCTTCTCCAAGGGTCTTAGAATTATAAATATGAACAAATTCTAAGTACGGAGGATGGGGATGACGATTTCTACTGGTCTGAGGAAGCTGATGCTGCGCTTGCGAAGCTCGAAATGCTACTAGACTTAAGGCAAGCAACATGAATATAATCACTTCTGATGGACTTTCCACTTTTTTCTAGTTCTAGACGGGACTGGGAACAAAAGCTTCGCTTTCTTCTCCAGTGCTTGGTCTTTTTCCAGTGAATACATCTTTCTCTAATTTGTAAGGGGAGAGGTTTCTTCTTTCCTCCCACGCAGGATGGTGGATCGAATAGCGTACTAGATGAGCTCGATCACGAGCACGGTCCCTCTGGCAGGAACGACGAATATAGGTCCACACGGACCTCCAATCAGGTGTCTCGACTCCCATCGAGCAAGAGCCCAATAGGCCAGGCAGGCGGAGGGATCTTTGCGTATTGCCGTACAAGCCGCGAAAGCTCTAGTTCCTCAGTCGGAAAATTGATCCACAGGATGGGCTCACAGGTGTCCTCACGAGTGAGTCGACTGTCCTCTCGACTCAGTCAATTTATGAGCAATGGAAAAGTAGATCATCTTTAACACTTTAAATCCGTAGTTTTCCTTGGCGTCGTGGTTTACTTGTTCTGATTGTGATGTACAACTATCTAGGGTTCAATGGGCATGTGGTAACGTGTCGTTCGATTTCTGCACTGTAGAATGCAAAGCTCTTTGCTGTAGGTGGAAGTTGTCACATAAAAGAGAAGTTGAAGATGTCGGATCCATTTGTTATTCATCTAACATTTTCAGTGCGGGAATGAGGTCGTCGACGGCATCAAAGAGCAGCGTTTTTCGCTCTTCTTCTGCCTTACTTGAAGATTAAGGCTATATCTAATCGGATAATGCCATATTTGTTTCTCGAAAAGGCAGGTGCAACTACAGAAGTTCTGTCAATCCAGAGGTTCCCTCTTGCTTGACAAGATCGAGGTTCAAGATAACACATGAAAACCGAATTGAATCATTTGCATGTTGGTCAGGGTCGTTAACGAAAGCATCTAACAGGCGGAGGTCGTTGAGGGTCATCCACAAGAAACCCCTTTCGCCAGTCGTGGGCCACGATGGTCTTCTGCGACGTCTAGTGACCCACTAACAACCGAAAACGAGCAGCAGGCGCGTTTCTCCAAGCAGAACAATTCTTTAAGACTCTACTACATCAACATCTCAGAGATTTTCTTTTTAAAAAACTCTACGACATCAAAGGTTGGATGAAAAACTGGGCTGCATTTCTTGCTGCCAGCTGCTGCTTCCAACCCCGCTTGCCTCCCACTGCCTGAGAATTTCACTCGCTAGTTAACTAGCTAAACTTTAGAGTAGCTAAAATATATTCTTCGGGTTTTAGAATATGAATACGCTTTTTGGTTCCATACAGGATTGGCGGGGAGGGGGACTCACATGATTTTTTTGACGATCAAAGAAAGACTAGCAGCTCTAAGGTTGGATGAAAAACTGGGCACTTGCTGCAGTTCGTCTTCTCATGGATGCGGAGACGCAGGTGAAACATTGAGAGGAGGACAAAGTGAGCAGCCGTTTAAGTTACTTTTGAAAAAATTTAAAGTATGATTTAGATTTTGGATTTTGCAGATAAAGAGCAGAATAAGGTGAAATTCTCCCTGTATCTTCTCACACAGGCCTTTTTTAACAATGCCAAGAACAAGTACAGCACAACTTTGAAATACTGTCAGATCTCGTCTCTACGGTCATCACGAACGATGATAACAGAGACCACAGCATGCTTAACACACAACAGCTTGGTTTCTATCAGCTCCTTTAATGGCTCTCTGCGAGTCGGAGTTATGCGAAATTGGCCGTATGTTTTTGCTGGTGGAGATTCTGCGACACAGTTTTCGAGACCAAATCGATTTTCCTTGTGACTCCTCGGGTGGTGCGGAATATTAAGGGGAGTTTTTCACTATCCCATGTGGACTATCCGCCCATGTGGGCGCTTCCCTTGATTTCAAGGGAAAATATGGGGCGGGGCGAGGGGCACCTTATTTTTGACTCGGTATATTAGTGAAAAACTACCGCTAAGAATACGTGGATGCTATGGTTACGCCCCCTCGGCGTCTGCGCTACAGGCCGAACCGCAAGGCTGATTTTATTCTTCACAGAAGATCCTTATGAAGACCCGAATGATCAACTACTTATGTATTTGAAGTACGAGAAGGAGAAACTTTAACTTTTACAACCTAGACTACCTGGTTTATTTCTAATGTGAAGTCCATCTTCTACTTCCAGGCCTGTTCTGGCTGCTCCTGGTGACGCGCAGACTCGAAGATTCCGCAAGCGTTTCTACAATAATTTCTACTGTAGTAAGCAGCCAGACTGGCGGCCGGTTTTCCTACATCATTACGTCTTCGGTGGAGACGAAATCGCCTCTATTTTCTCACCGGCTAATCCTCTATGTAATCGGATGAACGACAAAGCGGCCTTGTCGTGCACTATAGAGCAGGAAGTAAAGGACTACAGCAAAATTGAAGCAGGGGAACACGATGGTGTTCGAGAAGACGTCAGTGAAATACATCATGGCAATTCCTCATCAAGATCTTCAACAGATTGTAGTACTGTGGCTGTGGGGGTGACAGCCGGTGGAAGTGGTTGCACTAATGCTGTAGGGTCCCCAGCCAGTGGCTTCGTTGCCTCATCTTCGACTGAATTACAGTCCACCTCGAACCGCGCGCAACGTCTAGCCTACCCAGTTTTTTTTCCTGACGTGGAGCCTCTACGCAAGGCCTTGCTGTGGCGCTACCTCACTGCTGAAAGAGTGCTTTCCCTCGACGCTTTTCCTTTCGCCAGTCTTGCCTCATCCTTTCGAATGGCCCAGATCAACCTCCGGTTTCGTGTACCTCGCGACCCCTTCGCCTGTGACGAAAGTCTGCTCACTGAGAGTGCAGATTTCTTATGACAAAAACTTAAACTTTGTTCTAAGAGTAAAAAGTAGGATTAGGAGCAACCATTTTTTATAAATAAAAATCATGCGTAATAAATTGTCCTAGGTGCTGGAAAGGATAACTGTAAGCAATGCAAGAACTGTTGAGCACCATCCATTGATGTCTAACTCTTGACGGGCCCAGACCTCTCGGTATTGTCGGGAGAGTTCTTGGTGTCTCTCCAGATTGGTGGCTCGATGACATCAGCTTAAGGCAGTACTTGTAGTACGAGGCGAAGTGCAAAAAGAAGTAGTAGTGAAGTAGTCTTCTATCCCCTTGGAGTGGGTACATTCATTCACTCATTTATATTGTAGGGATGAGTCAGGATTGTGTAAAGCGGAGCTCCAAGGTTGCTCCTGCAGTCTAATAAGCGTATTATTGGCGTCCGACGGGTCCTCGGAAACGGAATCCCAGTTGGAATCGTCAGCCGCTACAGGTATGAAAAGATGACGTAGATCAATCAAATCAATGAACCAGAAGGAGCAGTCCCTCTGAGGCTAAGTACGCACGTCCGCTCGAGTATGCAGGTACAACTGTGGACGGCGGATCAATTTTCTATCGTATCCATCAAAGACTTAATACGTGGAGAAAAGTAGGCATATTATAGAATAACAAGCCAATTATCATTGAAGCCAGGCACAAGAAACATTACAGACAAAGAAGGCAAAGTATAACTATAGATGGAAGGTAAGTTTCCTGCGACGGCGAAGTTGAAGCGCCATGAGCTATCCTATCATAAATTCTGTACTTCTCAATCTGAATCATTATAATGTAGTACGTGAGGAGCAACCTCTAATATTAGAACCAAAAGTAGTACTTAGACCGGCAACTCTACGACCTGCCCCTCACCTACATGCTGTTACTTGATCAGGGACGAACTTGGACTACTGTTATACCTTCATCGTTGTCCCTCTCCCTCCTGAACTACCACTATCTTTTATCCTTGGTCAGTCTAGAAAAGATTGATTTTGATACAACTTATTTCATCTAGACAACAACTTCGTGCTCTATGAAAAGATTATAATACAACTTTTATCCACGATTTCGTGCTTGTTTAGCAGCTTGAAATACCTTCCATTTTTATCATCTTCTTCCGAAAGAACACAGCCGAGGCACAGCGAGTTGTAGATGTGATGAATTACAACTACAGAGTGTGAGTGACTAGTTCCTATTCTTTATTCACCAGTTGCCGGGTTCTTCACTACGACTACCACCTACGCTACTGTGAACAGCTGAGTAGAAGTTGACACAAGTAGAACGATGAAGATGACGACCTGTACTGTTAGCGGCTTGATGGCCTTGGTCATGTTCAACATCAGAGCTTATCTCTACGGGTAGTTGTGTTTTTGCCTCTTCAATAGCCACTGCAGTCTGCTGGTTTACTTAGTAGACCCACAGCACCTACCTACCTAACCTAACAGCATCATCAGAGATAAGTACACGCACGACATCACGATCACGGTCTTCTAATTTTCCGAAGTGCTCGAAGTGGGACTTTGTAGCCATCTTGACGGGAATTCCACGTTTTCGACGCGAATTTTACGGAACGGACCTTGTTGATCCTCATCTGGCGGCAATTTTTCACGTTATTGCAGGGGACGGAAGACCATTAAGGGTAGGCTAAAGGCGTTCACGTTGCCGTTTGTTTTGCAGCTCTTAAGGGAGAGAGGCATAACAAACGCGGGAAGCGAGCACCAAAAGCCTATCTCTAAGACCACCACCAACAGGAACAGCCAGCAAATCGACGGTCGGGAATGCCGACAACGCTGAGGCTGATGATGCGGCAAGCCTGCATGACCGGGACAACGCTGATCACGCAAGCTCAAGCCTCCTTCACGAAGTCACGCGCCCTAAGGATGACCATGAGGGTGGTCACTCCGGTCTTCATGAAGTCACGAGCCCGAAAGATGACGACGGTGCCAAAGAGCTCCGATTAAGGCGATTCTTGCGTAGTAGTGAAGCACTCGTGCGTCATGCGTAATACATAGTGACTCACTCGTCATCCATGATAATGACTCACGACTCTTGCATCTTGTCGATAGCCCACTGATAGTCGTTTTTGTGTCAACATTAACGGGTCGTTTTCCTCTTGGAATCTGGTCTCAAAAACTTGTCTAATGTGCCAGATCTTGGCAGAATACACAGACCTCGATCTTCCAAACTTTAAGGCCCTTATTTTCGATGAAATTTTTATGTCAAGCATATGGAGAAATAACTCAACCATGGTTCCGATGAAGTTTTTACCTCAAGGAAGCATATGGAGAATGAAGGGACGCAATTATTATTCAGCCACTGACACTGAACAAACTAGAACTGATAATATGCAGCATCAATGTTACAAGTGCTACAGTGTAATCTCAAGCATATCCATAAATGTGAATAACAACTGAAAGGGAGCGGGTCTTCAGCATGCAAAGAAGTTTGAATCTAAGAATACTTCCACCTCGTGCAGCACTGGAAAAGAGACATTTTCGGAGAAATTCACGACGCACACACTGCATCGGTTGGTAGGCGCTGCAGGCGAAGAAACTGGTCACGTCGCGCGCAAACTAAGGACGCGAGTTCGACGAATGATATTTCTGCGTCACCATTAAGACAAAGTCTGTCACGATTTTCTTACCGCAATGATTATAGGGAGCATCTGATACCTAATATGATCAGAGTCTCATAGTCAATTTTCATTTTGACCATGTACACGTAGATTCTGGTGCTATAACCATATCTAATAGTCTCATATGGCTTTGGGCTCGCCAACTATCCTGAACGCCGACTTCTCGTCGCTCCTCGCGCACGGTCGGTACCAAGACTGCAGGCTGCTTCTCGAGTTGACGTCAGGACCAGAGTAGCGTATAATATAAGGGAGAAGCAGATGTACTCACACTGTCACGAGCCAGTTCTTGCTTTGTGAAAGACAGAGAACAAGGTAGTAGGCCAGTAGTTGAGCTTGAAAAAGTTAATAGGAGCATGGTGCTTGTCAAGCTACTAAAATGAATTTTTGAACAAGGTTGATGTAGTAGAGTTGCCGATACTTATACCACATGATTGATCTTGATCTAAAAGTTAGTACTAGGGTAGATGATACATGAAAGGTACTAGAAGGCACACTTTCGCTCCTGATAAGAAAGACGAAATCAGACATTTATCCTATCACAGGAGAACAGGAAGTCTATTTTTTTTGCGTTTTCCAGTTTTTTGCTTCTTCTTGTCGACAGCCGTCTTAGGTGGTAGTAATTATGTTTATGATCTACTCATGGATTTCATTGACAATGATGATATTTCTAGCTAGCCAGTGTTAGACTTTATGAGAGCCAAGATGATATTTCTAGTGAGCCAGTTGCGTTAATGGAAGCCAAGAAAGGTCCTTCCTATAATGTTGGCACATGCAAGAACCGCAAACGACCGGTAAACTTTGTGTAATCGCTCGATAGCAAAGATGGCTGTAGATAAGACAGAGGACGCAGCAATGTTGCATTTGCGTTTTCGACAGCGTGCGTCGATCAGTATAATTTAGTTCGGAGGATACCTTTGAGTGCTTTTATAATAAAGAATATGCTGACTCGATGTCTCTACGGATGTTGAGAGCAGCACCATGAGAGATTCACACATGACAAGTACGTGGAATCAGGAGAAGGGGTCGCAAAAAATTGGCTCGTAGAAACGAGACCACCGTCATAATGGATCTTTTTAGAAGTCTACTTTCAACATCACCAGCACGAGGGACCATCTGGCGGACATGAAGCTTCTATCTTTGTGTTCTTGGTCTTTGCCGAGCATAGTTGTTGGTCTTTGCCGAGAATGAGTTTGCAAACCTTCATCTTCTTGGGGTTCTCTCTCTACGTTGCCTGGTGCGTTAGTTCTTCTATTGGCGCGTTATTTCTTATGCGAGCGGAATTATGAGTATGGTGCAGGATCTTCTGAAAATGAATGCGAGTGAGAAGTATGTCCTGCCTGAGTGTACGAACAATCTTTCTGATGATAGGTACATGCATTAGGTGATCTCACGAAGATCCATCTGGTGAAAGTGACTTTTTATTTTGGCTAGGTGGACTCCCTTAGTGATTCCCTTCTTCTATCAATATTAATATTTCTTCCATACTTGGTTTCGCCTAACAGCGTGTTTGTTGTTGTAGCTCTAATTTTGATTTCATTTATAAGCGAGAAAGGCTCTTAATTTTGATTTTGAGTGATACAGGTATCCGCAATGAGGAAGCAGTAACCGAAGCGCTAAGAACACTGAGTACTAAGTGCATGACTTTTGGCGGTTGTGTTCTAGAAAGACGAACTAACAATAAAAGGAGCGCTTGCAACACAATAAACATCAACAAGCTTGATCCGATCATTTTCAAATCGAACAAAAAAAGACAAGTAAGTTAGAAAAACAGATGAGCAACATACTCCTAAGAAAGTACCGAACTTGCTGGACCATCTTCTTCTTTCGTGACTCTTTTAGTACTAGCGGAGTAGAAACAAGCAGTATTTATAGAGTATTTAGAATTCGATTGTATTGCTCAATACAATTGTTCATATTCTTTCAACACACTCAAATAAGTGTAATTTGAAATACAAGAACTAGTAAAGTGTTGTTCACGAAGACGACAGTTTCATTGTATTATTCACGACAACGACACACACAGCAAAAAATACGTCTGGTTATCGTCAAACATCAGCGAAGGGTCTCTCTGTGAAAAAGATTCGTTGTGCTTTGCTGGATCAGTTGCTGCTCCGTTAAGAGGGAAGCAAAATGAGTGGCGCGGAACATCAGGGTGGCCCTATCTCTAGTGACGGCATGAGTGGCGCTGGACATCAGGGTGGCCCTATCTCTAGTGACGGCATGAGTGGCGCTGGACATCAGGGTGCCCTCATCTCTAGTAATGGTGTGAGTGGCGCGGAACATCAGGGTGGTCCAGTCTCTAGTGACGGCATGAGTGGCGCAGAGCATCATGGTGGCCTCGTCTCTGGTGACGGCATGAGTGGCGCGGAACATCAGGGTGGTCCAGTCTCTAGTGACGGCATGAGTGACGCGGAGCTTCATGGTGGCCTCATCTCTGGTGACGGCATGAGTGGCGTGGATCAGCAGGGTGGTCCACTCTCTAGTGACGGCATGAGTGGCGCGGAACATCATGGTGGCCTCATCTCTGGTGACGGCATGCGTGGCGCGGGGCATCAGGGTGGCCTTGACCTTATCTATGGTGATGGCCCGCGTGAGCGGAACACCCCAACCAAGAGCACGGAAGAAATGCCTCTGCTAGATACTTCGTCGACAAGTTCACGGGTCGCGTTTTCGATCTCTCTTATGGCCACAACACCTTCTTCTGCGTCGTCTCGTAAGTGACAGAAAATAGAGGCGACGCGTGTTTTCAGCGTTATAATCACATGACCAATTATCCGAATCGACTAACATCATCGTCATCATCATCATCATCATCATCATCAATGACGTGAGCAATTCTCCGGCGTTCCAAAGCGGTCACATCTTCAGATGCATCTAGATAGACAGCAAGTAGATTCGGAAATGAAAATGATCATGATGACCGAAGAAAAATAGTAATACTTTTAATCTCCATTGTTCCATCCTGAAGCTGAATCTGATTCTGTCAGATCTCCACAGAAATGGGGATCCTGGCACTTAGGCCTCCGCCTGGCTATGCCACTACTGCGTGTTGAGGATGATTATAATCACTTTAATTTATTTTCTAATACTCCTGCACCTCCCGCCCGAACAAACCGGGACACGGCACAAAGCCCGGGCCTGAAGCCCCTAGAGAAAGTCTCTCGTGGCTGTCGCTGGCTTCTTCTTGCTGCTACGTTTCTGCTGGGTATGGCTTATTGAGTCTTCAACCTGTGACTATACTTACAACACTTCCATTCTTTCACACAGTAAGGACTAAAAGTATACCTTTTCATGTGCTACATTCACTTCGCAATCATTGCAGTAAAACATTAATACTACCATGAAAAGTTAGGACATTTTTAGGATGGACGATGCAGGCTACATGAAAAGATTAGCCCTTTCTCCATGATAGATCGTTTCAGAGATGAACTAACACCATCGCCAACTATGGCGGCTACATAGGGCGATACATAGATAACATCATAACAGCAGGTAGGAACAATGAAGTACGTCGAACGAGGAAGAGGACACACTTATTGTACTGACTACATCTTCATGCTGAGATGAGATATTAGCTGTGCTCTAACCAAACAATCGTGGCGCTAAGTGGGACCTATTTCCTGATGCTTTCTCCGGAGGAAAAAGGAGATTTTGTGGATTCGATCAATGCACTGACAACCATCGCGTACTCGTTTCTGCAGCAGCAACAAGGACAGGCTGAAACGCATGGACAAGCAGAGGGTCATCGGCAATCAACGTCCAAAGAGGGAGAAAGGCGTCTTAGTAGGAAAAAAGAAAAAAAGTTGAAGAAACGGAATCTAAGGAATCCAGGCTTCAAACGTTTTTTCCGAGGAGCAAGTACAGAACCAGCAGCGCCAAGGGAAAACAATAGAATCACAAAGGCAAAAGACTACATGTTTACATCATCAAGCGTGACAGATCGACTGAACAGCCTATTATGATCACTCATTTATCTCTGCCTTTGAGCGTCTCGCTAGCTTTCCCCGCCAGGAAATACATGGTCATAAAAATATTAGGGAAGGCGGCGGGATGGAGATGGAGTGCATTGACAGAGATAGAATGAAGCACGTTCTAAGCCGAGAAAAATTTTTGTTCGGAAGCGTGCGCGGGAATTACGATACCGGAGTGAAAGGGGTCGCACGCGTAGACAAGTGGTGTAAGACGATCGAAAATCCAGAGGCAGAGCAGGTCTGCTTTATGATTTGACTTCAATGCTAAAGCACGCATTTAGAAGTTTAGTTTTCAGAGATCATATTGTGTTGCAATCTAAGAATGAGCTAGGAAGTGACCCATTTCTGTCTCTGCATAGACTGGGTACGGACGAGAAGTGTTCCCTTTATACCTCTAGACTGGGCACGCTGCTGCTACTGTACTGCCTCCTTGCCAGCAAGTTACGCCCTTGGATCGACGTTGCATTGGGTGTAAAATAGGAAAATTATCTTTAGAAGTGACGTTTTTTGACATCTTTCATAAAAACGGTGGCAGATCTGTTCAAAGCGCTGCAGGAAAAGACTGACGATAAGGACGGTTTCACCACGACCCCTGTACAGGGGAACTTTCCTTTAACTAACTNGACTAACTAACTGACTAACTAACTGACTAACTAACTGACTAACTAACTGACTAACTAACTAGCTAACTAACTAACCAACTAACTAACTAGCTGACTAACTAGCTGACTAAGTAACTAAATGACTAGCTAACTAACTAACTAGCTGACTAAGCAACTGACTAACCAACTACCTAACTAACTAACTAGCTAACTAACTAACTAGCTAACTAACTAACTAGCTGACCAAGCAACTGACTAAGCAACTAGCTAACTGACTAACTAACTAGCTACGAGATAAGGTCCATCAGCATCAGTGATGTTGAGATGTATTATTGGATACTGTAGCTGACATAAGGCAGCGAACTATAATATTCTGTGTCATAGAAGATAATACCCCCCGCATTCTGTGTCATGGCTTAGTACGTTGCTGTATGCTCATCGGGTTATCCCTTTGGGTCTGGTCTCAAAGCTGATTTGGGGGTCAGATTGGAGACACATGACATGACATTTCAGCTCCTGTTTTTGTATAGCATCTTTCTTGTACGCCTACCCCCGACCGCTTTCTGAAGTGAGTTCACGTCAGAAACGGTTTCCTGCTGTCTGGCACATCATGGCCAGCTTTCATCAATTGACTAGCAACGGAATTGACAAATTGCCGAAACGATCGAGCGAGAATGGTATGGCCACCTGGTGTTGTATCCATCTCTTTCTTTGGCTTCCCCTGCCTCGTCTTCCCAATCAAAATAGAAATACAACATAGGGAAGGCAGCTACCTGGATGGTATTGACTGAGATGAAACGAAGTATATTTTTCTAAGCTGGGAGGCGGTTTTCTACGGAAAGGCCAGCGACGGAAGTGGTTGGAGGTGCCCTGCGAATCCGAATACGGATTCTGCAGAGAGTGTTCGCGACTGCGTCGTTATGGTTTCTGTTTAGTGTTGGAAGAGTGTAGTACGTAGGCGAGCAGTACTAGTCAAGTTCTCAAAAATCCGATCGAGTTTCAATTTCTGCTCCAGAAAGAGAGAGCGTTTTGTTGGTTGGCTTTTAAGCGATGCACGTCAATCTTTCAGAGACTAGGCAAGACCCTCATAAGTAGTATTTCCTGAATATTTCTTGTAGTAGCTAGCGTGTATGCAACTGGTTGTTGAGTTCCGCGGAAAACAAGAATGGGACTGAGTGACTTATGTGCACAGCGACAGCGGTTCTTTTTCGTTCTAGCTTCTGCCTCTTTCTGCGAGTTCCTTTGACAATCTCCGTCGTCTACTTGTTTTGTTAGTGCCTAAGTTAACCTGAAAAGCAGGAAAAGGGCCTCCTTGTGAATAGTGCGATGGAGTCAATCTCTGATCTAGTTCACTAGTTCGCTGACCTTGTCTGACATGAGGCAGCAGGCCAGTTTATGTCTGAAGCCTGTGGCTCAAGGCTGTGCGTCTTGTTGCCTGATCCCAGTGTAGGGCTGAAGATTGGTGACCAGTCGCGACGACCTCTGAGTTAAATGCTGAAGGTGGGGCCTTTCTCCTACAACTGGTGCAAAAGATTAACGCAAATGAAAAACCCAAACGAAAAAGGAAAACCGGCGAAAGTGCCAAACTTGCAAAATCGATTACGCGGCCGACCAGTCTCCTTGCCCCGCACGTGCCGCCGTGCTATGTATAACGAATTCGAGTGGTGGCGTGAATGGATGGGGTTTGATTGGATGGCGCAAAATTGGCCGTCCCCGTCGCACTATTTTGGTACCTATAGCCAAGCAATTGAGTAAGTAAGGGAAGTAAGTGAGTGCTCGGGCTAAAGAATCTAACGAAATCACCCACAGGATGCGCGACTCTAATCGCACTCCATTGCGTAACTAAGGGCAGAAGCCTGCAAAACTAGCGAGCTCGCCCCCGCTAGTCATAAGCCGGACAACATGGCACCCAACTCGCCCAGCCTCGCAGCCGCCGCCCCCGGCAAGAGAAGCGCCGCAAGCTCATCGGGCGAAATGGGGCCTGGTGGCGGTCACCCCGTTCGTAGCGTAGAGGGAAGCAGCCTGCCCAACGAGCAGCAACTGGGCCCACCCTAGCGAGTGCGCGGAGATGGAAAAGCAAGAAGAACAGAACACCACGGAGGAGGACCGAGGCAGAGGAGGTTGGCCCAAGGTGTCACCTCTTGGGGGAAATCAGCAGCAAAGAAGCAGGAGGGGACGGAGATGCCGCAAAGGGAGAAAGTGAAGAACCGCCGAGGGGCTACAAAGCTGGACAGGCTGGCGCCAGTCCTTTGCGAAGCGACTGCGCCGCCTTTGTCTCCCTTCGAGGTGGGCTAGAAAGGTGAAGAAGATGGCGAAAGCCCGGGGCGGGTGGATCTGCTGAGGCTACTAGAGTAAGGACAGGGAGAGATCTGAGCGAGGAAGGGGACGCTCATGGCGTGACGATCTAAAAGGCCACAGTGACGCGACGACAAACCCGCGGGCCCAAGCTATGGACTGGAGCAGGAAGCGCGAAGAAATCGGGCCAGCAAGTAACGAACCACCAGAGCTGCCACTGACTGGGGCTGGTTCTTGAGCCATGCCGTCACGCTTTGGGATTATTTAATAGCGTTGGGAGAGGGTGGGGCTTCAAATATGACCGAAGACGGCCACCCCCGTGCAGTTGTCTGTTAGACAGACTTGCGAAGGCTGGCCAATCGCTCACATTCTTACGCGCGTGAGGGTTGTTGAGGTTATGCAGACCGCTCGCCTGTGAAATCGCCGCGGGCTTTGTCACTCGATTGCCACCCTAAGTTGGAAAGCTTTGGCCAGGCGGACGCGCGCCCGGCCAGTATTTGGGTGAAAATCTGGCTAAAAGAGTCGGCTTGTTGGGATCGCGGGGTGCCTGCCCTGGGCTGTTGTGTGTCATCTGTTTCGTTTCTGGGGTTTTTCTGCTTTTCTCTTGTTTTTCTGTTGGTATATTTGCGAGCGATAAGGGAGGCGCCTCTGAGTGTCGTGGCTTTTTTCTCGTACTCTACAGAGAGAGCAGGGCTCGCGGATCTTGAAGCCTGTGGCAGTGGATCAAAAAAGACGACCGAAAAAGTCCCCAAGCTTACTTTTTCGCTCGTTTTTTTCGGTCGGTTCTGGTTCTGTATGCTTTGGCTGAGTGGCTCGGGTCGGGGTGCATGTCTTAGGAGTCTCGGTTGAAGGGGGTACAGCTCTGAAGGTGGTCGGGGTGACGACTGACGACGGGCCATCGGTCTGCGGGTGTGGTGCTTCTGGTCTCTTCCTTGGGTGTTTTCGTGTTGCTTTTCAGTGGGTTCGGGTTGGGCGTGTTTGTGTTTGTCTTCTGTTGCGCGGTCGTCTTGCCCCGCCCCCTGTGGAGGAGGGGCCGGGGGAATTTGGGGGGGCCTCTGCCGTTGGGTGCTCACATTGAGCCACGTCCACGGGGCTTGACGATTGGCGCAACAGCTCGCGCAGACGTGCCGGGCCTCGCGCTCGAAGGGCTGGGGGACTCGGTGGGGGTCGTTCCTGGGCTTGGGGGTGCGGTCCCGGTGGCCGGCGGCCCTTCCAAATCGGCGGCAAAGCTTTCCAACCTTTTTCGGGTTGGAAAAAAACGGCCAAAAAAACGGCTAAAAAACGGCTAAGACTTTTGGCCTTTTTCTCGCCTCGTGTGATTTCGCCTAGAAGCCGCCTGCTTTTGTTTTTGGGGTCGGTTTTTTAGAGCGCCTCCGCCGAGTTTTGGGAGGACGTGCTGCCGGCTTTTTTAACCGTTCCCAAAGTTGGCGACTTTTTAGCCGGCGGCCTTCGCCGTTAGTTTCTTTTTTTTGCCGTCAATTTTAGCAGTTTTTTAAGCCGTCAACTTTAGCCGGTTTTTTAGCCGGTTCTTGCGGGGTCTTGGGGAACCTGTCCTCGGGCCGCGCAACCGTGGCGCAGGCTGGACCGCGTCCGACGCATTCCGCTGGCAGGCCTCGGAGCGCGGCGTGGTGTTCGTGCAAGCTCCACGGGGTTACCACTGGTGCGTGTGTGGACGTGGAGGCCCCGCATCCAGCAGCACTTACTCGGAGTGGGGCTGTAGCGTCCACGGCAGTGGGCCGTGATCCAGTTCCCCTGTTCTGCAAATATATAAAGTAAGAAGATGAAGAGCAAGAAGATGAGGACGATGATCCTAGTCGTATGAGTATGAACGAAGATCATCAACATGAAAGCGATGGAAATCATTGCAGTCCCTTGGTGACAAAGATCACAGCACTGGAACACTATGCCAATGATGTGGATCCTTATCGTGTTACATGTGAGCAAGAAGGCCCACACATTTGACAACTTTGCAACCGCATGAGAATTATGCAAAACCTTCACGATTTGCACCAATGAAACAGGCCGGGAATTATATAAAAAAAACGCATCACCTTGAGGGTGAAAATAAGCAGTCCTAGCGTTCGCAAGCAGTGAGGTATTAGCCTTTCATACGCGCACTAGAATAATTTCTTTTGACTTAGAACCCACCAAATTTTTGACTTTTTTGGTCTAGTATTTTTTTGGTTTTTTAGGTTAGAAAAGTTTGGCGCTTTCGTTCCTGTACGCAGTGGTAGCCCCGATTCATTCGGATTTTGGCCCCACGCGTTTCTCCAGGCGGCATTGTTCTTCGATATGTCGAGAGCGATCCCGTCGACCCTAGAGCAGACTCAGCATCTGCTTCACAAAAATAAACCAACTTTAGCCCAGTGGCGGGGCAACTAAAACAAAACAGAAAAGGCACCAAGCTCCCGACTTAGTCGGCAGCAGCCATAAACAAAAGTCGGTAGCTGTTCGGGTGTGGCTCCTCGACAGTAATTCAGATTAGCTTTGGTTACGGCCTCAGCTATACAAGAGAGAAAAAGCCTCACGGTACGACCGGAGACAGGGCAAAGCCGTCGCCGCGGCCCACCTAAAGACCCTCGGACTGAGTCTGACGGCACCTAAGAAAGAGAAAGACAAGCGCTCGCGAAACGCGACTGCTTCAAAAGCAAAAACCTGCGCTCGCCCAGGCGACTGCAACCCCACAAAAAGACGCGTCCTTCTTCGTTTGGCGGAGAAGTTCGCGCGCCCGAAACCCCGGAAGGGGCGTGCGATATCGCGACACACGGCTGCGCGTCCATCTAGCGCCTTGCCTTTTTTCGGCAGATTTTGTTATTTGGCCTTTGACTCGAGTCGGATCCCGTGCAAAGTCTCCCCATAAAGAGGCTTGCACAGTGGGAAAGCTAGCGGCAATGTGCCTCCAAGGCGCGACGTCTCGGGTGCTTCGGTGGTGATCAGGATCCCACCCCACTGAGATAAAATGGCCCCAGCCATGAAAATTTACGCTGCGCGCGTGAAGCGCTTGGAGCAGTATGTCAGCAGTGGAATGGCGTTTGTCTACATTGAGCCAGAGTACTACAATGCTGAAAGAAAAGGCAGCATCAAGCACAGGCGTGGCGTCATTAACGTCGACGGCTCACCTGACTACGAAGATGCCGAAGTAGACTACTACCCCTCGGAAGCACACGGCGGCGGCAGATTCGTCTACTGCAAAATCAAGAGGGAGGATTGGCCTGAGGGTGCTAAACCTCTGAAAGAGGGAGGCCCACTCTGGGACGAGGGAGCGAGTTCTGAAGTCGCAAGTTGATGCCTGTCTCCAGGAGATAAATACTCTCAAAGAGGACAACGAAGTCGGTGAAATCTACAGTAGCCTAATCGACAACCATACGGACTTCGTCAAATCGGACGAAGAGGAGGACCACTCGCAAACGGGTGAGGAAACCCCTCCACCGGCGGAGGAGGATGAAGACAAAACACCGGGGAAAGCGGTGGAGTCGCGCCGCAGGATAAAGGTCGAGCAAAACATAGTGCC